GACGTACGAACACCAAACCCAAATCAGTTCCATCCAGGATACACTTGCCCGAATTGAAGGACTCCTCTTAACACCCCGTCCGACTACTCCGAAAATGACTCCGGACTCCGAGCTGAGGGGCACCGAAGCCTCCCAGCATGCCCCGAGTCGATCCGAAAACACCCCGCGTTCCCGCTTGAAGCCCGCCTCTCCCCCAATCTTCGACGGAAACCGCAAGGATGGCCGCGTGTTCTACAACACATGCTCCATCTACTTTCAGCTCTGTCCGGACCACTTTCCGACCGAGCAGGCCAAAATCCTCTGGTGTCTCTCCTTTTTCCAGAAGGATCGAGCTAAGGAGTACGCGGACATGGTGCTCCGGAGTCCAAAGGATCCGTACTTCGCATCCTGGGCCGCCTTCACAACTGAGTTCCGGACTCGCTTCCTTCCGGATCGGGAACGCAAAGCTGCCATGCTAAAACTGGAGTCCACCTGGTACCACCAAGGCCGTCGGACTTTCCAGAAGTACCTCGACGAGTTCTGGGACCTTGTAGACCAGTCCGGATACACCGAGGGCTCCAACATCACGATGAAGTTCCGTCGTGGATTGGACTCCATCATCCAGAGCTGCGTCGCCGAGTCCGCAGACTGTCCAGACGAGGATGACTTTGAGGAATGGTACAAGGCAGCACAGCGGGTTGCTGACACCCGTGCTGCTAACCAATCCTTCCACTTTGGCGTGCACTCCGGAAACTCCGGACACTCTGGATCCCTCATCCGACCAGCAGCCAGCTCCGGAGTTGCTTGGACTCCTGCGGGTGTGCTCCCCACGCCTCGGACTCAGCTCCCGCCTCTGCAACCCCGTTTCCAACCTCCTCCTCCTCCTCCAAAGGCTCTCTCACCCGGTGTCCCAATGGATGTCGACCACACCCGCTCCCGACCCGCCACCTTGCAGCTCTGCTACCGATGCGGCAAGCCCAGTCACATGTCCCGCGAGTGCCCACTCCGGTACAATGTCCGGTTCATGACTACCAAGGAGCGGATGTCCGCCATTGAAGATCTTTTGACCGTGGCCGATGTTGTAGAGAGTACAGGAACTTCGGAAGGAGTAGATGATGAGGGAACGGCCCCGGTTGAGGAATCGGACACGGCGGATTTTGTCCGGGCCAACGAGTGATCAGTGCGACCTCGTTGGTAAATAACCGATTTGCTTGTCTTAGCGTAGACAAAATAGACGATTCCAATCACTCCAATGATTCGTCCGACGTTAAGCAAGCGACTCCGGTTACAATCCGCACACTCTGAAGGTTTCGCCCGCAGTGGGAATGGCGGCTACCCAGTAGCTATAAGATCTCTGCGCTGCCCGGCAAGCTTTCGCTAGATATACCTGTTGAAGTGCAGAGCACGGATACACAACACAGATGCACCCTGCAGGCCCTGGTGGACTGCGGAGCTACCGGAGTCTTCATGCATCCGCGCTTTGCTGATGCCCATGGTTTCACCTGACGCAAGCTGTCCGCTCCGATTCCGGTCTTCAACATTGACGGATCACCAAATGAGAACGGATCTATCTCCGAAGCTGTGGACCTTGTACTCCAGTTCAAGGATCACACGGAACGGATGCTTTTCGCAGTCACTAACATCGGACGGCAGGACATCATCCTCGGATACACCCGGCTTCGGAAGCACAACCCCGAGATTGACTGGCAGACAAAGGAGGTGATCATGAGCCGTTGTCTGTCCAGATGCGATACCTGTCGGAAGGAGTTCCGCCATGACAAGCTGACCCGACGCAAGGAGTCTGTGCGACTCCGGGAGTGTCGTACGGGTCCGATGCCAAGGGTTGAGGAACTGCACTCGGACGATCTCCCAGAGCTTCAGGACTGCAAGGATGATGATGTGGATGACAATGCTACAACTCTGGACGACTCCGGACTTGAGAGGGGTGACCGTATCTTTGTGGCTATTCCTCCTCCGACTCCGGAGTACCTTCGGAGTCTTCGGGAAGAACATATCCAGGCTTCGGAGACAGTCTCGCAGCGCCTCGCATTGGCTTTCCAGCGCAACAAACCCCACGATCCTCGGAACAGCGCAGTCCCGGACTTTCTCCAGGAATCCGAGGACGTCTTCGCAAAGGAATCCTTTGATGAACTGCCCATGCCGCGTCCGTGGGACCATGCCATTGAGCTACTGGACAGAGTGGAACCAACCTCTACCAAGTGCTACCCGCTGTCCCTGGCGGAGCAGAAACAGCTGGACGAATTCCTGGAAGAAAATCTCCAGACTGGTCGGATCTGCCCCAGCAAGTTGCCCATGGCAGCCCCGGTGTTCTTTGTTAAGAAGAAGGACGGATTGCTCCGCTTGGTCCAGGACTACCGGAAGCTCAACAACATGACAGTCAAATATCGGTACCCACTTCCGCTCATCTCGGACTTGGTGGACAAACTCTGGAACGCTCGCTACTTCTCCAAGCTTGACGTCCGGTGGGGTTTCAACAATGTCCGGATCAAGGAGGGTGACAAGTGGAAGGCCGCATTTCGGACTACGCGCGGACTCTTCAAACCCTTGGTGATGTTCTTCGGACTGACCAACAGCCCGTCTACCTTCCAGACCATGATGAACAACCTGTTCCGGGAGCTCATTACGGAAGGTGTGGTCATTATCTACCTGGATGACATTCTGATCTACACCAAGACACGAGAAGAGCATTGCTGGGTCCTCAAACGAGTCCTAGAGATCCTCCAGCAGAACAAGCTCTTCCTTCAGGCAGACAAGTGCGATTTTGAGCAGACCAAGGTGGAGTATCTCGGAGTTGTCATCTCTGAGGGTAAGATTGAGATGGACCCCATGAAGGTCTCCAGAGTCGCGGACTGGCCAACCCCTCGGACTCAGACTGAACTCCAATCCTTCCTCAGGTTCGTCAACTTCTACCGCCACTTCATCAAGGACTACTCGCATATTGCTTGGCCTCTCTTTGACCTCACCTGTGCAAAGGAATGGCAATGGAACGACTCCGCTCAGTCCGCATTTCTTTGGATCAAGGAGCTGATCACTTTGGAACCTGTTCTGGTCTTTCCAAAGGAGGATCGGCCATATCGGGTTGAAGCGGACTTGTCGGACTATGCTACGGGTGCCGTCTTGTTGCAGCTGAATCCGGATGATGGTAAATGGCATCCTGTTGCATTCTACTCTAAAAGTCTACAGGCTGCGGAGCGGAACTACGAAATACATGACAAGGAGATTGTAAGGGGACACTCCTATTTTCTCTCCTTTCCTTCATCCCATGGACTCTTACCTACATTCCCTTTGTTCCCCTTTGTTCCTTTTCGCTCCCTCTCCTCTCCACTTCCTTTCCCCCTACTCCCTTCGCATCCGAGTCACATCCGGTGACTCCAAAGTCTTCCCGCACTTCGCACACTCCGGACTTGCTCGGACTTGTCTATACACTTCGGGGCTTGTCCGGGTTACCTCTGTCCTCTTTCCCCGTTTCATTACTCTTCACCCTTACTTCCCCAGGTCGCTGGCACAACTCCTATACATTCCCGAGCACCTGACGGTTTACCACATTTATACATGAAGCTTGTATGCACTTGTGTATGAGACAAACTCATAACTTAGTTGTAATGCATATGAATATAAACTCTTCATATGTGCTTCACATGGACTTCACATGAAGCATACATGGACTGTACAACTTCGCTTATATGTGAGCTTGACATTAAGCACATATGAATGTCGCATATAAACTTCACATGCAGTTCATATAAGCTTTACATGAAGCTCCTCAACAATTGTTATTGCCTAAAAGTCATGAAGAAGTAAAGAAAATGTAGAAGAAATGTAGAAGAAATGTAAAGCCATATGAAGGAATGTAAAGTTTTGCAAAAGAAGTGGGCTTTATATGTCCTTTATATGAAATAAATGTACGGAAGATGTGAAGTCATGTGCTTCATATGAGCTTCATGTATAAATGTGGTAAAGCACCAGATATACCCAGGAAGAGTACACCATTAGCTCCGATGTTTGGTGATGCCGCAATTGCCTCAACGAAGTGGACAATACATCCAAGTCCATACGGCCCCTTCACAACCAGCGCCGCCTTTTTGTCATCAGAACACTGGAACACTCTGTCCCATGCTTGATTCAAGCACCTGTATAGGCCTTCAGTTGGATCAATTACCGGCGCGTCCCCGAAGTACTTTGCAATGGGGCCAGTTGGAAGTCCATTAGGAACTCCATTGGGCATCCGAGCGATGAGGCTCTTCAACTCGGTTAGATTCTTTTGATATGTTTGCAGGTTTTTGTGGTCCGAGTCGGCCATGCTTAAACAAGTGAGCAAGAAGGTTTCGTTGGGGTTTTTAGAATACCGGCTCCCGCCTTTTTGCCCTGGCGCCTAATGACCAAAGTGACTGAGAATACAATTAAATATGGCTGCCATACTTTAATGAAATCATAATAGAATCTAATGTAATAACATATATTAAACACTCAGAGTACGGAGAAAGGGAGTATTTAATAATAATATTGTGTCAAAATAAGATTATAATAAAATATAATGATATTTTCTCGGTGCCCTAGATCCAACTTCAACAGAGCGGACTTCTGACATTGACCGCGGGGCGACAAACTTACATCCTGTACTATCGTTCCCATAGAAGTTGAGTTTTTCCGAGAACCGTTAGTAGGAGTATTTTTGAGCTTGCCACATTTTCCCCTTGTCCCCCGGCTTGACATAGATTGTAGTTGAGTAGTACTTCCAGCTCCTTGATTTTTCAGATGATGACAAAATCTATCTTGAGCGACATAGAATCATGCCGGCGAAAGGGAGCAAAAAGACATTGAACTTGAACTTTTGTCACGAAATGTAACGCAGTTTCCGCGGTCGGCAAGCGTTGTAAAACGGGAGCGACTGAGAAAGAAGTCTAAACACGGGGCCGACTCCACTACGAAATCAATCTCTAACTCGGCGCGTAAACTAACATGACATAGACGTTCCCATTTGATCCACCCCTAATTCCTGCTTAGATGTATCCTGTAGCAGATAATCCCTGTATGAAAGGAGCTACCTTCCCGTCCGCCGTAGAGACCAGAGATTGGAATGCCGGTTTGTTCTGGTTGGCTAGCTTTCCTAGTTCCGTTCCTACAAACACCTGAGGATCCTGAACATACTGGACAGGGTCGACGGGGACAGTTTCCGAAGACGCGAGTCTCGAATAGGCCGCCTGGTATCCCGCTGTCTGTTCCTCGTAATCAATCTCCGTCAAGGCGACGTCGGCCTCGCTGCTAGATGTATCCTTTTTCGAGAGATATTGGGGTTCAGAGAAAAGTTGCACGAGAACAGTTAGGCCAAGCGGCCTAGATAAACGGGATGATTAAATGGGTTGCTTACAGCAGGACAGAGAACGAAAACTCACCATGTCTGAACAGCGGGGGGTTGCAACATCAAGGAACTCTGCGTCAGGAGTTTTGTCAACCCTACGACGGCGACTTTGCGATCTTTGGGAGGCATCTTTGGTGCTTGTGGGAGAACAAAGTTGCTCAGAACTTGTGCCCATAATCTACATTCGACACCATGAACATTTTGCTGACACTCGAAATTGAAAGAACTCACCCAACCTGGATCTCTTCCATCGTCGTGATAACATAATCGGCGGGAAGGCCACCGTCGTTTAGGGCCATCGTGTAAAGTATGAAGTACGAAAATAGATAAACAAACTGGTCGGTTTTGGTCTGGTGCATCCTGGTGAGAAGCGTCATGACCACGGGTTTGAAATACTGTTTGAGGTTGTCGCTGAACGGGCACGGTCGGTAATTTGTGAAAAAGCTTGGAAAATGGAGGACCCACATTGGAGTATGACGAACGATGGAGTACAATAATTCAAAGCCCCACATATCGTTCGCTTTGGATGGGATCAGTCTCTGTTGAATCACGGCTAACACCGACGCCAGTTGGCCTTGAGCAGCCATTTGTGTCGCGTCCCTTGCCACAAAGGCTTTCAGCAGCTTGACTAGACCGGGGACACTACCCTTCTGGAGCCACACCGCTGGGGTGAGGAGGAAAGGAAGAAGACTACGATATTCGGAGGGTACATCGGAGGTATGCAGTTCAAGCATCTGGGCGAGGATCTGGAAAACGTAGGGAATATATTCTGGGCCATTATCAATGTCAGCAAGTATGAAGCGCGAACGGCGCGGTCCACCTACGGTCGATGTCCTGTTGTAAGATATACGTAAATGGCCCAAATAGTGTTGCTTCGAAATTGGAAAGCGTGGCGGGTGATCCGCCGACGATGAACCTAGAGGATATAGAGATTCAAGAGGAGTGCGGATGGAGAGAACAGTGGTATACCGACCTCATTAGCGCTGATATGCTTTCGAAAATGTATTGATCGAAAAGGGGATTGCTGGGATTCTTCGACACTACCCCAAGTATGTTGACAAGGCGTGTCAGAACCGTCTCATAGTGAGGTGTCAAGGTTTGCCTCGCTGTTATGATGACTCTCATGATACCTTCATAGCGGTTTAGGATTCCATCAAGTTACAGCAGGTAAATGGGACGCACATCTCATCAGGTGATCGTTTTCAGCAACCTTCTCTGGGGTTTTTGCAGCTTCAATCTTTGACAACAGAGCGTTCAACAGATCATGGGCGAAGTCGTGGACGTCTGCTTGTGCGAATCTAAGACATGCTGAATTACGATGTCATCGATAAAACAGGACACACATACAGTAAACGTCCGCTTTGTTTTATGAATAGTATCCGGTCGATAGTGATGGCGGCATAGGTGTAGGTCACATAATTATCGGCGCCTAGATGCCGTACAAGGAGAGGGAGAACGGAAAGCAGTTGCTCTTTAGTTAGCTACGTCGAGGAAGAGGTGGTCACATACGTAAAATCTCTGAAAGGACATTGAGAATCTTACCTGATTCCTGAACGTCAGTAAAAAGCGGATAGCGTCAACTTGGAGGATAGGGTGTGGTACAGCCGCGGCTTGTAAATCTTCGAAGACGTTCTCTGAGAAGAACTTGATGATATCGATAAGTGCGTTCGTTGACGTGACTCCTTGCTGTGTTGAGATACATTAATACAACTGCGATGCGCCATCGGTATAACTTTTTTTTACCTTTGTAGTAGATCCCCTAGTGGCCACCGCCGCAAGAAGGAAGATCGCGCTATCCTTCGCTCGCCAATTGGCCTCTTTATTGGACCGGTACTCCTGCAGCCCCGTTCCGATCCAATTGCCTACAATTTCGGTAGCCTGTGCTTCGTATCCAGAACTGACCAGCGCCTGCAGGAGATCTGCGGCAGCATGTCTTCTCGTACTAAGATCAACGCCGGTCGCTGAAAGTGATAGATCGAGGCGAACGAATTCTAAGGGATCATCCTCAAACTGCTCCACATCGTGTTCACGAAGCGCGACGTTGGGGACGACTACGCCCTCTACTAGAGAGGAGATGACCTCACGAGATTCAAAAAGGGTTTTGTAGTATCCGGAACGAATGGTGCTGGAGATGAATCGAAGGGATTGAGAAACCAGCTACAGTTTTGCATGAGATATATTCATTGTTCCAAAATAGATGCACACGTACAGCGTCGTCACTGATATTGGGGAGTTTATTGGACCCCACCAGGGTCCAAACCTCTTGAACGAAGCCTTGGATGGAGTCTGAATTTTGCAGTTGGTCAGGAAAAAGCTTCAAAAACAAGTCCACAGTCTCGAGGATCACAGTCTTGAGTTGTGAAGGTAGAGAGGGCGTCGTATCGTCGGGCTTCAATTTGGAAGGGAATCAAACGAACTGATGTATTTACATGGAGGTAGAAACTTACATCTCCCCTGAGTTCCACTGGGTCCCAAGCCAAAAAGACATGAAACCACCCCTTTCCGGGGCTAAAAAACTGATCGTGTGTGTCTTCAATTGCTGGGGGAAGGTCATGACACGTGAAGTCGTAGAATATCTCGACTAGAAGCACCATGCATTGGGCCAAAAGAGCGTAGTCCTTCTGAGGGGGAGTAGTGAGGAAGGTTGCGGTTTGTTGGAAGAGCTGGAGGAATGGGGTCATGAACCTGTCAAATACAAGGTTGATCTCTGAGAAGAGTTCGTCGGAGCGAACATGGGCGCGCCATTGGCGGAATATAGAGTGCCCTGTTTCAAGTACTCCCAGATTTACGTTGTAGTCTGTAGGTGATAACGATGAAACCAGTTGCTGGGGACAGTTCAGCCTTGGTGTTCAGCAGACCGGACCGTACTCACGTCTATCAGGTTGGGCCACTTCGAAGGAAAGTCTAGTTCAGCAATGAGGGAAATCGCCTCCGCGATCTGAATTCGCACTGCCTTATCCGATGGAGCAGACAGTGCCAACATGGCTGGAACAAGCTCTGCCCGAAGTTGGGCTTTGTCCACCTCGCTGAGCGGAGGCTCATCCTGGCCGATCATGGTCAGCTCACAAGACCAGATGTCTACAATCGGAGAGTGCTCACTTCCTCCCATCTACTCTTCGCGATGTTCTTCAAATACACGCTACCCGACAACTTAACAGCCCGATCGCTGGATTCAAGAACGAGCCGCAAGAGTGATGCAAGGAAGCCTGATTGGCGACTGAGGGCTTCGAGGGCCTGTTCGGCTTGTTTTCGCGTTTCTGGTCGCAATGATGCGGTAAGAAGAGTTGGGAGGTCCGACATCGTGGTGGTGGTTGCTGTACAAGCCTGGAGGCGAAGTATTTCTTTGTCGGCTAGGGGCAAACGCGCTCCCTCCGTCACGTGATAAGTTGAGGGCAGGTCCGCGCAGCTCTGAAGTAAGTGACGAATTGACACGTCTCAGTGTCACCTTGCAATTCTACCATCATGAAGCTCAAGGAAATTCGTCGAACCTCCACTTTCGCATGGTCGCCAACGACATCACTTCCATTGCTGGCAACTGGAACCGTAGCGGGCGCACTCGACGAATCATTCAGCAACGAAAGCCAACTTGAGATCTGGGCGCCAGACTTCCTCGACAAAGATGAATTCGTTCTCGGTTCTGAGGGCGGACATGGTCCAAAGGGTGTTGTAACGGATAACTCAAGGTGTGTGTCAAGATCAACTTCCAGTCAACAATTTCGTTGGTAACGTACGTATGTATAGATTCAACCGACTGGCTTGGGGTTATGGGGATTCCGGAAAACCGAAGGGCGTCCTGGCTGCTGGCATGGAAAATGGAGAGCTTGTCCTTTGGGATCCCGCCAAGGTACTAGCTGGCGCAAGGTACTTGTCGTCAGTTTCAATATGTTACGTCGAATCAGCTTGTTTGCAGCGCCGCCGAATCCCTCATCTTTCGCAACGACACTCACACGGGCCCAATTCGTGGACTAGACTTCAATCCCATACAACCGAGTCTGCTCTCGTCCGGAGGCGTCAATGGAGAAGTTTACGTCTGGGACCTGAAGGATCCCGGGCATCCGTATTCCCCGATACCTGGCACCCGTAGTACGAAACTCGATGAGATCACCGCAGTTGCTTGGAATGCCCAGGTGCAACACGTCCTTGCTGGAGCCAGCACCACGGGCTACACCGTCGTCTGGGACTTGCGCGGTAAAAGGGAGGTGGTTGCTCTTGCTTATGGCGGAGGAACAGGCACTCTCGCTGGTCAACATGTCGGTTCTATGAACGGCTTGGCCGTCGGAGGGCGCCGGGGCATGAGTGATATTGCATGGCACCCAGATAATGTGAGTTGGGCTGTACAGGGCGGCGATGGTATTAATATTGCATCAGGCTACGAGACTCGTGACCGCGTCAGAGGACGATTCATCACCAATTATTATGGTTTGGGATCTCCGTAATGCACGTGCCCCCGAAAAAGTACGTGTCTGTAGTCGTCGGAAGTGCTAGATGACATTAAGCAAATTTGGCAGATTCTCACTGGACACGAGAAAGGTGTTCTGTCCCTTTCGTGGTGTAAGCAGGACGCAGACTTGCTGCTCTCTTGTGGTAAGGACAACCGCGCTCTTTGCTGGAATCCACAAACATCAGAGATCGTTGGAGAGGTATTTGTCACTTGCTCGTCCACGATGGCCTCATATCAATATCTTGCTGCAGTTACCTTCGGCGTCCAACTGGGCCTTCCAAGTTGAATGGTGTCCACGGAATCCAGACCTCTTGGCTACCGCTTTCTTCGACGGGACCGTTGGTATCCACTCTATTCAATCGACCAACGACAACACACCGGCGCAACCATCGGCGGCGGCGATATCTAATGAAGGCGCCGGATTATTCGATGGCCCCAATTACCCATCTACGTCTTTCCAAAGTAGCGGGACCTTCTCCCTCAAGCAACCTCCGAAGTGGCTCCGTCGACCAGTATCAGGTTCATTTGGCTTTGGAGGGAAGTTAGTGACCGTCTCCAACCTCCCATCGGCACAGGGCAAAACTCAGAGCAGTGTCGTGCATCTTCGTAACGTAGTGACAGAGCCTGCCTTAGTTGATCGGGCTACCAGACTTCAGCATGCAGTCGCAGAAGACAAAATGAGCGAACTCGCAGAGGAACTCAGTGCTTCGCTGAAGGACGGCGCGGCTGAAGGGTGGAAGGCTCTTTTGAGTCTCTTCAAAGCGAACTCCCGCGAGGAGTTGGTCACTCTTCTGGGCTTCTCGAAGACCGAAATCGCGGTGAAGGTTGCAGAGGCCATCGACAGTCTCAAGGCTGCCGCCGCGAACGAGACGTCGACGGTGACGACCGGAGAGCCGGAGCGATCTGACTCCCCTTCGGCTGGTAGCGACGAAGGTGATGCTACTGAAGTCACGGAAGGTGAAGGAGAGAAGACCCCATCCGAAGTTAGCGTGAGCGTGACTTCAGATGTTTCCGGCACAACCTATCCAGCAGATACTGAGTCGACAACTACCGTGCCCAGTCTCTTTGGCGACGATGACCCCGGCACTCCTCAGATGGACGCGGGCGCCGATTTCTTTAGCACGCTTGGTATTTCGCAACAAGACGGTGGCTCAGGTCAAGTTCTGATACCACATACGAGTTATGGACTTGACTCTTCTGTCGCGGCGACTATTGGTTCTGGGCCATCGTCAGTTACGTCGGAGACGATGAAGAACAACACCTTCAAGATCTACCCGAAGGAAGAGTCGGAAACGGACAGATTGGTGACAAGGGCTCTCATACTCGGCGACTTCGAATCTGCGGTTTCCCTGTGCCTGTCTTCCGAACGCTTCGCCGACGCTATCTTGCTAGCCGTCAAAGGGGGTCCTGAACTCCTGCAGCGTACCCAGAAGGCATACTTCGAACGCCGAACTAAGATGCTTCCCTACCTTCGCCTCTTCCAATCGATCGTTGGCAACGACCTTTCCGATATTGTCCAAAATGCCGACCTACAAGAATGGCAGGAGATCTTTGTGGTCCTTTGTACATTCGCAAGCCAGGAGGAGTTCGCCGGGCTAGCTGAGCAGCTCGGACGGCGCCTTGAATTCCAATTCAGCGTGTCTACTTCCTCCAATGACATTGCTACTGCGAGCGAGGCTCAAGAATACAGGAAGCATGCTACATTAGCTTACCTTGCGGCTGGACGCTTGGAGCGACTCGTGAATATATGGATAGATGAACTTTCTGAAGAGGAGAAGGTTTTGGTCAGCGAAGAGGCTAGTCACGGCGGATCAAGATATACGGCACACGTTCAGGCTGTGCAGTCCTTCATCGAGAAGGTCACGGTTTTCCGTTCAGCTATCAAGTATGTTGACGATGATCTTACACCGCAAGCCGCGGGTGACGGCGATTCCGGCACGAAGGTGTACAAACTATCTGGCCTATACGAACGCTACGTGGAGTATGCAGAAGTGCTTGCTGCGCAAGGAATGGTCAAAGAGGCAGCTGTCTTCCTCAAGCTCACTCCGAGCAAGTACCACTCCTCGGTTGCCGGTGTAGCCATAGACCATCTCGACTCGGCTGCGCCGCGTTCTGCAACCGCCGTGCCCACAGCCACGTCTCAGCAGTCATTGGGACGTACGACACATGCCTATCCCCCGTATAGCACGGTGCCGTCTCAGCAACCAGCCCCCGTTCAACCGATTAGCCAACAACCATCGCCGTATAACCCATATGCTCCAGCTCACAACCAAAGTGTTCCGCCCTCTACAGGTCCTGCTCCCCCCGTTGTGTCTCAGTACGCCCCATCGAACAACACGTACAACACGTACAACACATATGCGCCCCCTCGACCGGCTGAAGCGTCAACCACTGTCCAGTCGGTGTCGCAACAACAACCATCTCCCTATAACCCGTACACCCCGGCTTCAACCACAGCTCCTAATCCCGTCGCCCAAGGACACCAGCCCGGGCAAGGCCATACTCAATCACAATTCGCACCGACGCCGGCGCCATACAATACGTATGCACCCACCAACACGCTAAGCACGCCGCCCCATCTCCGTAATCAGACGCAACCGACGCCCATCGCCTCGATGGGTCCACCTCCCAGTCGGTTGAATGGCGCTCTTCCACCCCCTCCCCCAAAACGGGACAATGGCGGCTGGAACGATGCGCCTATCGCACCCCCCGTACGAACGTCGAGCGCAGCGAATAATGCCAAACCTGCCCCTATTACATCGCCATTCCCTAATTCCATCCCATCGTCGCCAGGTTACTCGCCCATGATACCCGGTCAAAATCTTCCCCCTCCTCCACGCCCTATGAGTGTTCAGGCCCGAGGTCAGACACCACCACAAGCATTGAGAGGCCCTCCAACTGGCGTATATCCTCCCCCTCCTCCGATGGGTCGACCACCGCCTCCACAGGGTCCTCCTGGACCTCCCCAAATGCCCCCACCCGGGCCTCCCCATAGTCATAGCCAATTGCCGCCGCCGCCGCAAAGGATGATCTCCCCGCCTCAAGGTCATGGTAACTTCCAGCGTCAGCCTACTCCCAATCAGTACGGACCGCCACCACCCCGCGCTACCATTCCTGGGCAATCCCCACCTCAGGGACCACCTCAAGGACCACCTCAAGGACAGTTTAGTAGACCACCCCCGATGAACAACAACATGCAGCGGCAGAGATGAGGGCGTATTAGTGACTAAGGGTCCTTCGAATTTTAGATGTATCAGCACTCGTCACTAGTCTAGTTCACGTAAACAGACCCAGGAATTTATTTTATGACAATCGCAGTAGCTTTTGCAAATTCATGGCAGCCTTTGGGTTTGAAGGCAATTTCTATGCTGTTGGCGTTGTGAATGTTATCACGTGACTCACTGATATTGCAGGACTTTGATCAGAGTCGCAGTGCTCTGACTTCGGAAGCTGAAGACAATGAGTTTCCTAAATGTCGAAGATCCAGGCCAACTCCCTCCTGGAACTCCCCCGACGTGTAAGTTAACGGTCAGCTCGCTCTGTATTCTGACCGACGACCATTTGTGTGCAGACAAATTCGAAGGACCGTGGTTCACGACCCAGCTATTTCTTTCATCGACAATTGGCGTCACCTCATTCTTGTTATTTTCTTACTGCCGCACAAGATGGCCACTACTTTTCGCTCCTAGAACGAAGCTAAAAGGCTGGTGCTTTGGAATTGAAGCTGTCTTTCAATGTCGCTTATTGCAGTTCCGAAGGTTTCTCGCCTCACGAAGCTCACACTCATCAAGCATTCTTCGGATGGATTCTACCCACCATACGAACCTCGGAGTTCACTGTCCTTCAGATAGTAGGACTGGACGCAGCTGTTGTGCGTGACAATCTGTTAGCGGTTGCACTGCTTACTGACCTTCCCAAGCTCCTCAACTTCTTCAAGATGTCCTTTCAGCTATTCTCGCTGTGCTCGGTCTTTGCAATTTTCATCCTCATGCCTATAAACTGGAAGGTCAATCGAACTGTGAACTTCACCGTCTCAATAGCTCACTTCTTCTAGAACAATGTCGGACTAGGAGAATCAGACGGAGGGGACGACGACGACGACTGGCCGACTACGCGTGCAGCACCTGCTCCGGATGGCCCGCAAACACCTTCTCGCGACTGGCTCGATCTCATCAGCGACGCAAACTCATATCTATCAGCTCACCTCGCGTTCACATACCTGTTCACAATCCTGGCCCTCCGATTCATCCACAAAAACTACCGGAGGTTTATTCGGTCGCGTCAGTTGTTCTCGCTAGAGCTTGTGCACTCGATTCCTGCACGTACGGTCATGGTCACGAATCTACCAAACCACCTGCAAGGTGAACGTTCTTTAGCAGAGTACTTTGAGAATATGGGCCTGAGTGTTGAAAGCGTAAGCGTTTGCCGGGAGGTGCACTCGTTGAAGGTTCTCCTTGACAAGCGAACGGAGGCCTTGCTCGCGCTTGAGCGCGCTTGGGTCGACTATGTTGGGAACCCTAGCACAGTTGAACAATACGATCCATCCGACAGCGCCGCACCCCCGCTTGCTGATATTGAATCATCTGGAATGGACAATCATAATTCCAGATTTGTTGTCCCCCACAAACCCCGACCTACCCTTCGTCCGAGATGGTATAGCGCCAAAGTCGACGCTCTAGAATTCCTCGAGAAGCGCTTCCAAGAGGCTGACGAGCAAGTTAAGAAACGCCGCAAGACCGGAAGGTTCAAACCGACACAGGCAGCCTTTGTCACGTTCGAGAAGATGTCCAGTGCCGTACGTCTTTTCATACCAATGTCTCTCAAAGCGAGTCGGACTGACTTCTTCTCAGCAAGTCGCCATGCAAGTCGCCCATGCGCCGTTCCCTATGCAATGCACGACTTATCCTGCACCCGAACCTCGCGATATTGTCTGGTCCAATATGACGCCGTCAACTACCAATATCCGGACGAGGGACACGATCGTCCTCAGCGCCATGGCCCTGCTCTTCTTCTTCTGGATATTCCCGATCACAGCATTGGCTAGTCTGCTCAGCTATAGCGAAATAAAGAAGGCCTGGCCGTGGCTCGGGAGATTGATAGATTCGAACGACAAGATTCAGGCTATTGTGCAGAATTCCCTTCCTTCCATCGCGATGATAACATTGAACGCGACATTGCCACTTCTACTTGAGGGTGACGGGTAGTCCTTTTCTTGTAATGTGTTGATTATTGACACTGTTTCACGTTCATTAGCTTTGACGTACCTTCAGGGCTTCCGAGCTCGTAGTTGGATCGAGTATTCGCTCATGAAGAAGTAATGTCTCCCTTATCGCGACTTTTGAACTAGCTAATGATTTTGACAGATATTTCCTGTTCCTTCTCGTCAATGTTGTCTTCATATTCCTGCTCGCTAGCACATATTGGCAGCTCGTTCGGGACTTGGCCAATTCCCCAGCGAAAATACCCGAGAAGCTGGCGACAGCGCTTTCGGCAGGTCGTGCTAGGTACTTAAAGTCCCTATATAACGACCTTCCCATTTCATTCCTCCCCTCATAGGCACTTCTTCCTGTCCTATGTTATTCTCCAAGGTGCATCGCCCTCTGGTATATATAATTAATCGCACTCGGTGACTCACTCGCATATCGTAGGTTTGGGTATCATGCCCCTTCAGCTTTTAAACCTAGGTGTCATCATACCCCGTGGCTTCTATCGCCTGTTTCTGACCCGGACTCCCAGAGGTATGCATCTCGTATCCTCATCTATCGCAAGCTTGGTCTTTACAGCTTCGTAGACTTCGCCGAGCTGAATGCACCTCCGATGATTAATTATGGCGTCGTCTACCCCCAAGCCATCTTGATGTTTGTGATCACTATGTTGTACAGTGTCAACCAACCCCTCATCGTCATCTTCGGAGCTATCTATTTCGGCGTGGGGTATGTCGTGTATAAGTACAAACTACTATTCGGTATGCGTCTCCTCCTTCCGAACTCGTTAGTACCCCATTATTTGGATATTCACATTCTTTTCTAGTATTCTACAAGCCATATGAGTCGCAAGGTCAAGCGTGGCCGTTAACATTTATCCGGCTCGTCTGGGGCATCGTTATTTTCCTGATTTTCATGATTGGCCTTTTCATCCTTCGGAAGTCCTATGTCCTATCATCCATGCTCTCCCCGCTACTCCTCGCAACGGTTGTATGGGCGTGGTACGTCCACAAAAACCTGAAGCCCCTCAGCAAGTTCGTGAGCTTGAGCTCTGTGCACGAAGTGGAGAGGGGAGAGGAGACGGCAGATGTGACACGAATAAGAGCAGGACACCCGGTGACTTGGTCGCAAAGGTGTGTGGTCATTACCAACGTCGCTCATAGTTATTCATAACGCCGTGTCACTACTAGCAACCTCAATCGTAGGAGGTACGCCCAGAACGACGACACCCTCTATGTCGCACCCGAAGACGAAAGAACGGATTATGTATGTTTGCATCTGAAACCACACTGCGTTTGAGCTGAACGATAGATCTTGTTTAGTCTCAGCCACCTATGGCTAATTGGTACAGCGGTGTTCTCAAGTTCGTCATGAGACCGCCTCGAAATGCACCCTACTGATTGTCATTCATTTGTAGCACCGGAAAGAGGCGATATGGACACCCAGCCCTCAATGGAGTCTTGCCTGAACCCTGGTTGCCTCTTAAGAAAGGTCAAACCCTCGTTAACAATGACCATCGCGGAAACGGCCGGACACACAAAGACATCAATAACCAAGCCGTCGTTCTAACGTTACGAAAACGACCAAGCGTTCGAAGAGGACCACGTCAATCAATAAATCACGATGCTAGCCACGAACCGTTGATCCCAGGGATACAGTTGGATGACTCCATATCACCGAATGTCTCCGCTGGAGGGTCCAGTAACCCTTGGGATGACGTTCCACCGACCGCTCGCCGTGCGTCACACTCTACATCACCGGGGTTGCAGCGAAGGCTCAGCTTCGACCATGCGTCTGGTGTCATAATGCTACCTGACGAAGACGATTGGCTTGACGAAGAAGAAGATAGCGATGCGGACTATGGGACCGCAAGTGCCATGTTGGAGCAACACGGTACTGATCCAGTGACACCTACACCCGCTCCAGCCATGTCTTTACCAGAAAGTGGGCCGTCCAGCCCCTTGGAAGAGAGGAATTTGACGCCTGTGTCTCCTGCACGTTCGTCGCGTTATGGCACCTACTTCCATCATCCGGAACGAAGACGCCAACCCATCCCCGGTGCATTCCCTACAACACGAAGTTGATATGGATAGGATGTCTGATACCAAGATGTAGTACATATACCATACATGGGTAGTTAGAGGAACCTTTCGACGTTTTTAATCTTAGTATACAATTCGTGATAGCTGGTGAGCTTTGCCTTGGATCACTCGATTATTCGACCCTCATAACCCGATCGTAGAAAGATACCTCTGATTTCCGGAATGCTGATCTCGAATGACGTTATGAGCTGTATGAAGGAGCTACTTAGTGCAAGGCGGACATCAAGCATCACGCAAACCAACTTCACAATGTTCAAGCCGAACTAACCCTTCAAATTCAGCATGCGAAGGAAGAAGTTACCTAACGCTTAGACACACTCAAAGCAAGATCTTGAAAGAGCAATTGCTGCTGCCAACCGCACTACCCTTTCGTCTAACATTCAATTTAAGTGGCAATCAACGGTGCTCATGCCGAAGGAACTACGTACCCTTCCTTTTGAAGCAATTCGCTGCCCGGATTAGCCAAATTCTGCCTGCTGATTAACCTCAGCACACGTGCTTAGCGAAGGAAGTAGGAGTTGCGTTGAACGCATTGGTATGACAAGGTCTTAGAGTAGCAAGCACTCTGAGTTCTACTGTACTATCAATTAAGCTGAGACCTACATACAGACCCTAGGCTCCATTAGTACCAGATCTCCACACGAAACATTTCCTTCCGTTACAAAGCCCGAGGTAATTCACACTTAGAAACTTTGCGGAGCTTGTATGTATCAATATTGCTTATTGCTAAAAGTTTATGTTTATGTTGACTATATACTTGTCTTCTACTACATCCTGGTGTAGCGGCGTAGCGCGAGATAGAGACAATAGGGCAATAGTGTGATGACTAGTGACTGGTCGTGAGCGGATTGATCATAGAGAATAGAGGCACAAATAGGAGATACAGAAAACATAAAGGTCAAGAAGTATAACGAAGGGAAGTACACTTGCGATGAAAGACAACGACTTCCTTCCGGCCGCGACCGCCGGCAGCACAGGGTGGTGGAACAACACAAGCAGACCGTAAGCGGGTCATCATATAGAATGAAATGGTGTAACAGGGAGACAGTGAAACGGTGAGACGATGGAGAACAAATTAATCCAGCGTGATCTTCATCTGCTCGAGTGGTATTGGCACGAAGTTGTCGAGGAAGATGGACCGGGAGTTGAGCTCTGGCTCGCAGTGTGGAGGAACAAGTTGATGCATCAGATCCGGGCGGACAGACAGTTCTGTGCGAGGCGACAGGTGAGTTTGAGATGATGGGGGTTTCGGTATTTACTTACCTTCGCGGGTGAAGTTGAATAATGGAGGGAACTCTTTGCCGTTGGGCATCCTCGCACCCTCTTGGCGCAGCTCATCGAAGAACGGGTGAACCATGGCCTCGACAGAGGTCAGCCGTGCGCCGGGTGTGTACTCTAAGACCTTAGACACAAGGTCGATCGCTTCGGGAGCTGTTCGCGGCCGGAACACCTGTCAACGCAAGCGACATATCAACAAAATGACATCATAATGCAAAGAGTTCGCATGGGCGCGTAAGGAAATTTAATCGTACCTTGGAGAAGGGGTGGGGTTTGATCTGGGGAAATTTGTGTTCCATGTAGTTGGGGTTCATGGTCTTGATTTGGTCGCGGGAGGGTGTGCCCAGGACCTTGATGATTTCTACTAACTGGTCGATGCCGCTCTCGCCAGGGAACAAGGGTTGGCCGAGCATCAGCTCTGCCATGACACACCCAGTTGACCAGATATCTAATCGGTATACGAGTAAGCACGGATGAGCGAGAAAAGCATGAAAGTGAAATAAACGTACCAATGTTTGTGGTGTAATTGGTAGCGCCGAATATAAGTTCCGGAGCGCGGTAGTATCTCGAACAGATGTAGCTGACATTGGGCTCTCCCGCTACGAGAATCTTGGCTGAGCCAAAATCGCAGAGCTTGAGGACGCCGGTAGCGGGGTTGAGCAAGAGATTTTGGGGCTTAATGTCTCTGTGGCAGATGCCGACGGAGTGAATGTAGGCGAGTGAGCGGAGGAGTTGGTACATGTAGAGTTTGATTTGGAGCATGGGCATGGGCTGTTTAAGCTTGGCGTAATGGCGGCTCGCACGGTAGACGGTCTCTGGGACGTATTCGAGCATAAGGTTCAGGTAGACTTCGTCTTTCTGGAAGAGAAGAGTGTGGTGGTATCAGGATGCGTCATACGAAGAAACCGGAACTCACCTTGTCGCCATTCGAGTAGAAGAATGCTCGTAGGTCAACAACGTTCGGATGGGAGACGAGTCTCATGATTTGGAGTTCGCGATTCTGGTTCATATTGAGCACCAGAGGCTACATGGGTAGGCTAGACGGTGACTGACCTTGAAACGTTTGTCCTGCAAAACCTTTTTGATTGCTATCTCGTCGCCATCGTTCGCCGAGCCGACGATCTTTGCAGAAAAGACGACACCGAAAGAGCCGTTTCCGACGACTTTACAGTTGCTGTATGATATCTCCCGTGTCTCGCCAGTCTTGCCATCGGAGGCAATAACTTTGACAACCTTGTGGGGATCGTCTATGGCTGCGCAGAGAACATTGCGTCCAGAAACGAAGAAATCGATGGCGTGTGATGCATGAGATGGCGAGGTTTGGGTGCAGGCCAGGACGCGGTGGATCATTGCCAAAGTAGCATTTGATTTGGGAGAATTCGGGGGAGTGTGAGCGTTGCGATCTGGATGTGAGAGGGGGAGCACGTACGAGAAATCTTTATACCGTTAATGGGCCCGTGAGTCGACATCAAGTCTTGCAATTATGGGGAAGAGAACAGGCCTGTCCGTCGCAGGCGCTGCGTTCCACCTCTTCCCACGCTTCTCCTGTCACAACCCGTCACGCGCATGTCCTCGAGCTCATCAAAGTGACTTTGAACCAGCAGCGCTACTACAATCATTACTGAACTCCTTGGCTGCTGCACGAAGAAAACACAATCCTTCTCCCGGGTTTCTATCCGACACGCCCAAGCACGGTCTCAGGGATACTGAAGCCGTGCCATCCCCGAACTTTGACCGAGTTCTCTCAGTGCCGATGCTGGTGTCTCTGCACCGGGATGGACGCGCACCAGTGATTTTGCAACGGATGGAGAAACCGGCCTGAACGCACACCAAAGGCGAACTCTGCACCAACAATGCCGACAATTGCCAAGTCTCACGATCCACGTTATCGCCCGGTCCGCTCACTAATCTCATCACATCAGCACCAAACCACCCAACTCCTCTTAAACTCCTTGTCTCTTCACTTCCATCTCCATCCCATCGTCGAATATCCTCGCACTCTGCAACAATGGCAACGTATGTTCAGTACTTTGCCAGTCTACGCCGTAGCGCTGATCATGTTCCGCGATAGTGGTGATATTGGTCTGATCGGCTTGGCCGTCATGGTATGTCCATCTGCCCGGGGTACCACTATTCCTCGCGCTGAAGCGCGGCGCCAAAGGGTCAAAATCTGATCCTCAACATGAACGACAAAGGCTTCACTGTCGTTGCCTACAACCGTACCACCTCAAAGGTTGACAACTTCCTCGCGAACGAGGCCAAAGGTACGCCGATCCCAAAGCCGTTGTTACACGATCACCGAATTTGCATAGGTACCAAGGTGCAAGGTGCTTGGTCTATCCAAGAGCTCTGCGCGAAGCTCAAGACGCCGCGGAAAATCATTCTCTTGGTCAAGGCGGGCCAGGCCGTCGATGACTTCATCGCCCAGCTAGAGCCTTACCTTGAGCCGGGTGACATCGTCATTGACGGCGGTAACTCGCACTACCCCGACTCTATCCGCCGTACCAAGGAACTCGAGTCCAAGGGCTTCCTCTTTGTCGGCTCTGGCGTCTCCGGTGGTGAAGAGGGCGCCCGCAATGGTCCATCGCTCATGCCCGGTGGTTCAACCGCTGCGTGGCCAGCCATCAAGGAAATCTTCCAGAAGACCGCAGCTCAGGCATACGGCGAGCCGTGTTGTGACTGGGTGGGCGAGACCGGCTCCGGGCACTACGTCAAAATGGTACACAACGGTATGCATTTCATTTCATGTCACACAGCCCATCTGCGCGTTGTAACTCACACTTACCTCGATCAGGCATTGAATATGGTGACATGCAACTGATCGCCGAAGCGTACGATATTCTGAAGCGCGGTCTTGGGCTCCATGAGGATGAGATCGCTGATATCTTCTTGAAGTGGAACAAGGGCGTCCTCGACTCGTTCCTCATCGACATCACCGCCAACATCCTCAAATTCAAAGACGACGATGGCGAACCCGTTGTCACCAAGATCCTCGATAAGGCCGGTCAGAAAGGTACCGGTAAATGGACCGCCATCGCCGCGCTGGATGCCGGTACTCCCGGTGAGTGTAATCTGTCCCGTTACTGGACGGTAAACCCATGTCTTGTTTTATTCAGTTACTCTCATCGGAGAGGCTGTTTTCGCCCGTTGTTTGTCGGCTATCAAGGAGGAGCGTGTACGCGCCAGTAAAGTTATCGCTGGCCCGCAGAAAGAGCCATTCCGCGGCGACAAGCAGCTGTTCATCGATGATCTCGAACAGGCCCTTTACGCTTCCAAGATCATATCCTATACCCAAGGATTCATGCTCATGAGAGAGACTGCAAAGGAGGTATGTCGTTCCTACTACCCCCTGTAATGATCAATGACCAATCACTCATCAACATCTCACTAGCTCGGTTGGAACTTGAACTACGCTGGCATCGCCAGTATGTGGCGAGGGGGTTGCATTATCAAGGTCCGCGACGTTGTGCATATTCTGCCCGCGATTATTGATACGTATTGAATTCAGAGCGTCTTCTTGAGCGACATCACCGCCGCATACCGAAAGGACCCGAAATTGGAATCCCTACTCTTCGACGACTTCTTCAACAAAGGTACTCATTAACCTCCTTTGTCCGTGATCCGTATACTGATGCGTGCGACGATTAGCCGTGCACACGGCGCAACCCGGATGGCGACGAGTAATTGCTCAGGCCGTCCTATGGGGCATTCCTACGCCTGCATTCAGCACTGCCCTCGCCTTCTTTGACGGATACAGGAGCGAAATCGTCCCCGCCAATCTTCTCCAGGGTCAGGTACGCGTGCTGTCGTACTCACAGTTGTGGATCCTCTCTAAACACCTTTTCAAAAGCGTGACTACTTCGGTGCCCATACGTTCCGTGTGCTCCCAGGAAAGGAGAACGACAAGTTCAAGACTGGACAAGATATTCGTAAGTGTTTTCTTCGGGATGTCGCTGCCGTTGACGACTTCGTGGCTCATGCTTGAGTGTGTAGATGTGAATTGGACTGGGCGTGGTGGAAATGTTTCTGCCTCAACGTACATCGCTTGATTGTGCCAGCGTGAATCATATAAATGGGGAAATGATGTCATATTCAAATTTTAGACAAGTTTCAGGCCCGTGACTTCGTCACGCATGGGACTCAGGCTTTCATGATAGATATTCATTTTTACCATAGGTTCACGGCCCGTTACGCGTCACAGCACATGTTCACCCAAGAAGAGGTTCACAAACCCGTGTAACACATTACACTGTAAGGTTGAGGTTCATGTTCACTGGGATTTTGGGGTTAGTGAGGGTGTTTATGGCCACTTTAGACTACTGTTATGATGTTCAATGAAAACTGAAGTTATATTAGACACTTTAGAGCCCTCAAATTTGCCTGAGATAATTTATTTGATTTTTTAGCCATTTTCCGGAAATATGTTACTAAGCCCCTAAGAGGTTCACTCGCCAGTGTTACCTGTTACAAACACCCACCGAGGTTCAGTTCACACATGACCGTTATGTGTTAAGTAATGCAGAAAACTCAAATCAGGGACTGTGGCTTTGGGATACATATATGAATCCCATTCATTGGATACATCTTAAAATCTTGTTGATGTCCCGTGTCTTTAGTGCATGACAATCCCTTCCACCCTCCACTATTCCCCTGTTCTAGTGCTCCCATTGAATTAGGGGTGGTGTTCACTTCATTTATCACACAATTTTCCTCAGATTTATAGTTAAGAATAACATAAAAGGACATGGAATAAAACTCTGCTCTGCTTAAATTGGATGTATTTTGAGCGGTAAGTGTGTCTCATAGAAAAAAGGGGTTGGGAGTCACTGGGGCAGAGTTTGTAGGTAAATACTATTTTTCATAATCCCTCATCTTTACTATACATCTAATCTGCTAACCACTCACTTTGCCTGGAAATATTACATGAAAGCTTCAGCTAACATACATATCTACCCTTCATGCCCCTAAATTGCTCTAAGGGATATCAGTCATTGTTATCAACAATGGTCAGAGTGTTCCCCAGTATTATTCCAAACCACTGTGACAGCTTTTGCTATGCAGCCCCTGGCAACTGACCATGGCCCGTTACAACTAAGCTACCCTAAGGGCTGATACATGCTATACAGTCCTGATGTTTACCTGTTCTATTTGCTCAGTAACACTTTCATGGAACTTGGAGATTTGGAGATTTGGGAACTCAGAAAAGAGTCCAACATACTTGCATCCTCTCAAAATTGCACAGCTTCATAATAGGGGATGTCAGAGTTGGTGTAACAGTCAAAACAAAATGGTCAAAACATTATGATTCCACCAATACAAAGGATTCAGCTCTGACACCCCAATAATGCAACCGTGTTATAGGCGCATCCAGGAGGCCCCTTAGGGGCTACTAACGGGTGTTCCGGCTACGGACTCAGGCTGCGCATACACACGGCTACATGGACATGTCACGGACTTTGGACTTGTAAATATTTGAGCATGCTGTACTTATTCCTACCGGACTCATTGCTGTTTCATGAACGCGCAGATGCCGCATGTTCCCCAGTATATATTTCCTGTACCGTACATGCAGTTACCTTTAGTTTGAATATTAGTTCCTTTCCGTACTCGCACCTCCGCCTCTACTGAGGTCTCTCCTTCGCATCCCTCGCCTCCACCCGTACCCTTGGTACCCGTGTAGGACCTCCTCTGGAAATACAGGGCATGCAAGAGTGTGGGAGGCGCAGCCAGTAGCTGAAGCCAAGGCCGTACGTCCTTGCTCCCTCATTTCCCCCCTGCGCCTCTATGTGGAACTGCACACCTGCAGTCCATGCATCCCGAGTCCCTCTGCAAGTGTGGCTCTTAACAAACCGAAACAAAAGAATAAGCACTAATTCCAGCTTAGGGGCAGGCTTGTTAGTCCATAGCATACCATACGGTATAATTCAAAAGTAAATAGATTTATGTAAGCTGTGGCTGAAAGCAATAACAATGTGACATCCACGGTGGTGTAGATTGGTGACTCAGTGAGTATGTATACAGGCCAGATATGATATACGGTGAAAACAAATGGAACAACAAAGACCTGCTTGCCACAGTGCATTCTTCAAAAGTTCATTCTCTGCAGTAACAGTTTCAGGTGGCAAACAGCTTGGGGAACTCAGCATATCTGGTGTAGTGTTTTGACCGTTTTGTTTCAACCATTACACTAACTCTGACATCCTCTAATCATGCAATTGTTACATTGTAAAACCTCCCAATTGTACTACCACAAAATCATAGTTAAGTTGTAAGTCACTCTGATAGGTTTACTGTACAGATGTGTAAATGGGTACTGAATATTCTCATCTAACTTCCAACTTCCTCCCCTCTCCTCCATACTCCCTTTCTCTTTCTTCCACAGCCTTCTGGTGTACCCTTACTAATCCTGGCCACTGTTCTGATCTTGATAACATATGTCTATCTAAAAGATTCATATTCAATAGATTAGTAGACTTTTCACCCTGATTTACATTGAGAGGCATTGGTTGTCATTGTTAATGCTTGTCAGAGCACTCCCCATGGTTATCTACAGCCACTGTGTCCCAGAACCCTCATTTAGTAAGCACCCCTACCAACACTCTGTATTCAATACAGTAAATCTGCCATGAAACTTGCATGCAGGCAAGGACATTTCTCAGGTATGCTAATCCCTTCTTATTAGTCATATCTCTTACTTGTAGTCCTGTTTAGCTTAGTTTGCTACTCCCATAGGTACAGATTTGGGGCTAAAAAATAGTAACCAAGATACCTCAAAGTTCAATCTCAGACATTAATTACAGCTGTAGATAAATGATCAAAGCTCCAATTGAATGCTAACTGCATATGTTAAACTTTAGGCTATTATAGTCTGATTAGAAGCTTGTAGAAGCGTCCTAATGCACTCTAATTGCCTTGGTAACAATCACTAATGATGTTGATGCAATCAATCAATAATATGTAATGATTTGCGCTCTATTGACTCTTTGTGTCTATTACTCTAGACATGTAAGGAAAATGACCATCCTAGGTTCCCACGGGTACTGTTCTGCGCGAGGCGTGAAGATTGGTGTCCACTAAATCGCGTCCGAATTTGATTAGCTCCGGAGCAGCTTGGGAACATGCCAGACATCATTCTAATGATGGCTCCATGTTTCATTTTCGCTCCTTTTGCTTCCCTGCTGAGACCGAGGCGTTCCGGTGCCTGTTCCGGCGGTCACAATAGAGGTCAACAGACCTACTAATGGGGCGCTGAACGTGGGAACGTTGCATTGACCGTGGGAGTCGTGCGCTTGTAATATATGTACAGATTGCTAAACAGTGCTTGCGCACTTTTAGCAATCCTGTCAACACCAGTCATCCCATGATGACCTGGGTCGTTCCCATGGGTGTTGGCAGTGTCTATGGGTGGTCCCCAATGCGTGGGAACCGGGCGCTTAGTATAGCGCAACTTTGTTATACATTTGTACAACAAGTGTGCACATCACTTCAACACAACCCCCTGATGCAACACTTGGTGGACCCACGTATTGGGGCACCCACAAACAACCCCCTGGCCCAATACGTCCTCCTATCCCACCAATCCCATCATCTCCCTCAACTTTTCCACTTGTGGTTTGGCCAGTGCTTTGGTGAGCAGGTCTGCCGGCATTTCCTCTGTTTGAAGATAGACTGGCTGGATGCGCTTGCAATCAACTTGATCGCGTAACCAAAAGAAGCTCAAGTCGAGTTGCTTCATTCTGCCATGGTGTTCGGGGTTCTTTGCCACTCTAATCGCTGACTGGTTGTCCATGTAGAGCGTGGATGGCGAAGTTGGCTTGTAACCAATTTCCGAGAGGAGGTTCTTCATCCAGCATATTTCTTTACCAGCAGCAACCCCAGCAACATACTCGGCTTCAGTGGTTGACAGAACAACCATCTGTTGCGCTTTACTGCTCCAGCAGACCGCTCCCAGCCCAATCTTAACCAAGTAACCACTTGTAGACCGCCCTGTCCCTTTATCACCGCCGTAGTCTGCATCACTGTATGTGACGAAGATTTCATCTCCTATGGCGGGATCAGGTCCATATACCAACTTCATATCCATCGTGCCCTTCACATAGCGTAGCAGGTGCTTTACAGCCTTCCAGTGGATCATGCCTGGGTTCGAGTTGAACCTAGCCAGTGCACTCGCAGCAAAGGCTATATCAGGCCGGGACATTGTAGCCAAGTACAATAAGGAGCCAACAGCACTCATGTAGGGGATATCCACCATCTCTTGTGCCTCTTCATATGTTTTGGGACAGTCATCTGTGGTCAACTTCATACCTGGAGCCATGGGAGTCCCCACTGGTTTGCAATCAGACATATTAAACTGTGCAAGCTTATTGACAATGTACTGACGCTGCGAGATGTAGAGTTTGTGGTTGTCCCAGTCTCGTGTTATTTCCATGCCCAGCAGATACGAAGTCTCCCCCAAGTCCCGCAACTTGAAATGCTTTTCCAGCTCAATCACAAACTTGTCAAGAGCCTCCTTTGATTTCGAAACAAGAGTGATATCATCCACCCACACTGGGACTATGATTCTGACAGTGCCATCATCATAGATGTAGAGCGAGGGGTCAGAGTAAATCTTCTTGAAGCCCATTGAATGTAGTGCTTCACCCAGCTTCTCACTCCACAACCGAGGTGACTGCTTCAACCCATACAGAGACTTGTTCAATTTACAGACTATCCTTCCTTGACCCTTGGTTACACCTTGCTTAAATCCCTCAGGCTGCTCCATATACACCTCAGCATCAATATCACTGTTTATGAATGCCTGTGAAATGTCAACTGAGCGCAAGTGCAGATCATCTCTAGCAGCTAGAGCGAGCACAGTCCTGATGGTAGCGTGTCTCGATGGCGAAGCAAAGGTCTCATTATAGTCAAATCCGGGCCGTTGACTAAATCCTTTAGCAACAATCCGGCCCTTGAACCGTTCAATGCTTCCGTCTGCATGATACTTGACCCGAAAGACCCATCTGACTCCAATTGCCACTTTTCCTTCTGGCAAAGGTTCCAGTGTCCAAGTCCCATTAGCAAGCAGCATGTTGTATTCAGCTAGTGCAGCCTCATGCCATTGTGCAGCGTGGGGCGACCTCATTGCCTGAGCATAAGTCTCTGGCTCTACTAACTTGCCAACAGGACCAGCCTCCAAAGCTTCTTCTTCAGACTGTGAATCATCATCATCTAAAGCAGGAGTTGGATCTCGCATTTCCCAGACGTCCGGAGTTGCCTCCCTGGCCTTTGGAGGTGCAGCAGGAACCTTCCACCATTCCCCTGGAGGTCTGATGTCGCGTTTTGGTCTTCTTACAGCCACTGGTCTATCATCGACTTCCGCTTCATCATCACTATCATCCACACGAGGTGCAGCTCTTCTGCGACGAGGACGAGGTGGGGGAGTCTCTTCTGGCTCTGGTGTCTCATTATCATCCTGTTGCGCTTCACCCTCCACCTGTTCTTCTTCTTTCACATTATCATCATCAACAGTGTCATCCTCACTGCTATTGTCCTCATCGTCATTATCAACTGCAGGCAAGTCGATGACCCTTTGCTGAGCATTGTCTTTGTCCTTGGATGTTGCCTCTGGTGCGCTCTGCTGACTGGTTTTCGGAGGAGCTGGTTCTGAGAGGTCGTGCTCATCAATGCCCTTCAGAAGTTGGCCACTGTAAGTGTAGCGCTCATCAAAATCTGCGCGTTCACAGATGATGACCTTCTTCGTCTTTGGATTGTAGAATTTCCAACCCTTGTACCCATCAGGATACCCAATGAATATGCACTTCTCCATATGCGAACCCAAATGCTCCCTCTTGTCCTTCTGGACATGCACATAAGCAACACATCCCCATACCCGCAAATGCCCAACATCAGGTTTTCGTCTATGCCACACCTCATATGGCGTAGCATGAGCTACTGAAGACGTAATGCATCGGTTCAAGACATGAACAAGTGCAGCCAAACACTCAGCCCAAAAGGCCTTTGACAATCCAGCCTCATCCAGCATTGCAGTGATCCGTTCACTAAGCAGTCTGTTTGCACGCTCAGCCACTCCATTCTGCTGTGGTCTGTTTCGCACTGAGAACTGCCTTTCTATACCATGCTCCTCCAAATACTTGTCAAACTCCTTGCTCATGAATTCACCACCCTGGTCGCATCTGAAGACTTTGATATGTTTGCCAGTCTGGTTCTCAGCCCATGCTTTGAACCGCTTAAATGCAGCAAAGACTTCGCTCTTCAGCTTCAGTGGAACCACCACCTTCAGCTTGGAGTAGTCATCAATGAATGTGACCCAATACTTCTGACCAGAGTGGGAATCAATGCCAACATAGTGAACATCAGAGTGTACCAATGCCAACAGCTCATCAGCTCTGTTGGATGACGAAGGAAATGGATTTGCATGCATCTTCCCAGTTAGACAGGGAATACAAACAGGATCTGGCTTTGCAGAAGAGTCCAGTGTCAATCCAACCACCATTTCATCCTTAATCATCTGCTTAATTCCGTCATGGTGTTGGTGGCCAAGCCGTCTATGCCATAGAGTCAGATCCAAAGGCAGAGTGGATGCAACATGAACAAATTCTTTTGTGTCTACTGTACTACCATCTAAATAGCCTATACCAGCATCATTGATTGTAGCACAGAACAAAAGAACATCATTACGAACAAACTCCATTTTCTCCTTTGTGATATGAACATTAAAGCCTTTATTGCGAGTCAAGTACAAAACAGCAAGCAGATTATTGCACAATGCAGGAACATAGAGTACTCTAGTGATCTCCACATCTCTAACTTGTCTACCATTAACTACAGGTCTGAAGAGCACATTTCCGACGCCCTCACTATATACAATGGTGTGATCCGCTAGCCTAATTGGCACTCTATATGTGGTATAATTGCGAATCCATTCTTTGTGAGGTGTCATATGAGAAGTGGCCCCTGTATCTGTATTCCAATGGGTATCATTAGAAAATGCAGCACAAGCTTCATTCATAGAACGAGCACTTGCCTGACCAGCAAACTCCGTCGCAGCATCTGCCTTTTCCACTGCCACTTTGGCATTGCTCCCCCCTGATCCACTTTCTTTGTTGCTAGCAATGACCTTCTTCAATGCTTCACAATCCTTCTTCCAATGACCCTTGCCCTTGCAGAATGAGCAGGTGTCTGCATCAACTGTGGGGTGACCTCTGCCCTTTCCATTGTATGCCCCGCCCTTCTTTCCATAACCCTTGTGACTGGCTCTATTCGCTTGCTCAGTCTGGCGCTGACGATTAAGCTCTTCGCTTCGGAATGCTTGGAGTATAGTATCCTTGTCCAGCTTTTCCATTAGCAACAAAGAAGCTGACAAGTGCTTGTATTCATCAGGCAAAGCCCGAATCAATGCCATGCACTGTAGCTCTTCGTCTAACTGCTCAATGGTAAAGCCTGTTGGACGCAGATTTTGGATATTAGCCATTGCCTTGCTAATCCTGACTCCCAAATCGATGAGACCTTCGTTGTCCTCCTTGTGGATTGAGAACAGGTCGTCATAAGCATTGAAGCGTGCGCCGGGCTTCTTGGATAGGTGTGCCTTCTCTATGGCAGCCCACATTCCCACTGGATCATCCTCTAGACCTCGGAAATGAATCCTTTGGTCCGCCTCAACCAACAGGTAAATCTCCCCAGCAGCCTTTTCAGCTTTTGCCTCCCATTTGGTCAGCTCAGCCTTGTCTGAAGGTTTAGATTCCCTTCCAGACACTAGTCTCCACAGCCCCAGTCGCATCAGATAGGCCTTGGCTTCACCACACCACTCCTGATAGTTGGAGTTGGTCAGTGGCTTCACCTTGACCCCATTATCTGAGCTTGAACTAGTAGACATAGTGTTTCAATACAATTTATAGTCTTGTGTGACTGACAATTAACAGCTTAGAGTCCTGTGATGACTATCAATAACAGCTTAGAGTCCTGTAGTGACTATCAATAACAATGTTATAGTCTTGTTGTGACTTTCAATAAGCTCCAATAGGCCAAAATGCGAGATCAGTACTCAATGAGTCACTAGATCAATCACAATAAACCCCCAGTATAACAATAGGCAGCAATTCAATAATGCAGGAACAATCAATCAGTGTTGTCAAGTTAGAGCTCAGGGCCCATAACCTGTTAAACTTTAGGCTATTATAGTCTGATTAGAAGCTTGTAGAAGCGTCCTAATGCACTCTAATTGCCTTGGTAACAATCACTAATGATGTTGATGCAATCAATCAATAATATGTAATGATTTGCGCTCTATTGACTCTTTGTGTCTATTACTCTAGACATGTAAGGAAAATGACCATCCTAGGTTCCCACGGGTACTGTTCTGCGCGAGGCGTGAAGATTGGTGTCCACTAAATCGCGTCCGAATTTGATTAGCTCCGGAGCAGCTTGGGAACATGCCAGACATCATTCTAATGATGGCTCCATGTTTCATTTTCGCTCCTTTTGCTTCCCTGCTGAGACCGAGGCGTTCCGGTGCCTGTTCCGGCGGTCACAATAGAGGTCAACAGACCTACTAATGGGGCGCTGAACGTGGGAACGTTGCATTGACCGTGGGAGTCGTGCGCTTGTAATATATGTACAGATTGCTAAACAGTGCTTGCGCACTTTTAGCAATACTGTCAACACCAGTCATCCCATGATGACCTGGGTCGTTCCCATGGGTGTTGGCAGTGTCTATGGGTGGTCCCCAATGCGTGGGAACCGGGCGCTTAGTATAGCGCAACTTTGTTATACATTTGTACAACAAGTGTGCACATCACTTCAACAGAAAAGAGGCAGTTGGCAAAGGTGCTTCTGGAAAGGCTTGGGAATATTGAACTCGTGTGAACAGCAGCTGGCATCAGTGAACAACTGACCAATAAGAAGCTTGACGATCAGCTGGAAATCTACCGGGTTATTATCAAGGACAGCACCGTCCTGGCAAAGACCAATGTCCAGACAAAGTCGAAGAAGTTGGATGCTCTTAGGGACGCACTTGCTCGCCTTGCTGTAAAGGGTGACCCCGAGGCTTTGAAAACAACTGCCCTTGCAGAAGGGCTTCGAGATTTGGCTGTAGAGGGTGAAGCTGAGACCATGCTTGTTGTAAAGGACTGGGAGGAGCAGGTGGAAGCTGAAGATGATGATTTATGAGCTGTATAGAGTACAATTGCAGTGTATATCGTGAGTATGCGATGCTGGAAGTAAACCGACAATGTGCCAAAACTGTTGCCAGCTTTTGGGCGTCTATCAGCTGAGTCAGCGTCACACAAAATCGTGAGTGTTGCTCATCCCCACAAGTACATTGTCAAGCGAGCTTGAAACTCTCGATAGAGCGGCTGGCAAAATGTGTCACCGAGATCACCGTATGTGTTCCCAGGAGCTTTGCCGAGCTCGCAGCAGGCTGTCAATGTTACTGTGACAGCTATGTAAACCATAAGTCGATCAGATTTAACTTTATATTAAATCATCACATGTGTGACCTAAAAGTGTGATGCTGACATCATCTGAGTGATCGGAACCCCATCATGAGTTACCAATTTCCCTTGCTCGTCCCGCTCAGCAAGCACCTAACAGTTTACCACATTTATACATGAAGCTCATATGAGCTTTATATGAAGTCATATGCTTTATATGAACTTTATATGGGCTTCATATAGAGAAAATGTAAATATATGTTTCATAGGAATGGCAGGAAAATCTTTACATTTATTCTACTTGCTTTACATTTCCTTTACATTTCCTCTACATTTCTTTTACATTATCTATATATAGTATGTGAGCTTTATATAAGATTTATGTAAATATTTATATGCAATGCACATGAAGTTCACATGAAGTAGATTTGATGGAGACATAATTATGAAAGATACATATGCTTCATATGAATTTACATGGATTTACATGAATTTATAAGGATTTACATGGATTTACATGAATTTATATGGATTTATATGGATTTTCTGCAATTTATTGGAGGTTTTCTGAGGCAATTTCCGCTTTGGGACGTCCAAAAATGAGTTAGCAAGGGTTATCTGATGATAAGTCATTTTTCAGCGAACGGGCGCTTAACGACGAATATTAATATTCTTTTTATTTTATTTTTCTTTTCTTCTCTTTATTTAGGCGCGCGCCTATTCGGCAATCGCCGCGACGCCACGCGCATGTGACAGTGGCGTGCCACGCTGGCACTGCTGCCTTCTTTCTTCTCAACCACCACCATCCCCTCACTTTTCACCCAACCCACACACACGGAATGCCCCCAAGAGCATCACGAAGCACCCAGAAGGTGTCCACGCGCGGCGCAGGGAACGAGGAGGAGGGCTAGGGAATGTAAGTCACCCTGCCCCTTCCTTTTGTCAAAACTGACAGCCCCCACCCCTTCCCACCACCCCCACTTCCCTCTCCTTCCATTTCCCAATGGCAACCATGCCCCCGCGCCCTCGTCATCGCTCCCACGCCCTTGTTTTTGCCCTCGTCGTCGCCCCTGCACTCCTGCGCCCTCATCTTCGCCCTTGTCGTCGCCTTTGCGCTTCCGCGCCCTTGTTTTCGCCCCTGCACCCTTGTTTTCTCCCCTGCGCCCTCATCTTCGCCCTCGTCGTCGCCCCTGCCCTCCCGCACCCTTGTTTTCGCCCCGCACCCTTGTCTTCGCCCCTGCCTTACTCCCATGTGACTAATCCAATCTGAGTCTATTTAGTGTACTACTCTGAGTAGCATTCAAATTGTTTAATAATCTACCAGAACTTCAAATCACCACTTCATACATGACTTATTGAACTATTTGATTGTGAATTAACACACAGAGTCATTCAGGACAAGTGTAATCTATCTGAATTCTTGATAGAGTTTTGTGAATTAATCTAGATAGAGTCTAAACTGACTCTGGATGAGTCGAGTGTTGCACATGCACCTCCACATGACCATGACCATCAGGACATGAGTCAGACATGCAGTCCGCAGTAAAACTTTATAGAAGTATCTTACTAATGATGTGAGTCATACTGACTAGGTATTGACTGTGCATCTATTTATATCTTAGGTAGATAGTAGTATATAAGGAGCCTGTATCTGTCCACAATCTACCAAGTGCTCTACCAGAGAACTTACCTAAGTGTGTGCATCAAGACTATCTAGCTACAAGTAGTACTAGTTTTATAACCAGTGAGTAGACACTAGTCTTTCACTCAGCGCACGCTTGTCCTCCCCATTAGGGTTGATGGACAGATGGTCGCTCAACATGGAGTCCAACCGTAGTCTGAGTGGACTCTCACTCAACTCAGATAGACTCTGCTCAGAGTGTAGTCAGAGTCCCAGAGTCCAGTCAGAGTCCAGTCAGACTCATACAGACTCTACTTAGACTCTACTCAGACTCTCAGAGTGTTGAAGTGATGTGCACACTTGTTGTACAAATGTACAATAAAGTTGCGCTGGGTAAGCGCCCAGTTCCCACGCATTGGGGACCACCCATAGACACTGCCAACACCCATGGGAACGACCCAGGTCATCATGGGATGACTGGTGTTGACAGTATTGCTAAAAGTGCGCAAGCACTGTTTAGCAATCTGTACATATATTACAAGCGCACGACTCCCACGGTCAATGCAACGTTCCCACGTTCAGCGCCCCATTAGTAGGTCTGTTGACCTCTATTGTGACCGCCGGAACAGGCACCGGAACGCCTCGGTCTCAGCAGGGAAGCAAAAGCAGCAAAAATGAAACATGGAGCCATCATTAGAATGATGTCTGGCATGTTCCCAAGCTGCTCCGGAGCTAATCAAATTCGGACGCGATTTAGTGGACGCCTATATTCACGCCTCGCGCAGAACAGTACCCGTGGGAACCTGGGATGGTCATTTTCCATACATGTCTAGAGTAATAGACACAAAGAGTCAATAGAGCGCAAATCATTACATATTATTGATTGATTGCATCAACACATCATTAGTGATTGTTACCAAGGCAATTAGAGTGCATTAGGACGCTTTTACAAGCTTCTGATCAAACTATAATAGCCTATAGTTTAACAGAAACCCCACTGGTGTTCGACAACACCCTGGACCGCGTTTGCTATTCAGCAACATGGGACGTTGACAGGCCGAGAGAAACGGTCAACATGGCAGACGTGACATGGACAATAGCCGCAACCCCGCACACTTGGCACCACCTGCATGTCAATACGAATGGCTTTGGCACAATGGCCGTGCCGTCATACGGTTGAAAGCTATGGGCGCTGTTCCGGCAAAAGGACGACCCAGGGGCGTCAAGGCCCATCGACTGGAGTAATACCATTCAGGGGATTAACAAGAATGTATTGGAATCGGAAGAGTATGAGGCATCATATGCAATTTTGGAACAGGGCACAGCGCTGTAAGTCACCACGTCTTTAACTTCTGATTTAAGGCTGATCATCACAAAAGCATGATGCCAGGAGGGATGCCCCATATGGTGGTGACCCTTGATGATTCTACTGTCTTCTCAGGGAGTCACTTCTACCATGGCCGGTGCATAAGGCGCCACATGTACAGTCTCATCATCACTGCAGCCTTGCCAATTACAACCAACGCAACACACGACGAGTGTGCAATCTCTATCATCCGCAATGTGATAGATATGCTTCGAAAGGCATGTCTCAAGCCGGAGGTAATCCCTGGTAAGTCCTTGTAAACAATCTTAGAGATCTCTTACTCATCCTTGACATCCCAAAAAGAAAAATTGTTGAAGCATCTGCCCGATGTTAGGACGACAGAGGGAATGAAGGACGTCCTCGTCCTCTGCATTGTAGGCAGGATTCTTCCAGTCCTGTTTTGCAGGATCACCTATAAGGAGGAGGAGCTTGACGCCATCTCCCTCAACACCGCCAAGTTGGTCCGATAGATCAACGCCTCCAAGAGGCACCGCTTCGCCACAACATATGGGTGTCCTCTCAACTTCTTTGAGGGTATATACAAAGTCTACCTTCATCAAGTGTTGGCGGTGTACATTGGTCTTTTGAAAACAAAAGACGAACCATATACGATGGAGGAAGAGAAGATTGCGTGTATACCAGAAAGCGAGGGTTATCTGAAGGTCTTGACAGGTCTCCAAGGTAGATGCACTCGCAAGAAGTCGCTCCCCAAGCCTTCAGGCAATCTTTCAAACCCAGCTTTGGATTTGGATGTAGATTACAATGGCGGATTTGCTTTTGTTTTGGAGGACCTGTAAAATACTTAGCTATACTTAAATTGGCATAAATTCACAAACCATTTGGACGTCACAACCCATTGAAAATATTTGACAGGTGAGTTCCTAAGACGACCGTCCAGGAGTGCACGCCGTGTAGGTTTTGCACCACCAAGACAAGGCCCCAGGATTGGTATTGAGTCACGCAGCCAGTCTAATTTTCTAACTGGTAATCCTGCCCTACAATGTAACATGGTCGTCTTGGACTGCCGTGCTTTGTTGCTGGTGTTGCGAACTTAGGTGGCGGGACGGAAGATGGCCGTTGCGGACCATCAATCACCACATAGACGAAAAATTACGGCAACTTCGCCTATGGGTCTGCAGAAGGGCCGCCGCGACACCCACTGTGAGAACCACATCCTTGAAATATTTGCAGCTTGTTCTGTATTTAGATCTAGTTTGTGCCACTCTGGAAAAATTTCATGGCTTTGGCTTCAGTCGTCCGTATTCATTGGATATCGAATAAAGCAACCTTTCGAGGGCGGCGTAGTCTGTTGGGTACACATATGCTAGGGGAAGCCACGCAAAGCAGCCATCCCAGACGTCCCTGTTTGGGTGTCGAGATCGAGAAGACAGACTCTGGCTGTCCTAAACTGTTTATTTGCATGACTAGGTGGCTAAAGTATTGAAGTCTACCTCGGCGTGATTTTTATGGGAGTCAGTCAATTGTGTACTACCGCAACATGGTAGTCCTGGACTGCCGCCTCTCGCACCACCAAGTGGACCAAACCCTTGGTACGAATATTTTGTGACAGGTTATCAATGCCATAATTTGCTTTAATGGGCGCGAGTGTGATAGAAATCCATTAATGTAGAGGTTTTCATTGCGTCCCATCGACGGCCATCTCGGCCAATGGGCGCTTATCCAATGGGTATTACCCATCGTGCACCAAGTTGGGACACGTGGTTTGTATCAGGGGCCTCCTCTTCCGAACACCTCGCGCTGATAGTGGGGGCAGCAAAGAAACATAATTTGAGCTAAAAATTGCAGATAAAATCTGGGCGTACTGCACCACGAAGACTGTTTCGGGGGAATTAACGAAACATGACCGTTGTGGAGTACCTTGGTCCGTTGATAGTGTATATCTCAATCAAGAGAACGAGTCTAGAAAATGGGGTGTGTGGAAGGGATTGTCCGTCTTTTAATTGCAGGGGGATTTACAAAATTGACGCCCTCACTATGTGAATTACGCTTGCAGCCGGTGATGCAGATGTTGTGGGGGAGCAACACAGCATGTCCGTCCTGGACATCTTTGTCTCCTTGAAGCTGTGAGTTGAGGCAGAATATTTCACCCTTCAATCATGCCTCAATCCAGACAGCGGATCAATCTTGCATTGGTAAAGAATTACAGTATGAACTTAGCCAATACAAGTACGGAGGTGAACGAAGAGCCCCTGCATCTCACTGACCCTCGGTCGCGGACTGCTCTTTGTGGCCTTATTACAGAATTCTTGACGCCGGTTGCGCTACAACGCACGCTTGTCTCCAGCTGAGTCAATCAAAAGCTAGGACCTGACAAATGCTCATCGTACTTTGTGGCTTACGCCAAACATCACGTCTTAATGAAACTCCGCTCACCTTAGAATACTTGAACAGCACGTAGCTTGGGCCCTGGGTTCCTTTCTTGTCTTCCCTTCCCTCAACACATCAGTGTAGGGTTGGCACCCTGTTCGAGCCCGGATACATGATTTTTCGTACGTATATTATCGTTTCATTTACTTCTTGTTTTGGTCTGTGACCAGCTGCGGCCGCATAGTTTCTTAGGTATTACTTATTCACTCATGCATGGATATTCCGCGTGCTTATTTACATATACTACAAGTATATATAGTGCTACATATCTACCTACAGAACAAGAAGTTAGTTTCCCCTTCCCTCCGTTGCGTTGCGAAAGTCGAGTCCAGCAGTCGCACGCGGCGCTGCTTGGTCGTGTTTCCGTCCTCCGTTCCGTTCGCCACGTGGTGTTCGGTTTCACTTTGTTCCTTCTCACTTCGCTTTTGGTGGGAACACCACCCATTCCCAGTCCTTGCATTCACACCAGCGAATACAACTTCGCACCTACATTAACAGGAGAAAAAAAATCAATGCAGGACCGCTGGGGAGCCCGTTAAAGGTGTCAAACTGTACTTCATCCAACAAAGACTTTTCAAAGAACAAAGCGTACATAGATACTTGTATTTAGTTGGAGGTGGCAACCGGATTGTGTTCATTCTCATTCCTTCTTACTTCGCTTTTGGTGGGAACACACCATTCCCTGTCCTCGCTCACACAAGTGCGAATTCACCTTCGCAGCTACTCATTAATAGGTGCTCGGTGCTTCACTACCAGACTCAGCTCGTCAATGACCAAGCCTGCAATGTGCGGCTGCCCATATCAGCGGCCTCCGGCGTCGACTTGGCACTATTGATTGCCTATCAATGAATATCGGATGCTCGCATGAGTATCCACATCAGCACTAGGACCCAGCATTGGTCACCATCTACATGTAGTCAAGTTTGGTCTCAGCTCACTGCTGGGGTAATGGCATGTCCACCCGGCCCCAGTAGTACAAGAGCGCTCAGTCGTCTCAAAACAAGAAGTAAATGAAATGATGATATATGTACAGTATACCGTGTATCAGACTTCGAACAGGGTGCAAACCCTACAAGTAATCCTGGCAGCATTTGGAGCCGTCTGCGGTCTGCGCTTTATGGTCTACGGCCCACCGGCTAGGAAGGACAGAGAGAGAACAAGGGAGGAAGGAGAATCATGCACGGATGCTGGAGGAGAACGAGGACCTAGTTCCCTGCAGAGCTCGCTCATCGCCAGGACACGGAGACTCTCTAGCTGGTCTTGATTGCTGTTATGAAGGATGTTCCAGGCTGACTCCATTTCTTCCTGAGGAATCATATTTCTGCGGTGCCGGTCGAAAGTAAGTCCATCTGTTAAACTATAGGCTATTATAGTCTGATCAGAAGCTTGTAGAAGCGTCCTAATACACTCTAATTGCCTTGGTAACAATCACTAATGATGTGTTGATGCAATCAATCAATAATATGTAATGATTTGCGCTCTATTGACTCTTTGTGTCTATTACTCTAGACATGTATGGAAAATGACCATCCCAGGTTCCCACGGGTACTGTTCTGCGCGAGGCGTGAATATAGGCGTCCACTAAATCGCGTCCGAATTTGATTAGCTCCGGAGCAGCTTGGGAACATGCCAGACATCATTCTAATGATGGCTCCATGTTTCATTTTTGCTGCTTTTGCTTCCCTGTGGAGACCGAGGCGTTCCGGTGCCTGTTCCGGCGGTCACAATAGAGGTCAACAGACCTACTAATGGGGCGCTGAACGTGGGAACGTTGCATTGACCGTGGGAGTCGTGCGCTTGTAAAGTATGTACAGATTGCTAAACAGTGCTTGCACACTTTTAGCAATACTGTCAACACCAGTCATCCCATGATGACCTGGGTCGTTCCCATGGGTGTTGGCAGTGTCTATGGGTGGTCCCCAATGCGTGGGAACTGGGCGCTTACCCAGCGCAACTTTATTGTACATTTGTACAACAAGTGTGCACATCACTTCAACATGTTGCTCACATGTAGAATACATTTGAACACACCAGAGAGATTTTTTGAACAAATCCAAGTCATATTCTCAATGGACTCATATTCGGATCACCAAAGCTTTTGAGGTCATATCAAAGTAATCTTATCCACCATAGTCAATACAATAGGGAAATATAATAATCATAAACTCTATTTACTCTGTAGTTACATAGTTATCTTATGCTTTATGCATACTCAATTTAATCACAATGTATTCCAGGGGGGCATTGGATTATATCAGCAGTGAGAGCCCACCTCTCACCCTTGGGTCTCTGAAATCAGGACACTGCAGGGCTAGAAGGGCACAGCATCATAGCTAAAGTCAAGTCCCATGCATGTGCTCTGCTCATCTGCACATTCCGCAATCCTGTCACACAAGTCAGGAGGCCCCTTGACATAGTTCTTAACACTACCATGCTGACTGTATGAGTACATACACTAAATAAAAGAGGGAATAATGTTAAGATAAGAATAGTGAATAACTAAGGATTGTAAGTGTATATTGAGTGTGACTAGCCAGCACTAATGTGGCTCTACTGGATCAGATATACTTCTGTTACACAACAGGTCTTCGGAGGCAGGATGATTTGACTTCTGTAAACAATCTTTTAAGCCAATTAAGTACAAACAGATTCCTATCATATGTACATACTCCCCTCTCCAATGACATTCGCTCTTCTTGCTGAGCGGCCGGGGTGCTTGGACTCTGCAGTGGCCTTCCACCTCACCAGCACCACAGTACCCGCCGTCGGATCCCCAGACGCGTGTACCAGCAAGTCGGTCGCACGCTGCATCTGCACCTGGGACCATTCCGGGGTGTTGAAGACCATCCCGATGTCGGAGGGGGATAGGGTTCGTGGAGGGGGAGGTGGGATGCGGGGGGAGGGGAGAAGGAGGAGGGTGGCTGGCGTCAGTGCTTGAGTAGCTAGGATCGCCATGAAGGCCGCAGATGTCGAGGTTATCAAGTTGGGTGTCTCGAACCGCTCAACCGACTAGTGAAGGCAAGATAAAACACAATGCGAAGCAAAGCAAAGACAAGGTAGACTCACCATCGGCGCGAACGATGAACGGAGAGACAGATATCGTATAGGCGCCAGATGAAAGGGTAGAGGGGAAGCGGTAATATACGCGTGATGAGGGTAAATGTCTAACAGCGCGGTCCTGTGTTGATGCCGTAAATAATCATTAATAAGATGACTGGGAAAAGACGCGTACGAAGAGGGTGTGAGGACCTCAACGACTTTGCTTGCATATGAGTGCATCATGCGCGATGGCAGGGCCGTCGTCGTCTCCGAGATCAACACGACGGCCGGTGTCCACCCCGGAGTGAACAACATCCCAACCTATACAGGTGTAGCGCGAAATCAGCCCCATTTATGTCCATTCGCATCTAAGCAGCACGGAAGTTTGAACACACCTGTACATTGTTCACAAATACCGCCCCGATCTGTTCCCCCAGCTGGGCGCCAGCAGCCCAAAAGCTCGCGAGCTGGCCTGACGCGACTATCATTGGCTTTGCTTTTAGGCCCACAACATCGGGGGGTACGACTTTGACGTCGACCGTCGCATCATCCCCTGGGGCCCGACCGTGATCGCGTTCTTGATCGCGCGTCGACGATAACGGGTTAAACTCGTCCTCCTCGTCTGATTCTACGGCGTACCGTGGGGGCACGGTGTCGCTCAGCGGATCGGTGTCCTATACACGACGGTCACTCCGCGATTCCAAAAGTGAAGGGTTCAGATAACTGACCATGGAGGTATCAGTTTAGAGACTTCGCAAACAGACGCAAACAGACGCCTCTTGATCTTAGAACGCCAACAACGCCGACACTAACGAATCAGAAGTCATGGTGCGTGCCCATCTGCCCGTCCAAGCTGCTCCACTGATCCCGATCTCCAACAGAGCGATAACGCAGAGTACAAGGAGGCATTCGCGCTCTTCGACAAGCGCGGCACTGGCGCCGTTCCCCGCGAAACCCTGGGCGACCTCCTCCGCGCAGTCGGCCAAAACCCGACCCAAGCAGAAGTGAGCGATCTCGTCAACTCGGCACCACGCGAAGGTGCGCTACGTTCCCAACCACTCTACCCACCCTCTGGCCTCCATCTCCTTCCTTTCATCACTTGTTTGTCTGACATGATCCCCATACACGCGCAGTCGACTACAAGACCTTCCTCACCATCCTGAACCGTCCAGATGGCTTCAAACCAGCCGGCACACCAGGTGAGTCTCTCTCTCTCTCTCTCCATCTACAGGACTCGCTCACCCCCGATCCGCAGAGGAGTTCATCCGCGGCTTCCAAGTATTCGACAAAGAAGGCAATGGCTTCATCGGCGTCGGCGAGCTGCGCTACGTGCTCACGCAACTCGGCGAGAAGATGTCAGACGAGGAGGTTGACGAGTTGCTCAAGGGTGTCCAGGTTGGCGCGTGAGTCCCCTTCCCCTCCCCTCGCCCCTTCTCCCCTTCGTATCTCACTAACACCCGTCTCCCTCTCCTCTCACACAGCGATGGCAACATCAACTACGAATCCTTCGTGCGCACCATTCTCAGCCAGTAGTCCCCGCCCCCCTTCTTCGATCTCTCGATCTCTCCTCGGTTGGTAGTCCCTAGTCCCTAGTCAGTAAACGCTTGCCCCTTCGTTACATATCCAATGTCCTCAATTGCAATGGTGTAATCATACAAACCACGTACCACGGCCTATCGCAACCTGTCGCGTCTCCTGAGGCCTGAGGCTGTGTGCCGGTACCTGCGACCTTCCCGCTTGCAGAACTGACACCCAAAGCACTAATCCCTCCCAGGTTTTATCAGTCGTCAACCCCTTCCCTTCCCTACCCACGGACCCCTTCTCCAACGCCTTCAATCTCTCCAGTGCCCCTTCCCCAGCCCTCTTCCTTTTTGCCCTCTGAAGATTTGGACCCTCGCCAGAAAGACACTTAAAACCCAGAAAAACATCTTACTATCCATAGTGCTGTCCCTCCCAACATCACTTCACAGGAGCCGTCTTTGTTATTCTCTCCTCCTTTCCCTTCCCTCCCGAATATAAAAATGAGCAATCGTACTAATATATTGACTCATGCGACGAAAATTCAACGATTCACCAATAAATACTCAGTCCTCAGTCCTCAGTCCTCAGTAAGAGTTCAAATTTACCGCGTCGCCGGGCTCACTAAGACCTGACTCCGCACTCCATCCTTGCTACAAAGTTCTCCGCATCGCATGGCACTGCGTTCGCTTGCCAATTTTTAAATATCAAATACTAACATACCAAAAACGCGGTACCCCCACACCCTACCCCCACTCCTCGCCTCTCTCCTCTCCTCGCCTCTCCCCTACTCATCGTCCGACTCCGTATTATACCCATCATCCCCATCCTCATCATCCGCCCGATCCCTATCCCTATTCCTCGAGCTCCTCCCGCTCCCACTCTTCGTCTTCGTCGTCGCCATCTCGACGACGACCTGCCCGCCGCCCCGCTGGGTCAAACACGCTACGTCCGCCAGCCGCCGCCCCGCGACCCACGGGATCTCCTCGCGCGGGTACGCGTTCACGATCTTGAAGCCCCACCACGCCGCTGCTCCTTCCCCTTCCCCTTCCTCATCAACACCATCCCCAGCCCGCGTCGCGAGGAAATCGTCCAACACCTCCTCGACGGTCCTCCCTCCCCCAACGTCAGCACCCACAGGGCTATCCAGCACCTCCTCCCCATTCCCATCTCCCGGCGGCAATCTCGCATCCACGGCAGCATACAGCGTCGTCAGCGTCGCCTCGGGCCCAAACACCTCGATCACGCGCTTCGAATCCGGCATCCTCATCGCCAACTTCACCCCTCCCTCCCCACCTCCCCCTTCTCCACTCCCTTTCCCTTTCCCTTTCTCCAAGCGCCCCGCAATCCACGCCCTCCACGCCCTCCTCTCCTCCTCCCTGCGCGCCCTCTCCCTCTCCGCCCTCTCCTCTCTCTCCCTCGCCTCTCTCTCCCTTTCCCTCTCCTCCTGCTCCCTCTCCTCCCTCTCCTTCCTCTCCCTCTCCGCCCCCGCCGCGCGCTCGCGGTCCCGCCTCTCCGCCTCCCGAAACGCGCGATCCTGCTCCGCCCTCAACACCCGATCCCGCTCGCGTTCGCGCTCCGCCCGCGCCCGCTCAAGGGCATGCTGCGTCCGCGCGGCCTGCACGCGCGCGAGGTACGGCAGGACGCGTGGCAGGACCTGCCGCTCCAGGTGTTCCAGCAGCGCCTGCGCGGACGTCGGCCCCGGCGTCGAACTCACACCCGAACCGTGTGCATGCGAGCTTGAATGCGAGGTGTTTGAGGTGGCGGTAGTGGTGCTTGAAGTGGAGGGAGTCGATGGCCCCTGATGTCTCGACAGCACCGTCATCACGCTCCCCGCCCCTCCCGCGCCGTTCCCCCTACTCCCCCTCGCAGATGAAGAGGTAATATGGCGCTTCGGCTGCAGCGCGACGAACGCGACGAACGGGTAGGTGGTCGCTTGCAGCTTCTCCGCGGCTACAAACACCCCCCAACGCGTATGTCAGCGTTTATTCATCAAATGAGCGGTAGGAGGATAGAAGGGTGAGGGAAAGTAGGAGGATGAAATGAAACGGTGGGGGAAGTCGAAGTAGAAGAACGGGATAAATGGCAGGAAGTAGGAGGAAGTAAAAGGACAGAATGTACACAACAAAAGGAAAGCACGTACCGGCCCAGCCCTCGCCCTCCCTGACATCCGCGCCCCACACGAGCACGCCGTTGTCGTGCAGCGTCTTCACGAGCACGGGGTCCGTGAGCGTCGACCTACATCACACCACCCCAACAAAAACAAAACCACATTAGCATAAACGTTCGCATAACCAATAATCCAGCACAAAACCCAACAACACACGCACCTCTTAAACTCGCGCGTATCATCGTGCTCCTCGCTCACCAGCACGACACAGCCCACCCTTGCCTCCCTCTCACACACGCGCAGCGCGTCCTCGTACGCGCCGACGAAGAAGTCCGGGAGGACCTTCCTCCCCCCTCCACCACCAACCCCGCCAACCCCACTGCTTACCCTTCCTACGTCGTCTACCCCGCCAATTCGTACACCAGCGCCAGTGCCGTCTCCCCCATCAGCACCATTCATCGAGTTGGAATTCGAGTTTACAGACCGAGCGGCGAGCGCCTCGGCGAAGAGCGCATTGAGCGCCGCGGCGTTGTTCGTGCGCGACGTGAGCGTCGAAGGGCCCGCTTCCACTGCCGTCGTGGTGCTTGCACCATTCGTGCCAACATTACCCCCACTCCCATACGCCGCTTGCTTCGTATACCGGCTGATCGAAATCGCGCCGGTCTCCTCCTCCAGCTCCCTCACCCACCTCTCCACCCCTCCTCCTCCCCCTCTTTCCCCTCCTCCCCTCGTACCCCTTGCTCCCATGCCCCTTGCTCCCCTCAACCCGAAATACGACGCATAGCCCGACGAGCCGGTATACAGGCTGAAGAGCGTGAACTGCGGGACGGGGACGCGCAGGACGCCGAACACGAAGCGCAGAATGCTTGCGAGGACGTGGAAGGGGAAGGCGAGGAGGGAGAGGAGCGGGCGCGGGAGGATGGCCCAGGTCTGTATGTCATTGGAATTAGCATTAGAATTGAAGGAAAGCAAAGTAAAGTAAAGTAAGGAATGAGTGATACATGAGGTGTGAGGTGTGGTTGAATACGACGTATGGAATGAACAGGGCGGGGAGAATGCGGAGCGGGTAGAAAGAAGAGAGTGAGAGCGAGACTCACGTTATTATGCGTATGCCGTTGTCGCTGATGATGCTCTGCGCGGCCGTCGCGGTCGTACGCATATCCCTGACCCTGCTCGGAGTCATCCAGTTCGAACGTCTCCATGTTGCGCCCGCTACTACTGTCGGCATCGCCCGCGCGGGAAGCAGACGTCGAAGACGGTGGGTAGGAGGTGGACGCGGATGTGGAGGGTGAGGTGGGGATAGGGCCGCCGCTGAATATCACGTCTGCGGCTCTCTGTAACAAGCACATCAGCTATCTCCCCCTCCAATATTTCATAGCATATAGCCAACGTGTGCCAATACACAGTGTACCAGCACGAATAGCTCACCTGCACATCCCATGCGACGCTGTGGAGGACACTAAGAGCCACGTCATCGTCGCCGCCGTTTGTGAGGTCTCTGATTTGTTGGAGGGCGCGCTGTTGTTCGTCTGACAGGCTGTCTATGCGCGGGTGCATGGTTGTGGGTGTCAAGCGGGTGGAAGGACGTGTGTATGTATGTGAGGAAGGAATGTGTTCCGGGCGTCAAACGCAAAGGTGAAGTTGTATGCAGATCCGGACTGGGGCGCTGAACAACGCACACCGGAGACTGAGACGGCGGGTGAGAGGCAGCCGAGTTGCGCGGGGGGTGTATGACGTGGGGAGTGTGTGCGGGGTGGCTGGTGTGGTGTTTGGGTACTACGTCATCTACTCGTCCTTCTTCGCGTCTGCGCCGCCGTCGCCCAGCAAGCGGTCGCTGACGCTGCAGCCGATCATCCCCGGGGTCACCACGCCGCTGTCGCATCTGCCCATCATCGTGCTGTGTGTGGTGGTGTGCCAGTGCATCCACGAGCTGGGCCACGCCATCGCCGCTGCCGTCGAGAACATCCCGCTCCTCAGCGCCGGCCTGTCGCTCTCCTCTGCGTTTGTCGCGCTGCCTCCCCTCGCGGCCCGCTGCTCTCTCCGCGGCCAACTGCGGATCATTGCAGCAGGCCCGTTCCACAACCTGCTCACCTTCCTCCTCCTCGCCGCCCTGCCCCGCCTCGCTGCCCTCCTCCCCTCCACAGACCTCTCCCACGTCGGGGCCCTCGTGCTCAGTGTCGACGCACACTCGGTCCTCCGTCCGTACCTGCCCACGGGCACCGTCATCACACACCTGGACGACTATCCCCTCTTCCACCCGTCCCATCCACACCCGTGGCACACCTACCTCCTCGCTCCCTCCCCTCCCACTGCCCTCTCGCCGTACGACAGCCCTCCAGACACACTCCCCCTCCACGGCTGGTGTCTCCCCTCTCCCCAATTCCTCAGTACGCCCCTCTCTTTCTGCCTCCCCATCCAACTAACTATTATCATTACAGACGCGCCGACGTCATGCTGCGACCGTTCCCCCAGCCCCCACTCCCCACCAGACCCCTCCTCCCACCTCGCCTGCTTCGATGCCCTGAACACCACTCCCTCCAGTCGATGCATCGACCCCATCCCCATCCTCACACAGCCCCCCCTTCCTCCCTACCCCAACCTCTCTCCCACGCCCAAAACCCCATACAAACGCTGCTCCTCTGCACGCGATTGCTCAGGTCCACAAGCTATTGAAGACCCATATACATGCGTCCTGCCCCGCCCCGCAGAGCACCTCCTCCGCATCACCATCCTCGCCTCCTCTCCTTCTAATACCTCCGCCCAATACCATGTTCAACGACAGAATACAATGCAGCTACAAACGCTACTATGGACAGGCCCCCGCCGCGAGATCTACGACCAAGGTACTCTTCTCCCCCCTCCCCCTACTACACAACCCCACTAACCCCCTGCCGTTCGTCCACAGTGCACACGACCCAGCGCCTCCCCTTCCCCTTCCCGCCCCCTCTCTTCCTTCGCTCCCCCAATGAAGGGAAGTGGGGGTGGGCACTACTATTGAGCGCATACGCCCGCCTCGCACCTGGGGCGCGCCTGCTGTATACGTACGTCCCATCTCCCACACCCTCCCTTCTCCCCTCCCATCTCCCAAACACGTCCGATCACGTCGTTAACACGTTCAAGTTTCCCATTCACATTCACATTCATATCTTCCCTTTTTTGTATATGGATACATTTACATCGGTATATCCACGTTGCTAACCCGCACTATATAACCAGGTACACCTCCCTCGCCTCCCTCTCGCTCTACACCCTCAACCTCCTCCCCCTCCCGCACCTCGACGGCGCGCACTTCCTCGCCGCCCTCCTCACACTCCTCCTCGCCCCCTCAACTAATTCAGCTAATCATCCTCCTGATTCCTCCTTCGTAAGAAACGGTGGTGGTGGACGGGGCGGTGGGGGTCATGGCGGTGGTTGGGGTGACGAGGACGAGGACGGGGACGGGGATGGGGAGACCCTATTACCGCTCTACCGCACCACCGGTGCTCACCCCAGTCACCCCGCTCAACCTACACACTCCTCCTCCTCCTACTCCCCCTCCTCAGACGAGGACGACGATCTCACGGACAATGACGATTTCTCCTCCCATTCCTCTCAAGACGATTCCTCCTCCTCCTCCTCCTCCTCCTCCCAGCACCAACACCCCTCCCAACACCAGAACGCGCGCGCAGGACGCGCGCCGTTCGCGTTCGCGTTCACGTTCGCGGTCCCGCGCGCTGCTCCTTCCTCCTCCCCCTCCTACCCCTCCTACCACAACCCCTCCTACCCCTCCTACCCCAACCCCTCCTCCCACACCCCAACCTCCCACACCACACACCCAGCGCACGCAGCTACCGAGAGGGACATCGAGTCGGGCCTCCCCCCACCCTCCTCCTCCTCTCCGTCTCCACGCCCATCTTCTTCATGTAGGAGTTGCAGCGCATTCCCCCGGATACGGCGAACACGACTCCTCCTGCGCGTCGTGTATCCCCTCAGGCGGTGTCTCCTCTCCCTCTCCTCCTCCCTCTCCTCCCTCCCATCCTTCCCATTCCTCTCATCGCTCTCCCACCGCACCCGCCTCCCACCCCCACCCGCACGAACACCCACACCCACACCCGCCGCAGGCCCCGCGGAGGGCTCCAGGCGTGCCAGGCGTCCTCGTCGCGCCAGGGATGCCAGAGATGCCAGGGACGCCAGGGACGCCAGCACAACGCGCACAACGCGAACCACGAGACCCACGCCGCCAAACCGCGTGCGCAGACGCGGTGAGCGCCTCGCCGCGCACGCCGCGCGCCTCACGCTCCTCCTCCTCGCGGCGTCCCTCCTCTGCAACCTCCTCAACGCGTACGCCGCTTACCGTTCGCGTACGCCCAATACCCCGCATACCGCGGATGCTTCTCAATTCTTAATTCATGATTCGTGATTCGTGATTCGTGATTCGTGATTCGTGATTCATGATTCGTAGTCCATCGTAGATAACATACCTCGCACATATACATCCTATGAATTCTAGAATTCTACGAATGGTATCAGCACTCCATCGTCCAAGCCAGTCGACGCCCGGCCTTTGAGCCGCAATCGTAATTTGTACACGTAACGAAACAGCAAACTACAGCGAAACACCAAACCACCAAACCACCAAACCACCGACCCACCAAATCAGGCTCCCTGCTCCCATTGAATGCTTGAATGCTGCTCCCAGCGAACGGTATGCTCCCAGTAAATGTTGAATGCTGAATGCTGAATGCTGAATCAGGCCGCCCGCCCCGCCCTCTCCTTGTATTGGTAGACCTGAGATTCGTAAAATCAAACTTGAGCTTGAGCTTCAGAGTGTATGTACCGGTTACCAGTACGCGTGCGTATGGGGGCGTGTGCTGAAGTAGAAGTGCAGTCGGTGTGCAATATGGCGAAGTGGTGCAGCGGTGAAGTGGTGAAGGGATGACAGGGGCGGCAGGGATGCCATGAAGATGAAGGGGACTCTGCGCGCGGGCGAGTCTGCACTGTGTTTGGCCGACGCGTTGCTGGACAGCGTACTAATAGATTATAGGACAGGCGGTGGGCGTATTGTATGCTCGGTGTCACTCGAGAAACGAAATGCCGAGCGCGGTGCGCATCCGGCGAGATGCGGTGCTTAGTGACTGGGCATACTTACTCTCGTAACCAGTGTATCCATGTATCCTTTGAAGACATGGCCTTCAGCCCAATAGTGACTACGCCTCGCCTGGTGCTGTCTCCTCCAAATGCTAAATGCACGAATCAGCCCCATTCCGGATTGCCACTCCTTCTGCTTTCCAGGCGAACGACGGGATTGGAGTCATCCTCTCAGAAGAACGGGGGTAGTCGCTATCCTTGATTACCACTGCGACTTGCGAGCAGTGCAAATCCTGGCCAGTCGTACGGTCGTAAACCCACTCCCCTGACGGTGACACAATCCGTGTAGTAACATGGCATAGAAGATATCAGCATCAAAGAGAACGATGCGAGAGAACAGGCGCAGTGATGATATACGAGACGTGGGACAATGTAGAAGAAGTTTGAGAACGTTGGATGAAGTGGCTAGGAACTAAAGACGTAGCGAAGCAAGGGCATGTATAGTCTGTATTAAACTTGAGAAAACCAACCCGTAGCGTCCGGTGTTCCGTCTAAATATGGTTGCATCTTTCGTAAGTAAGGCTGGTTGTGTTCTTGACAGCCAGCGAGGAATTGATTGTACGACATGTCGATCATTGCCCTTAGCTGACTTTTCAAGCGGGTGTCAATCTCAACAGCTTTGTAAGACTCCAGCCCGCGCAAGGTGATACGATAGCGGGGTGCCTCGAGTGATGCCTGCACAAAGCCTCCCGGCTGTGGAAAGTTGGGAGCAATGAATTCAGGACTATAACAATGGACGGCATCGATATAAGGACGGCCCTTTGGTCCGTTAAAGACGTGCAGGTGTGGACTATTTTGGTCCTGGGCTTCGACTCTCCCTGGGGAAGCACCGGATTTGTCCTGATCGAGGATGACAGATGTCTGTGAGGGTCCAATGGACCCTTCGCCAAAATGCATAGGTAAGGGCCCGGTCTGCTTGTCGAGATGTCAGTCCCTCGGGCCTGGGGTTGGCGGAGATTGAACTTGACAAAACCTAGCGCTGGAGTCTGCTCGGGGCGCTTGGGAATCGTCACAAATAAGTCACAGACATCGTGGTGGGAAAGCGGCAATAGATACAAAGTAAATACATGCAAACTTCTGCTTTCGGTATTTCTTGTATTTCTTGTCGGCAACCTGAAGTATCCCGGCTCAGTAGGTGATATACTAGTTCAAAGGAGTTTATGATGTGGCACGTTGGTTTAGCGGTTTGCGCGCTTGAGTCCTACTTTTTAGCACGGAAAGGTTGCAGGTTCGAGCCACAAATTGTCCTTTTTTCACTTCTTCGTCCTGCTATCTTACCACTAACATTCATTAATAAATAAGCACCACAAGCTATAGTACTGTTTATTGGAGGGAATAGATAATGCAGTTGATACAAGGTGCCACCAGGTATATTAACGCTGACATAATAATGTGACAGGAAGGTCCTAACCCACCCGCAAACCCCCTGGTACAGCAGACCAAACTGTCAGTTTGGAGTAGGTTTGGGCCAGGTTTGGTCCAACCGTGGGAGCCAAATTTGGCAGGTAGGGACTAACATCTCGACGAGCAGACCGGGCCCTAAGGCTCTGTCCATCAACACTTGCCCTGGATGTGTCTGAATGGCACAACCCTGGGCAAACAAAGCCCACAGATAGTCAACCTGGAGTGGCGCTGAGTCAGCCACTCTGGCGTAGTGCGAAAAGTGAAGGTATGCATCTTCAAAGGCTTTAGTGAAGGTCATAGAACTGTCCTCGCACGATAGACAAGAGGCATTGGCGGGAAGTGATTTGCAGAGTGCTTTGAACAAGTTGTGTCGCAGAAGACTTTGGTAGTAGTCCAGGACTTTGATCAGCTTCCCAAAACAGGTGGATCTGTGGCCTCTGAGGGGTATTTTTCGAGGATAACCCTATCCATGGCGTCAATGCTGAAGGTGCGGCTGATGAGCTCGCCAATGTGGCCACCATGGTTTTCATGCTTCGCAATGTGGCCAATTACATGATCCCAGAAGCAAAAATAAGGTTTTGAGTCAGTTCTTATGTGCATAAGTTCAGCGCAGGCAATGGATATGATGGGCTCACTTGGTGAACCTGAGAAGAAAATTTCTCTGAGCTTGTCAATGGAGTAAAGGACTCGCAGATGGGCCCTGATGGCCTCAAGCTCCACGGCCCCACCCACAGGGGTTACAGCAGCCGTGAGATAAAGCCTTGAGGAAAGGATGGTGAGGATGGCAGCTGCCACTGGTGACTTGCCCTCTATTTCAGGCCACCCCCAACAAAGGATCTTTGTCTTTATCATATCCATCAGATGAGGAAGATCAGGCCCATTGACATTGAAAAAGGTCTGCCACCTGCCAATTGTGTGTTAGTGCGGACAATCAGAACACTAAGAAGGAGCTTACAAAGGACATCCAAAAGTGGTTATGAAGTCAATCCTGTTACATTCTTCAAGGGAAACCTGGTTTCACTTCAGCAGTGCCTTTCTGCAATGGACATTCAGGGGAAGGAGACAAAAAGGTGGATGGAGGTCACTTTCTGCCTCCCATGCAGACGGGGCCACGTCTGAAGGAGGTGCCTGTGTGGAGACCGGAGAAAGTAGACAGCACAATGAAGCGGAAGTAGTCACAGCCGCAGAGATCCGCAGCGGCAGACCTCAACTGGGAGTACAAGGTGGGTTCTTTGCTTGCTATGTCACTAGTTCTGAAGAGTGAGTGGGCTTCATGAAGGCATAGAAACAATGGGAAGCCTTGTTGATATTTCTTGCTCATCTCTTCTTTTGGGGCATAGAATCCCAAGCAGGATACTGTGACTTGTCCTCCCCTGAGCCCTTCAGCGGCAGCAACCACGTCCTCCCAGAACTGATGGCACGTGCAATTATCAGTGAACACTGTCAAAAGGTGTTTGGTGGCACACTTTTCGTCTTCCAGCCCATGGTTATGCATGATTTTGAAGGTGGACCTGAATAGGGCAACTAAGAATGCCGCAAAGTAGTTCTTACAATCTTTGCCCTCACAAGGTTTGGGGGCACTTGTCAGGTAGCGATAGACCTGCCGATCTTGAGCAGGGACTGCATTCCCTTGGGATTCGTCGCCAGGGCGAATACAGGCCTGAAGGATCACCCTATCCTCCGAGACCTTCAGTACCGCCTTTGACTTTCCCATTCCAGACAATTGGACGATAGGAAGAAAATGGGAATAAGTGAAGTTCACTGTGTTGTCCATTGCCTGACAGAGCGCCACATGATCTTCACCAATGTATTCACTTGCAAAAGCCTTGATATACGAATCTTTTGGGATGGCGAAAGGAGTTTCAATGCCAACTTCAAATGATGGTGAACATTTGCCCAGAGATGAGGGAAGGGTCAAACTCACTGTTTGCATACCACTTTTCTATGTGATCTGGTATGTCGTCCAAACTGCAATCCAACATCACGATGTCCTTTAAGGATGCAATCTCCAAAATTTGCTCCTCCATGTAGACTCTTCTTGCGATGCACCTGACAAAGGTACACACATAGCCAAGTCTCTCCTTGCTGGGAACAGCGGAAATCACCAGGCTCGGAGGAAGGGATTGTGGAGATAAATGGTAAATTAGGTCCCTGAAGTCATTCTTTCGGAAGCAGGTTTCGGCCAATTCCCCTAGAGTCTCTACACTACCACATGTAGCAACACTGAGGGAGTAGAAGCAATCAAGTGGTATTTGGTGTTGAGTGAGCTGTTGGATTTGCGGTTACGTGTTTCAAGTGTTCTCCAAATTGCATCATGTGTTTAGGTAATCACAATGTACTTATATGTAGATACATTTGATTGTTCACACATAGATAAATAGGTAGTTTAAATTATGTAGTCCCTTGCGTGTTTGCGAGGGTCAACTGCTATTCCATACACCTGAGTAACCGTGAAGAAACAGTTATTTCTACACGAGCATCTGTCCATCAACCTTAACGGGGAGGATGAGTGTGTGCTAAGTGAAAGACTAGTGTCTACTCACTGGTTATAAAACTAGTACTACTAGTAGCTATGTAGTCTTGATGCACACACTTAGGTAAGTTCTCTGGTAGAGCACTTGGTAGATTGTAGATGGATACAGGCTCCTTATATACTACTATCTACCTAAGATATAAATAGATGTGCAGTCAATACCTAGTCAGTATGAGTCGGTATGAGTCAGTATGACTCACATCATTAGTAAGATACTTCTATGAAGTTCTACTGCAGACTGCGTGTCTGACTCATGTCCTGATGGTCATGGTCATGTGGAGGTGCATGCGCAACATTTGGATGATTTGTTCTACAATGGGGAAGCTGAGAGGTGCCCGGAATGAGGCAGCACATACAACTAACCATTGTGGATACTCTGATACGACTCGGCCTTTCTCTTCTTGCTGGAGAATGTAAGGGGACACTCCTATTTTCTCTCCTTTCCTTCATCTCATGGACTCTTACCTACATTCCCTTCATTCCCCTTCATTCCTTTTCGCTCCCTTTCCTTTCCACTTCCTTTCCACCCACTCTTTTTGCATCCGAGCTGCATCCGGTGACTCCGGAGTCTTCCCGCACTTCGGACACTTCAGACTTGCTCGGACTCGTTTCGGACACTTCAGACTCGCTCGGACTTGTCTATACTCTTTGGGGCTCGTCTGGGTTACCTCTATCCTTTTCCCCCACTTCATTACTCTTCGCCCTTACTTCCCCAAGTCGCTGGCACGACTCCTGTGCATTTACCCTCCACTTCATTATCACATGTTTCCTTGTACCTTGTGATATTCGCTCAGACTTGTGGCTGGTGTACTGTACAGTTATCCTGCATTCCTCTCACGCTACTACAGTATATACTTTGCTTCCTAGCATGGAGAATCCTTATCCTGTTCTCTTTGGATTCTCCCTCTGCTAGGTGAGCAGCTCTCTCATGTATTGTAGTTAGTCTTATTCATATCTTTGGATTCTCCCTCTGCTAGGCCTGCGCTGTCGGCCATCTTGAGGTTGCCCTTACAGAGAATGGGAAGAGGTACATGATGAGAAGAGAGAGAGAGGAATAAGTGCTCACATTGAATTCATTATCATCGGAAGCAATGCACGCCAGGTGAGACTTGCAACTGTAAGGTGTAGAAAGAAGGCTATCGCAGCCCACCTTTACACGCCATAATGGATCAAACTCGCTCGACCTTTAGCTTTAGCTTTTTCAATTACGTACAGAAACCTTACTTTGAGCTCTGCTCGTTTGTACAGCTGTTGAAACTGAACCGTATCCTCAGTGAGCGTAGGATGCAAACTATATATATTGATATGTACCTGAACCGTATCCTGATAATAACGGTCAGTTACAGTAGACAAGGATTGACAACGTAACTTTACCTCAGTGAGCGTAGGATGCAAACTGAGGAAAGTGAGGGTGCGACCCATCCTGGGAAGTAACCCCAGGATGACTAATACGGCGCTAACGGAGATAACCAACACTCCCCCTCGACGGGTGCACCGTACAAAGGGTAGGAAAAAAAAGGGTGATAGTAAATAAGAAGAGAGACAAAGAAGAAGAAGAAGAAAAAAAGAAGGTCGGAAAGAGTTGGAAAGAGAAACTGTAGGACACTCCCCCTCGCGGAGACTCCCCCTCAACACACACCAAGGCATTGTCTGAATTGCGTGAACGGTCCTTTGTCCAGAGGCTTCGTGAAGACGTCCGCCGTGTTTTCTTTTGTGTCGACGCGCACACAGTCTATCTCTCCGGCCTCGACTTGCTCTCGAACGAAATGATAACGGACTTTGATATGCTTCGATCGCGCATGGAATACGGGGTCCTTTGTGAGCGCAAGGGCACCATTATTATCACCGTAGATTTGTGTCGCTCCCTGACAAGGCACGCCAAGTTGCTCCAGAAGGTCACGTAGCCACATCGCCTCCCTACATCCTTCATTGATGGCCACATACTCCGCGTCCGTTGAACTATTAGTGACCAGTTTTTGTCGCCTCGAAGACCAGGAGATCGCGCCAGATCCAAGCGTGAAGCAGTATCCCATTGTTGACCGACTGGTCTCTGGGCAGTCGCCCCAAGAAGAATCGGAGAAACCCCGCAACCGCACGGGAGCCTTACCGCCAAGCACTAGCTCCTGTGTCCTTGTCGCGATCAGGTACTTCGTGCAGTGTAGTGCCGCCAGCCAGTGTTCCATTCGGTAACAGTCAAGAAAGCGCGCGAGCATTGACACCGCAAACGCGACATCTGGCCTAGTTCCCATCGCCACGTACATCATTGTCCCAACGACCTGGCGGTAAGGCAGTTTGCTGAGTGCCAAAGCCTCAGCAACCGTCAGGGTGTCGTCTGGTGAAGGTCGCTTGAGCTTCAGTTTGGAATCCATAGGTGTCGATACCGGATTGACATGGAGCGACACCCCAGCGACTGAGGCCAATTTTTCGATGAGAGCCACCTGAGAGAGCATGATTGTCCTCGCCACACGGTCCCTACGAATGTTGATGCCCAGACAAAACCCAACCTCACCCAGGTCCGAGATGGTCCACGCAGTACGCATGTCCCGTTTGAGATCCTCGTTCGCAGTTTTTCTGTTTGCAATGTTGACGAAGTCATCGACATGGACTCCAGCCCATACAAAGTCATCTCCCTTCCTTCGTACATAGACGCAGGCATCAGCCGGCAGTCGCGAGAATCCCCACGAGACCATTTTGCGATTCATCTCCTTATTCCAAACACGTCCTGCCTGCTTCATGCCGTAGAGTCCCCGCTGGAGGCGCCACACATACAAGTCGTTAGGGAAGGTTGCGTCATCGAGTCCTGGAATTTGCTCCATGTAGATCTCCTCGTTCTCAGCCAGCAAACCGTATAGGAAAGCCGTCTTGATATCGACTTGCTGAATATCGTAATCTTCAGCTGCGGCGACATGAAGCATTGTACGAAGGCTCTCCATTCTGACCGTCGGTGAGGTAGTATCTGAATAGTCCTTTCCAAAGACCTGTTCGAAGCCCTTCACGACGTACCGCGCCTTATGTCGTACGACTTCGCCCCGATCGTTTCGCTTTCGGTGGAGTACCAGCTTGCCACTGAGGACTCGCTTGCCTTGTGGAACCTCGGTTCTCAACACCGGCACATATACCTCCATATCTTTCAAGCTCCCCCCCTCTTCTGCAATAGCTTTCTTCCACTCCGGCCATTCATCGGATGCCATCGCTTGCTGAAGAGTAGGGTCGTTCTCGAAGACAGGTGGAGCATCAGCAACAGCGGCAAACGCAGTGCTCACCAACTCGATGTCGTTCGTCGACTCCGCATGTAGGCTGTTAAGAACACCGTCCCGATGTGAGGAGGCAATGTGTTGTGCCACGTCGCCAACGAACAGGGTGCTTGGATTGTCCAGCAGTGTATTGACTTCATCAATCATTGCTCTCTCTTTCTGTCGCGATTCCTCAGAGGCCTTGATCTCATCTACCGTACGTTGAAGATTCGTTACAAAAGGTACGCCGTTCGACATTGCTTGCCGTTCGGTGGGTCGTTTACGACGAGTCGAACAACGGACATGTTCCAGTGGCTCATGTTCCGGTGTCGGCGGCTCTTCAGGGTGGGGTGGTGAGCAGGTTGACGGCAAAGACTTGTCTGGTAATCCTTGAATGTCCTTCTCCTCAATGAACTTGACATGGAACGACTCCACAACTCGGCGTAGCTTTGGATCATAGCATCTATAAGCCTTGGCGTTAGGGGAGTATCCAATGAGAATGCACTCAATAGAGCGTGCATATATCTTCGGCACATGCTTGTCTTGGATCAGCACAAACGCACGACACCCAATTTCGCGAAGATGGGACAAGTTTGGCTTCTCTCCATGCCAAGCTTCATAGGGAGTCATCCCCACTGAGCGACTATATGTGCGGCACGAGAGATAGCCAGCAGTCAGGCAGAATTCATCCCAACGATTTGGTGGAACGTTACTCTGGATCCTCATGGCCCTCGCTTTGGACATGATAGTGCGATGGAGTCGCTCGACCATGCCAATATGGGCTGACGTATATGGCGCCGTGTATTGATGAACAGCGCCGATGCTTGCACAGAACGCCGCCATTGCCGCAGACTTGAGTTCGCCATTGTCCGTCCGGAAGACACCTGTATTGTACCCAACCTCACGCGAGACCTGTAAGTGCCAGTTTTGGAGTTTGGGTAGCGCTTCCGATTTATTTCTAAGAGGTATTGTCCATGACATGTGGGAGAAATCATCTATGATGTTCATGAGGTAGAGGTTTCCGACGGCCGACACAACGTCTTCCGGGCCAGTGAGGTCCACATATACAATGTCCATCCTCCTCACCGCCTTCTTATGCGTGCGTTCATGGGGTACCGAGTTACATTCCTGTTTGGCAAGAATGCAGTTATCGCATGAGGACGGCCTGTTGGAGAAGGAGGTGGGTATACCTTCAGCCATGCCGTTCGCTGCCATCTTCTGGATTGCATCGTGGTTCGCATGACCAAGCCGTTTGTGCCAAGTCTCGATATCGGCCGCGGCGGAGTAAAGGATTGCGTGTTCCGATGCCGTCTTCGTGCAATGGAGTTTGTATAGGTTTCGCGATGTGAGGGATCCAGATGCTATAAGCGCACCACTGTTGTTTTCTATGGCGACTGAGAAGTCAGCTTTGAATGTGATTTGGCATTGCAAGGAACGAGTAAGGCCTGAAATGGATAAGAGGCGGACAGAAGATGTCGGGATGAATAGGACGTCGTCCAAGATGAGAGAGCGACCTCGCCCGACGTAGAGCTTGATCTTTCCTATGCCCACAGCAAATATGGACGAGCCGCCAACACCCTGAACACTACGAGGTGCAATGGGATACAGCTCAAAGAAATCACTCCGCTCCGGGGAGATGTGGGTAGATGCGCCACTATCAAGCCACCACGGCGTTCGGTGAAGATCCATTTCCTGATGGCGAGTGGTGTGTTCAACTATGGCTGCAGTCATAGCATCTGCCGAAACCTGGCGCGACTGTAATGCCCAGTCGAGCGAAGTAGTTAGAGGTCCAGCTATTGCGATCCAGGCGTGATGGGGGGTAGGAGGTGGTATCGTGTATGCTTCATCCGGCTCGATTGCACATCCGGCGAAGTTGCTGTACATGTTTGCATTGAGGTTCTGAGCAGGTGCTGGTATTGGGCCAAGGGGCGCGGGCTGTGGTGTAGGTGAGCTGACAAGGAAGGCCTGCGATCCATGCACGACCCAGGTATGTCCTTGACTGACGCATACATTCGCTGCATTCGGCGTTGGCGTAGACGACGTCGGCACAGGAGCAGAAGCCAGATTTGCTTGCGGGGGATCTACTTTCCTCTTTTTCTTCCCCATAGCGGCTTGCGCCTCGGCAATAGTCTTTCCTGCCATGCCACCACCTGTGGAAATACACGATTCCAGGACATGCCCCCGCTTTCCGCAGTTGGTGCAAGTAGCAATCTTCCGCTTAGAGCTACCGTTCGTGTTCGTTGTAGTGACAAGTGCAGTCGCGGAATTGCTTTTTGCGAGTTGCATCGTGAGGCGTATACGCTCCGTGACTTGCTCTGCCGTAAAGCGATCACCATCTTTCTCAGCCGAAATGGCGTTACAGATGTAGTCACGCAAGACTGGTTGCGAACGTGTGAGGGAAAGCGCGCCGACCATGAGGTGTGCCAGTGGGTCAATTTCGCCCATGGCATGGATCTGCTTGTGAAGGCGCTGCATCTCGATCCAGGAACCCAAGAGGTCTCCGTTCGGGTCTGTGTCCATGCGCATAGCCAGGAATTCGTCCTCGAGCAAGACACGGTGCATAGTTCCTCGCTTTATGTGGCGCTTTTTCAAGAACGCCCAGACTTCGCCTGCCGTCATCAGATCCTCGATGAGTTCTTGCTCTACCTCACTACACCTGAACTTCATGCAGGAAGCAATGGAGTAGCTATTCCGTTGAAGGTTGCGCACCGCGCACGGTTGCAGGAGCGGATCCAGCGTCTCCATCGTGTTCTCGAGATATTCTTCAACATGAGGGACAGACATCCCGAGCTCCATTTTCATGCGACGCTGCCATGCCATGTAGTTGCCTTTTGACAGGTCGAGGTAGTCGTCCTCATTCCAGTTACAGACTTTAATCGTGAGTGCAGCTATGACAGGATGACGAAGGTCGAGAGCGAGTGCTTCTTCGTGCTCCCCATCCTCTTGTTCCTCTCCTGTTGCTCTCGTTTTCGCTTTCGCGCGCGTAGTCCGCGACGGACCCGCGTCCCCATTGGGTGCAGCACTACCGGGCATGCTCGCGTGTAGTGTTTAATAAGATATATGCGTGTCTTTCGAAGTGAGTGTCAAGTAAGCTTTGAAATAGCAGGGTTTCTCTATGCGTTTTCTCGGACGTGTCGCAAGGCGAGGACGTGAGATAGCGAGATTAGGCGTTTCGCGAGGGAAGCAAGGTTTCCTGAGTGAGTAAGCGATTCCACGTTCGAGCGATAAGATGTTCAGGCAGGGCCCATAACCTGTTGAAACTGAACCGTATCCTCAGTGAGCGTAGGATGCAAACTATATATATTGATATGTACCTGAACCGTATCCTGATAATAACGGTCAGTTACAGTAGACAAGGATTGACAACGTAACTTTACCTCAGTGAGCGTAGGATGCAAACTGAGGAAAGTGAGGGTGCGACCCATCCTGGGAAGTAACCCCAGGATGACTAATACGGCGCTAACGGAGATAACCAACAACAGCTCTGCTCGGAACACCAAAACTTGAAGCTCCAGGCTCCAGAGCAGGATATTCAGACAACCACCCCGCCAATTTTATGTTATACAGAGCTTCAGCAAGGCCACCTATTAGTTAGTATCTTGTCATCGGTTTCCGCTGAACCTCTGTGCATGTGACCTCCGACGTTCAACAACGTTCTCCGTTAATCCACCTTATCATCCGTCTCCCCGCCCCAATGCCACCCCGCGCGAAGAAGCGCGACTACACGGCCCTCGATGCGCTCGGCATCGCGACCGGGGAGTACGTCTACCTCGTCACCAAGCACACCGAGCGCGCGCGCCACCTCCCCAACCTCACCCAGATCCACGAACAAGGCTCGCAACAATGGCTGCGCATCGCGCCCGCCATGCCCGCGCCCGGCGACCCAGCCTACGCCGCAAAGCGAGACGCCTTCTTCGCCGCCTGCGACCGCTACTGCAAGTGCGCCACGCCCGAGGACCCAGTACAGTCCGTCTCCAAGTTTCCACCCAGGCGCGATGTACTCCTATTACTGACAATGCCATCCCAGGTCCGTCGTAGCCGTGCAGGCAGCCGGCTTCGCCATGCAGACGTCCATGGCCGAGATCGAGGCCTTGCCAGACGCTGACCAAAGCTACGTCTACAAGAAAGCCAAAGACTACTCGTGAGTGCCGTCTATGATCCCCGAATGGTCCTCACTCCAATCAACGTCCCTCGCACCGACTGCCTGCATCCTCTGATGACCAACAGTTCCGAGAAATGCCGGCAGCGGGAGGCAGAGCTCGGGATCCCCAACCGCCCCATCCCTCCCCCCACCATCGCCACGTCCAACGCGTCCTTCCCCATGATCCCCTACCCGCCCGGCACCGTCGTCCAGTACCGCACCGCGGCGGGTGACACAGCGTACTGCACGATCGTCGACTACGGCACGAGCCGCGTGCGCGGCGACTACTTCGTCATCAGACACCGGGACGGCGGCGCAGAGGAGCACCTCACGAAGAAGCAGATGTTCGATCTCCTAGATCGCTCGATGGATATCTGTGAGCCCGAGAAGTAGCGAGAGCGTGAAGGGGCCTGTGGGTTCTTTATTCGCGCAACATTTCTCTATATTATATATTTTCTCTCTGAGTAATTCCAGAGCCCCCTGCGAGGACCGCGGCGACGGGTTCACCATCCAGCGCAAGGGTAGTCCTGAGTAGCAGCTGACGAGGCAGGAGACGCTCGCTATTCCGGATTTCGCCATAGTTGTGCGCGAGCCCGATGCGTCGATGACGACCAAGTATCCAGCATTTCGCGATGTTGTTTCTTCTACATTAGTCCTTGATGGCCAGTCTCCATTTTGCTAGGCAGAAAAGGCTGACATGTCAACCATAATAATATCAATGCACTATTATATGAACCCTCTACACGAGTCAATGTAAATGAAGCGATCGTCTACCGTCTACTGTGCCTTCTTCTCGGACAATGTCTTCTTTTCAGAGGCAGCCTTCGCCGCCTCCTGCTCAATCCGCCTCTGTTCCCTTCTCTCCCGCCCACGCGTAATCATCGGCTTCGGCTCAAGCTCCGCGAACAAATACTTGCAGATGATCTCCAACAACCAGCACCCCACAAAGTCGATCACCATCGTGGCGGTCAGCTTGAATTTGAACTACGCGTAACATGCGTGATGGGTCAATGCTGAGGACCCCATGCCTTCTTCGGAATACGACTTACCGAAGTATCCATTTCGACAATCTGGAGCCAGCGATTCAGCTCAGGCATGAAGTCTGTTGCGCCAGAGAAGGCCACAGCACTTGCTCCAACCAAGCCCCAATACAACGAGCGATTCTCTCGAATACCCTCACGGAAAGGCCGTCCCTGCATGAAGAATTCAATGGGCTGCGGGAGCGAAAGAGAAGGGAGCCAACCTGGAAGTTGATGGTAAAGGTCGACACTTGCTGAGAGAGCCCAAGCAGATATATGGCCGTGTTCAAGAGACTGGGTTCGAACTTCGCTTCAAGATCTATGATTCCAGGCCTACGAGACTTCCATTAGCGCACTGAACCATCCGAATGAAGTATCAACGCACGGCTCAATGGTATGCGAAAGATTAGTGATGTATACCAAAGACGCGATGTGCAGGGCGAATTGTAGTAAGACGGAGAGCAGAACATAGAGGTTGAAGATGTTTCCGAGAGGTCTCTCTCTCGACAGCTTCTCCACGGGCTAGAAGGAATTCAGTTGAGAATGACTCACCACAAAAGAACACCAAGGATGCAAACCCACCTTCGCGCGAGAGATACACAAGAAGCAAACCGACATCAACATGCCTGTGATTGTAACCTGGTAGTCGCCGAACTTGATGCCGTCCAAATATTGGACGCTCAAGCTGTACGCCGTGATAAGACAATTCAGTGCCAGGATCTTGTACATCTGGATCGTCGCAACCAGCGTGCATCGCCCTTGCCGTATGATATGGGTGACTAGACAAACAAAGTTCAGCTAGAGTACGGCCTGATGAGAAGAGGACTGACTGGCTGAGACGTGAGACAACTTGGAAGTAAATGGCGCTGCACATGACGCGTCTCCGAGTTTGATCTTCGGGACTTCATCTTCTCCCTCCATATCGGCCAGCTTGTCGGTAATGGATGCCATATCAAACTAGAATAATGGGCGAATGAGCAATCGTGCATCACGAGCAAAATGAACAGCACACCTTCTCCATTGGGTTCTTCTGTCGAGCAGTCTGAAGATCCGCTGCTGCCTGCTGTTGTGCCGCGACTGCGGTAGGATATAGGTGGGCAATGGCTGGGGGCACAGGAGGAGGAGGCTGCCCGAACCGAGCTGAGATCTTCAGCTGACTCTCATACACCTTCTTGATCCTCTCATGCTTTTGATGTTCAGCAATCTTTTGCAGGTCTTCTGGTGTTCCATCGAGTAGAGCAACACCAATGTGCGCTTGTTTCAACGCCCCGACGTCATTGGTACCATCTCCAGCCATCAGGGTAGTGTAGCCAAGCGTTTTCAACGTCGTCAAAATCGTTTCCTTTTGCGAGGGAGATACCCGTGCGTAGACCCATGTGTTCTGAACCAAATCATTCCAGCTCGGGCGGTCCACGAACGCCGCCATCGCCGCACCAGTGATGCAGATATCATAATCCTCAAATAGGGAGGTATCCAAGGGCTCAGCAGGGTTAACAGGGATGATCTTGGCCTCGTCGACAGTCTTCCATACGAAGTCTACAAAGAGTCCTTGAATATTCATAATGTGGAAATGAAAGAAAGTGTTTACCGCTGCTGTGCGCCGCGTTCTCCTTCAAGTCCAAGATCAGGGTGTCCCTGTCAACGATTTCCACATCCCGAGCGACGTGCACGGCAGTCAACGGATTGTCCCCAGTAATCATGATACACTATACCGAATAGTCAGCATAAGATTCAAACAGCAAGCAACCCTTTCAAACCCTATGAGATGAATCTGCGAGCATTTTAAGTGACTCTACGGCATCAGCTTTGAGCGGGCAGTGGAACACCAGGAAACCAGCGAATTGCAACGAGCTTTCTACAGCCTCCCGAGACAGTTTGTTGATCTAAGCCGCCACCTCAGTTGATCTGAAAGCGATGTTATTTGGAGGCACAACTTACCTTATCGACAGACATGGGGTCCATCTCTTTGAACCCCAGAGCCAACACGCGACTTCCTTGTCTCGTAAACGTCTTATATGTGTCGTCATAGTGAGCGGGGACAGTGGCTAGCATTCCCTTAATCGTTTCCGGTGCGCCCTTCACAGCTGCAATCGTCTTCCCGCCCTGGAGCGTAGAGACGGACGACATGCGCTTCAGCGCGGAAGAAAATTGGAATCGGCGTCGAATGGAAATTTGCGTGCGATGTGGCGCATGGGCATTGGCAGGTACAAGGATATCACCTATTCCATGTTAGTGAAGAGGTCTCATTCCAGCGAGGTGAAGAACGTTACCTTTCTCCAGTTTCCAGTCTAGAACTTCGACTGTGGTTTTCTCCATAGGATCTCCAACGATTGTTCCGTCCTCCAATCTCACCAAAGCGTGAGCCGCAGCCAGGCATAAAGTGGTTTCGCGAGACGTGTCCTTCACATTAACCAACTTGTGCGGATCTTTGGGGCTGAGAAGGAGGCCATCAGCCACCGAGTCTTCTTCGTAGAGGAATACTCACTCGACACCGATAATACCTTCTAGAACAAGGTTCTCAGCAGTGATTGTACCTGTCTTGTCAAAACAGCAAACATTGACGCGCCCGGCTGATGGGATGCGGAAAGGCTCCGTACAGAAAATTGCTGAGATATGTTAGCATGCATTGGCATTGGCACCCTCGTATGGGATGGAGGACATACCAAATTTAGACAGTGCGACCAGGGAAGCGTTGACAGCGAGGGACAATTCCATGGGCAATTCAGGAGGGACAACACTCGTGATGATGAGAATGCAATCCAACAACAGCTTCGACTTCTTCAAACCACGTTCTATACCCTTGGTCCAAACATACCAACTCGCTGCGATAGCGAAGATAAGAAGGAAACCGATGAACATGAACGACTCGAAGTTATTGGCGGAAACTCGCTCGGTGGAGAAAATCATGGTCCTGACTAATTGACCTTGAGCAGTCCCGAAGCCAGTGCGCAAAACAACCCCGAGACACCCTCCATCCGGCGTCTTCAAAGTCGCCATGCCTAGAGCTCTGTGTTAGTATCCTGTCGAACGTCGGAATGCAGACATAGCCAACCTGATGAGCCTGTTTGCAGTACCTTCGTCCCGGAGAAGAGTGTGTAATTTTTGTGGGCGCCATCGACGTCAAGACGGTCAGAACCCTCCAGCAGCTGGATGGACTCCTTCAACAGAGGTGTCGATTCGCCAGACAGCATAGCCTCGTTGACGATACATGTGCCGTCAATGAGTAGAATATCCGCTGGTATGACCGTCTCGGTTTGTAGGCGAGCTTAGATATGGGCTAGTCAGCATGCGGAGAAAATATATGGGAGAAGAAACTAACTAAGAGAGACTACATCTCCAGGGACGAGCGCGTCAGTTTGAATCTCTGTCCACTTCGAGTCGCGGAAGCACTGAATCGGGTATGGTGCAACAGACATAGTGCGAAACTCCGTCAGGGTTCGGACGCGCTATAGGACATTGTTAGAGGCCATACGGAACAGTGCGCAAGCCGCTGAGAAAAGAACTCACTTGCCACACGACAGTACACTCGAATACAATCAACATAAATAGCGTGAACAAACTATAGTACCAATATTCGTCCATACACCAAAGAGCGACACAGAATATTTGGAAAACGAAGAAGGGGGCTGTCGCATGTTCGCCAAATAGTTCGGTGAAGGATGGTATGGGGATATCGAATTCATTGCCGCCGTAGAGATCATGAAGCTCCCGAACCTTCTCAAGGTTAAGACCTTTCGTGTTTGTGAACGAGGATAGCTCGGGGTTGCTGGAAGAGAGGTAAGGGAGTTTGTGAAAGACCAGGGGAGATACCGAAGCGACGGAGTAGGTATCACGTTGATAGTTGAACGTATACGTAGCAGGATCTTGTGGATTCTTCTTGACGAGCGGGACAATGTCGCCTTGGCCGCGGTGAGTGACTGGGATAATACGAATGCAGTCCGCCTCTTCTATTGAGTGCGCCTACAGTTCGATTAGCACACTCCACATTCGCAGTACACGGCTACGCACCTTCTTCGTCGTAATCCATGCGCGGGCCCCAGAATTCCATTTGGTCATTAGAAAGCTGAGAGCATGGCCGACACCAAGCGACACACATGCTACAAATGTCCATTCTTCGCTAACGAGCCAGTCATCATACTTGACGAAGTACGCGTATGCGAGAAGTGGATATAGGGAAAGAAATGGTGCGCCATAGAGGTGGGTGTACCAAGGTATGGCAATATGAAGGCTTGCTCCTTGGATTTCATTAGATTCTACCTTGACGGAAGCCCTACGGACGCGAGTCTAGTATCATGGACCACTCGGAGGATGCTGCTTACATTGGCAGTTCCGACGAGGCCTTGATGAAGCCTGTCGTTTGAGCGGCGAGGCACGTTTAGCACGTTCCAAGAATGGCTCCGTCAAAGACCGGGACGATGCAAGCAATCTTCCGATGCTTGAGCAGAAATTTCGAAAGTGGTGTTTGGGTAAAAACCGTAAAGCCAACGGAGACGTGTTCAAAATCACATCACATGATCCCCAACTGACTCCTGTCACAGGAAAGGGGTTCTACAGAAAGTCCCTCTCATTTACCAAACCTTTACCGTGGGTTTCTTCCACTTGGATGCGTCCAAGAAATCCAAAGCACTCGAATGCAAAATACTTGACGAACTAGTTGCTTTGACATTAGAGTATGCTTATCTGTTTGTCAAGCACGCTCATCCCGCAGGGTCTTTGCCCAATCCACCAGCAGGCTTCTGACCGATGAACCGCCATCGCCCCCTGCATCCCCTAATATTGCACCAACAACTATCCAGCCGAGCGAAAGGCATTCCTTGACTTTTGCGACTCTTACTGCAAATCCGATACCCCGAGTGATCTGGTCAAGTCAGTATTATTGATATCATTGATTTACAACTCGCAACCCATTATTGAGCGTTTTGTAGAGCTATCGTGGCAGCAATGGCAGCAACCTAAGTCACCCAAATATTCTTTCCCCACGATCTGGAAGTCTTCTGAATGAAGACGACCGAGCGTATGTAGTTGGGCGAGTCTACATATTCTCGTATCCAAAGCCCTGAGGTTGCAGCTCATTACGGAATCACTATGCCGTGCCCCACCGTACATGCCCCCATGTCTGACTCCCTCATCATTCCGCATGCATTAGAACCATCATCGAGTACGAAAGCACACCTAATGTGACAAAAAAGGCCACCATTGTTGACATCGGAAGTAGCAAACCCCATGGTGGTTGGGTCGAGCTTCAGTACGAAGATGGTCATACAGAGAAGTTGTTGAAAGAAGAGATATTCGGCTTTTGTAGAATGCTACTATTGTTCATGAGCCCAGTGAACAATGACAACCTTCCAATCACAGCGGCACATCGGAAAGGCGAGCAAGACACATGAGCCGATTACTGATAGCTGACAATCTAGTGATAATGATGATCCTCAACATTGGTCTAGGCAAAGTGTGTGGCTGTCCGTGGTGTACGGATCGTCGGGGTATGTACTATCGGGGTATGAGTCACCGCCGTATGAGAGATAGACATGCGCAATGTCGGTGTCCGAGGGTGAGGTGTACGGGGAAGAGGTGAATTGGGTGGCGGCAGGGGCGAACGCTGCACGCCAAACGATTGTCGCGGGTCAGTGAATCCGTACTCAGCCCTCAGCGTAGGCGTGAACGAGTTGTACGTCGTGCTCATCTGCGGAGTGGGCAAGCTGATAGTGGGCTTCTTCGTCGGGGGTTTGTCCAAGTACTCCTTGACGGCGATTTCCTCCGCATAATTTGGCACGATGACGCAAGCATCTAGAAGAATACGCCGGTGAGTCAATGGCATGCAGGACGCTCGTGCGGACAGTTGACGTACAGGAAGCCAAGGCCCACACGAACAGGATTGCCCCGACATTGACGCCTCCAATAATAGCAGATTCTTTGCAATCGTCCGGATTATCGTCTATTATGTTTGTCAGACATCCGACGTTGGAGTCAGCGTAGAACACGACGACGATGCTGTATATGCCGGAACCAACGGCAGCGATGACCATGCCGTAGAGTATTTGACAGTAGAGGCGGATCAGGCGCTTGCTCCGCAGAATGACAACAATGATTCTGATAGGACGTGAGTCGAATGCAGTGAATTTGGTGAGACGAATACGCACCCAAAGACGGAAACAAACGTAAAGGCCGTAAATACCACCGCTTGGATATAGAATGCAGCTTCCACCGCTTTGTCGGGAGGCGCACCGCCTATGGATATTTGTTTACATTGCGCAACTCCCATTATATAGACCCATGCGACGTACCGCCTGTCTGCGATATCGCAATCAAGTAGCCAAATCCTGCTAAAGTACCGCCCCCAAGTATACTTAAGACCGTGAGTATCTACACCGAAATCAAGATTCAGCCTTCCTATGAACATGGGCGATGTCACGCAATGACCCACAAAAACACCATATCTGACCGGCAGACAGCAAAGGAAATTCCGTGATCGTATGAAAACCATCTTGTAGGCCAGCTAGAGTCGTGAATGGAGTGGGCGGGGAAGAGGAGCGGGTAAACCTGACCCGGAAAGGCGCAGCCTATGGGGGGTTCGAGTGCGGCTTGGGGGGATTATATAGCTGCAACATCTCCATCGACCATCGTGTTTGATGCATTCAGATGGAATACCAGGACAGCTGTAAGGTGATACACGTTAGCGCATGGATCCCTACGCGTGTTAATAACCTGAAATATAGTGAAGCAAGGCGTAAGAGGTTTACCATCAAACGAGTTTGTTGTCGCGTTTGGGCATAGCCCCGGTCTTAGCGGGGAAAGGATCGCGCTTGTAAAAGAGGGCGCACGCATTCTCAGCTTATCGCCAGGAAGGCGAAACGACGGGAAGTGTTTCATGTCGACCCAGCGTCGGGGACGATGAAGCCTATGGCAAAGTACCGGACGCATCGACAAATCTCTGCTGCGAATTCTTGCCTAATAAGCCCGTAGAAGGTCGGAACCTTCGTAGCGGAGCCGCACAAATTAGTGAAGCTCAAGACTCAAGCAAATGCGATACACACAACGTCTCTTTCGCAATCCCTCTAACAATCGAGTTTATTCTGGTTCTGGATTACTTAGGAGGAGATTGGAAAGACTTATGGAAACCTGTGTGCAAGTGTCCGACCACGGGGCAGGCTTTGTAGACCTGTTGCGCGTCGAACGGCGACATTGTATTGCGAAGAGATTGTAACTACATAACAGCAATTGGGATGGCACGGCATCTTTTCCGGGGTACAACAATCAGAGACGGCGACCACGGCGACCACCCTATGTAACAAATACAGTCAATTACACGGGTACCCAAACCAGATGGCACAATAGGCGTACCTTGCGGCGAGTGGAGTCAGTGGGGACGGGCGTAACATCCTCGATGCGGCCAATACGCATGCCTGCACGGGCGAGGGCACGGAGGGCGCTTTGGGCGCCTGGGCCAGGCGTTTTGGTGCCGGTTCCACCAGTTGCGCGGAGCTTGATGTGGAGGGCGGTTACGCCAACCTCACGGCAACGGGTCGCGACGTCCTGTGCGGCAAGCATGGCCGCATATGGCGACGATTCGTCACGATCGGCCTTGACTTTCATCCCACCTACACAGGACGATTCGGTTCAACTCCAATTGCAGTCGGATCTAAGGCTACGCACCGGTGACGCGGGAGATGGTTTCCTTGCCAGACAGATCGGTGACATGGACGAAGGTGTCGTTGAAAGACGCGTAGATGTGTGCGACTCCGTATACAAGCTCGCCCTCCGCGACTTGGGGGCCGAGGGAGACGGTGGCTTCTTCACGAGGGGCCTTGACTTTCTTGGGAGGCTACATCCGATCATCGAGTTAGCCATCCATCACGAAAACAACGAATTGTTGGCGAGGAGAGGGGGAGAGCATCGCTAGGAGCATTGAGTGGGCTATAGGAAGTTCCACTGACCATTTTGATTAGTTCTGGCTTGAGGAGGGCGACGACGACGATGACCAGGCGAAATTTCCTGCAGTATAAAGTTTATTAGGCCATGTTTGGCCCGTCGATCAGAGACCGTGGGAAAAGTCTCTCATCTGGCCGCGTTGTGTACAAGAGGTCTGTAGTGGTATCTATTTTACTAGAATCCAGGTATTTGGGACATATAAGACTACTCGTTGGGTGTTGACTTCTTCCCGAGTTTGAGTATATGTACGGAATCTACTTCCATTTATCTCGAAACCCTACTCATCTACCTGTGTTACGGCTCAGAAAACTATAATGGTATGCTCATAGGGGCAGCATAGGAGTGGTCTAATATGGCAACGGATAAGCGCCTTGACTGTGCCTCATTGCCAGGCAGCAAGACGGTAACTGGGCAGCAACCTCTCAAGACATCCACCATGGTCAAGATTTTCTCCCTCTCCGTTGTTCTTGCGCCTCCGTCTGGTTCTTGTACTGTTCTCAGCAATGCCACCGATCTTTCTTCGTTTTCCTTCTATCAGAGAGGCTCCGTTGGAGAATTCATGACCTTCCTCTCCCGAACGGTCGCAGAACGGACCCCTCAAGGTCAGCGCCAGAGCGTCCAGGAGAACAATTACGTTGCTCACGTCTATAACCGTGGCGGCGCCGAGCAACTTGCGGGTACGCATTACAATCAAAAGGAACCACGTATACCTCTAACCGTTCTGGACAGCCGTAATCATCACCGACCAAGAGTACCCCGTTCGACCTGCCTTCTCACTGCTCACTAAGATTCTGGACGACTTCACCGCCAAAATCCCGCAGTCCTCATACTCTAATCCATCGGCCATCAGCTTCTCTGAAATCAATGGTTACATCCAAAGATATCAGGACCCGCGACAGGCTGACACGATCATGAAAGTGCAGCAGGAGCTGGATGAGACAAAGATTGTTCTGGTGCGTTGATCATTTGATGATATTAAGAAGACCGCTCATCATCAATCCGGGGTTCCTTCTCACAGCACAAAACGATCGAATCGGTTCTCGAACGAGGCGAGAAACTTGACAATCTCGTCGAACGCTCGACCGCGCTTTCAGCACAAAGCAAGATGTTTTACAAGACGGCCAAGAAGGTAGGCTTCCTGACTCGCCCATCCGGTCTATATTCGCTAAGCTATCATAACAGCAAAACTCTTGTTGCGTTATCATGTGAAGGCGTACACGAGTCTCCCTGTCCCTCGCACGTACCATTTACTACCTGCCTACCTACATCTGTACCTTTCTTGGACATTCCGGATATGATACCTCTTGGTCAGCCTGTAAGTCCGAGAGGACATCGGAGGCTGTGATAGACCGCCAACGCTGGAACGGGCGCGTTACTGAACCTAGTAAACTGATTGGCTGCGCCGTTGACCCTGGAAATGGCAAGCACACTAAATCCTGGATCTTGGATCAGTGAATGAAGTCTCCTGAAGTCTCCCAATTGTTTCAAGTGGTCTACAGCATCATTGCAATCACAGCCGCAAGCCATTGATACGGATGTAGGATTATAGATTTGGCGTGGAGCGAGCTAGAATACCCAGAGATGCCAATGTGTGATCGTCAATTGGTCGTGAACCTTGTTCTCCTTGTGGAATTCCAGCCTGACAGGAGCTTGCTTACCCCCGACTCTCATTGCCGTACTCAGTGGACACCATCGTGATAGGTCCCGAGATTCCAGGTACAAATAGACGCTACACGCCCATCCACTCACTACAACTCTCTTTCTTTCCCCCATACCACCACCATCTCCTCCCACACTTAGCGCATCATGGAGGCATTCAAGGTGTGTAGCACTCGCTCGCCAGACTCGTGGACGATGAACTCAATCCTCTACAGTCACTGGAGATGAAGAAATGGGTCGAGCTCCTCAATAACAAGGATCCCGCCTTCAGGCTCTCTGACATCGTGCGCCCTCTACTCTCTTGCCCTTTGGCTCCAACTCAATACCGCTTAGCCCGCTTACATCGATGCGATTGTCGGTACCGCCTCCGGCGCCGGCATCGACGACCGGAAGATGCTTGTATGCGCTCGCGTCCTTCCTCTCATATACCCGCGTGCTCACCGCATATATTAGCTAGAGAAAGGCCTCGTCTTGATGTCGCGACTCGGTGACAAGTCTGAATTCTCAACTCGCCTTCAGGAACGAGTGATCGATCTCCGTGAGCATGATCGCCCCCCTATGGCCATGATCGAAGTACCCTGACCATAACCACTTTACGTCCCGTCTAGTTTACAAGGACCTACCACACCCGCAGAATGGGTATCTCTCGCTTCCTTCTGATGGGGAAACGACGGCCGACGTCGGTATGGATGGAGTCAAGTATGCGTACCGTAGCGCAGACGGAAGCAACTACAACCCCCTCGTGCCTTTGATGGGTCGTGCTGGAAGACCCTACGCTCGAACTGTTCCTTCAACAAGCATAATTCCTCCTTCTGCTCTTCCGGACGCTGGTCTCGTCTTCGACACACTCCTCAAACGCGAACGCTTCGTTAAACACCCGGCAGGAATCTCCAGTCTCTTCTTCGGCTTCGCGGATCTCGTAATTCACAGCATCTTCAATACCGATCACCATGACTGGTCCATCAACAAGAACAGCAGCTACTTGGACTTGAGCATCCTTTACGGCAGCAGTCAAGCCGAAGTAGAAGCAGTAAGGAAATTGGACGGGACAGGTCAACTGCACAACGATGTCTTCGCTGATTCGAGATTGCTCTTCATGCCGCCTTCAGCTTGTGCTCTATTGGTCCTTTTGAGCCGAAACCACAACGTGCGTACGTCTCGACTTCGCGAGGATAATAACAAACTCATTGTCTACAGTACATCGCCAAGAAACTCTTGGATATCAATGAACGCAAGTCATTCATCAACCCCCCACCCCAGGATAAGGCCAAGTGCCGTCAGCAAGATGACGAGCTCTTCCACCGAGCACGCCTTGTCAACTGTGGTTACTTCATGCAGATCATCCTCGGCGATTATGTGGGCTCCATTCTCGGATTGGCCCGCGACGGGCACGCTTGGAGGCTGAACCCACTCAAGGTGTGTCGTTACTATGAACTTACTCTTTCGTATCCTGTACACTGACATTCTCAACTTGCTAGGCCACTCGCTCAGGGGATCATGAAGTCTCCCCACGAGGAGAGGGAAACGTCGTCTCCGTCGAGTTCAACTTGCTCTACAGATGGCACGCCACTCTGTCTGAACAAGATACGAAGTGGACAGAGGAACTCTTCAAGAAGCTCTTCAATGGAAAAGACCCCAGCAAGGTACATTTCTGCAAGGCACCACTTCCTTTCCCAGGCTAATACATGCTCTCCACAAGATCACTGTGGAAGACTTCAAAAACGCGGCGCACGAACACATGGTCAAGCAACTCCCAGCCGATGTCAAAGAATGGACTTTTGACGGGCGAGTCTCTACGCTCCTTTGATCAGCCACGTCTTTCTTATGTAGGGAATTTTAGATTGAAACGAGGAGAGGACGGCAGCTTCAACGACGATGACCTTGCTAAGATCCTATTGAATGCAACAGAGTGGTACTCTGGGTCCTACAAGGCGGCGGGTACCCCAGAAGTCCTACGTGTCATTGAAGTCTTGGGAATCGAACAAGCGAGAAGCTGGGGTACTTGTTCTGTACGTGCTGAAGAATACCTTGTTGTGTGTGCTAAACTAACTTCGCATACAGCTGAACGAATTCCGTAAATTCATGGGACTGAAGCGTACGTCTCTTGCTCGTAGTGTTTGTACTAAACTCTAACAATGTCTGTTTGTAGCGTATGCCAACTTCAAAGAATGGAATCCAGATAAAGCGATCTACGTGAGCTCCAATATCCTTGACAAGGAATTGAAACATTATCTAACTGGGAATCATGCGTTTAGACAGCAGCAGAATCTCTCTACAAGGATATCGATAACCTCGAGCTTCACGTCGGACTCCAAGCTGAGGAGTCCAAACCACCCATCCCTGGCGCCGGCTTGTGCCCTGGCTACACTATCTCTCGTGCCATTCTCGCCGACGCAGTCTGCCTCACCCGCGGTGACAGGTTCTTGACCACTGACTTCACTCGTACGTTAATGGATACAACCTTTTCTCAATGTCTATTCACTTCGTTACAGCATATAACTTCACTTCATGGGGCTACCAGGACTGCCAATTCGATCCCGAAGACGGTTCGTATGGAGGCATGTTGACTAAAATGCTCTTCCGCTTCCTGCCAAACCACTACCCTGCGGGCTCGGCATACGCCCATTTCCCCTTCATGGTCCCGACCTACATGCTAGGCGAGATGAAGAAAAATGGGAACGAGGAATGGAAGAACTATACCTGGACTCGCCCTGGGCAGCCGAAATCCTTCGCCACTGTAACCTCCTTCGCAGGTGTTTCCAGAATAGTCAAGGAACCCAAGACCTTCGTAGCCCCATACAACGCCAGACTCGCTAAACTTGCCAAAGACCCGATTATCAGCATTCCCGTTCAGGATGTCCTTGTCTCAGATAAGACCAAGCTGTGGCAGACATTCTCGCAGTTAACTCAGAAACTGATCCTTGAGAAGTCTATCAAGAGGGTCGGATCGGCTGATAAATTCGTCGACATTGTTGGGGATGTTATTAACCTCGTGCCTGTATATTGGATCGCTCAGGAAGTTGTGAGTTGTGGTCTCTGTGTTTCATTGTATTGGCTGTTGACTAGTGCAACTATAGATCGGAATTCCATTGACCACGGAAGTCGATTTGAAAGACGACGACGACGTGTTTGAAATCAAGAATCTCTATAAACGATTCGCTGATGTATGCGAGTACGTCAGCTTTCAACATGCGTCTAGCGACACGCTAACATCCGTTCAAGATATGTATACCTCAATTTCCAACCCGACAATGACTGGAAGCTTCGCTCGAGCGCACAAGACACCTTCAATAAAGTCACGGTTCTCGCCAGCATGCATCTCGCAGACATTGCAGGCGTTAGTCTTCTCTCCGTGTTCTATTTTCTCCTGCATCTCTTATTCACAGTGTTTTCAATCCTCACTCAGTTCTCTATACTCGACAAAGCCCGCCACGCTATACGGAACATGAAGTTCAAATCGCACGGCTTCCTCAAGCGGCTGAACGAGGCGTCCTCTTCCTCCCAGCCGCGTCCAAAAGAGCTTGCAGCAGCGCTTTTTGCAGAAGTCGTACCGACATCCGCGCATTTCTCCCAATCCATTGCCCATGTGGTGAATTTCTATCTCGACGACGCGAGAGCGAACGAGAGGAAAGAGTTAATCGCGTTGTTGGGCAACAAGGGGGCACCAGCGACGGAAGAAGCTCGTGCGAAGGTTATGGGATACGTCAGAGAAGCCCTGCGTAAGTGCCCTATCTCTCCAGTGCGCAACAGTTTACCGACGCGTAAGAAATGTAGGCCTCGACCCAATCGTACATCTTCCGCTTCGTCCTCCTTTATACCCTACTAATGAAGCCGTCTATAGGTCAGCGGTGTCTATCGAACCACCACTGCCGACGCAGACGTCAATGGTGTACACATAGAAGCAAGCGCAACCGTCTTTGCCAGCGTCTCTGCTGCTAACCTAGACCCGTCTGTCTTCGGCGAAAATCCCACGTCTACTAGCTTCACTAGGCCGAAAGATACCTCCGGCATCTTAGGACTGGGCGAGTATGGGTGCGTCGTGCTTTGTTCGATCCCTCATATTTGGACACTGAGCAAACTTCTTCGCCTCTATAGCCTCCTTTCGTCTGAATTCTTCGAAACAGTGAGTTATCTCTTGACTGTAAACAACCCTGTCTGATTACACCAAACGACTGTCAGGCCGCCCTAGCCATGCTTTCCCAGATTCTTCAACTCAAAAACCTCGGGCGCGCACCGGGCGCATCAGGGCACTTGACTCGCTTCACGGAAGAGTGGCACGGAACCCCATCGCAGAAGTACATCTCAATGAAGGGACGGGTTCAGCCTTGGCCCGATTCGTTGGTTGTGGAGGTAGGCATATAATATTCACTTGACACTACCTAGATCATTACTAAAGACCATCGAACTCTAGTATTCGGCTTGAGCAATTAGCTATAATTGTACAGTGAAGGACGTGATACCCTTGAAAGACTGAACGAGAAAGATGTTATTGTTTACCTATGCGGTATCTGTACATTCTGTGAAATATTCTGTACAAGGAATGTAATTAGTCCATGGATTCTGTTGTTACTCATCTTTCGACCTCGCAATGGAGGCAAACCACAGTTGGAACATCTTAACGAGTCGTTGATAGCGTGACTGAATGCCGTAAATCGCGTCAAGCGTGAAGCAGGCATTTCCACAATGAACAAATGTATTAGAGATATCACCATATGGCAGCAACTCTTTCAAGAGAGCAGGGTATGTCATTAGCATGAATATACGTAGTCTATATGCCAATGCAAACCCGTCGCAGAGGTGCGAGATCAGATCACTGAGCTACGAGCAGGTACTTCAGCAACACATTAGACAGAGAGGCCGATGGGCACATACATTATGGGATGTTTGGGCTTGATGTGGATGGAGGCATGGCTTGGAACACCCTCAATGCGGTGGTAGGCATTCAAGTTCTTGTGCATCGTGATTTGGAAAACAGAAGCACCGCCTTGGCTAGGAACGACAACAATGTTAGTCTCCGCGATTAGAAGCTCATGGCATGGGCTACACACCGACTGATGATAGTAGCATATGCCAGGAAGAACGCCCATATTCTGAACCAACGTTCGCCGTATTTTGCGACCACCAAGTCCTTGTTAGACAACCAGTTCTTGTACCAACGCCAGAGAGTAGCCGAATAGTGAACCCCAAGGACATCAACGCTCTTCATCTCGAAGCCTGCTCCTTCCAACTACAATTGCATTAGTGGGGAGAAAGGGAAGGCGTAGAGAAGAAATGTACCTGATTGATGACCCAACCGAGCGAGCAAGAAGCATCGGCGCCAGGGAAAACATACTTATTCATGAACAGACCCCTACATCGTGGTAACGCATTAACGGGGGGGACCATAAGGCGACTTACAATACGTACCAGATCAAGTCCTCAAATTGCCAGTGCGGCCTGAAGCCAGCAACTTGGAATACGATGATACCGTCATCATCCAACAGCTCGTAAAGTTGGCGCAAGAAAGCCCCATAGCGACGAACACCGACGTGCTAATATTTGGAGAAGCAGTGAGAAATAGGATAAATCCGCGTTGGATGTGTTATACCTCTGCCATCTCGAGAGCAACGATCTTAGTATATTTGCCCTTTTCATGGGGGATATCTCGGTAATCGCAGCACAAAACGCGAGCTTTGCCTTCTGGCACCTACCAATTTGGTGAGCTTTGCGATGAAAAAAGGTTGTCCAATAAACGTACACCGTTGTCCTTTAGCCTTTGTTCGATGAACTTAACCTGTTCACGAGCAATAGTCACACCGGTGATATCGCAGCCGTAGTTCTTGGCGGCGTGGGTGACGAGTGTACCCCATCCGCAGCCAATGTCGAGGACACTGATGAGGATTGAGTTGAAGCAGGAGCCGGACTAGGAAGAGGCGGAAACGCGTACCGGTCGTTTTCGTTCAGGTTTAACTTTTCGCAGACAACGGTGAGCTTGTTGTCCTGAAGTTGCTCCAAGGATTCTTCAATAGTGTTGTCGAGAACGATGCCAGATGTGTAAACCATGCGTGGGCCGAGGAACCTACGCTAAAGGCATGAGTATATATGGGTGAGAAGTCGAAGCTTTTTTATCCTACCATCCATAGAAGTCATTGCCGCCTGTTCCAGAAGTTAGGCTGAGAAAGATAGCATAATAAAAAAAGTAACGCACGATCATAGGTAGTACGGACTTGGTCTTCATCCTGGTGTTGCGAGTGGATAACGACCTCGGGGATGAATACCATGAAGACATATTTGAAGAGCTCCCATGTGAAGGTCATTTTTGCCCAATCATGTCGCTGCTCCATAATCTCCAACACGTCGCCTAAAATATTTCAGTGTCATGTTCAAAACCAATATGAAAGCGTTACTCACCCTTAAAATCAATCTTGCCCTCAAAGTACGCGTCGTGGAAGAGCTGCATAGGAATCTTCTGCTTCCCATTGTATAGCCTCCTCAGCTCGATGTCTTTGATTTCAATATACTCTTCTATGTCCTTTCCTGGAAGTACCACCTTCTCGTTTTTACGCGGGCCGTACATACTGACCAGGGCCCAGTAGGCGACAGTGACGGGCACCCCAGTGACCACGAGCAAGAATAGATAGGTCTTGAAGCCACCGCGAGAAACGATGGGGAGGACCGACTTCAACAAATACGGCGCAACAACCACACAAAATGCCAACTGATAGTTGGAGAAGGCACCATTTCCCTCCGCAAGGCCAATGAGAGGCGCGTTCTTGATGGCAGGGTAAGAAGTGGTCCGGACCAAGGTCGACATATTTGGAGGAAAAGAAGGTTGAACCAAAGTCGCGTCAGAAATAGCGCGATATTTGAGAAGGGACTGTATTTGCCGCTATTTGCGCAACGCGACATTCCCACGTACTCGTGTCCATTCACTTTCTAAATAGGAAATCCCGACGATTTCCCTAATTGAGCGGGCCACAACTTTCGATAGCGCGCCTAGTTGCTATCGTGCTGACAGGCCATGCCGGCCACAAGTCACCCGCAGCGATCTCCCCGAAGCTCGCACATTCATCGCGACCCAACTTTCACGTTGTCCCCTGCGATTCCCCTTCCGACAAGTCCTCCCATCACCAGTTTATTGTCTGCCCGACGACCCTCTTTCACCGCTGCCCTACCTACTACTGGCATACAGAGAGACGACGCAGAGATAGAGCGCAAAACAAATGTACCTGTCCCAAGTGGTATTGCGACTTCCATGCCCAGCGCTCCCTCGTCGCCAGAGGACGGAGGCAACTTTCGGCGCAGCTTACAGATTGACATGAAGGGCCTGGTTGGAGATGCTGTTGGAAATGTACGTCTCATCCATTGTATGTACTCATATGTACTGCTAACCGCGCTAGATGAGCATCAGTCCCGCTAGTCGCGACGTCGTTCTGGCCGCGTACGTCCCCGTTTGCATGGCCCATCACTTATCCCGCTGATAACATCCGCCTCAAAGCCGTCGTGGTCTATTCATTATCGACCTTGAAGCTCCGCTAGAAGTTCCACGGTTCTTACCACAAGGAGGAACATGGGACGTTGCTGACGTGCAGTGGAATCCCCATCCTTCGCGTGCAGAGTACATCGTGTCGACCTCCAGTGAGAAGCTGTAAGCTTCTATTTTACCGCTCACATCAATGCCTCATATGCAACGCCTGTCAGCCTTATCTGGAATCTTCGCATTGTCGGCAAGACGTCCATCGAGCACATTTTGCACTCACACTATCGAGCTATCACGGATATCAATTGGCATACCACTGAGTGTGACACCGTTGCGTCGACCGGTATAGACTCATGGATATGGACATGGGATCTACGGGAACCAAGGAAACCAATCTTTGGTGAGACCCACCATCTCTAAGATGAGGACACTCGTTTACCTCAGTAGGTCTGTCTGCCTTCAATGGTATGTCGGGACCGCCCTTGGCCCAGAAGGGTCTAACAGCTGCCTGTAGAAAGCGGAACTCAGGTTAAATGGAACCGCCAGGATTCAAATATCCTTGCATCCTCGCATGCTAACGAAGTGCTCATCTGGGATCGTAGAGTATGTGTCTCGCAGGGCGACCCAGTGTATAGCTAACTGTGCTCGCAGAAAGGTTCTTTGCCCATGGTCTCGATTCGCGCCCACGATTCGAAAATATACGGCATAGATTGGTCGCATTCCATTAGAAATGAGATAGTCACCTGCTCCCTTGACCACACTATCAAGGTTTGGGATGTCAATGCATCACCAGCTACCACATCATCTTTTCGGGATCTGCACTCACCATCCCTTGGCTCCTCCCTTCAATCTTTCACCCTTTACCCGACGGACGTTGATGTGGGGGTGTTATCATCGACTGCAAGCTCGAACGGAATCAACGGTACGAATATCCAGATTCTTACCACAGTATCATTTGCCTACATTTGTTGTATGGTTTCAGGAACTGGGAGTTCGAGGTACACCCCGATGGCCCCTAAGACTACCATCCGAACGGTCTACCCAGTCTGGCGCGCTCGGAACCTACCTTTTGCGCAAGGAGTCTTGAGCCTTGCTCAACGTGGTGAAACGGCTTTAGAAATGTACCGCACTGATTCCTCGTTCCCGGGAGCTGGATCTAAAGAAAAGACACCGACTAACGTACACACGACTTCACATGTTCCCGTTGAAGTTTTCGAAGGACATAAAGACGTCGTCAAAGAGTTTGTCTGGAGAAAAGGAGGTCAAGGTACATCAATCTCTCCATTTCAAGCCCGCGTAATTGGTTAACCGCTTAACAGAGGCAACCGAGTATCAGCTCATCACCTGGTCCAAGGATCGCACCCTTCGGTTTTGGCCAATGGATCAGGAAACGATGCAGGTAATTACTCCTTCCTAATCACTCTATGGTTGTCTTACCCACCCGACTTCTACGCCGCAGAAAGTGGGCCACATATACTCACCGCCTCGCGGCCGAGCTAGGTATCCTACTGTCAATGACCAAAACATTTCATTCCGTAATCCACCTGAGGGCACGGAATATCACCCTGCCTTATCTGCTCCTATAGGCCACCGATCTATCCTCGCAGAGGTTCGCGCCGCTCCGCCCCGTATGCGTCGTGGGGATTTGGGACACTACAACATCCACACATCTGCACAGAGTATCAACCCCGTGTTACAACCTCACGTAGGATCCGCCCATCGTGCATCGTTGCATGAGCACTTTGCTGCTGCCAGGGGTAGCAATGGCAACACAGCGCTTCTATCTACACCCGACGTAGGTGACTACGTTAGCGCGTCCACCAATGATAGTAATCTAGAAACAACTGGCTCTGGCTCCGGTCCCATAGGCGTGCCTCCTGGCACAATACGTCGATCAGGTACGATGAGCAAGGGTGGACTGGGAGGGCGTTCGGTTGCTCGGATGGACGCTCTTTCCTGGCTTCAAAATGTTAGAGTTGGTCCTGGTAGTCAACAACATCGAAGTAGTTCATCCGGGCCTGGTAGCTCAAGCACGAGGAGTAGCACTGGACAAGAATCGAATCCGCCTTCGAGGTTGGGATCCAGGTCCCGGCCAGCTAGTGGGTCAGACCGCAGAAATACGTCAAGCAGGCAGACATCTGATACTTATGACGATAATGAGAACGGGGGGTTCATAGAAGAGAAGAGCAAGGACTTGGAAAAAGAGAAAGGGCGATCAAGGAGAAGCTCCAGTCTTAGCCGGACCGGGACGGACGACAAAAAGGAAGAATCCAGCCAGTCCTTGCAAGACGAGTACGAATCCCTTCGCCCTTCATTAGACGGTCTATGTGCTGAAGTTTACGTAGGATAACATCTGTCCTAAACAGACTCTCTTCCTCCAAGATCAAGCTAGAGAAGGCACGTATTATATATGTCCTTGTACCCGTTCTGATCCTCATGTACCCTCCAGCACGACCTCACCAAGAAACGCACATGTACTCTCGGTCTACATGGGCCTTGGGGCGAACCTTCCTCGGTTTTCATTCGTGTTACATTTACCTTTCCCAAGGACTACCCTTCTGCCCTGCACCCCGAAGGAACGCCAACAATTGAAGTGGAACGTAATCCACTCATCTCCAACCGAACTCGCGCACTGATACTACGAAGGTTAAAAGTCATACGTGAACGTAGACGGCCTTGCTTAGAGCCTTGCCTACGATACTTAGCATTTGGCACTGAAGAACAAAATATCCACCCTCCCCCAATGGATTCGGAATCCTCTGATGACGATGAACACCTGACTCGTAAATCTAGAGACCTCACCGTAGCTCTTTTAAGAAACAACAAGAACTTAGCCGAACCAAGAACATCCCAGGGGACCTTCGGACCGAATGGTGTGTTCTGCTGTACCACCTCGAGATTTGTCCTGATTTTATCCTCACAGGCGAGCTGGTCTGCTTCTTTCGTGCTCCCCCACGAATTTTTCGAAGTGTTAACCACGATCTATCAACTTCTCCTTCTAAACCTTCGGTCCAGGAAACCGCCGATGCAAATGGCCTTCACCTCTATCAATCACCATCTCTCCTCGCTGATGCTATTCGGCATCTTGGAATGGCCGCTTCTGATCCAAGCACTCGATCTTTAGGGATTAAGCGCATCGAGGGTGCTGGTGGTGGCGATATTCTTCGCATCATGACGAACCTTTTGACCGTCTCTCACAATAACAAACACTTCTTCGACTCCAAACCACAAGGAGATATTCCGAAGAACTACCACCCCCAGGCCCCCGCCAGGAGAAGTACTATATATATCGCTCGCACGAATGACATCGCCGGCCCAGACCGCAAGGTTGCGACTGGCTATGCGTTCTCTGGTGATAGCCTCGCTTCCGTCTGCGACAGGAACGCCCAGGTAGCCAAAGAATATGGAAGGTATGACCATCAGAGGATCTTCCAGATCCTCCGCTCTGTGCTATCTACTCTATCACGCACGTCCAGCACTTCAGTCAACCATAGGGTCCTGATGCAGCTGTAAGAACAGAGTAATTCGGCTTTGCCTTGTGGTTCGCTAATACGGTTTGTAGGTACGCTGAACTAGCGAAAGAAAAAGACATTCAGATGCTTGCCATGCTTGCTGTTTTACTTCTTCAAGCTGGTGAGTATACCGAGACCGACAGTAAGCTGGCAGATCTATCCCTTCCACCCGACCGTAACCCGACAGGCCTTTCATAGATGATAAAGGAAAGCAAAAGAGCAAGAGTCTAGCCCGAAGCCCTCTATCACCGTTAATTACATCCCTTACTAGCTTCGACTACTTTAGTCTCGCTCGGTCCATCAACAGTGGAAATAGCCCGGCACTTCTTCCCTGGCCTCGTGTCGCGTCTCCCTCCGTGCAAACAACGCCGACACAAACTCGCAGTTCATGGTCCAGCATTTTCAATGCAGGGACCATGCGCCAGCTTATGTCCGGTTCGCATGATACATTGAAAGAGAACTCACCGCCTCAACCTGGGACGCCAACAGTCAATTCCTCCGAAGGCGGCATTCCCGTCCCCTCTCTAAATCGACCCCCACGTACACCCGATCCACCGCGTCGCATCACACGGCATGATAGTATCGTGAGATCTCCGTCAGCGATCTCGAAGTCCTGGAACGAATCTCTTTCTGCTACAAAGCCAGGAGCGGGGACTCCCTCTCCTCCTTATCCAAGTTCAAAAGTACATCCCAAGCGATCCTCTGGGGAGAAAAGGCTAATTTTCACGCCAGAGCCCAATGCTAATATACCCACGTTAGCCGTTGCTTACTGCTTTCTCTCAGCCGTCCTGACATTACTCGCAGTGTAAACCCACTCCAAGAACCTCGCTTTGTCGGACAACTATTGACGCATATACATGTCTATGCTGAGCTACTCTTCGCGTGGCAGCTATACCATCGAAGACTAGAGTTACTAAAATGCGTCCGCAGTAGTATACGTGACAAGGCACGCCAGGAGTTTAATTCCGGTAAGCCTAGCCATATTTCCCCTCCCCCAAGTTTACGTCGTGATTTTTGTAGGTATCTTCCACAGTTGTTCCCGGTGTGGGCCCGAAATCCAGCAAAATGGCAATTCCTGCCCGTCTTGTGGTCAGCCATCGAAGATGCCTCTCTGTTCCATATGTCGGATGCCTATCAAAGGTTTGAAGGTGTATAACATGCTACCGCAGTGGACTGACCACCATCTTAGGTTTATCTAAAAGCTGCCTCAACTGCCTACATGTCAGTCATATCAGGTGTTGGCAGACATACAACCAAGCTTCTTGCTCGACTGGCTGTGGCTGCCACTGTTTTGACACAGGACCTGCGCATCAAACCGTACAGGAGAACCAGTCATAGTATAATAGTCGTATTCAACACATTGTAGCATGTTGTCCACACGGCAGAGTTGTGAGCAAAGAATTTCAAGTTCGCTTTTTAGTAGTGACTAGACTCTGGACTCATGAAATGAGAATTAACACCATAAAAGGTAATACCGACGCCACTCACCGACGCCAGGTATACGGGACCCTTCACGTGATATCTCTTTTCCGCCACGACATTGGGCGCCAATCTTGTAACCTGACCTTTCACCAACACGTTCTGCAGGCCGTCGCGTGAACATGTCGCAATACACGTCGAGCTCCCCTCCGCCACTTCGCCACCCCATCCCGACGCATCCAGCGTATATTCCTGATCCTCCGTCGACGCCGTCTTCCCCGCAAGGCTACCAACGTTTTTCCTCTTCGCCCGCTCCTGCATCTCAGCCAGCGCAGTACCCGACACACGTACCAGCTTACACGACCCCATTTCAACATAACTATAACGCAGGTCATGACCAGATGCATGGCGCGAATATGCACGGGATGCCTCCAAACCCGCCACATCAAGCGCAAGGCATGATGCCGCCGCCAGATTTTGGAGCTTGGGGGATGAATGACGCGACGGCTCAGTTTAGTATGCAGCTTGGTCAAAGCGCTGTTGCCGCAGGGCAGGATTACGTCCAACGCAATGTAAGCAACCGGCCTAGTATATTGCCCGCACTCAATTAACAGTTGGTAGTTTGGTGGTATTTTCCCGACGACATACATCAAACACCACTTTAATGTCTCCAATTCCTACGTTATCAACAAACTCCGCATAATTCTCTTTCCATGGAGACATAAACCTTGGGCTCGACGCGTTCGTCGGTCAGAGCAAGGCACGAGCGAGTGGCAGCCTGCCCGAGAAGACATCAATTCCCCTGATCTTTACATCCCAGGTTTGCTGTTTGTCTTGACCAATGTTCCTTATTTGCTCAGGCAGATCCCCAGTCATGGCTTTGGTCACCTACGTCCTCATTTCTGCTCTACACTCTGGTCTTCAAAAGCGCTTTCACCCACAAGTTCTCGGCGAATCAGCATCGCGAGCTATTGCCGTCGTCATATTAGACTTTTTGTTCGTCAAAACAGGCTGTTATATCCTCAACGTCCAAGAAAGTAGCCAAGTCGTGGATCTGATCGCTTATGGAGGCTACAAATTTGTTGGGTACGACCACAATTCGTTCCACATAGACTGAATACACGTGCTGACTTCCCGGTAGCGTCATTGTAACTATTGCAGCTGGATTTCTTGGTTTGAATAGCACCCTCTGGGGTGCGATCTTCGTCTACTGCTTCCTTGCTAATGCATTCTTTCTGGTAAGTGCGTAGTAGTTCATGTGCCGGCCTATCTAACACTCGCGGACGCAGCTGCGCTCACTTAGATCTGTAGTCATTCCGGATTCCGCGTCTTCAGCTGCACCTACGACGGTCAACCCTGCTCAACGACGGCGAAGAATTACGTTCTTATTCTTGGAAGCGGTTTGTCAAGTAGTCTACATGGGCTTCTTAGTACGGGTGTAATCTATACGGCGGGTCCTTATCGTAAATCGTGATGGATCACCTTTGATGCTTCTATTCGAGGCCGGGCAAAAAACGATTCATGAACAGTCTACTTTACTGGCAAGCATTACCAGAATATTCCTTGTCAGATATATGTTTTCTTCAGGCCAAATGTTGAATGTTGAACGCATATATGGCTGGATCAGAGCGCCAGCGCTTAGTTTTGAGCCACTGGACCGCTGTCACTGTCCTTTCGTCTTGGACCACTACGACTTAACTCGAAGGCCTTCACGGTGTCAAACGCCGCTGAAGGATTCACCATGGAGGTGCGCCATCACAAGTCGAGGTGGCGCAAATTATTGATTCCCTAGTAGGTCCAACCAGTGCCATCCATTGGGTTTACCATGCAACCACAACTCGCCGAGTTAAAGCAAAACCCCCCCTCGAGTGAGGCGCAAACTTCCGAGATATTGCAAGTCGCGTATGAGATCTTCGGCTTCACTGGCACTGGATCGGACTCGACAATACTCCCTGCGGCATCAAGGGTAAATTGGGTCGTAGCTCAGAAGTGCCTAGGCGTCGCATGGAGGGCTGGGAGTGGAAAGATTGTGGGCAACTCCACCAGCACTGATGTCAGTGAAGACTTGAATATTTCGCTTCTCTGCCACTTCTTTTCTCGCATAAAGGACGCGAAATCATTATCGGATGTTCCTCAGTCGCTTCTTGACTTACACCAGGCTGATAAGCCGGTGCGTATTCCTTATAGTATCCCACTCCGTTTCGACACTATTTCGGATCCACACGCCATCAACTACGTTCTTGGAGGCCCGTACCTCGAAGTCTCCATCAACAACCCCCTTGCTGTATTGTACGTCGCTCGATGCCAGCATCAATGGGAAGATACATCGATACCAGCAGTAGCTACACGTCTGGCAGGCGAAGGCTTCGGATTCACCGTCGCCGCTCATCCACTTCGATACCTTGCCTCGAGTTTCGGAGCAGTACCAGTTACCCCCGACAATCCACTTGGATTTCGACCCTCCAACTATGTTCCTACTGACACGGATTATCGCCACTATGTTTCGCAGCGGGAAAAACTACTTCAATCCCCTCGAGGGTATGCTGCATTAATGGCTGGAGGGCTGGCCAGTCGTATGGCTCGAGACTTTGTTGCACCAGAGCTATTTTATGCGAAGCTATCAAGCGACCCTAATCCAACTTTCTTTCATCCTCTGACTACGTCAGAGCTGGACCTCATTTATGGTATTTACCGTCAAGAAACAGGTGCGGGCAAAGCCCCAATCGACTCGCTGTGAGACGGTATAACTCACGCACGCACACCTTCGTAGGCCAGGTTTCTTTGTCGGGGAAGCGTCAGTTTATTCATAAGTCCTGGTGGCCTCCACACAAGATCTGGACGTCAAGCATGCTGGGATTGACTTTTTGGACGACTGACGCAGAGGCATGGTATCAACGCCGCATCACCAAGCTCAGCACTGGTCCATATGAATCTACAGATCTTAAACATGCTCCTGCGTGGAAGAGTGCCATGCGGCAGAATGCAGAAGTCGCTAAGATTATACGAAATATGGAGGTATTGGCGGAGTCGTATATTCGAACTACATTAGTAACAGTATAGACTTGAAGGCCTCGGAAGGCCTTTCTGGTTATGCCCTTCAAGTTTAGAATATTAGGATTCATGTAAATTACTTCAATGAGCGAAACTACGACAGCAGGGCTGTCTGTTCGATCAACGCCTGTGCTGCCTTGCTGCGCGGCACGATCTCGCACTTAAAGGGTAACGGATGACTATCACGTACCGCCGATGATTAGCAAGTATAGCAAACCGCGGACATTTAAACGAACCTTATCATGCCTGTGTCAAACAGGGCTTCAACCTTGATTCGTTGGCCGAACACATCCACGGCCTGGCGAATGTTAAAAACCGACAGGATCGATGCTATATGGATCCATAAGTGTCCTTCCGCCATAAACCTTCCAGGACATATGCGTCTCCCGTATCCGAAGGCCGGTGAAACTGGATCAACATTCGGATCCAACCTTGCCCCAGGACTTTTGGGATGTGGCATGCGTAAGAACCGCTCAGGAGAGAAACGTTCGGGATGAGGAAACATTTCGGGGTCATGAAGTATTGTCCTGGTGAGTGGTTCGTTGTGTGCTTGTTGCCGGATGTAAGTAGACAGAACCCCTACCATGTATTCCCTATGACGGTTGTACCTGCCGGGATAAAGTAGCCATTGTATTCATCATCATTGGTGGCCATATGAGGGAGTCCTACGCAAGTGAACATAAATCTTAGAGCAATCAGAGAGGTCTAGGAAAACTGACCTAATGGTGCGACAGGGTTCCACCTACATCTCGAGTACGTTGGACGCTGAGAACATCAAACTGAAGATATGCAAACGCACCGTAGCACTTCTTTGACTAGTGCGTCGATGTACGGAAGTGAATCGCGATCGCTAAACACGGGGAGTCGTTTATCCCCAACCACTCTATCAAGCTCTGCTTGGGCTTTTGATTGCACTTCTGGATAGAGGACCATTGCCAGCACAAAACATGATAACGAAGATACCTCCTGGCCGTAAATAGGATGTTAGATTGTAGGGTAAAATAGCTATAAGCATGCTCACACTCTCGGCACCAGCTAACGAACCGGAATCAATTCAATTTATAGCCTTATACTGCGTGAGGACACCCACCGGCATATGCAAGTCCAGCACAGCCTTTGATTATTTCGCGCTGACTGGCAGCGTCCGTGTCAATGTCGTTCAGTAGATTAGAGACGAAGCACGGTGAAGCTGTGCCCTCGGCCTGTGTTTTGGATTTCTTAGTAAATGTCGCATTCCATGGAAGAAACGAAACTACCATTGATGCGGCGACGGAGTTGAAAGGGGCGTCTCGCATCTCTAATGTAACTTTCTTCCATTCCTTCGCTTTCTTCTGGAAGCTCGCGCCTGGAAACCAAGCTGGTACATATTTGACTATCAGAAGTCAGTCTTTTCATTTCAAAACCTAAGACCGCCAAAAGCCGAACTTGACTGACGGATGGGGAGAATATCAACCAGGAATGCTCCTGGGCTAGCCGCCTTGGCCATACCATCGAGCGCGCGTTCTGCGATTGTGATATAGTAATCATCTTTTGGAACAACATCGATGCCGTAAACAACTTTCATAATGCTGCTTGCAGCGTTGCTAACGCCATGATCGTCACCATCAACGTGTATAACAAATTGGCTAGAGCACCTACAGGCGAAGGTGATCAATTAGTGCGTCTGGTTCGTCCAAGAGTCGGCGAAGGATGGCATGGGCTTCCTTGAGTTGAATGGGCCAAAACTGGGACACAGACGACGGTTGGAATTGGGTATGGAACATTTTCCTATGCGCTCTCCATCGGTCACCTCCCGTAACCCACAAATCAGCCTGAAAGTCACAATTGTGTGTTGGCACATACCGTACGGCATATGTCCAAATGACCAGTCCCATCCCATTAGATCGTTGATCATGGGTAGGGCATTACGGTCGGAGTAGTTTGCAGACCGTTTCTCAAAGAGGTCGTTTGCCACACGGATCGAGTTCACAAACACGATATGTCGCCCCAAGACCTCGATATGCACTAAATCGCCTGGTTCAATTGTGCATGAGTACTTTGAAAACATCTTGATGGAAGAATTGGCATACCGTATTGTTTGGCCCATTGTGCATAGACCGCCACTTCATTCTCGCGGGGTAAGTCTTTGAGGTTTCCGATGAACGGTACCGCAGGAGGTCCTGGAGGGTATTGCCTAGCTTGATGCGAACGCCAGTAGCTGGCCACCTTTGCAACGATACAGAATGCGAGGATGCATGCATACAACATTGCGCGCAAAGAAGAAAAACGAGAGGGTGATGTAGAAAATTTGTGAATTGGTTACGGCTATAAATTTAAGGTGAACCGCACCACATCGTATCCAACGGCGACAAATCATCAAGTCGCCTCCAGGTGTCGCTTGCAGTGCGTGGCGATCTGTGATGTGATACATGGCGCCGACATCAGACATTAATTACTTCGGCGAGTACGTTCTGTGGCTACGGCAGATGCCAGTCTTATTGTCCTCGCCATGTTCTCGTCCAGTTGAACATATGCTGGTGGGGTTAGCCGTGATGTCGGCGAGGCAAAATGTTATTTGCATTAGCATCCGGGTATGAAGCGCTGATGGTTGCCGTTGCGCCACACAATTTCCCACTGAAAGTCGGGCTGTGGGCCATAGGTTAATAGCTCCCTCTCAAGTTAGAGAATGTCTACGATGCAAAGTTAGCTGTATCTCGAGTGGCGCTGGCGGGATAATTGAGCGGGTCAATAAAGTCTCAGCGCGGAACGGTATGATAGGAAGTATACCTTTGGTTTACCCGATAGACTGAAACGACGAGGGCTGTCCATGATCAGGATGTCACCGCGCGCATTGCCTGCGCGTCTTCGGGTGCCTTCCTGAAGCCGCTCTTGCGCAGCCGATAGAATCCATCGATGTTCTTCAAAATGGGGGTCGACTGATCACTCACGCACACTGATCCAACGAGGCACCGATGGTGCCGCAGTAGGCGACCCGAACAGAAACTGAAATAGCATACAATCCAAGGAGATACATATATTATGATATATGCGGAGAAGGAGGAAGCAAGAGGGCGCTGACCAAAGTCGCCGTTCAATTGCAATGATTCGGAATCGTTGTCTCGGGTCCTGTGCAGCTGGAAATGATGTAACGGAGTCCGTTGCAGCCTCCGAGGTCTTGCGGATTAGGTTAGATCTACATCGGAGACAATAATCAAGTACTTCCGCTTTCCGGAGATGGTATCAGTATACTCCAAACGAGGTAAGTCACGGTTGGCACTCAATGAAACCTGCAAGCTCATCACTTCACCAATTAGGGACAAGTGTATTGTATTGCACTCTGACACAAACGAGATTATCGGACATTAGAATTCTTGGCCGTGGCACGCAAATGAGTCGTGATACGTGGCTCATCAGAGGCATTGACTGTACTGTGTAATCAAAGGACAGCGGTAAGCAAGAGTAATGGAGGGATTGAGTGTCACCCACATAGGCGTTGAGAGCAGTGCATGTGAAGGGCGATACACATGCTAAGAAATGCGAAGTTGCTGTGAGAAGTGGAAGGGGTAAGTGAGCAATTATCATACCTGTGGGTCCCGTCCATCCTTGGCCGCCACATTGACCCCAGTGTTCGGCAGTTCCACCCGGGCTGCTGGGTATGGTCGTAGACGTAGGTTGTGTAGGGGTCGTGGCTGGAGGGGTCGTAGCTGGAGGTGTTGTAGCCGGAGGATTGGTCGTGCCTGGTGTGAGGTTATTCAATCCGAACCAAATCATAACATCATTCTCTTGTTCGGGTACTGTATGTCCTACGCCTTGGGCAAGGATAGCTGTATACCAAACCAGAAGCATCAGAGAATACCATACCACCGCACCCACAAGCAAAAACGACTGACCTTGTACGTTCGGTCCATATGATGTGCGCGTATATCCATTGAGAGGATTGTTGGTCTGAGTGGAAGTCGGTGTCTCGCTAACACCAAAGACGTTAGTCCACTGCTTGATCTCCTCCTGGAAGTTTTGAGGATAAAGAGTGGTATCGCTAGGTGTCATGGTTTAATCAAAGAAGTCCCGGAGTGGACGGGTGGCACTAACGCTGTTCCATGCCAGAACTGGACCTTGGGACGTGTGCCGGTGAATCCGGGGTAGCCAGAGCGTACTTGATCGCCCTTATACACGCAGAAAATGTCAACCAAAGCAGAAAGAGGAACATCGCAAACACGCACCCACTGCTGGCCAGTTTTGATGAGCTGGCCTTGGGCACACTGACTGTTCCACATCCCAGAGCCTGCGAAACATCCATATGGAACACCGGAGAAGAGCGAACCAGCTTTGAACAGATCTGGGTATGCACCCATCAGCACGTTGGTCATCATGGCGCCGGAGGATGTTCCAGTTGCAAAGACACGTGAAGCATCAACGCCGTAGTTGGCAATCGCGTATCTGACCATGGATGCAATGGCGAGGGAGTCTCCTCCTGCATCGTGTGTCAATGTCGCGGTGGAATGGACATCCCAGCATCCTCCTGAGTCAGGGGCATCGGGGTAAATCACAATAAACCCATCTATGAGCGTGCGTTAGTGCTTGTCAAATCGTTTGGCGCGAAAACCATACGAGTATCAGCTAATTGCGCCAGACTTGTTCCCTGGAAGTATGCCTGAGCTGTCCCGGTGCAGTAATGCATTGCGATTATAAGTGGTGGTGGGCTTGCGAGCTTGGTGGGCCTGTACAAGAACATTTGGACTCCCGTGGGATTGGGGCCGAAATTCGACACCTGCTGGAGGGTGCTGGACAAAGCATTGACCAACACACCCGCTGGGCCGACCAAAATCACCGCAATAATCGAAAGGAGACGGGAAAAGGACATCGTGCCAAAATCCTATGCAGCCAGACCATCCTCGTCGTCGTCTATATGTACTCCTCAGAATGATCCGTGCATTTCTCCCACTGTGCAAACTATAATGGAACCACAACGGGTTTCTCCGGAAGAACACTCGTGGATCGTCGAAATGTGCTTCTCCTGGCCCCATGCCCCGTTCAGCGGTGTATGCTCGGGATCATGATGGTGAAAACGCGCCTAATGTTTGAGGCCTGCAGTGGCTAAACGAATATCGCGTGAAGGGAAGTCAATTTCGTGAGGGGACAGCATCGATGAATGTCACTGTCCGTGGTCCTGAGGATAGTGTTGCGAGAAAAGCCCTAGAAATTTCACCGGATATTCCCCTGCTCCTCGAGAGGTGATGGCACTCGGAGGTATACCCCGGAAATTCCCTTTTCTGGATGTATCACGTTATCGTCTACCCCTATTTTTAGTGAGAAGCTTTCAACGAGAGGTTTGACTATGGGTGGAAAACGTATCGGTCGCCAGCATGTCAGCTTCCTAGAGCTTTTTGGGATCAATTTGTCACTCGGAAAGTTGACCTCCTCCTCGATATATCAAGTAATTGTAGTGGAATACCTTCAATGGCATGCTTCGACCGTTTACTTGCACGATGAAGAACCATGTACAGATGGGGCTGGTCATTTTGGCTGTCTCATCGCCGCTGATCTACCGAATGAGTGCGACACGACGAGAAGCCCCTCATTGACGAAAGTCTTAGGCGTCCTCGAGCGTATTTTCACCTAAGAATTACTTGAAATTATGCTTCTGAAGCGTCCATAAGAAAAAAGCGCCTGACCACGTTGGGCGCTCAAAAGTTATTAATTTGCCAAGCTTACTCGGTGACCATGCTTAAACCTCTCATGCATCATGTTCCAACCTCCACCGCGTTGTCCGCGTAGCAGGCCGACGAGCCACGACTTCATAATTACCGTCAACTTAAATCGTCATAATTCGTAATACAACAAAAAAACTGACTCGGTATCACTGGACCTATGGTATCGTGACGGAGGAGCTGGTACCAAGTTGCTGCAACACGATCATCCCGAAACACTAGCACATTCATTGTTATTCATGTTACAATCCGGCTGACATGGGATGTCCTAGGTAGCCCACTGGAGTAAGTTCATCAACATCAACATCGGCGACGGCCAAGCGACAACGCTCAGGCTTTCCGTACGCGACGCCACGCTCAGTTCATCTCATTCACGACTAAATCTAATTCCGAAAAACTGCAATCATTGTACGATGTAGTATGCACGGCGATTTCTAATTCATTGCTCACTGATCTACACGTTGCATATCTTAGATCTACACGTTTCCTGTTCTGCATAAGGGCACTTCGAAAATATGTAAATCTCGCACTCAACGCTACAGAGTTTGGCAAACATGATATTCTTTTTATGTTTTATTTCCGGCCTCGACCTCATTCTATCTGGACCTTTCTATCAAGCTGGTCCTACGATCTCACGGATCTGCGCTTGTATATATAGTGCACCTTCTTTCTTGGCTGTGCCTCCTAAACCTCCCAACTCACTGCCTTTGACATCCCCCTCTCTCCGAGAGCCCTCGTTTGTCGTCGACGATCACTGCTATTTATCCGTTGTGCCTCCTCCTAGTTCCCAATGCTCTGGACCTTTGTCACTCTCGTAGCTGCTACGTCCGTGCTTTGCCTGATCAAGTGGTGCGCGACGAAGCTCTCTAATCGACGGAAAGAGCTGTATCATCCCGGACCCAAACCACTCCCCATCATCGGGAATGCTCTGGACATCCCCAAAGTATCGCCATGGCGTGAATACGCTGGTTGGCGACAGCAATATGGCAAGTTCTCCACTCGCCCCCGGCGTACTTCATTCTGACGATAGAACAGGGGATATTATCCATCTAAGCGCACTGGGCAAGCACATCGTCGTCGTCAACTCCATCGAAAAGGCCGTCGATCTCCTCGACAAACGATCGAGCAACTACTCTGACAGACCGGACATCCCAATGGCGAACATGACCGGTTGGACGGCTATCAACATTGGCCTAATTCACTATGGCGAGCTCTGGCGTAGGCATCGGCGACTATTCCATCAGAAGTTCCGCCAGAATGCTGTATCAGAGTTCCGCCCTCTGCAGACCTCCAAAATACAGGTTCTACTACGCAATCTTCTCGAGAACCCAGAAGAGTTTAGCTTACACGTCAGGAAGTACGTCCCACTTTTGTTAACCTCTCGATAGGCCTGCCGGTCTCACCGATTTACCGCGTGTACTAGTTTCCCGGCTTCTGTCATTATGGCTGCTACATATGGGTATGAGATAGCTCCTCGGAACGATCCCATTGTTACACTGGTCGACGAAGCTTCAACGATGATAACAGAGCATATCTTTTTGGGGTCTCAACTCGTCAACGTCTTCCCCGTTCGTATGTTGATTTCCATCTCTTCCCCATCCTGCGCTAAGCCTCGTTGCTTCTAGTTAGACATATCCCTGACTGGATGCCAGGCGCAGCATTCAAGAAAATTGCGCGAGACTGCCACAACAAAGTCAATGAGATGATGGACACTCCCTTCTATGCCGTTAAGGAGCAGATGGTTAGCTTCTGCCCATTCCCCATTTATCACGTACTCATTCTCCATCCAGGCTAAAGGTGAAGCTATGCCTTCTTGGACATCCGAACTGCTACAAGATCACGACGCAAAAAAGCGCGGCGAGGAAGGTGAATATCTTATCAAAAGCGTAGCCGCTACCGCATTTGCCGGTTCGTCAACTTCCTATTGTCTTGTTACGCAGAATCTGATCTCGTTTGTTTGTGAATGCCAGTGGCCGCTGATACGGTGGGAGAACTTGTGGATGCTTCCATTACATGTGCTCACTTCAGTCTTTCTTTAGAGTGCATCATCTCTTGCTTCGTTCATCCTCGCGATGGTCCTATATCCGGACGTACTTGCAAAGGCTCAAGCTGAGCTGGACTCGGTCGTCGGCAATACAAGGCTACCAAACTTCGGAGACCGTGACTCCATGCCGTATATCGACGCACTCTGTCATGAAATTTTTAGATGGAGTCCAGCGGTCCCATTAGGTGTGTACAATTCCCACCCTCGCGATTCGTTGCTCCATCCAGTAGTAGTTAGCTCTGGGTACGGATTACTGATTCTATCTGATGTTCTAGGCGTACCCCATGCTGCTCTGGAAGATGACATCTACGACGGCCGCTTGATCCCTGCGGGTGCGTTTCCCTATGCTGTACCGATTCCATCGCCAGTCATAATTCCATTCCTCCCATGAACGTGTCGAACATCTGACTAACCGAACGTCTTCTCATTCAGGTACAATGATCTTGTCAAACATTTGGTGAGTAATCTATTCAACTGCCTCCTTCCGGATCACAATATTGTGGCTAGAACTCACTTTGATCTCTCCCTTAGGGCAATGAGCAGAGATGAGCGGATGTATGACCAACCTTCAAAGTTCATGCCGGAGCGATTCCTCAATGCGGATGGCACAGAGGTAACCCACGATCCCCTGCCGACGTTCGGTTTCGGACGACGGTGCGTACATCCTGCGCCACGCGGCACGGTGAACTAGGACCCTTACTGATGATCTACCTCCAGGATATGTGTTGGTCGGCATTTGGCTGACGACACCCTTTGGATTGCAGTAGCGACTATGGTATCTTGCTTCAACTTCACAAAGGCCAAAGACGCCTTCGGCAAGGAGATCGATGTCACTGGCGAATTTGATGACAAGCTTATCAGGTGAGCATCACTCTTCCTAAAATAGTTGTTCGCTGACGTTCTGCGTGTCTTCTCAGCCATCCACGCCCATTCAAGTGTTCGATCACCCCGCGGTCCGACGCAGCTGTAAAATTGATCAAGACATCAGTATGATATCTCCCGCTACCGTCCACTGCGTTGTTGAGCATTTATTTTGTATTTTACTTCATTGTTGTTGTCTTACGATTTTGATGGATGTGCCTTTTGTAGCCTAAAGCTTGCGTGCTTGTATTCTGGGCTCCTTGTTTAGTGCCAAGCTTTTGCCTCTACCCTCTCAGCCCTCTCCGAACCATTATGTATCGTTCCTAGTTGGAACCATGTGATCAGTCGTATATACTCGTAGATCACCTCGTGGGGTGACTTCCATAGAGTCCTGACTCGAGTTCCGCGGGTGTCCCGGATAAGTAGTTCGCGCCACGTCGCCCCGCGAGGTCGCTATACGAACCAGTACACGGGCGCCGCAAAAAAGTCCGCAAAAAGTTTAGATCCACTGTTTGATTTCGTCTGGCCCCTTGCATGTGCAGCTGAATGTTGTTATTGGATAAGGCAGAGATTCTGAGTCAATTCACCATGAGTATTCCTGAGGGGCTGTTTTGGAGAAGTCTCCTCACTAATATGAGCCCTGAGAGTACCCTCCCTTGCAAGTCACGTCTCAATCTTGATTCAGCGTGTTGTTGACTCTTGAGAGGGGTGTCGCGTCGGTCACGTGTGTATCTCCTTCCGCCAAGAATTGGCGATCAGCGATACTGCAAACAACTTGCACGGCAATGGCAAGCCCTCCTCCTCCGTGGACGACACTGAACGGTTAGATTTCAGCAGACACGGACACTACTGATAAGCTAATCTTCTGTCGTCTTGTTAGAACCGTCAACATCTTCGTCTCCCGTACCATCTAACGACGATGACCTCGAACACATTCTTCCCAATCCAACCAGAGTAAAACGAAAAGCGCGTAATACAGCTGCGACTCCATCAAGCTCATCAGCGAAGCCAGCGAAGCTTCCTCGCTTGCACCTAGACGCAACAGAAGCGGTAAATAGGAGCTTAGGTGTGTTATCTCTGCCTTCACCTATGCTATTGCGGACCGACACCATGCTCGCAAGGTACTACGTCTATGCCCCAAACGCAGCGTCGAGCAACTCACCATTTCGACTCTCGAGATCTGCCCTCTGCTAAGCCCTCTCTCGTTGAACATGTCTTGATGCGAAAGAGTAACACTTCTGCCGCTACGAGGATTGTACGACGTAAAAACAGGGACAAAAAACCATGTTTGAGCCCGACACCTTCATCACCTCCTGCGGCCAAGAGGTCCATCACGATACATGCCGCCGGTCCCAGCAGGCATCACGCAAGCGGCTCAACTGGTCTACCGTCTGCACCGCCATTGAGAAAACAAGCCAGCAAACCAGGTGCGTCACCAAATGCATGATGCTGTATGATACGTGCTCATATATCTCCTCAGAAGTTATAGTTATTTCTGACGATGACGAACCACCCTCGGTATCTGCGCCTCCCAAATTCGCTGCGTCCAAGGGTAAAGCGAGGGCTAGCTGGGTTTCCTCTAAGGGAAAAACAAAATCGGGTCCTATAGACATGATTGAATTAACTGATAGCTCCTCCTCGCTCCCTTCGCCTTCTGCGTTACTCAAGGCCAAGCCGCTCCAGACGTACCCGATTTTCAAATTTGCTGGGAAGACTAAACCACAGAATAGGAAAGCGCGCGAGAATTGCCCAACACGCGTTATTAAAGAGGAGGGGCGTGAAGTTCATGAAATCCTTGATACGAGCGAAGAGGAAAGCTCAGCCATACCGTCGTCCTTAAGCCATGTTCAGCCGCGTGCAGCAAGAACCCTCCCATTGCCAGCTACTCATGCTGCCGTCCCTCCTTCTGACAGTCCTCGGAACTCATCAAGTGTCGCCGTCGATTCATATATTGATGCTTTGCTGACGTCAATCGTGGCTGCCCAGAGTGTGCCCATCACTTCACACAACAGTCCGCCTGCAACGTGTGACACCACCAAGAACGCGACTATGGACAGTTTGCTGCCGCCTCGTACCTTCACCCCCATCGAGGACCATCGTACGATGCCTCAGCCACTACCCCGACGCTCGCTTATACGGCGGTCTCTTGCTGCTTCCCCAGTCGATGAGGCTACGAGTGACAACGCCCCAGATGAGCCTGAAGATGGTGTGTTACCGGTATTTTCAAGCTCTAGTCGCATCGAGGACAACTTGCACAGTCTGTTTAACTTTCCGAATCAATCAACTGCCACTGATCCCGTCCTTTTTCCATCTAGAACTAACCACAAGCCCACCCGTGGAGAGGCCGATTTCGACCAACGGTCCATTGGTGACTAGTGATCGTGGTTTCACCCCACCCTCGGACAGGTCTAATAGCTCGTCCGGACTCGATGGCCTCCGTGAATTAGTTAGACGCAGCAGGCTGGAGGCCAAGTCAAGAATCCAGTCACACAGTCCTGAGGCTCCGTCAGTTGCTCGCTCCTCTGCCTCTGAAGTCGAAAACGTCCTTGGGGTTCCTTCTCCCGATGCAGAATTATCCACATCGGATATCCTAGACACTCAGGAGCCTTCGCGTGACGTTGTCTCGGGATCTGAGCCACCTTCGCCACCTGCGTCGTCCGATGCGGACTCTATGGTAAGTTATTCCTCCTCCCTACACTATTAATATACCGATAGTCGTCGATAGCCAGCAACGTCTCCGGTCAGGGTGCCCGAACCCGAGGACGAGATTGCTCTGGAGTCAGTACCCGACATCACGAACGCTGTAGAAGACGAAAGTGAATTTGAGTTGGAATATTGGGACGGCCCCGGGAAAGCTGAATTTCCCTCTGCTCCCTGTGTAGCGTCCGGAAGCGAAGTCACCACACTGGAGGTATGGACACCCTCAACCATCATACCAGCCAATAATGTCATAACGAACCAATCTCTCTTGCAGGTTGGTCTGGAGAAGAAACCCGAAAGTATTGAGACTTCTGGTACTGTGGGTGCTGATATAGCGCCTACCACCGCCGCTAAGGTGAGGTCCAAATTTATTTAAAGCCATCGGTGCTGATAGTACCTAGGACAAGCCCCCTTTCCGTCCTTCGACAGGAGTTCAAGATGTCTTAGCTCTATTTGAAGAATATTACGAACCGGCGTCCTCCGTACCTGAGGCTGCCTCGAAGACTCCCGACAAAGATATTGTCGATGAGCTCCAAGCTCTAGAAATGATACATGTGCATTCCCCCTCTCGTTCCCCTTCCCCATTCGTACCGTCCACGGATCACAGACTCGTCCTAACGTCATCCAAGACACTCGGAGGTAATCCGGTCTTCACATGGCAAGATGTTGTCAGCGACCTTGCGAACTTCAAGCAACCGTGCAAACTGGCAAAGAACATACCACATTCGTTGCAAGACTACATCAACCGAATGGACGCTTGGCACCGATCCCTCCCAGGCATGAGGACTGTTCTTGAGGCTGCTATTGGCGAGAACACCGCCGAGGATGAGCCTAACGCTCCACCGATCAGCATCGTCAATAATTTCGACGATGAGCCATGCCCTCCCTGGGAATTCTACTACACCAACTTGATGTGGCATGATGAAGGTGTCCCTCCACCAGACATGACTGGCTTGAAAGGGTGCGGGTGCTACCCCAGGTGTGATCCAAAGAATGGATCTTGTTCCTGTCTTCAGAAACAGCGCTCCTGGAGCGGGGAATTCACGCCTGATTTTGCCTACGACTCCCGGGGGAGACTCAAGTACCAGAACGTTCCCATCTTCGAGTGTAATGATATGTGCGGCTGTGACGACGATTGTCGGAACAGGGTCAGCATCTAGAGTTATGCTTGTTAATAAAAGGTAACTAATTTGTCTCTGCAGGTTGTTCAGCATGGTAGGAAGTGTGCGGTTCAGATCGGAAAGACTAAGAATAAAGGATGGGGTACGATCCTGCTCTCGTTACCAATTTTATGCTTATCGTGCTCCGTAGGAGTCTTTGCCGGTCCCAAGAAGATTTATGATGGAACTTTCTTGGGTATATACTCAGGCGAACTACTCACTGAAGAAGTCGCTGAGGAACGCGGAAAGTAAGACATTCATTCCGCGGTGTTCTCATTATCTAACATCACCAACCCCAGGAAATACAACAAATTTGGCAGAACATACCTCTTTAACCTCGACTTCTATTTCCTAAGGGAAGGGAAAGAAGAAGAATGGGAGCCAAAGTATGTCGTCGACGCCTACCATGCCGGCAATGTAAGACACGATCTCTGCATTCCATTCTGTTGCTCATCACCCATCTGATATATCCAGTTTACCCGTTTCTTGGTGCGCCTTCCTTCTATTTTGCCTTATTCTGGCTTACATCTACCTAGAATCATTCCTGCTCTCCTAACGCTCGACTAAACGCCGTTTACATCAATGAATCCAACATCGATAAACCTCTCCTTGCTATATTTGCATGCAAAGATATCGAGCCTGGTGCCGAAATCTGCTTCTCTTACAGCGGAAATTATGATGTAAGCAGCTGTACGAGGCTACTTCTGGTTCATCCTGTACTCAAATATACGCACCCCAGGAGGAAGACCTCGAGGAACAAGCGGAACGGGTCGTAAAAGGAGATGCGATCTACGAGCGTTGTATGTGCGGTGCAAAGAATTGCACAGGTACGTCCATAATCATCTGCATATATATTACTTGTCAGACTGCTGAATATGACATTATAGGCATAATGTTTGATTGATAGCGCGATACACATATCTTCATGGTCTATAATACAATTATTCAAACCTGAAATTACATCCGTGATAAGTAAATCATGACTTAGTCGTCAATCACGATGACCTCCCCCAACTGTTCGACCGGAGTGGAGTGGCCCGAGCGTCTACGCTGTGAGTTCCTTGACCCGCCGTCATTGGTTCCGACATCTTTAGCGTTCCCCCGTTTCCTTCTCTTCGCGACTGGTCCGTTGGAATCAATCGTCCGAGCGCCACCTTCATCGTCGGAATCAGGTATCTCAATGGGCGTGTTATCTACGACGGGGATAGGACTCGCAGTTGCTTGTACCTCGTCACCGGCTGGGGGATCGCTCACGGCGGGCGCTTTGCGTTTGCCCTTGGCCTTCGTGGACAAGGTTTCGGGCTGCGGTGGCGGGGGCTTAGGGCGAGCATAAAGTTCAACCCATTGCTGAGCTGTCGTGTCGTGTTGTTTCCGGTTACGCATATACTGCGTCGCGATTGATGGCACTGACATGTGGGATTTGGCAGTTAGAACACGACTTTAACACGCGTAGGTCGCTAAATATACCTAGCGGGTCCTCTAAGCAGCCCGTGAGGGCGTTGCATCAGCTTCAGAGAGCATATATGCGGACTACAATTGGGCTTACGAGGGTTGGGATCGGTGAGCAGAGACGAGAGTGATAACATCACTTTAAATATTGAAAGAGCAGGCGACCAGTTCTGCTTGAGTATGTCGATGCATATATTCCCTCTATCCGAGATCTGGCAAGTGGTTGAGCGTGTTGTTTCTGTGTCGGAGGACATCTACACGCACATTCATATGGTATATTCTGGACAACTCCACCATGAGCGATCAAGTCGCAATATCAACACTAGTAGGGGGGGCGACTCACCTAGTCGTAAACACAACCTTCGGTGCGGAGAATCTAAAGCAAGTCAGCATTCCCCTCATTTCCCCCGCCACCCGCCGAACCTTGTTCAGAAGAACACTCACGGATAGTCGGGTGGCAGATGTATCTCCACGTTGAACACGCCGCCCTCATATGGGCTACCCTGTGGGCCGGGTAACGTGCTCTTCCACAAATACAGGTTATCGTCTGACGGCGAGAGGGTGATGGGCCCCAAGTCTTCCTTCTTCAAGTCGGCGATTTCACGATTTATCCGCTTTATAGACATCTTGGGACGGTGGAGAGATTGTCAGGGACGAGGGCTTCAAAAGAGAGGGAGTAGCATACGGGGTTTGACAATCCTGGAGCCATGTTGAAGGGGAGACGCAAGTGAGTAGTGGTCGTGTTGTGGCGGAAGTGAGCAGTTCGGCAGCCAACAGAGTGCACAGCCACCGGGGGAAACCAAGTCCGACGCGTTGATACTCCTGGCTCCTAATCAGTCCCCTAAGCACCAAGCAATGCATGCTTATTCGTGTAGGATCTTTGGAAAGTTATCGTCCTGGTAGTATACTTAGTAGACATAAATCCAGAACTACAAAGGTGCGAACCCACTACATCTGTCAACTCTATAATATGTGATTGCTTCAAAGATAGCGCTGACAGTGCATTATGTCAAATTTTCCCTAATAATCCACATGATCTATGTACAGTCTGAAGCTGAGACACTAAGCCCACTGACCTAAATCACAATGGAAGAGTTGGAAAGGAAGAACCAAGATGCCCTCCTATCCCCTGTACATCACGTGCTTTATCCTTCCAAATCCGGCGATCGGACTCGCTCGCCACTAGGTTCGTTTGAGTCCTTCCTAGTGCCCATATCGCACTTTGCACTCAGAATGCACTACTTCGAATGGCACACACATCTGCACAAAATGGCTACTCAGCTGCCGTGGAATAACGCAGGCACTGCGTAGAATCGTGCGCTACCAAGGTGGGACCGGGAATCGCTGTGACGATGCACTATTCCGCACTCTCTTTGAATCTCAATCTTGAATCTCATAGTCTTCAGGCCAAATTCCTCACGAGTCCCCAGAAGCAATCCGTGGATCGTCCAACATCCTGCCGTTGACTGAGAACTCACACGAAGCGCAAGTAGCTCTCTATAGCTCCATGGCTGGACCATGGGGTCAACCCCATAAATTACCGAAGATAATACTGCGGCGCTACCATGTGGCCAATCCTCGTGACGCTTCGAAGATATGTCGTTCCAATCGCCCCAACGAGGATACAAGCTTTGGATATCAGCTAGATAGTGCAGAGCAAAGCGCATTCCGTGCCGTATGCTTGCGGCTCCGTAGTATACTTCCCAAGGTTCTTCGATGGGCAATTTATAGTAAGTCCTAGCTTAATTCAGATCGCTGGCTCTTTGTTAATCGGTTGCATTACCTATGCTCTGCCTCTCAGGTCAATTGAGCGAAAATGCGCCTACTATTCTATTCATTCATCCGACGACATCAAGGACAGTGTCACGCTGCTATTAGAAGCATCGCCAAGGTCTCCGCAACCTCTGACACGGGGAGCACTTGTGCGCGGCGCCCACTCGGGGTTTTGTGAGTTGCAATTTCTGCTCGTATATACTTCGGGGCCGCACAACTGACCAGATGCATTTTGACATCGTTTAGAAAACCGACGCCTGATGGCTATTAGGATAAACGGTACAGGCTGAATGGCGGGTTAGAACCGGTACAACGACGACGTCACCTCCAGATATAAATAGAGTGCTCTTGATCGCTGCACTATTCATCCTCAGCGGAAGTAAAAACATGGTCTCTTTCACTTCGCTTCTCATCACCGTGACTGCCGCCATCGGCACCTTCGCTGCACCTCCGGCAAATGCAACCGAAGGACTTGGACTTCTCCAGGCTCGCGCTGGAACTCCCAGTGCGACGGGCACATCGAACGGCTTCTACTACTCCTGGTGGACCGACGGTGCCGCTGATGCCACCTACACCAACGGAGCTGCAGGCCAATACTCTATCCAATGGTCGGGTAATGCTGGCAACCTTGTTGGCGGCAAAGGATGGAACCCAGGAAACAACAACAGGTAGGGAGTTGGATTGTTTTTCACGAAATAGCGGCTAACGTTGGTGCCCCTTCAGAGTGATCAGCTACACGGGTACATACACTCCAAACGGCAACAGCTACCTCGCCATCTACGGGTGGACGCGTAGCCCGCTCATCGAATACTACGTCGTCGAGTCGTACGGCAGCTACAATCCCTCTTCTGCTGCCTCAGCGAAGGGGACTGTGACCTGCAATGGCGCGTCGTACACCATCCTCCAGACCACGCGTGTCAACCAGCCTTCAATCGACGGCACGCAGACCTTCCAGCAATTCTGGTCTGTCCGCAACCCGAAGAAGAACCCTGGCGGCGCCATCAGCGGCACTGTCGACGTCGGCTGCCACTTCCAGGCGTGGGCAGCTGCCGGGATGAGCTTGGGGACGCAGCACAACTACCAGATCGTCGCCACTGAAGGCTATCAGAGCAGCGGATCCTCGACCATCACTGTTTCGGAGGGTGGTTCCTCAGGAGGAGGAGGATCGTCGACGAGTTCCACACCCCCGGCGCAGTCTTCGACTCCTTCTACGGGAGGCACTGCTGCCCACTGGGGACAATGCGGTGGTCAAGGATGGTCAGGCCCTACCGGTAAGTCTTCCACTCCCTAATCAAGAAACGAGCTCAACTTGAGGAATACAGTTTGCGAATCGGGATACACATGCACGGCCCTCAATGCCTACGTGAGTGTCCTTTTCCTGAGCTTAGTTTCTATAATCTTACCCTGTTGCACACCAGTACAGCCAGTGCCTTTGAAAAGGAAAATTGAAGACTCCGTATGGGGACATCGTATTTCTCTCGATGTATCTGTACCGATCCAAAATTGCTTCTTAGTTACTCAGTGGCTTCCCTTCGTTGTGACCATCTGCGTCTATATATCTTGTGAACGCGTGGGATGGCTGAGATCATTCAAGTGTAGTTCAGTTAAGAATCTTGCAATCAAACCCAAATCGTTCAGTATTGAAGGGAGGAAGACAGAGGACCTTTGCGAACACGACTAAACGTCTCGTAGCGGCGTGTGTCGGTAATATAGCTATCAGGCAATCTCGTGTTCTGATAGAAGCTGAATCAACGCGTCAGCACCAATGATCGATTAGCGCAGGCTCAAGGGACACCGCACCATGTTCGGGATCCCGTTGGAGATAGGATATACGTGACTGCAGTTTGGACATATCATTTGTCCTTCTTCGATGTGCAACTATTGTAGACAGCGTAAGAAATTTGCGTTTAGACCCCAAAGGTCGCCAGGGGCATGCGAGGACCACCGACGTCGAAACATACCTCAAGGAGGACATGATGCAGCATTTTCAGTAGGTCATCGTCCATCATCTCGGGCCGCTCGTCTGGCAACAATGTATCGCCTAACTGCAAGCACCATTGCCATTAGGCTAGGTCAAGTGCCATTAGCGCGATGCTCACCATTTTCGTGGTATCGACGAGAGGTTTCCACTCGATTTTGGGGAGCAACCCCCTTATGAAATCAGGGTTAAACTCTGCTTCGCGATGCTCGATCTCTGCGTCTTTAAATTGCAGAGGGAAATTGTTGGTCGTGCAGCCTTTTGCATGGCAAGCCAGGAGATTATGGGTTATGAGTCGCACCATTGGCGGACTGAATCTCCTCTGAATTTCTGTGTGAAGTGATTCAAGTAAGTATGAAAGAAGCTTCAAGCTCTCGATCAGTTCTTGGCAATATTAATTTCAATTAGCGCCCGATCGGCCCAGGATCAGTATCATCGAGCCCATCGTCGGTGCGATATAATGGGGCGTAAGGGAACAGAAGTTGATTCGGCGGAATGCCTTGAGGAGGGCGTGCTTCTGCAATGGAGGAGGGTTTAGGAAGTCGTCTCGAAATGCGTGACGTATGTCATGTTCTTGCGAAGAGTCCGCAGAGGACTAGACAAGTTATTTCGGGCGTTGGCGACTTGTCTAACTAACTCTGACGGACGGTATTGATCCTCACTCTGTCGTAGGCTACGCTGAGCACTTACGGTAGATGAAGGCGCCACGTAAATCCAACTGTAAATCAATTTCGTTGTTCAGAGTACTACCGCGTAAAATGGTTATGCGCAGCAAGCAAAAGAAGTGACTGAATAAATGATTCCAACCTAAGGCGGAATACTGGTATAATAGGGATATGTGGAATGAAAGATGCCGCCCAGCTGAGACGTGATGAATGTAAAGTGACGAGCTGGATGGTAAACGAGGCCCAGCCTTATGACACATAGACTCGTCTTCTAAAGGTGAATTAGAGCTCGTCGCAGAATGGGAGGTCATCGTCGTCTTCATCGTTGTTGTCTTGGGGAGCTGGGGCAGCAGGGGCCGGTGCAGCGGGTGCAGGCGCGGGAGTAGGCTTGGTGGAGGGAGGAGCAGGGGTAGCCGTGGCGGGGATCGTAGCAGCTGGGATATCAGCCCCAACGGGAGGGGGAGGAGCCTGCAGGCTGGAAGCCGCGCAAAGAACCTATACACCGCAAGATTTAACTTCCAAACGAATCATGATAAATGGGGAAATGCGTACCTCTCCGACGTAAATGTTAGTGCATCCTGCGTTGATTTGAGGGTTGTTCAAGTAGAGGGTGGTGGTGTTCACGCCGGTGATAGCGGAAATTTGTTCGCAGGTGTCATCGAGCTTGACAACGTAGGTCGATGTGCAATCCTGGCCCTCATGTCCCAGGCAAATGTTGTCACCAATCAGGAGGTTGGAGCACTCTGGGTCGATGTGACCAAAGTTAACTGTCGCGAGCTGGTAGCTATTGATTAGGCCGGTTAGTCAACCCCCCGCATACAGAGTTCCGAACAAGACAACTGACGTTGAGACGTTGTTCGCCGCAGAGATGGAGTCGCAGATATCCCCCGCCTTAACGGTGTAGGATCTGGTGCATGTCGCAGAGACGGCTGAATTCCACGCAAACATCAGTACCGAAAAACTTCTTAACAAGAACCGAACTGACAGCTGGCAACAGAGAGCGCGAAGAGGGCAGCGGTGAAAGATTTAGAGAACATCCTGCAATTAATGGTTGGGGATTTGCGGGCAAAGAACGTGTAGGGGACTAATGAACGACGAGGAGCAGCACAACGATGAGCAGGGAAACGCGGAGATGGTGGGGGAGCGAAAGCAAACAGTTGATGTTGAATTTATCGAAACTCCGCACTACATAACAATTTTCTGGCGGGACTTGGCAAATCCTCGGCAGCGTGGCAGTCGTCTTGCCGACGCCGCCCTTCAGTCAGGCACCGCTCACTCAAACGTTCGTCTCACTGCAAAGTCGTATCGACATCGTCGAAACCTGCCAGAAAATGAAGTGAGTTTCACCGCCATACGAGTCAGCAAATGGCGCTTTCAAGGAGACCTTGCTAATTTTTCTCCTTTTTTTACAAAGGATGCACGTCCCATCTTTAGTTCGCGCTAAGTTAGCAGTGTCTTGTGGAAGCAATCAACTGCTTTGGTATGGAACTAATATATCAAGCAAATATAGCTGTCGCGCTCGTTGATGACATGGGACACATTCAGTTGGCTACCCGACTGTGCGGGTACGTCGAAGATTTGTCAATATTACGCACAACTTGACCTTGTTTTGCTTCACTAAATACAACGCGGTAGCTTTTCCTGGCTTGGAACTTCGTTTTAGCTTCAGGCTCGGTTTGACAACATCCGCCTGCCTGATGGAAGATGATGTTGGCGAGCGCTTCAGCCCCTTACTGGAATGGAGACCCGACGAGTCACGAAACAGCTTCAAGCTGGACCGTGGCGGTCCCACACACATTTAGACGAGGTAAGAGTCGAATCAATCGCATGGCGTGTATGCGATGTGAGTTGGGACCGAAATGAGCGTAACTGACAATTAGTATTCACGGAACTTGAAGTATCGCCAGCCTAGTGCAACCTAACACCTCATCTTCAAAAGCATGTTCGCAACTTTACGGTATTCAGTAGACGATTCTTAATTATCACGGTTACACTGATTGTAATTTGACATTCCCGTACTTTATATTGGCCTTCTAGAGGCACTGGCTGTACTGTTGTGCGAGAGGGTAAGACATGGGCCGTATTTACAATTGAGGTCGGGATACTCACGTAGGAGTTGAGGGCGGTGCATGTGAACCCTGACTCGCAGACTTTACAGAAGTTGAGCTTCCCTCCTGTTTGATAATGCAAGGTTACTCACCGGTAGGACCCGTCCATCCTTGTCCGCCACATTGTCCCCAGTGGGCAGCAACGCCACCAGGAGAAGGGGGAGGTGAAGATGGTGATGGTTGAGGGACGGCAGTCGTCGAAGGGCTGGGGGGAGTTCCACCTCCACCCGAGGGAGCACCCTCCGAAACGGTAATGCTAGACGACCCGCTGCTCTGATACCCTTCGGTGGCGACAATCTGGTAATTGTGCTGCGTCCCCAAGTTCATTCCAACGGCTGCCCACGCCTGGAAGTGGCAGCCGACGTCGACAGTGCCGCTGATGGCGCCGCCAGGGTTCTTCTTCGGGTTGCGGACAGACCAGAACTGCTGGAAGGTCTGCGTGCCATCGATAGATGGCTGGTTGACACGCGTGGTCTGAAGGATAGTGTACGTCGCGCCATTGCAGGTCACGGTTCCCTTCTGCGACGCAGCGGAGGACGGGTTGTAGCTGCCGTACGACTCGACGACGTAGTATTCGATGAGCGGGCTACGCGTCCATCCGTAGACGGAGAGGTAGCTGTTACCGTTGGGTGTGTATGTACCGGTGTAGCTGATCGCCCTGTGGAAGATACCTCAGCTATCACCATCTTGATACGCGACGGAGTTCCTTACCTGTTGCTGTTTCCTGGGTTCCATCCCTTGCCACCAACAAGGTTGCCAGCGTTACCCGACCACTGGACAGAATATTGGCCTGCGGCTCCGTTGGTGTAAGTACACGTGGCGGCACCGTCGGTCCACCAGGAGTAGTAGAAGCCGTTCGATGTACCCGTCGAACTGGGGGTCCCAGCACGAGCCTGGAGGAGCCCGAACCCTTCAGTTGCATTTGACGGTGGTGCAGCGAAGGCGCCGATGGCGGCAGTAACGGTGACAAGCAGAGCAGTGAATGAGACCATTTTTTGTCCTGTTGAGGAGTAGTTGGACACGAATCCGACATGCTTTATATGTGGATTTTGGAAGTTAGAGTATGTCGCAACTGGCTGTAGTCCGTAATTGAGGCTGTAGTGTTTAACCAAGTTCTGGTTTCCGATTAGGTGACAATGAATTGACGACGCAATCTGACCACATGTAGCTCCCCGAGGTATTTACGAACAGACATAGCTGCTCACAATACCCCGAACGGCAGCCATCGCAGTGCTTCGCGAGTTCTCCTCGATGTCAACATCGGCTTGGCGACGCTTCTCACTGCGTGACTTTGTGCCGACCATATCGTCGGCGAAATGGTTTGAATGGTGGCAGGCGTATTTTCGCGCAATTGAGAGACAGAAATAGACTTCGGCGCGACTATAATCGATAAGTTCGTCAGTCATGGACAAACATAGGGGCGACATATCCAGATTGGAGGGGACTTACACTGACAACCCTACAAACTACATAGTAATCCTTCCGAGAAACAGCGGCACGCACGGCGTTGAGCACCCTCGCACTTGCTGCAGTGCAATTGCGCGCTTCACGGATGCCCCACATCGTACTTGCTTCTTTCATTGAACGTCGGATCCATTCTAACGTTAAACCGACATCGCCGTGGTGTTTGGAAAGACCTTGGATTTTCCGATCTGAACATGGGGTAGAACATGCTGGGGTGGATTGACCATGCTTCTGGAAGATGATGTGGGGGTCTTCCTACTCAGCGCACAATTTTCGCTGTTGATGAGTCCCCGTGCCAGATGCAGCGAGTAAGAGGGTGTAGGACAGAGCAGCTGTTCTCTCCTCTTCTTGATGTAGATATGCGCGAGCCTGGGTACTTGGTTCAGGTGAACGTTCCATCCTTCCTTCGACTGCACCTCCATGGCTGCCCATGCTGACTCTGGTGGCTTCTTGTAGGATCCATTTGGACTGTCCCTGGTGTGACATAGTAAGCAGAAGGGACAGCAACCAACGCGACGCGAAAGATAAAGCCTCCTATGGTCATGTGACTGCCCCTGCTCCATCCAAGTGTGTGGCACTCACCTTGCTTCTTCCCTGCCAGTACAGCCCATCGTCTCGCGCATCGAGTGAGACCTATTCTACGAATTTCGCGGTCGCACTAGTGCTACTCTCACGCCGACTGAATATGCCAGAAATCCAAGCCCAACGTGCTCCCTCTGGGTGGTCACGATGGGCCCAAGAGAGCACGTCGAACGTTTCAGCGGCAAGTCCAATGAACGACATGCTGACTGGGCATGTAAACCATCAGATAAGGGCCAGCCATATCATTTGCCCGGATGGTATATAACTCCAACCGGACCAACTTAAAACCCATCATCGCGCTTATCGCTACTCAACAACCCCCTGGTATCTCATCCTCAAGTAGCTTGTAACTTACGATGGCTCCACGGGTCTGGTTCAGTGAGTAATATAGCTTATAGTTGAATGTTAGTATCGCGTCCAGAACATACCAATTTAACACCGCTGCGTTCTAGTTACTGGAGCTTCTTCTGGCTTCGGACGAGCGATGACAGAGCTCGTCTTACGCGAAGGCGAGACCGTAGTCGCCACTGCGCGTTCCCCTCACACACTCGCCGATCTCATCACCACCCACCCAGCCGACCAACTCCTCGTCCTCAAATGCGACGTCACAATCCCCGAAGACATCCTTTCCGCATTCCGCGGTGCATACGACAAGTTTGGGCGATGCGACGTCGTATTCAACAACGCCGGGTGCGCACTTGTCGCGGAATGGGAGAACGCAGACCAGGACGAGCTGGCGAAGAACGTGTTCGATGTGAATTTCTGGGGCGCGGCGCGTGTGAGCAGGGAGGCGGTGAGGGTGTTTAGGGATTTGAATCCCGCTGGCGAGGGAGGATTGCTGCTGACAAGCGGTTCGTTGACCGGGCAACTCGATTCACCGGGCGCAGCGATATACAGTGCAAGGTAAGCTTCGCGCCTTACAAGCAGCTTCGTCGAGACTCACATCTGTCATATCCAGCAAGCACGGTAAGATGTCTTACGGAGAGGAATAACTCCAAATAATTCACCCCATTGCATCTCAGCCTTGGACGGCCTGACTGCTGCATTAGCTAAAGAAATCGATCCTAAATGGAATATCAAAGTAAGTCGCCGTTAATCTCCTTTAGCCTTTACTCAAAGTCCCCCTCCTCGATCAGATCTGTATAATTGAACCCAGCATGTTCAAAACCCGAATATTCGAGAAGGGCGGTCTTCCCGTCTTTCCACCCCATCCAGCGTACGAGAACCCCGACCTACCTACCCAGAAGCTTCGGCGAGGAGTGGCGGCTCTTGCAGGACCGTTCGGCGACCCGAGGAAAGGCGTGGAGAGAATATACCAGTTGAGCAAGCTCGAGAGGAGCGAAATCCCCCTTCGACTGCCCTTTGGCAAGCCGGCGGTGCCGGGGATCTTGAAACACTACGAGAACGTGACGCAGGAGATACAGAAATTCGAGAGTTTGTCCGAGGGCTTGGAAACGGATGGATGATGGGTGCGTAGTATACCTACCAGACCCAATCATACACTGTTGAGATGAACAAATCAGAAGGCATTGACTATCATGATACGTCCATCACATCTCTGTCCGTGGCGTGATAGGACGGGATTCCATCACGTCCAGATCACTTTGCCCACACAGTGATTGATTATCGATGCCAAACCCGACGCTGAGGTACTCGGGGGCCGTAGCTACTGCCGTTGTTCACCCGCGCTCATTTCTCGGCGCTGAGATGTTGGAGGCGTAGACGGGTGTGACCAAGGCCACTTCCTTTCGACCACCATCCCATACTCTTCAGGATCTCGCTCCTTTCATAGAATGCTAGTTCATTCGTGGATCGTAGCTCTCGTACTATGCGTGCATAGTCACATCCGCAGCGCGGAGGCCCAACAGATCAAGACGAATGGTCTCGCAAAAATCGACAGCCCTCAGCCTGACACGTTAGTTGTTTACAAGTCATGAGCAGGAAACGAAATTGATAACTAGTTCCAGATTCGTTCACAATCATATTGTCATAGCCGTGGACGTGGACGTATGTGATACCCCGCCAGTCTATGCTGCTTATCGCCTCACGGTATTCATAGGTGTCTCAAGCCCCACCACAGTCTGGTATCGACAGCCTGGAGATATACCTCATATCTGTTCCATTGGGTCTGAATCTCACAGTCGCGGCTGGGCCCACCTTCCTGAATAGTGAACCTACCAGCACAGTGAAACATCTCGACTATTTTCCGCCGTCATGTGCCAAAGCGGGTGACTATGAGGTATTCGTTACTCTTATCCGCAAGGAAGGTCCACTAAATATACTGCTCGTTAGCTTACCTTCTACGAAGCGTCCCATGAAGGCGATCAGAGATTCTTCGACATTACGCCCATCCGCGTGCGGGTTGACCAAACGGAGGGGTCTTCTACTTTCTGCGACGCGACCCCACCCCAAGCTTCCCCTGAGTCTATCGCACCCCCACCATTGCCGCCTCTACCTGATGGCCCCGACGCGCCTTTCGTTCCCTCTCCGCCTGAGGACACTCCCCGACCCTCTGACACGCATACAAACCAGCTCATGGAGCCATTGGTAACATCCCAGGAGTCTCCCAACTCTAATCCCACCATGACCTCTGCTCCAGCGTCTGCTAGCGGCACCGCCACCCTCGAAGGGAAAGCACCTACATCTACGGCGTAAGTTCTGTATCTTTCCCGTCTGGACTTCGACCTCAGACTTCAGTTGGCTACAGTGATCCTTTCCACTCGTTTGTCCTACTTCTCCCAGTAAGCGGCGCTCGGACCAAGGCCTCCTCATGTTCTACTGTTCAGTTGATGTTCACCGGCGTCTTCGTGCCACTTGTACTCGTAGTATGGCATGCTTCACTATGAATCGAACTACATGAGTACCTTCACAAGCTGTTGTATCCTCTGAGCGCTTACATGGCAGACGGTGTTCGAAGCATCTAGTCATCATGTGTGACGAGCGTTGGTGCCCTTTAACTTGTATGACATCACTCTCAGAGGCTACGCATCGCAGCGTGCAACGGCCATCGGAACCACATGCAGCTGACGCCATGGGCTCTCGACTATAAAGCCAAGCATTCCTTCAACTTCCCTCCATGTTCAGACCACGTCCCTTCCTCCCCCGCACCCTTGCACCCGCGCCTCAAAGTATCAAAAGCCTCCTCGTATTTCGTCCAATCCACCAAAGTACAGTAACCATGTCCACAGCAAGGAAGCTCACGGACGCCATCAAGGAGGATCACCAAGAGGTATGTAGATACTCAATTTATACCGCAGAATATATGCTAATAGGACTTCAATGTAGATGTATGAGTACCACGAGCAATTCAATAAAGCCAAGGGCGACGTCGACGCGCAAACACGCTGGGCACGCCAGCTCACCTGGGAGATTGCTCGACACGCCGTCGGGGAAGAGATTGTCGTGTACCCCTTAATGGAGAAGCACCTCGGACAACACGGGCTTGACCTCGCGAATCAAGACCGCAAGGAACACTTAGTACGAATTTGATACGCATACATACACCCTCCTAATTACTAACATGCTATTATTTGCAACAGACTGTCAAGACTTTGCTCTCCAAGCTCGAGTCACTCCAGCCTGGGACGGCCCCTTACGATCAGACCGTGTCTGAAATCATGCAGCACCTGCATGAGCACAACGACAGTGAAGAAACCAACGACCTCCCTATCCTTGAAGCCAAGATCGGTGCAGAAGGGAGTGAAGCTGCTGCTGCTTCGTTCACCCGTACCAAGAGATTTGCCCCTACGCGGTAAGCTCTCCAAACATCTCCCAAACCCTGTTCTAATACCTGTAACTTGTCATTTAGTGCTCATCCGGGTGCACCTGACCGTCCTCCTTATGAGACACTCAGCGCCTTCATCGCTACGCCAATTGATAAGTTGAAAGATATGTTCGCTAAGTTCCCAACAGAAGAGATGAAGCAGGCTGCTAAGTGATTGATATTTTACTTCCCCCCCGTCTCGAATCAAAGTGTATTTGTATCCCCTGTGTGTGTCAACTGTCGCCTTTGTGGTCTCCTACTATTCATGCCCAATAACAACCAGATATATTTGTGTATGTCTTATTGCGAGGAATTATGCCGTGTACAATCTCGTATCAATCTCCCGCGGCTAGCTTGGCTAAGTGCTGCTGTTGCTTGCTCCAAGTTCTATCCTTGAACTTTCTCTTGGCGTTATCCGAAGTATCGTGAGGTCTAGCGGGCAAACGATAGAGCAAAGCTACTTTCTGATAAGGCTGGATTTAGGACGGCTGTCTTGGCTCCAGAGTGTGATCTTTCTCGATATTCAACTCGAGCTTGCGTATGTCTATTTGGCGCAGTAGGTTTGTTCTTCATTTCTGAAGCTACAGTCGCAGATGAACCAACGATCGGGATGGGTGAGCTCGAATCTAGTGGTGTCCTCGCTGTTGCTGTGATAGTGCCTTCCTCCTCCATCACTCGTTGGGCCCGCCTTTGTTCATATCTCCATTTGCGACTTCCTATCGTCTTCGGTATCCGGGGTTGTGGTGTCGGTAAAGCCTGAGCTTCGATCACCGGTTTCGACTCAGAGTGACTCTATGGGTCAAGTTGATCCAAGATATACCACAGCCAAGGCAGTCATATCCGCTTACCAGCACAGTTCTCGTAGGAGCCTTCATCCCATCACCTCGAACGATATCACATATATAAACAACGCCATCACCAGCCCCGAGCTCAGGCGCGAAGTCGAATAGGCACGCATTCTGGAAACAGGGCGAGGGCGGATCCGGCCAGCTGCAAGACGGCGGTGTCTGGGGGTATATTTCTGGTGACGAAGGCGCAGTTTCGACGCAAGGCCGCCGGTGCTCCGTTTCTGTGCGATAGCCGCGTATTATGGGAACGAATAGGTCCAGCTCGTCCCGCAGGAAGTGGGTATCAAACTGGAGCGACGGCGGGGGTATCGTCGCGAGCTTCGGAAGGGATGGGAACTGGAGTATATTGCATTGTGATGATTTGAACAGGACCATGAGTGGGATGTACGTACTTTGAGGCTCGACAAGGCTTCGGACCGTCCACGAGCAGTGTTTATTCTTCGAAAGGGCGGGTACGTTTCTCCGAGGGTAACAGCGGCGCCGAATATCAGGTACCTCTGTAGACCGTCGCCGCCAGGGCCAGCGTCAATTTACGACTTTCAATCCCAAAGGCGAGCACGGAGAAGAAACGGAACCTTACCCAGCGACGGTGGTACTCCCCCCAGGGTGACATATCATGGTTCTGAAGCCTGCATACGTTGACGTTGATGCTAACGGGCGCCCCGCCAACCAAGAAACACATCAAACCTGCCCTCAGCCTCCACGATGTCGCTGAATCTGGGTGAGCCGGCAATTTCGAGGATCGTCTGCTTTCGACGGCGCTGGATACAAATATAAAGGCGAGATGACTCTTGAGCGGAATAGGATGCGCTACCAGTATCTGTGGTGACGGCGCCGTGCAAGGCATAGATTGGGCTTCGCATGGGCGATCGGTGATTCGGGGAAATTTCCAATTCGAGCTATTTATTAGCCAAAAGCAGACCTGGTGGTAAGTCGCGCTCGGAACGGGAGCAAAGACGACGATCGACGATCATCGATCATCGCGCTATGTCCGGCTCAATGAATTTACCAACCCTGACTTGGAGGTTCAAGCAATACAACAGACCGTGGGTCAATTGACAGATATCTGACAGCGACCACACAACCCCCCCCCCCCCCCGCCCCCGACCTGAATGAAAATATCTACACTAGACGTATTGCATTGTCAGTAGGAGACGACATATCTGGCGGCCTCCACATTCATCAAGATCCCGCTGGAAGGATTCACAAGGGAGTTAGGACCACATCTGCCTCCCAATCCGCCAGCCATTCTTTGCCAGGCCTGCACAACCATCTAACTGCCACCGGGGCGGTCGCATCACGGTACCGCCGTCTAAGCAGAGTGCTGCCCCTATTGCCGTATTCCACGAACTCGAGAGTCGGGATATCATCAAATGCTGCACGGAATTCATGCAGAGGTCCCGACGTAAACTGGGGCAAACGAATGCCGCGGGGTCGGCAGTGGTTTCCGGGATGCCAGTTCTTGAGGGTCGACGTACTGATCGGACCCCAAAACTCCAACCACTCAAGATTAGGAAGCCACGATGCCATTGACCTCGCCGAATGCGTTGTTGGACATGAGAGTGTGCGCACAGACTCCATACAACGGTTGTCTGCGTGGGCGGAATTGCGCACGCCAGTCATGCACAGATGTGTGATGCAGGCGGCGGTGTCGGCGAAGGGATGGACTCGAACAGAGTCGAGGATCAGGGTCTTGAGGTTGGGAAATGATGCGGGGGGGAATTCAACGTCCATGTTCAAGTTGATGTGGGAAAGGTGTAACATTTCAAGCGATGTTTGTAACTCCAAGAAATGCAGCAGGTCTGGGTACAAGGAGCTATAGCTCATTGTGCGTACCGTCCGGCTCGATGCAATATGAAGACTCGTGAGGGCGAATGGGAAGCTCTGGCGGAAGAATCGCGAAATCAAAAGGGGGGATATAGTGAGCCGGAGGTCCTTCAAGTTGACCGTCTTCATCAGAAGTTCGACGATGAGGATACGGTCCTCATTTCCCTGAGCTGTAAGCGAGAGTGTTCGTACATAGGATGCTCTTCGCCGATCCGACGCCTCGAGCGCTTCGTGGAGCCTTCTGAGCTTCATCGTTGTTGACTTCAGAAACGACGGTGGAAAGACGATCCGCGCGTAGAGGAAACGTTCGGCCAACTGGAGGAACTGTCGTGAAGCGACCAGGACATTCAGCAGTACTTGCTTATCGTCTACGCTGTCAAACACCGCTTCCAGCATTTCTGGAGGTAGCGTCAACATCATCGTTGCTCAATGTTGCGGTACGGTGGTCAAGTTCAGGACGGTCGCGTGACCGATCTGCCCAGACCTGCCATTGCCAATGCAAGAAAAGGTGTTTAGCACATGGTATCGTACCTATATAATGTACATGAATAATATAGATATAGATTATGGATGACCAGTAGGATGTGACGTTATCGATAAAATCGTGGAGGTTATCCCCGAGCGAGGTCTTACGATTCCTTCAAACATAGCATCACCTGTCGTCCGCCTAACACCAAAAATGACCAAAATTGAACCCTAAACTGAGTAACAGTGTGGTCAGTTACACATTCAAGTCCGTGCTTGTGTACACTCACTATTACAAAATTCCACCAACATGCCACATCGGCCTTTAGGCTGTTTGCACAGCACCTGAGTCTCCGAGGGGGGTGGGGTATACGCCTGCTGGCGCTGGGACTGCTGGCGCAACGACGGGTGTGTTGTTAGGAGTGGTGGTGGAAGGGGCAGCGACGGTGCTCGTGGGATGGACGATGGTGGTGGTTGTATGGCTCGTCACTGTGATGATCGCTGGGTCGTCACCTTCTAGGGGTGTCTCCACAGCGGTGGCAGAAAGAGGCGGAGTAGATGACGCAGCTAGCAAGGATGCTACTGCGTTCGTAGTTGTCCCTGTCGCCAATGGAGTTGGCTCCGAGGTAGAAGAAGGCGTCGCTGTGGTTGAAATGGTGACGGGGGCAACTGATGACGATGAGACGGCATCCGATAGTACAGCTATAGAAGTCGTAGAAGGAATGGATGCATCAGCAGATGCGGTGAGTGTTGACGGTGTTGCTGCTGCAGCTGTTTCAATCGTTGAAAGAGTGGTGGGCGTCAAAGTAGTAGACGTGGAAGGGGGAAGAATCGCGGTCGATGTGGATAGCGATGGTGCTGCGGATGCTACAGCGGCTGCAGCAACCCTTGCTCCAGCACCCAGTCCAGCTTTTGCTCCCAGTTTCGCATCCGCACTCGCACCCACACCGGCTTTTGCTCCCAACCCAATCTTACCCCGCAAATCCGCATCAACATCTGCATCTACGCCGAGTCCAAGTCCAAGCCCGAGCGCTGCTATTATCAAATCAAATCAGAAATTGTATCTATGATGAAAAGAACGAACTCACTCCCTAATCCAGTTCCAAGACCAACGCCAGTGCCAACACCGGCGCCGGCGCCTAATCTGGCTTTTGCTCCCAATCCAAGTCCCAAACCCAGTCCTAACCCAAGATCTGCGTCTGCGTCCGCATCTGCTGCTGCTGCAACTCGGGCACCAGCACCAATACCAGCATTTGCTCCCAATCCAGCCCCAAGACGAGTGTTTGCGCCTACACCTGCACCAAGACCTGCTTTTGCACCGACTCCGGCTTTGGCTCCCAGACCCAAGCCTAGCCCGAGATTTGCATCTGCGCCGGCGCCTGATTTTGCGGCGACATGAGCACTCGTGGCCAGGCCCGCGTTCGTTCCCAGTCCTGCTCCAAGACCAGCGCCGGCACGGGCACCAGCATCTAACCCAGCCTTTGCTCCGAGTCCAAGTCCGAGTCCGAGTCCGAGAGCAGTGTCTGCGTCGATATCTGCTTTTGTAGCAACGCGAGCGCCAGCACCCAGTCCAACCTTCGATTCCAATCCAGCTCCAAGACGGGTGGTTGTGGCGGCGCCTGTGCTTGCACCGAGTCCCGCATTGGCGCCTGGTCCAGCTTTCGCTCCCAGTCCCAAACCGAGACCTGTGTCTACGTTGGCGCCCGCCTGCGTAGCGACGCGAGTACCTGCAGCCAAGCTCGCTCCTGCACCTAATCCCGCTCCGACGCCTGCGCCAAGACGTGTTCGAGCATCAGCGCCCAATCCCAACCCCAAACCAAGGCCTGTTTTGAGCCCTAGTCCTGCTTTCCCTTTTAGCCCAATGTCCGCGCCAAGTTGTGTTCCCGCTCCTAATCCAGCACCTACGCCAGCACCTATGCCTGCACCTATGCCTGCACCCAACCGTCCCTTGGCTCCGAGTCCCAATCCAAGATCTGTGCCAGCTCCCAACCCAGCACCAGCACCGAGGCGAGTACCTGCTCCTACCCCAGCACCAATACCTAACCCAGCCTTCCCTCCTACACCAGCACCGGCTCCAAGTCCCACTCCCGCTCCGGCACCAGCACCAGCTTTTACACCCAACCCAACCCCGGCTCCGAGCCCTGCCTTAGCCCCTAAATCAGCGTCGACGTCTGCGTCAAGCCCAAGCCCGAGCCCGAGCCCGAGCCGCGCATCGGCTGTCGATGGTTTAATTAAGCCAGAGTATTTAAGATAACAATCCACTCACTTGCTAATCCAGCATCCAAACCGGCACCCAAACCAGCAACACCGTCAGCAACACCGTCGAGGAGTCCATGGACACCAGCACCAACTCCGTGGACAACTGAGCCAACACCAGCACCTAAACCAGTAGCAACGTTCGTATTGAGTCCCAATCCGAGGCCTAGTTTCGCTCCTGCCGCTAAGCCTGCTCGCAAGCGCGCGTCAACGCCTGCGCCTAGCCCTGCGCGAACGCCTGCATCGGCGGCTAAGCCAGCCTTGATTTGTGGGGTGAGGTAACTTAACCCTGCTGCGTCTAGTTCAGCTGCAAGCTCGTCCTTCGTGGACGCATAAACTCCTGCGCCATCCACGTGAGCTCCAGGGCCGCGCGGGCTTCCATCGACTACGGCATAGGACTGCAGATGTCGGTGGTGATGGTGGTGGTGGTGGCGATGGTGGGAAGCAACGGGGGCGCCGGCTACATAGACAGAAAGAAGAACCAGGGAGAGGAACGAGTGCTTCATCCTGGACTACACAGAATATGCACCGTGAGATGTATTGAAGACGATGACCTTGTGAGTTGACCTACAATATCGATCCTGGAGAGGGAGTCGATAGCAGTGCGGACGGGTCTAAGAGGTCGATTAGTTATTAAGTGCACATACACAATTATGGAGAGAAAGGCTATAAAACATAACAATGCTTGGCGATTGACAAGGAACTTACTGGGTGGTTGGCTACCGAACGCTGAAGCGAATAGGAACGACTCTCGCTCTATTTATGATGCCGACGTTTCCTATTCTATTGTATGCGGGCTCGCCCCCAGGCCGCCTGTCGGCTAATAGAATGAAACTAGAATGCTCATTACCCACCAAACCCCGCGCTAGTTCTGACCCCCAGAAGTCACTATCTAGACGCAATTTGCGATTCTAATGATGACTTACCAAGTGAATGAGCCACTTCGTCGTTGGGTATTTATAGACATGTTCTAAGCAGCTGACACGCAGAACGCTTCTGGCCGGAGTATCGATTGTTCCGTATTATTAGTACAACAACGAGCATGGATTCCGGCTGCTTCCAATACTGCAAAACGTGCAGGAGAATACTGATGAGCAAGGTCAGAGATCGTGTTAGGCCTGCTGCGCTTTCCCTTCAACTTTCCCCCCTTCGTGAGAGCAAGGCTGCACGATAGTATGCCAGTCCGGCGCGGCGTGTTCTGACGAAGGATGGTGTTCACTGGCAAAGGTCACGGCAATTGGATTTCGGGGAAGAGGTACTATAGGTATGCCAGGGTCAAATGGTCAAAAATTTGGAAGTGGATGAAATGTACCGGTGTGTCCAGTGGTTCCAGGTCCCGTGTGTCTATGACCAAAGTCGCACAAGTACTCTCCAACTGGATCGTCTTTCGACTGAATGGGAACCGCTACAGCGAACGCTGCGAGAACCACGGTAAAGCAAAGCGAGCGCCATCTGATCATGTTCACGAAAATATCGGAAACCAACGTAGCTGTATCATCATGAACGATCACTTACGACAACTTCACTTGGCTCGACAACATTGTGAAGTCAACGTGTCTGGTGCAGGTACCGGCACTGGAGAAAGCGATGACGGAGGTGCCTCGCGACCGCCATTCGTCGCTTTTGTAACCATGCTGTCTGGCGTTAGACCTTCAATGATACCTGTCTAGCTAGGGAGACCACCGGTCTGAGATTTTATCCTTGCACTAATCGCTGTCGTAATTGACTAGGTTATTTCGAGGGAGGATAGGAACGGGTAGGTATCAGACTAGCTTCACGGGCTTGGAAGTGAGTCAGAGCAATTGCTGCCTGTTCCGATAGAAAGACCAAGAATACCTAGGGCCAGGACGGGAGGACCCCAAGTATGGTTCCAGTCGTTCTATCACCGCTGCGTAGTTCCACTGGAGTAGACTGTAATGATTGCAAGCGGGTTAGCACAGTCTGAGTTGGAAGTCTGTAGAATTGGAACTTGGGAAGTACAGTAGGCGCCGAATATGCACGTGACAGGAAGAACAAAATTAGCCCCTGCCAGGCCTAAGGGATTTAGAAGACGGACGATAGATACACCATTATCCATGGGCCGACGCGTCGAAATACGAGTTCAATTGCGGAGATGAAGTGACACCGTATACCATTGCCTTCGACCTCCCCGTGGTTAGAGCAAGAAGACAGTCCGGCCAACGACCATGACAAGTATGAATGAAGTCAGAATGAAATACAAATACACCCTCGATGAATACGCACCGATATACCGAAACATAAGAATGCAGACCCTTCTCAAAATAACGAAGATCTTTGTATTGCATCAGGGTTCGACGGGCTACAGAGTATTCCAGCCTCATAACTAACACGCCTGAAGATTATCATCCGTAGCACACGGTCTTATACCGTGGTCAGCGGTTATACGGTACGCACTTCTATCCTATATTTAATCTGATATCACCCGCGCAGTGCACCATCGATAACGCTCATCTGATCTTGTCCGAGTTCAGGAATCTCAGCTGGTTAAGCCAATCCTTGGCTTTGGATTACGCGACCCACCATGATTCCCATCGCTGGTGTACATATATAAAACAAGGGAGCTCTGGTCACAGTGCCCTCCGTCTGATTATACGATCGCGCTCACTCCCGCATCTCCCTCAAAGCTCAAATAATGGCCCCCAACCCGCAATGCGCTGCCCTTGCGGCTGCCAAGGAGAAAAAAGGTCTGTAAATTCACCAGTGAGCTGGCTGATCATTTCTTGATCAAGTTCTACAAAGGTTATTCGTACGGAGAGATCGCAAGCAAACTAGGCAAACCTGAGCAGCACGTCATTGACGGTAAGTTACGAACTACATGGTTGGAGTCCTCAGGCCTCAGGCCTCAGATCTCATCGATCGTAATTACCCAAACCTAGTTTGCACCGGAAAGGTGACACCGACCTCTGCCGAGTTCGATGCCCTCGCTCGTGTTCTGGATATTACGGCTTCCGTACGTGTTATCTCACTCTACTCGATTAACAGCATTCACCTGGAATGTATATAGGCACCTCACGATGCAGCCCACGCTACCAAATAAACTGCCTTGTTGTAACTGCATCAACTATTGGATTGTATCTGTATCTTGAGAAATACTAAATAAATAAACACATGAGTTTACTACTTCAATGTACCACTAAAATGGCTGCTTGATTCGTACGGCGCTGACAATCTCTCCTTATTTTGGGCCCTGAAAAGCTCCTGTCTCCTGTTCGGTCGACAAGCAACACCAAACCATACACCACGTGGTCAGTTGTGGCAATTCGTCGCACCTGAGTCGGTCTCTCATCGACGCGCTCAGGCCACAAATGCGTTTCAGTGCTCCTCGTTCAATATCGCCATCGCCATCGCGGGCTTCCAAGAGGTATCTTGTCCATTAAACCAGCTTATCAGACCTCTTACACCTTATCCACCAGACGGACGTTGAAGCAGCGTAGGAGGTCGTCTACTTTCGGCCTGCAATCCGACTCGGATGATTCAGATTATGACTCTGACCGAAGCTACGCTTCAGAGCTGTCTGATTCGGCCTCTGTGGCGAGCTCCAGTTTTTCCTCCTCTGGATCATTCATGTATAAGTCCGAGTTAGAGGTGCAAACTCAGCCGTGAGTGTACTCCCTTGTAGCGATAGCTCGAGAACTTGCCTCTCATTCAACAAATCCTTACTAGGAGGCCATCAGAAGCACGCAATTCCCTGAGCTCCTCTGAACGCCGATATGTTGACGAGACGATTTCTGCTATACGATTGCGTACACGACACCATGACCCCTACGAGGAATGGGAGAAGGATACACGACGGGATGCATTCGTGCGTGCCTATAGCTCCCCTCCTGCTATTACCATGCTTAGACTTATGACAGCTCTCAGCTCGGAAAGAACAAACCCAGATTCAACATCAATTGATTGAAGAGCAGGAGAGATTACGACTACGACAAGCTCAACACATTGCTGAGCTTCATGCCCGGCAAGCTGATGAAGTTGCTAGGAAGTTGCGAGAGCTTCAGCTGCACCAGCAGAGTGAAGAAAGGCGACTGAAGGAGCTGTGGGATACCAGAGCGAAACAGCAATGGCAGCGGATCGAGGGTGTCATAAAGCAGGAAGAGGACAAGTTGAAGGCAAAGTTAGAGGCGGAGCGGAAGGTCAAGGAGGAAGAGGAGAAGAGACAGAGGGAAGCGGAACTGAAGCGACGACTACTCGAAGAGAAGAAGAGGCAGGAAGAGGAAGCCAAGAAGCGAGAAGAAGAGGAAAGTAAGAGGAAGCAGGAGGAAGAAAGGAAACAGAGGGAAGAGGAGGAGCAGAGGTTACTGAAGGAGCAACAAGAGAAAGATGAACGAACAAAGGCTGAACGGGACCAGCGGCAGGCCTTGGGCGTATCGACTGCTTTAGAAGACTGGCGGCAAGCCAGACAAGCTCTCCACGTGAGTCGTGCTTAGCACACTACAATGGCGCCCATTCACTCCTTTGAACGTCTAGCAACTGAAAACGGGGGCTACACGACCAGTAAAGGCCGACAAGGCAGTGAAGTCTGCATGGAGTGCTTTACGTCGGCAAATTACACCAAAGATTGGGCAGTTAACCAATGATGACCAGACCATTAGCCGTATAGTCAGTACAGTCTGCATTGTTTGCTTCAAGTTACGAGAACTAAACATGGATACAGGCCAGCCAAATATACGGTCTTCTTATGCCGAACCCATCACTCCCACAACAGGTCTACTACTCTGCCCTCTCCTCGCTTTCCAAAGCCATCTTACTTCAAGCCGAAACTGAGGTCACTGCGGAGAAGCGGGCTGCCATCCCCCTGGCCCGAGTTACACGCCATCTACTCAGCGCTCTCCCATCCTTCCACTTCATCTTCCTTGCCAAACTCGTGCAACGGGTGGGCAGTTGGTCTATCCCCATTGTAATACCCCCCGTTGATTTCGATGGCAAACCGTGGAGCGACAATGCTTCTCGCACGAAGGCTATGGGGTATAGGACAAGCGGCGGCGAAGCTTTCGAAAGCAACAGCGAGTACGGAATACGGATCTCGGGTATCATGCGAGTGTTTTTTCAAATCCTCGCGATCCCCGTTTCCCAGACAGACAAGCCGCTTCCACCTTCGTTCCAATTACCCAGGTTCTGGATCTGGTTCGCTAGGATGATGAGCGAGCCTTCGTTGCTCGTTAGTGCGGTAGCCCCCCAGGTTTTGTTTGTGGCGTTGGATGTGTTGGGGAGTGAGGCCAAGGCGCTGTGGGGTATTCAATGGGTGAAGATATTGGGTTTGCTATACGAGGGGGTTACTGTCGGACTAGGGAATGGGAAGTTTATTGGCGGGGACTCGCCTGAAGGCAAGGCGGCGAGGGTTCGCGTGCAACTAGAAGTAGAACGGTTGATGAGTGGGCAATGAATAAATAACTGTGACTAAGTTCGTTGCTCTGTTACAATATGATACATAATTGATTCCGGGAAACAGTAGTAATGTCGTGAATCATGATGCCTTCATATGTGCTTTCCTGCGCCTAGCATGTATGATGGCCTCTGCCTCTGCCCAAAAATCAAGGCGGTCATCGAGAATTGCCCAATCGGCCAACAATTCACGCCTGTTGGCGAATTGAAGTAAGGTGCGATTGATGAAAGGTACCGCCAATTTCTGCGCCTTGGAGTCGAAACCGATGACTATGCGAGGATCAACGTCACCAGTAGCCAGACAGACGGTGCCAGTGTGAGACACATCCACGGACGGTCCGAATTTAAACAAAATACAGACGATCAACGCGGGAGGCATAGCTGGGAGTAAAAGCTGAATTTGTTCGAGCTGAGGGTCGAAATTCTCCACGCCGAGAAACAGATGTGAAAGGGAAGTGAAGTAGCGGAGGAGAGGGTACCATGGGACGTTATTGCCGCCCACTAGGTCGAGATGGGTGAGACGACGGATAAGTTGGGGGAGAACGTTGGGGTCGATCACTTTGGGGGGTATTTCCACGACCCTTGAAAAGACGATGCCCAGTCGGCGCAACGAGGTGCACTTTGACAGGTCCAACGTTGAACTACCGGGCAGCTCTGTGCACGGCGTGCTGGAGCCCCCCGATGCCCAGTAAGCCAAGCTGACCAGGTTATTGCAGAGCGGGACGATAGCCATCACATACTCAGATATGGATGTGAGGTTCGGGAAAGTAAGATGCCTAACAAGACCAGCAAGATGGGGTGATTGTGTGAGCGAGTTTCGCAGCTTTGCAAGGCAAGCATCGTATTCGTCTGTGTCTTCCACATATATGGATCTGTATAATATGGGGTACACCCTGGCCAAAACCAGATTGAGTATTTATACTTCATTGCAGCAAAACAAGGGCACGTACTCACCACGCTCGATATGCTCTACAGATGTAAACCAGTTTGAGCACTTCTGCCGGGCCTGCGGTCTTTACATAGTCTAAGGCGACAGCCTCAATGATACAGCGTTCAATATCTTCGGGAATTGAGGGGAAACTGAGAGCGTCCATGGGGAGAGTGATCGTCGCTGTGAGAGACCCGGCCCGTTGTTCTCCAAGGGAGTTGCTAGTAACGTGACCTACCAAATCTCAGTTCCATACCAGTGACCCAACCCCGTAGAGCGTTTGGTGACTCCAGTTAATGGGATTGTATTGGAGTCAACTTGAAGGGACCTGGCTCTGAAGGTGAAGAGCTAAGTACACTATCGTGGAGCTCATTACTAGGTGAGGCTTGATTGAGCACATCAAACCCTATGCATCACGAATTTAACAATTCATCTGAAGGACCCGATTGGAGCGAGCAGTATTCGCCTGTTCTTCGAATTTTGGGGGGTTCTACGACGTCCTACACACAATCGAAAAAAATGGGCCAAGCACGCCAGGTCAGACACTATGGTCTGCCCCAGTGGCGGTTGGAACACGCGATAACAAGAGGCTGAGGGAATAATTAGGCCGCGCAATCCTTGGTCTACTCACAACCCAGTAGGTCTTCCAATAAGGAGCTCCGTCTTCCTTGGACATAGATATAAACATGAGAACACTTAGATTGCACATTCAATGTAATCATGTGGAGTTTCCCCAGGTGTTCCTGCCCAACGAGGTCTCGTAAGTCCGTTCAACGAGTTGCTTGTGCTGTATTAACGGTTCTCTGATGTGGTTGGCTGGTAAGACTTCTTGTTGACTCTGATCAACCCCCATCAGTCAGCAATTCCGTTCCAATGGGAGCGAATGAACTTCGGCCAGGGACACAGATTCCGAGGTGCCGTAGATAGCATGAACACGCAGCTCATGTAGAAGCCTGGTGTGCGCTTCTTGATCGACTTTCTAATGGCTCGGGGGCATTGGATACGGTACCTTCCAGTTCAGATGACCGAAGATCAACGGCAAAGAGCATCACATTCACAAGAGTCTGTGAATACAATGGTCCGAAGACAATACAATAGGCAGCTGAAAGATTTACGTGGACGATAGTGTCGTGCCACTTTTTTCGAAGCAACATGTCGTTTGCGGCTGGACAACGGCTGGACATTCTCGGTGCACATCTCTGGGAACACGGGGCCAAGTTCTTGGTTCCAAATATTCGAAACGCCTTGATCACACCACCACAGGTCGTACATACAGATTGAACCTCTGGGAAGGTACTAGCGTCTGGCTCATCAAACAAACTTACTACTTTCCTACAATAACTGTTTTGCGGGCGCGTTATATAATGGCGAACATATCCACCGCCGGGCCAGAAGACTTGGAAAACACACTCCTCCGCCATTCACTATCCCGGCCAGCACTCTGCCTTATTGTAAACAAAACAACACATTACAGGTGCGTAGGCTGGTCGGAGTGCGTATATTCTCGCTCAATTGTATGACCAATGCTGATATATTTCCACTCTGTTACAGATTCCCATTCCGTATCCTTTACATTGGCTATCCAATGGTCCCCGGGGGTCATTTCATTCTAGCAGGAATATTCCGCCAATATCTTACCCACACCACGGAGTCGCTAGCCAGACCAAAGCTCCAACTTCTATCTCAAGGAAGGCTGGGCCGACAGGATTCACTCACTCGTTGCAGTAGGCTCCATTTATTTCTAAGCGTAGGCGGACGCTTCTTTACCGAAAAGGACTATCGTGTTTCCCATGAAAAATGATGGTACACCTCGTCGAGAGACATGGTAGCACATAAAGCAGAGCGAAGATATCCCTATCTCTCGAAATCCATCCCCTGCATTCCCCGCCTGAGAACCAACAGTCATGAACGATAGTTTTCTTGATATCATCGGCTCTTCGGGTGCCCCGACGCGAGACAACCTAGGATGGCTCTACCTCTTGGGCATCCTCCTTGTGCCTGGGGCGCTCGTACTTGCGCGGGCCTTCGCGAGGCCACCAAAGCCCCGTTGTCCTCTTCCTCCAGGGCCCAAACCTCTCCCGATCATCGGAAACTTACTAGAAATGCCCACGGAACAGCCCTGGCTAGTATATGATTCGTGGTTCAAGAAATACAGTAGGATCATGCCATATACACGTATCTTCGTTCTCTCTCAAGCAATCTCTAGACTCCGATATCATCCACTTCAACGTCGTCGGTCAACCTGTCATTGTGCTCGGTTCCGCGAAACGCTGTTTCGACCTATTTGACAAGCGATCGGCCATCTACTCGGATCGCCCACGGTTGCCCATGATCCTTGAATTGTAACTGAATCGTTCGTTTCGATCTGTCCCAGTCCCTGAAATACATTCTTCGAGGATGAAATGGGAAATCAACTTGGGCTTCCTTCCTTATGGACCTTGGTGGAAGCGCCATAGGAAACTCTTCGTCCAATATTTTCATCCCAATGTCGTTCCCAAGGTTGGTCTCTCGTCTGTACGCACGGATGCAGCTCCCTGACTTGTTCCTTCAGTACAGACCTGTACAATTGAGAGAGGCACGAATTTTTACCCGACGACTATTGGGATCACCTGAAAACTTCTCCCATCACATTCGCCAGTGAGGCCTTCAGCTTATTTATCCCGAATGCTTACCTATAGCGCGTAGCACCTTTGCCGCTATGATCATGGACGTTTCCTACGGCGTGCGAGTCCTTGAGAAGGGTGATCCGTACATCCTGACTGCCGAAGAAGCCTTTTCTAGCTTGAATGCCGCAACTGTTCCTGGAACCTTCCTGGTCGATCTATTCCCTATTCTGAAGCATATCCCGTCATGGATACCTGGGGCTGGATTCAAACGTCTCGCAGAACATGCTGCGAAGGTAAATACCGTAATGGCCACTCGTCCGTGGGACGCAGTGAAGGAAGCCCTCGTGAGTCAAACCCCGCCATAAAGTGGCATCGCTAACCGACCGACCTCTAGAAAGCAGGCACAGCTGTGCCTTGTATAGCGGCGAGTATGCTAGAAGTTTTGCCCCAGGGAGAGAAGCGGGCAGAAGAAGAGGAGATCGCCAGAAACTGTGCAGCAGTCTCATATGCAGGTACGTTCACGGACTAAAGATGTGGCCTTCTTCGGTTCAACTATGTTCTGAAGGCGGAGCGGACACCACGGTCTCCACGGTCCAAGCCTTCTTTTTGGCCATGGCCATGTTCCCGGAGGTGCAGAAGAAAGCGCATACTGAACTTGATGCCGTGATTGGCGGTCGTTTGCCTACTTTCGAAGATAGACCTCAGTTACCTTACATTCAAGCAATAGTTCAAGAGGCTATGAGATGGCAGCAAGTTACGCCGCTTGGTTGGTGCTGCACACTTTGGGGTCCATTCCGGACTGATGGCAACATTTCTCGGTAGCTGTGTCACATGCGTCCATGGCAGATGATGAGTATGACGGATATTTCATCCCCAAGGTCCGTGATCCTTGGAGCGTTTACGGTAGGCTGACACATATTCCGATCTAGGGTTCTATTGTCGTTGGCTGCAGTTGGTATCTAGATATCTATGTGGTCCGTGTGGCTGATCCTTACTCACTGATACCTTTCAGGTCTATTTTGCATGACCCAGTGATGTACCCCAGACCATTTGACTTCAACCCTGACCGGTTTCTCAAAGACGGGGAGATCAATCCCGAAGTAAGACATCCTAATCAAGCATCGTTCGGATTTGGTCGCCGGTATGAATCCTCCCCTTACATTGTACGTTCTCATTACATTGCGGATTAGAATGTGCCCAGGGCGATTTTTCAGCGACAGCTCCCTGTACATCATCGTAGCAAGCACACTTTCGGTATTCTCCATCCAACCGCCCCTTGATGAACTAGGAAATCCCATTGCGTTAGAAGCGGTAATGACCACGGGGCTATTATCGTGAGGATACTTTTGCATCTCCTCAGCCTCAGCTGTGAACTTCTTGGTGCCATACTTCTAGCTATCCTCGTCCATATGCATGCAGAATCGCTCCTCGCTCGCCGGCCGCCGAGAAACTTATCCGAGACTCCGAGCTGGAATATTATTAAGCGAGGAACTTCAGAATTAAACGTTGAACGCTTTCTCCGCCTATTGATCCGTTCGTGTCCTCACTTACTTCCTACATCAGCCACCACGTGCCTTGTCCGATTACGCACAACTCCTTCCTATCACGATGACTTCTGCCATTTGATTCTTCTGTTTTCTCCCATCGAGCAATGTATCGCTACTTGCAGGTCCATATATACACGGTGCAGCACCTTCATCGCGAAATTCTGGACAACCCTTCGCGCCAAATTGTCAGCCTGGAACATTTCGTGGCATATCAATCAACGCATCGACGTCTATACTTACTTTGTTTCCACAACTTATTCTCAGGGACCAGGTTTTTGATGACTTCGGGAAGCTCCAGATTGACTTTTGGTGGTGCATCGACTCTGGCTAGGCCCACGGAAGGCGTGTTGCAATTATCGCACGAACAATGCCGGTCCTTACCTTCGCACACGATACGGAGAATCTGTATCTAAAGTTAACTCGAAGCCCAGGCCTTCAATAGGACGATAACACTGGCAGGGGTCCGCCGTGCATTGATCGAGGGACTGCTTGACTTCAGAATTGAAGTTGAGATTCGTGTAAATACTGGACAACGATGGCACCCTTCGCGACGTGAAATCACTGAAATATCCGCCACACCGTCAACGCTGTCAAGCGATCGCCGTAGCGGCAGCAATCCTCTACGACCGTGCGCTTGTGGTCATCTCCGAGCGGGCCTATACTTTTGCTTTAATTCTTTTCGTGTCCGTCTCACTTCCCTTCTTGGGCGGAGCCGATACATTACCAGGGAGCTCTCCAGTTATTCGATGCAGCCATTACGGTAACGGAAGGCAACGGGTAGCGTGTCGGTACCGTTCCTTATATGGGAAGTGTTGGGAGTTCTTACAGTGCATCTCCGCCGTGGTCGAAGAAGTTGCAGGATGACAACTAGCACTTCCGATCTCTTCTTACCTCTCTTACCTTCATTCCTTTCGCTCAGAAATGCTGCACGTTCGTTCTGTCAACAAGGAATATTTTTCGGCTTTGAGTCAGCCGTACATTTGGCTCTCAGACAGAGTACTCAATATCAATATCAGTGCTCCAACGAAACCACTGACACAGGCCGATTAGGAAGTTCGTAGATAACGCCAGTTGCTAAACACGCTCTGGGTACGGCGCAAGTGATACGCTTTTTGCTCTCTAGGGATGGCTGACAAATTGGGTTAGTACAATTTACCAGGCGGGAGAAAATCAAGTGCCGCCACGGCCACATACAGCGAAAGGACATGTATACTATTAACAGGTGTGCGTTGGTTTAGTAATGACGTGAGGACTGGCGACCCTGTATTCTACGCCGCGCGGGTGTATTTACAATCTGATTCCGCTGGTTGACAACCACAACGTGGACGGTCGTAATCGACCAATCGGAAGCTGATCATTGGCCACAGGAAGGCACCGTCGACCCTGTTCCTTGTTCGCGGGGCTTTCAAAGTTGTGCATTGAAACTGGCGGTGGCGGGATTTCACCCAAAAGGTCCAAGGCGGCGGCGGAGCGGACTTGTGGCAACAGCCTGATATGAGACTGGGCAGAGCATATGGCCTCTGCTAAGGCCGGTGCGCGTGTTGCAGGGACCATGGTGCTCCGCGCCATGCACGCAGGTCGCGACGGTTTTTCGGTGGGTTCTAAGTGGAGTTTCCTGTAAATGGTACGTGCATATGAATCGGCATTCATACGTATCAGGCCGCGACGCGACCTGATGTCTATACCCTACGCCCAAGTTTGTTTGATGCGCCACTGGCTGAGGCATCAGTCTAGCTAGCCTCGAGGCTAGCACTGTGCAACGTGTATAATCGGTTTTCGGCCGAAAGCGCGGAATGGAGGTAACCACACCTGTCTAAGGCATCATAGTTCTTGTTCTCGAAGTCCTGCTGGACACACGTGTTGAGGGTAGGACATCTTGAGGCATAGTCCCATCGACGTACCCGCGCCACCATGCGTAGCTTTAACCTCGGTTAGAAAGCTACACCACCGCATATAGCAAACGAGGAGGTAAATTGTAGGATGCAACAAATCTACATCAAACATTCGGGGTTATCCAGGGGTTGGAGACATAAATCAGATGGCGGGCGGTTGAGGGGTAGTTTGTACAGAGCAGATAGGGCGATACAAGTGGTAATCAGTGGGTAGTTGGAGGTAATGAATAGACGGCATCGTTGTGGCGTTGTTCCTACACCGATAGATTAGGAAAGGAGTGAATGCTGATGCATGATGCACCGATGGGCCGTAACGATAACAGCTCGTGTAATTCGGCGCCTGCTACATCTAATCAACAGATCAGAAGACGGTGCGACCGTGACGTATCCATCTTACAAACAGGCCGTAGGTTGAGAACAAAAAATAGACGGACCGTGGTATGCTCGTATTAATAAAACGATACATGCAGATTTCCGAGGAAGAGAAGCAGGTACCTCTGCGGCTGAGAAACTCCTAGTACTCACCCCGTAGCCCTCCTGTGAGCACGCGCCTACGAAAGCCTTCGACATCGTTCGGGATCTTCCATGTAAATGGACTTTTGAGGAGGTGCCGACGGAGTCCATTGTCGGCAAGCAGGGAGGAATACGAACGTTCGTACGAGTGCTATCTTGGATTCGGGGGCGATGAAGAGGATCTCGTCGATAAAGATAATGTCCTGTCCACTGAATTAGGATAAAAAGGTGTGGGACAGCCGTTCGTTTTGTCCCGTTCAGTGACCAAGAGAAACAATGACGCCTATTGAAAAGCTGAAAAAGTTCAAAGAAGTCCACGAGACTATAGCTTTTAGGATAGCGATCGACTATTCTGGGGTTGAAAGACGGTCTTTGATGATAACCCGGTTGTGGACGTGTCTGAGATATGATGAAAGCAACTGGATGACTGAGATGGAAATCGGGTGACCAAGGCTAATGTAATCAACGGCAAGTGGGAAACACGATCGTGAATTTGGGGCGATGCAGCAGAGTGGACCAACGGCGGTGTAATTCGTCTCCGTTCCCTGCATTCAGTACAGTATCGGAATTCGAGGAGTGACTAGATCACCATTTACGTGCCACAAGGTCAGCCCATCTCCTGCATATGTGAATCAAGGACCGCTGTTAGGCGGGATCGATGGCTGATCCAGTTGCTTTGTTTCCAGAGTCCCTGGCCGTCCGACAGCGGGACCTTTGATTACAGATCGTCCAACCGAAATATGTCAACATGTGTCGGATATTGTGGTGATCACAGCGAGAAGGGAAGTCAGTCTATCTCGGAGTACGTGCGGTACACAAAGGAACTGGTGATGAGGGTGGCGATAATGATTAATCAGCGCAATGGGGTGAGTGATACATGTGCCGTATATCAGCTTGCGACAGATTGTCTTGCTTATCGATGTAGCTATATACACGCTGGTCTATGCATGTGTCTGAGCCATTCCGTGGAAATGAAATGGTGCATAGATGATAGGTATAATCGGAGGGAGAATATTCTGGTAGACACTGGATAAAGGCTGACACACTTTAGGATATGAATACCCACTCTGTTAATTAATACGAAAGCGAGATGAAACTGGAGGATCAGTGAAGGGTGGTGATGATCTTAAATTAAATCAGGTATTGAGCTGTAGTAACTTCACGGCCCAGCCCTGCGTCATGATCTGAGGCTATTGCAAAGTCCACCGCAACGTTTTAGTCTGCATGAGTGGGCACACGAGTTCAACGTGGAACGACGAAGTCAGATAGGGGCGTGCGAACTCCTATTCTAAATGCAGGTGGCTACGTCCGCCAACCTCCTCCGGTGGATGCTATAGCTTCATCTAGTCTCGTGCCCATGTTCTAACTGAAGTCCCGCGTTAACGCGAGGCTGGACCTCTGACCGTCTGACCGAACGTCCGAGTGGCAAATGACACCTACTACTGTCAATGGGACAAACTGGCCAAGTCGGTGGCGGAAGTTCCGTCCGGGTATCGAGGCCTCAGAGGAGATGACTGGTGCACCTGTGATCATGATGAAGTTAGATATAGAATGGATGAAAGTGATATATCCAGCATGCTCTCATGGATAGCGGATAAGAAGGAATCTTTTAAAAGAGCGAGATTAGACTAATAGAGTGCACGAGTATACGGTAGTGTTTCCGTCACGGTAAACTCCTCTATCAAACTGATATAGCGGCCTTGTGTTGGTGCTTTGGAGCAGGCCTTGTGTCGTGGTGTTCGAGTGGAGGGAACATTGCGTCTGCTAGAGCCATATGTTTCGGATATCAAGGGCAGAGTCCCTATCTGGATGGAAATTGGTAGAGCCAGCGACAATGCGGCAGAAAGAAGGATGGGATGAAAGGATATGTTTGACTGGGCTAGCTGCGTCCGTTGAATTAGATTAAAGGCCGAGTAGATAAAGAGGCGAAGGAAGTTGAGGGCCTTTGTCGTAATGGACCGTATATGGACCGTCAAAGCGAGATCAATGAATCTACACATGAATGAAGGCACAACTGTGCATGATCTCATATTTGTGCTTGCAGCTGTTCTGGATAATTCTGGTTATTGTTTTCGTAGCGTAACTTCACCGTGACGGAGATGAATGGTAATAATTGGGTTGATTCCACTTCCGGCGGGAATAGCGCCGCTCAGCGCCGACGCAAAATCCCACCAAACCCGCCACGTACGGAGTTGTGTGAGAGTGTGATTTCGGTGGCTGATTCGCATGTCATAAAACGTGTTTCGGCCAGCGCAGCAGGAAATTCTCCTACGCCCTAACCTTAACGGTTCGGAGTTCGGAATTACTTCTGCAAATCGTTAAACGATTTGCCAGCAAAACAGTCGCTAGATGCACCATTGAAGCAGAATGGTGCCCTTTAGACCGTTGAATGTGTCGCCGGTTCTGTAGCAAGGCGCAGAAGGGCGGGATGGTGGCGGCGATGGTAGTTACATAACCGATTGTTACTGAGTCACACCAATTTTTTTTAATTGCGTGTATGTGCACTGCCCGCATGGGCAAGGGGTTTCGTCGTGGGAAAGGCGTTATATCCAAATTGGGATGTACGGGTTGAATTGGGAGAATATTTAATATAGCAATCATCCTGAAGCGACAATTTTCCCCTTCGCCCCGTTTTGAATTTCTCCCCAGAGGAGGCCCGGCTGGTCTACAATGCTTTCACTGAATCCTGGTTCGGCTTGCGACGTTTGCGCTGAGGAGTACGGTCCTCATCGTTCGCCACACTCCATTCCCTGCGGTGAGTAGCGTCGGGCACGAATTTCAACGATCTACTGACTCAAAAAAATGCCTTCAAAGGACATGTTTTATGTGCTAGCTGCTGTAGTACCATAGTCGACAAGACCGCCCCTCGCCTCGCACCTGTCTGCCCATTTTGCAGGGAGCATTTCTCTAGTGACTCTGTCCGCTTAATCCGCCTGGATTTCTCAAGTAGTGGATGGAGCACCCCTCGGCGCAAGGGTGGCACTATCGAAGCCAACCTCTTCTCTGGAGTGGTTGGTAATGGTGCTGTCGACCCCACGGGAGAGCTGCTGGCTCGGCACTCTGAACGTATGAAGCTGCCGGAAGGTGGCTCCAAAGCCCGGATCGAAGCCCGCCGCCTAGAGGACAAGGTTGCAAAGGTGGCAGCAAAAAAATGTTCCGTGGAGGAGGTGACGACTCTACACAAGGAACTACAGGAATGGTTGTCGTCAGATGCTAAACCCGACGATCAGGTGCGTTGCAGAGTCTTAAAGGCAACAGGGTGTATCTCTTACAATGTACCCCGCGCCAGACCTCATCATTATTCCTCAGCGCGGCCCTACTGCGCGCTATTCTCATGAACCATGTCGCCCATTCCGAGGCTAGTAAAATCGCAAGACATATGGAAGCCGACCTCAAAGGCAAGCTCGACGGTCTCATTAGTCAGAACCACAAACTTGAGTCGGACTTGCGGAGGTAAGCCCGTCGAGTCATTTTTCCATCATCATGAAGAGTGCTAATGGCCATGAAATTTTATTTTTACCTCCATATAGAGAAGTGAGTAATCCAATCTTGTTGATGGACGCTACTGCTCGTGATATCAATGCTGATGTATCCTTTCTGTAGCGCCAAACATTATCACAAAAAATAACAGAATGCAATAGTCTACGCACGGAACTCAGTCGTCTCAAGGCTCTTGCCTCGACGATTGGTGTTCCCACAGGTTCCTCTTCCCCCGAGCCTCCATATCCGCAATCCCCTTCACCCACACCGCCCGTTACGCCCTCTACGACCCCATCAGCACCCTCGTATAATTCACTTAGCCCAATGACTCACGCCCCAACGCCACTATCACGATTTAATTCTATTCACACACGTTCCGTGTCTGTATCTTCACGACCTTCCACGCCTACTACGTCTCCGTCATCGTCCACTCCCGCCCCACCAACCTCCTTGGTTTCTCCGTACCGTTCCCACACTCCTGGTCCCCCCTCCCGCTCGCATTCGCAAACACCCGCTCTCCGCTCGCAAACACCTTCCGTCCGATCATATACACCCTCCATCCGATCATCCACGCCAGGAGTAGTGAGCCCATCGCACCAGCAATATCGTTCCCAAACCCCAGCGCCACCCCTTCCCCATCATAGTCCGTTGAACAACGGAATTCAACCCTCCCGACCACGTAGGCTCTCCGTAAATCTTCCTTCACCCCAAAAAATCATGCGCTCAGTCTCAGAAGAGAAACAAGAACTCCATGAGCGCTGGATACCGCATGTCGAGCCTGACTCGCCAGTGCCGACCAGCAAGACACCTGCTCCATATGCCACTACGCCTGCTCGCTCGCGCACGCTTAGTACGGCAGCGATCAGGTATAAGGCCACGTCACCCAACGATAATTAGACGCCACTTCAATTCGGACGATTTCTTCATTTTATTATTTAGTCATCTTCCCATCCCGCATCCATCACATTCCCCATCATATCTGTCGACCGAGTATTGTCGGTCTAATCGTCGTCGTGTTGTCGGATCTCCTTTGGTTTGCCCGTGCCTGTACAAGGCGGCTCTCAGCGCTCTCGGATTGTTCTTCTCTCTTATCGTAATCGCAGTAGCATCTAGTCTTTCCTCTCGTATCATCATCTCCGTGACTGCTCTTACACTGTTTTATATTTGTTGTCTTCTGTCCCATTGACTCTCCTTTTTCTCCTCCCGTAACTCACCTGCTTCATTTTCCTCTCTTCCCTCTGTCTATATCGCACTCAGTATATACCACAAGCCTGATGATTTTCTTGTTTCTTTCTGTTATTGGCCTGCATTTGCATTCTTCCTGGTTGCGCGACTCTCACCCGTTATTCATACCGCGGGATTGAGAGCCGCTTCAGCCACAACCTTTCACCTTCAACCTTGTTCGTCGCTCCTTGACGGCCTTGCGACCGAACCTTTGAAACATATCTTTAATTATCCCCGCCGCCTTCCCATCCCATCCATCCAAAATAACAATAAAACCCATACATATACTGTACACCCACAAAGTTACACCTCATTTCCGCAGGGATGGATTGGTCCCTTCCCCTTTGCTCCTTTACTCCATTACCTTCTATCCCCTTTGCCCTTGCCCGCCTTTTCAGATACTTGCCATGCAGTGCCGAATTTTCCTACAAAAAAAATACCAGGCTTCCTGTAGCATTTATCACGATTCACGTTTTATACTTGATTTATTTTCCCCTCCTCGCGTAGCTAGTAGTTATTCCCCCCTCGCCTCGAGTTCTCTATCATAGTACCCGTAGAGTACATATTTTTGTCCCCCGATTCTCGTGCCTTAGAGTATATAGGTATTCTAATAATCGTTGACCTCAAAACCTTGTTGAGCGCGATTCAGAGCTTAAAGATTTAAGTCTGAGTTAGCACAACAGCCAAGCAATGAACTGGGAAGTAGGTAAGACGTATATACTAGCTCGTGTAGATATAAATACTCCCTACTTCCTCGCCTACAACACTGATTCCTTAAATCGAAACGTGAGGCACGCCTAACACGTTGTAATTACTCGGTGATAACATGTTATCAGACAACGTTGCACGGTTATAGCCTCGTCTTGATAACGGATAGCACCATAAACGGGCTTGGAGAATATCAAAATATGGATTTGAGTCGATGGCCGTAAGTGCTGCATGCTCATATCAGCGCGTGTCGACGCCACCAGCCCTCTGGCGCGTTGTTTCATCCACACAACAGCACAACATACGCTATCCTCTACCAGTCGGATCGGCGCAATAGCATCATGCAAAATCCAAATTTAGACGACACTCTCACTGATACGGCAGTTCTAAAACTGAGGAACGGATTCCGGCTGCTTTGTGAGTGTCAGGCAGGCCTCGTGGTTCATGAGGACCGACACCATCTATATCTATTATCTATGAAAACGGTGGACAACGAAGATGTTGGTACTCCTTCTCCTCTCCGCGCCGGCATCGCGAATACCACGCACTGACGATGGGAAACATCTGCCAGTGCTAGACACGCGGATGCCACATGTTGGGGGAGAAGGCGGATGGTCGGGACGAGGCCATGCTATGTTGATGACTTACGGAAGAGACGGAGTGGTGCAGCATACAGCGGGAAACCGAGAGTGAAGGTCAACTGCAGGAAACCATCGCTGGAAATGGGCAGCACATACACACGCATGCGTGCGTGCGGCTGCGTAAGCCCGAGTCGGGGCAGAGGGTTAAGGGTAAGGATTTTCCGCGAGTGCTAAATGGTTTTGCGGTGGCGACGGGCAGACAACCGGTATGTGCATGGCCCTTGGGAATCGAAGAGAGGTGTACGTTGTAGGTGGCTACGGAACGACGACCCTGCCCATTATATGCGAAGAGAACGCGTCCGAATGAATCTCGCATTCTTCTCATGAACTAATGTGTTCACTGAACTATAAAGAATGCACCGTAGCGATGTCAGAATTCGTACGTACCATTGATCTACCCAAATCTGAGTAGGATGCGACCTCGAGATATCGTAAGGTGAAAATAATCAGGGTGCCTGCACATTGAAAGGATAAAGGATGTATATCGGATGGCGATTAAAAGCACGGGGGATTAATGATTAGGGGGATCGACTCCTTAGCAAATTGGCGAACTTAAAACTAGGGTCGAGGACTTGCAGGCTCGATGAAACAGAAGAAGCGGAATGAGCGTCGACAAAGCATGGATGTCGGTAGAACATTCGACGACGGCCGTCCGTCGAAGTTTGACCAGTAGAAATGCACAGGGTGTCAACATGCGATGACAAGGGCAATCCACACAGACGTTCAAACCACGGATGAGTTCCCTTGTACGATTAGATATCAATAATCGTAGAGGCCTGATGCATCGTGGTGCACTTCCACCTTATCAAATAAATCAGACGCCCATCTATTATGTTAGTGTCGGCAAGCTTTGTGGTTTTCGTCGATCTAGGTCTCAACTTCGAATTTGAACTGAGTAACGAAGTACTTCGACCGTTTTAGGCAGCTGGGCTTTGCACTTTGCATCAGTAGAAGCTGCAGAGGGCAGAAAGAGGTCCAAGTCGTTTGAAACGGTCTTGATAAAGTGTAAACCCAGGAGTAGCCAGAACTGACCTTAACCTAATAGTTTCCCTGACTTATGTAGAGCTTCTTCCATAGTCTTCCGTAGCGGTAAAGTAGCAACATCGAGAGGGCACAGAAGCCGTCGCGCTTCATTTATGGGATCGTTGCCTACTACTGGCCGCAAGTTTTGAGTCGTAGGAGCGGATGTCACGTAGTGGTAGTGGTTCGCCGTCTGGGCATTAATGTACCATTAATCTCGTAGCCGTGTCGTTGAGAAAGCTCGCAAGCGGCGCATATATCTAGTCACCGGTGAGTTCAACACACTCACCAACAGCAATTTATACTATTCAGTAGCCGACGCAACAAGCGTTGGAAGGACGCCAGGTGGAGACAAATAGCTACGCGGCTGCAACGACCCTGGGGGAAAATGAGGAGAGGATTGGAGATGGCGAGGATGAGGATGGGAGAAAGACTCAGAGGGTGGCGAGGTACGAGTGAGAGTCGGGATATTTATGTTGGGTGAATCAACGCACGGACCAAGTAACTTTTCGCAGTGCTTCTACTAAGATTATTAGAAGGGTGGCTCGACTGGGGTAAGACGGGTTGTGAAGAAGATGTCAGCGTCTTACCACCTGTGTCACGGTTGGGTTTGCACGAACATCCAAGGGCCTTTGACCAGATACTGCAATCAATTTCGATGCTGCAGCCTTCCTTCAGCGACGCGATTGCTGAGTCCACTACGCCCTGCCGCTCCGTTCTGATGGTGGTAGGTAATACGTATGCCACCAAGACGAGCGCCAATATTTTGTTTCTTCACGAGGCTCAAGCGCCCACGCGCTCACGAGTCGCGATACGAAGGAAGCCTGGTTATAGCGGCGAATCATAGTCAAAGCTAAGTTATCTGGGAAGAACACAAGGGCTGCCTCAGGCATTCGTTTCTATACCTAGCTTCAGACTCGAATTCCATACAAGTACGTTAATTGTCATGACCTTGCTCAAGACATGCTCAAGTCCATTCAAGTAGCTCACAGTACTCCAATGCTTGAGATTCCAACCCGTCTCCCCAATCTAGTCAGGGCTGCGTTGTGGCGTTTTACTTCTTGACGAGGACGAAAACTGAAGCTGCTACCTTTCCCGATTAAGATCCAAGTCAAAATCTCCTTATTTGGTCACACTGTTATCACGAGACGCCTCTCCTTTCTAGCAATAAATTATTGGTATATTTAGGAAATAACGTACAAGGGCTCTATGTAGCGTACAGTATCTGATCTCCGTCAACGCGATCTCTCTGTGTCTTTTCCTGAAGGATATGTGTCACAATACAGGAGTATTCCATTCGCGCTGGTCTGTGACGCAATGAAAGGGACATGGTCGTCTCGGTAGGTAACCCCTTCCCAGTGTCTTCCGTGAGCATCCAAAGTGCCGTGTCTCCGCCAACACTAGTACCTTGAACGACCATCCTTGTTGTTCGCATTGCTACGAGTTTCTCTTCCCAATCATGAACCAATTTCATACCGAAATTAGCTGCATCGGCCGAGTCGTCTGTTTTGACGGCGATGATCTGCTTATGCCAGGATTCGGATTCGTTTGTTTGCATCTGTGGCCCGAGTACAAGAGTAGGGTTGATGTCACCGATATCGTTTCCTGGGAATGCGACTACAAGCATGATGGATGTAATGCGTCGTGGAGGAATAGGGCAGCATTCAACACGAAGATTTACGGGGACACGACTGTCCGGTGCGATATTGTGATATGGGAATGTCACTTGTATTTTTGCGAAGCTCCTCCCTTTGTCTCCCAGCCTTACGGGAAATACAATAGGCGGTTCCCTCGGATAAGAGAATGGAGGGAGGGGAGGCCTTGGAGGCGATGCAGGCGGTTGGTCCAGTCCATACTGTGAAGGGGGAATAAAGCCAAACATCAGGAAGCTTGTGAATGGGGAGATGCGCCGTGAGGATTTTGACTGGGAAAGAGAGACGCCTTTCAGTATGGGATCGTCGGTACCCATCCGACATTCGAACCCGGGTGTGAAAATGCTGTGGAAAGCTCGTCACGACGGGCTGAAGCGATGGCGTAAGAGGGAACTTACTCCATAAGCTTAACGTACTGCCGAGGGAAGTGGCCTTCGTCGTCTCCGCATTGCCCAAAGCACCAATCGGGCGTAGTCATATCAAATACCGAGATGAAGGACCCTTGGCGTAAAGGCAGACCTTGCACCATTGGGTGCTGGGAGTACGTCAGAGTTTATTCCAGTGATACCATGAGAAGATGCCGTACCTTCATGTCACCGTCCCAGTCAAAATACGCCCTGACGACTGCTGCGGGAGTTCGCCTCTTGATCTTCTTGCGAGGTGGGCCCTCTTCCCGACCGTCAACGGCATCAGTCGTGTTGCTAATATCTGTTTCCAGCTGTGCTTCCTGTAGTGCGTCGCTTGCACTAAGTACCAGCTCAGATCCTTGGCCGACACCGTTTGACGAAAGCGATGTCTCTCCAAGCAGGAGGCGCTGACCAAGGACCAAGTGCAAGTCGGGCCTAGACACTAGTCCCATTACCAAGGCATCATGAGAAATGGACATCGTTGCAGTAGGTCAAGAACGTACACCATAAGTTTCCTTCGGCCAGACATATGCGATCCAACAATTCGTCGACAGGACACTCCAAACGTATGGGGAACTTCCTACGTGTGCCATCGTCCAAGCGCAAGGTTATGTTCGGCAAAAAGGACAGTACGACGGTGTCCTCTTCGGATAGTGACTGGAGTGTCAACAGCGGGCTGCCGTCGGAGGTTAACGTTTGCTGTTCTACGTTATTCGATGGTTCAGCTCCAGACCCATACACGGAGTCACGCAAGTGAATCCGCACCAGCAGGTATCCCTTCGGTATCTTCAATGAGTGACTTTAGCGCTTCCACGGGCTCCGTAGGCTCAACCGAGTAGACCTGAGAAGAGTTGGCCATTTCATGCTGGATGCGTATAAGCATGATGTAGATAGAGTGCACGTCACCGGTGGGTGGTGAAGTGAGTCAGGAGCGAAAGATAGAAGACAGCATGGAGAATCCCCACTTAAAATACTAAACAGCATCGAACATATCTAGGCTCTGGCCAATAGTTGTCAACGGTAAACCAACAGTGGGCTAGGCCTCGTCCAGGCGCGTCTGTTCTGTGTTTCTGATGTGACGCTGTGGGCGAAATGCATATCTCAGCCGACAATTTCGGCTTACCCTTGAAGAAGCTTCAAGATTTGCAAGCTGTTGGAACAATCTGCGCTGTAGCCACCCCGATTTCAAACGGCGTGTGCGGGTATATTATGCCAGCAGTGACCGACCATCGCAGAACTCGACATACAGTACGCTGTATCTTCAGATAACCGTCAGTAAATCCTTGTCTCCAAGCAGATTGTGAAACCACTTGTGAATTGTGACTTGGAGTGGATGAATGTACGTATGGCGCTGCGAATGTGAATTGAAAGCCGCCAACCAGGAGGCAATGCTGTCCCCGTGACGCTCACCGATTCGATCGAAGTTCAACTTCTTCCCTCCGAAGTCGTTGTCAGGTTAGTGTCCTCTTCTGTCACTCTTGGGCGCAGCAGAATGAAACGCAAACCGTACTCTTGGTTTCCCTTTTGCTATGTTTCCCCAGTGACGCTCTGTCAATTGGGCGAGCTGACACAACAGCTCAAACTCGTTCCGAACTTGGGTCGGCCAGTACGGGGACAGGCGAGAACTGCTCACTACACGGTTCCCCGGATACGACCGTCCACTTTACCACCTGCTTTCCGTTCACCCGACTAACAATATCTCTAGCACGTAGTCGCCGTGCTCTTCGTCTCTTGATAGTTGGGATAGACTAAACTTGACAAGATGCAGTGCCCTGCTGTAAACCTACGTGCTTCTGGTCTTCGCGTGGTCAGAAATGGATAGATTTGCATTCTCATCCAATGTAGGATGTTGCCACGACACCTACGCTGGGACGAGACTCGAACTTGGCTTCCAACGGAGCGTACAGTGTATTTCAAATTGATAACGAACTCCCTCAGTTCTAGTCGCCTAAGTGGCCAAGGAAGTGACTAGCGACTTCTTGGGCAATTCCAAATGCATCCCCTCAGTGGGAACATCAGAGATTGTGGAACCATGGGATACCACAGACCCACGACGTTGAGCAGGACGCGCAAAGGGTCTTGCCATGTATCCTTCGACCGCTGCGCGTGCGTGGGCTATTCTGTGCAACCCATCCACCTAACTGGTTGGGTTGAGTCCCGGCTCACCATGCCTTAGTAGGTTTCGGACGGTAGAGCATTATTCTATGCATTTCTTGCATCATCATCATCTCGTATGTTTCTACGGAGCCCATACGCTGCATGGTGCATTTTATGTTTTATGTTACTACGGTGTCCTTTTTCTGGTAAAATCATGCATCATGCATATGAGTTGCCAACGTACAACCAATTCTATTCACATATATATATAAGTAACGAAATAAAATCCGAGTCCGTGTGTTTTTTATACCCACGTTTTCACTTCACATTTCTTCCCATGGAACTGAAGGTCGTGTATCGCGTCCTGCGCAAGATCTCTGACTGGACTCTCGAAGGCTATTATTCCGAGGTACATATCGCAGGTTCCGAGCATGTCCCGGAGGATGGGCCCTTGATTATGTGAGTCGCAGGGACAGTTCAACTCCTCTGTTCCTGAAGTCAAGCACAGAACCCCATCGCATCACAACGAACTCATCGACATTGCCACCGTCGGTGAGCCCGCAGTCTCCTTTTCACGTAGATTCGACTCTGAACGTCGCGGCGGTCGTGGCCCACAGCCGCAACCATTCCTTATCGCCGCCATGTCTCGTTCTGGGCCAAGTCGACGATGTTCGCCAACCCCATCACGCGCGCGATCCTGGTCTCGGCGGGCAGTATACCAGTGAAGCGGAATCCCAACAGGACACCAGATGCCGACGCGGGCTCAGCATCTGCTAGCAAAACCCCATCGCAGGCCGATCTCTTTCACGACTCGTTTCTGGCACTTTCGAGAGGACAGGTGCTCGGAGTCTTCCCCGAGGGTACAAGCTATACTGAGCCCCGCATAGCGCAAATCATGTCTGGTGCAGCCTGGGCCGCAGCAGAGTACGCAAAGTGGCAGCGTCGCGGCAGAGCTGACAAGGCGACATCGGGGGACAGAGGCTTGGTGATAGTGCCAGTCGGCATAGTATACACGGACAAGGCGAAATACCGTAGTAGGGTGAGTGTAATTCTTTCTGTGGAGACACTCATACTTGATTTTCTGTCGCTTTCAGGTTGTCGTACGGTGTGTGACCCATAATTTTGCGTGTATGAGCTGGACTGACTCGATGCCTTGTCAGTTACGGGAGTCCCATCGATGTGACTTCTTACTGTGCAGAGCTCTTCGAAGGCGCTTCCGAGGATACACGGGGGAGCACGCGCGAGGTCGTCAAGAACATCATGGCGGAGGTCGAGAGTCAACTGACGGCTCTGACGATCAATGCTCCCGACTGGTAAGCTCAAGCTCAGTGATCCGATGGGCACAGTTGACGCCGAGCCAGGGATACGCTGTATGCCTCCCGCATAGTGAAGGATATGCTGTGGATCGACACGCCCATTCCTCTGCACGTATACGTTGATGTCTCTCAGTCGTGAGCGCCAAGTATTCTATACGCGAATCCCGCTCATCTCAACGCACTCACAGATTCGTGGATATGTTCTCCAAGCCCGCTCATCTCCAGGCGCGGGATACGTTCGTCAGATACTACTCACTTTTACATTACACTCGTCTATCGCACGCCTCTCTCGATCACTTATACCCCCTTTCTAATAACAATACCCATTCATCGCCCTTGCCTTCTCCCGTCTACGCAGTTACCATCTTCCTTAAGCAGCTTTTGAACACCTTCCTCCACCCACGCGCCCTCTGCTTCCTCCCACCCTTCCTCGTCCACCGCCCCGCCTACATATTCGGCACCCTCGCCGCGCGCTTCCTCGCGAAACGAGAGGAGGAGGAAGGGCAAGCCCAGTTCAAGGCCATCTTTGGGGGCTTCGGGTCCGGCTTATCCTATGGTTTCGTCACCTGGAGGCTCAGCAAGTGGCTGCAAGGCATCGCCTCTGGGACACAAGGTGTCTTCCTTTCGACGCGTCCTGGATTATTTTCGGCGCTCCGCTACGTTGGTGGCGTCCTTGCGGGACAAGAAGGCGCGTTGAAGCGGACGATAACACTAGCTGGCTTGTTCTATGGTGTCTCGTGGATTCTTGTCCGCTGGCACAATTCACTCGTTGATAGTAAGCCTTCGTTTTCCCTTTGCGCTCCCTTCCTCACTAAACTGGTGGCGTGTTTCTCAGGTAATTACCGACAGTTAGCCCCTTCCTACTCTTCGTCGTCGTTTCTGCCTGATTGCTAACACCCATGTAGATTCAAGCGTCTCGTAGCTTCGTTCCGTATTTTCCGTGGCCTATCGTCACGTCCCACCGGCGTAACCGAGGCAGAGCTGGACCAGTATGCCCGACCGCCGCCGCCACCCACGAATCCATTCATCAAGCGTCGGCCCGTGACCGGCAACGGAAACGCTTCGGGTCATGAAGACAACCGAACGACAGACACACCTAGCCGAGCTGAAGTACCTACGGGTATGCTAATCCGGCATCTGTTCGACACTCGAGTGAAGGCTCTGCAAACACTCAGTCATGTCTGGTGGTCCTTGGACAGTCAACAGAGGGACTTCCTGAGGAATAATGGATGTCGCGGCCTATGATCTTCTCTTTTTCTCTACCGTGCATATCATATGGTAACAAAGCAGCATATACCACCCAACTGATCCATGATGAGGTGCACAGCAGCAAGTGGGAAGGCGCGGGTCCAGCTGCATATTTGTAGGTTGAGTACCCATGAGTTTCAGTCAGATAAGGTCACCATAAAGCCTAGCAAGGTATTCGAGTCGCCAGCGGTGGCTATCTAGTACTACCCCATAATTATGCGAGACTATACCTAGCAATACTCATTCGTCGAGTCCTGATCCAGAAGCTAGGGAACCCCTAATGAAAGGGCGCTTCTGACCACGAGGCGTTCTTGCTTAGACCTTGACCTCACGCTCTGCTGCTAAATTTCGAAATAATCGCACTCTACTAGCCGCGCACTATTTGTCGGCGCCGTGGGCTACTGGCCAAGCCATAACATTGGACTGCCCAGTCTCTATATGAACACATGCTTGTTCTACACCCATCAAGCCGCTGTGACGTTTGCCTGGATCCCTATAGTTGGGATGATGCAGCGCAGTCACCTCATGCTATTCCTTGCGGTCACATCTTTTGCAAAACGTGGGTGGTTCGCACCATATCCTAGGAACAAACTAACTCGAGGTGTGCATAGTTGCTTGGGGGCTGTAACTCCGAGCAGCTGCCCGCTCTGCCGCAAGGCCTTCGCTCCGGATCGAATCAAGAAGCTGCACGTTGACAGGCCAGAGAATGTAGACCCCGGACAAGAAGACGAGACTAGAGAGACAGAGTTGCTGCGAAGTCTCTCGCTGTCGTGGGGAGAGAATACGCCACAAGAAGACATTGAGGCCTTGACGGGAGAGGTAACCACATTCCTGGAGAACAAGGCCGACGATGTGGTGAGTACGAGCGCCGGTCACGAGCTCTTCGTATACTTACGCCGTCCGCCGCTCAAGTGCATTGCCCTTCGTAAAGCCCGAGATGGGGTTTTACAGTACCATAAACTCCAGAAGAAACGGGAGAAGGATCGAGCAATGATAGTAACGATGAACCGTCTCCTCAAAACCACCATTGAACGTGCAGAAGAAGACAGTAGACTGTCGAAATCTATTGAAGAGAGTCTCATACTCGAAAGAGATCGCTTTAAGACGTACGTCGTTGCTACCATCTATATTGATCGTATTTAACGCTTGTTTTTAGTCAGGTAACCGTGTCGTGTCTATAGTTAATTTGCGTCGCTGATTTAACCTTGCCAGTATTCCGAGTGTGAAATTGTCATCGAGAAGCTCAAGGCTGATCTGGCGAAATACCAATATACTACGAATCCCCTCCCGAAGCCTCCGGAACCTGTTCCTATAGATAGATATCCTGCCTTCGCAAGAGCTGCAGCAGCTGGGCTGCGCTTCGCTTCCGATCCTCATGTCCCCCTCTCGCCTAAACATCAAACAAACGGATCCTCCGCAGAACGGAACGTTAACGGAGCCTCGACCTCCACTCGACCTCACGAGGAATATGTTTCTCCCGACCCGACCGTTCGTGCCGAAATTGCTGCTAGAGATCGGGAGTCTGCCGAGCTACAACAGGCTGAAGAAGCTCGGAGAAGGGAGGAAGTTGCTCGGAGGAAACAAAAACAACCTCTCTACAATACACACCGCTACCCTGCCACGGACACTGAGTCTAGCGGTAAACGGAGCGACCTGATTCCTGGCGCTTCACCTAATCAACGGGTGATACCTAGTTCATCAACTGCGTTGCCACAAGGTGTGAGTGGATGGGGTCAACCTGTTGCATCTGGGTCATCTAGCTTGCTAGGGGAATCTAGCAATGGTTTAGATGCCGCTGCTCCTGCAGGAGCATACGTCGCAGGTTATGCTCGTGGTTATGGGTATGGTTACAATTACGCACCGTCGATGAAGACTACAGTAAGCCACGACGGGGTTTTGTCCATGCCGTCTGCGCAGTCTTTACAGCATGTGGTTCTTGAAGAGACACCACGGGTTGGGTTGGGTTTGTACAGTGCGACCCCAAATCGTCACAGGGAACCAGAAGAAAGTTTGCTACAGCCCCCTCAAACAGCGCCAGTGTCTACGACCACGACCTCGTCAAGACCACATGGCTATCACAGATCTTCTCGATCTCGGCGAGATAGCACACCCGCAGATGGCCATGTTACGGACTCCACAATCACCCCATCCTCTAGCTCATCCGGTGCCCATCGCTCTCGGAGACGGTCAACGCGGACAGGAAACTCCCAGAACCCCCCATCCACCGACTCTGAAGCACATGTAGCTACTCCAGCCTCTCGCACAGCGTCCGACCGTGAAAGCATATCCTCCTGGGGGACAGTGCCGTCTAACCAGCCGCCGGGTTCTTCTGGTAGCAGCGTCGCTGATCTCGGCCTTCATTGGTTCCCCCCTGGAGCCGGGGTGAGGACGAGTGCATCTTCTGATAGCTCCAGGAATCCATACTTCCCCTTCGCCCCGCGGGAACCACCAAACGGTCCCGAGAGCGTGTCCAGCACTTCGGCTGCGAATACCAGCGTGGATGCCACACCCCGAGCTTCCGATCATGCTAGACCAACCGTCACGGATCCCTTGCAAACCCTGTCCATGCTCCTTGAGACAAATACCAACCTGGGATCGAGACACGCACGAGTGATAATTGAGGATCGACCAAGACCATCACGACACTCCACGTTGCCAGAACATTCCACGCGACCGTCGATTGCATCGGCTAGGACAGACGGCCAGTCGCAAGCTAATGGGAGCTCAGACGAGCACCGCAGCCATCGTCGGCATCGTCCCCGGCGTGGATCCACCACAACTGGGATATTGCGTATCATAGACGAGAACGCCACACCTTCTGCGCCGCCTGTGGCCCCCGCCCCTGCTGTCACTTCGTCCGGTGTGGTGGATGAGGGCTACCTCAGCGATGCCCCACTACCAGCGAATCAGAGCTTCGGAAATGCCTTGGGTCTCGATCTGACCGAGGAACCGCTCGCATCCAACCTCGTCATCTCCGCACCGACGCCAATCGTCTCTACACGAAATTTCCTACGATCCTGGAGTTACGATCATTAATGCCTAATTAGAATGCTTACTGGATTTTTTTGCCTTTACTTGCTGTCTTTGTTCTGCTGTCATAAACCGTCTTTATCATACTTATCATGCATGTTTCAGATCGCCTCATACCACAGATTGGCCGTTTAGTGTCCAAGGGCATGCGCAGTGTATTTATACAGTGCTTACTCGTATTTAAATGGAACACATCCGCCGCGATAATTCATTTGATCTTTCACGGGATTCCGGTGGTTAGAGCTAGCATCAGCGAGACTCAGCTAGTATTTGGGAGCATTCCCCAGACGCGCTTGCTGAGAACATCAGACTGCGGAAATTGTCCCAGGACTCTCCACGTTCACCTATCCGGTCGAGCATCGATAACACTTTTAGTTACAACCCCGTCTCAAGGTTCAAAGGCGTGTCGTTCTCAAATTAGTCGTCGGGGAACAACAGCTCTTGAAGAAGAGTTGCAGAAGGTTATTCAGTTCTATGTTCTTCCTTCTATTCTCATGTCATTTCAATTTCTCATCTCTCATTTGAACCGAACTTGGTTGCGCATGTGGGCGTGGTACTCGGAACGTCTGTCGTCGAAGCAATCCCTCGATTCATATGGTCATGTGGGTACAGTCTCCACACGCGGTTCAACTTAACTTTCATTATGGTTGCGGCTGATGCCATCGATCGATAACTGCTCTGGGGCCCATACGAAGGCAAGGCTAGTTCATCAAACCACCGAGATGCGTCAGGAGCTCTGGAAACCGCTGATGCTTTCTAAAGTGCTTAAGTTCCCATGTCTGAGTCGGTGTCCGGATTATATTGGGCGTCCGGCATGGGTTTCGACCAAAATATAATGTTCTACGCCTAACCGATGGGCCAGTCGTAGCCAAGCCTTCGTATATTCAAGGACCAGCAGTTAATCTGAATAGTCCAAGTCATCTGTAGGGTAATATAGGCGCTAAACCTACTACGGCCGTGCGAATAGGACTAGCGCGCAGCGTCGTCATTTGAGTCCGGTTACTGTTCTCCACATCGTTGCGCACCTCGTCCTCATCGTTCTCCAATTTTAACAATGTCTTTAGTAAGTGGCCAAATAGCACGCTATACACGTACGTGATCTGAGCCTCACCTAGATACACGCTCTCGTTGCGGCAGGTCCAACCATCCTGGCAGAACACTCAGCGGGCAAGCGAGACTTCTCCCAAGGTTAGCGATGCTGCGGTGGGGGTACATGGAAAATGGCTGACGAGGAGCTGAATTACAGCAACCCAGACCATCCTCTCCAAAATACCGCCAAATAATAGGTTGGAAGTGAATCTGTCCTCTGCTATCTGAACGCTGAACGTGAACGCTATCAGCAAACTAACTTATGTTTGGGAGCAATACCTCTTTCACTACATTTCTGAAGGCGGATTCACGTATCTAGTCATGGCCGATGACTCTGCTGGACGGTAAGCCATTCATTCCGGCGAAATAGTATTGTCTAACTTTGTCTGACATTAGGAGGATGCCTTTCGCCTTCTTGACCGACTTGCAGAGAAAGGTATACCAGGATTCTGGCTATATACGCTCAGTCTAACACATGACTTAGTTCACGTCAGCCCCTTCGTCTTCGGCTGCTTCAGATTCACCCGCCTACAGTCAACAGGGGAGCTTCGGGCCAGTTATCGCCGATCTCATGCACACATACAACACCGCTCCTCCGCCCGATGAACTCGTACGCGCCCAAACGGAGCTTAACCAGGTTAAGGACATCATGGTTCAGAACGTGGAGCAGATATTAAGTCGAGGCGAAAGGATAGAGCTTTTAGTTGATAAGACGGACGTTATGGCTGGTCAGGCCACCGCTTTCAGACGCGGCGCTCGCACAGTGCGCAGACAGATGTGGTGGAAGAACACGAAGATTCTGGCTCTAAGCGCAGTAGTTGGACTGGTGAGCAGATCACATTGCCCCCTTGCTTATCAGAATCTGGCTAATTTAGACTTCACTCCTTCAGGTCCTCATGTGGATCTTGGCGGCCCAGTTCTGCGGTGCGGGGTTGAACCAATGCGGGAACAAGCCCTCCGCAACGTAGTACAACTTCGGAGAACCCATGGTCCGGCCTATCACACCTCGCATCCTCGAATAGCCTATCTGCCTCTATTTCAGAAGTTCCTATTATACAAGTACTGTATAGTAATCCTGTGTCCTTAGACGTTTACAATTTGGACCCTCGAAACCTGCGGCCGCAGACTCGTCCGCCTATCAGCGTGCTATGACGATAATCTGATGTGCCTCGCTTTGAACCACAAGTGACCCCAACATTACTCCGCTGCTATTGCTTCTCGCATGGTACCATGACCATGCAACCTACCTTTGTGTATTTGATTCCGACAGGACAATCACTCCGCGACGGTTTGCAACTTTAATCCCAGGCCTTGGGTAATGTAGCTAAATGTAGTTTTGAAGTGAGGGATTTGTCACGGAACAGATAGACAGATAGATAGGACGCAATACCAGGGACCGAGATCCCAACTGTTAGGCTAGCTGATTGCTGGACGGAACTTGGATAAGTCACAATGGGCACTTCCGCGCCGATTGCGGTGTCGGAGAACTGGCGATAAGCAGATGTCGATAATATATGTTGGTGGCACACTGACACCGAAGGTAGATATGAAGGAGATGAATATTGCAAGATGATATACAATGTGAACAAACTATCTGATACAATGCCAACGGAAAGGCGGATTTGTGCGAAAGTGAATGTCGCTCGTCGAGAACGAATAAACATACATGGAAGCGGTTCGATGCACATATACTTGATAAATAAAGCGAGTCCTCGAGAGCCTCTATCGGTGCGGGTTGAGTTGGGATATGGAGGACGGGAAGACCGAGCGACAGATGGATGCAGCAAAGTAAAAGAAATTACGCGTATAAACCAGTAACACGAGTGTCTGAACCGATTGGATGCCGCTTAACAGAGTGATGAGTGTACTGTTGAGCGGGAGCATACGTAGAATCTCGAAGACTACTAGGGGTGACTCTTTGGTGGAAAGAGCCTTCGCGCCGCAAAGTAGAGCCAGACGTCGGTAGCGCGGTGAAGCCTCCTTCTTCCCGGTGGCGGTAAGATGTTGGGTTCTGTGAAGTCATCAATGCCGTCGAGGTCGAAGATGGGGGTACCTGCTGCGGCCTCTGACGGTCTGAGTCCTGCCGGGGACGGTCCTGTCTATCGCGTTCCTTCTCGCTGCGACGATCCTCGCGTAGGCGCTCCCGCTCGGCGTCTCGGCGTTCTTTCTGAGCCTTCTCGAGCGCGAGAGCTGCGCTGCTTGCGGTTGAGACAACCATGGGACGCTGGACCGTCATCTGCGATGGTTCGCTTGCCCGGGGCGGTGGAACGGATATAGGTAGAGGATTAGTCGATAGGCTTATTGCTACTTGATTATCTGGCCTAGGAGGAAGGGGTCTGCTATGAGCCGATGTCGAAGCAGACCGAGAAGGGGGGCGGGAAACCTCAGTGGCTCTATTAGAGTCAGTACGATTTGCCATGAAGTGAGCTGAAGACATGTTCGGCAAGGAAGCTGAAACATTGCCATCTTGAAGGAGATCGTGCAAGCGGCGTAGATGATCGGTCTCTTGACCACTAGTGTCGCGTGGGGGAATGGAATAACTGAGGGAAGACCGAGACGAAGAAGCGGTAGGAGGAGAAGCTGGAGGCTTGGTCGATGGGGGCCTGCTTCCACTGCGACTACGACTAGATCGCTGACTTGAGAAGGACTGTGTTCGGGATGGACGGCCATCAGAGCGATCATAAGTCTTGGGCATGGTGAGGGACAAGCCACTGCGTGCCCTATCAGGAACGACAGGGGTGGAAGCTTGTTCGGTGGCAAGTGATTCGCGGAAGGAATGGCGCACGGGGCCAGGGGTCGAATCAAGGTCCTGAACGGTGTTAGATTTCTCCATAACGAATCGCTGCGACATGACCGGAGGCATAGCCGGGACGGGGAAAGGAACACAGCGACAATTCAAGGGGCAACCTTCAGCACCACATGAAGACGTCGAAGGCTCCTCGAGTTCTTCGTCATCCGTGGACTCTTCATCCTCGGGTTCGCCATCGCCACTATCGACGTCCGGAAGGGCTGCAAAGGCCCCGAGTGATGAAGGTAGACCGCCCGTGAACTCTGGCAAAGGAGAGATAAGGTATTCAGGGTTGACGATTTTGGCCTTGAGGTCAAGATCAGAATCCGCGTCCCGGCTGGGTAGCTGAGGGAACTCGGGGACTGGATATCTATCTATGGCATGCTTATGATAGTCCGGATCGACTAAGTTTGAGCCCGAGCGAAGGAGTTTGAGCTCCTCGTTGAGTCGACCCCATTCACCAACGACGAACTTGTACTAGTATCGTCAGCAATGTGTGCAGATGGTCACAGTTCAATTGTACTCACTCGGCTAGAAACACAACGATTAGAGATAGGTACGGTTGAATACCAATGAAGTACTCACTCAGCCATATACTGGTATGCGGCTTGGGCACGGTCGCAGTGTTCCCTCAGACTTGCTTCGATCGCGGTAGCTGTATCCTTCGCAGCACGGCTAGTGAGCACCAGATCTTCGTATTTCCGTTCCACCTCTTTCTTCTCTGCTTCCTTGTCAGCGATCTCTTTGTGAAGATCTTCCACAACCTTCTTCTCGATCTTCAACTTGCTCCGGACCTCGCACATGTAGGCCAACATGCGATGGCTAACGCGTAGGTCTTGGAACTATCCAGAATATGAGGTCATGGATCAAGCGGGGGAATGGCAGGTGGGACCTACCGAGGATCGCGGTTGGCTGCTGAGGAATGTCCGACATTCGTCGATAACACTGCGCAGGTGTTGTTCCGAGGCGCCACGATTACCTATGTCAGCGATAGCTTCCTGCAAGCGACGCGCCTCGAGGTCTGCGGATTGTGTTTGGGGGCCGTGCATGTTTCCGTTGCTAAGAGGTCGGAGGCTATCGAGGTCGATGTGAAGTTTGATGAATGACTCCGTGTCGAAGGGCTGCCTACATAAAGGACAAATGGCGGGGCTCAGGTGATGTAGACAGCTAGCAGGAACACGTCAGTCCACACAAAGGGAGGCACAGAAAGCGAGTGGACATACCTCATACAAAATATGTGCCCACAACGTATAGAATGAGGTGCATGAGAGGAGTGGTCAAACGGCTCTAGGCAGACATCACAAGCCGAACCAGGAGCCAAACTGAGCATCTTGAAGAGGGGGACCGAGGGATGGAAGGAAGCGCGCGTACGATGTCAAGACAAGTGTACACAGTCGGAAGTCGAGTCGGATGGTAGAAGTATAGGTCTGCCTGACCCGCTGCACGTGTAGATGAATGGTGGATGGGATATGTTGGTACCAAGTACGAACCCTCGATGGCGAAGCTGGAGCGTTATAAAGGCTACACGAGGCTGCAGGTAACCGAAGGGAGGAGGCTTTATTCGAATCGGCCTCCATGTCACTCGGCCCTTCCCAATCACAGATCATGGATGGTGACTTGCGATCGCTAGACATTAAGTCCAGCCACCAAGTTCAGGCCAAGCTGCCGGTGTGAGTTACTTCAGGATTAGCACTGGGAGTCAACTCCGCAGATAAGGGTGCAACTGGTTCGCACTTGAGAAGATTCGGCGACGGCTGTCGTAAGCTGCCTTGGATGGCCTAAACTAGGTCATGCTAGAATTCCAGGCATTCTGTAAGGCTGGGTGTACCACCTGATTGGTCCTTGTCGGCAATCGGTACGGAAGTCAAGCGCCTCATGGCGAACACGCAGACTGAGCGTCAAGGGTGTCTGCTCTTTATTGGTCGTGATACGAACGTCTGCATAGAACATGCCATCCAAGCCAGAACGACGACCATGTCAATTTCAGGGATATGTCAAATTTCCGCGGCGTGATGAGCGTCGTTTGGCTCTAACTCTGAGGCCGCTACAGGTAATAACAGTATGGTGAGTTTATCGTACAAGCCTGGTATTAACACGTATGGAGCGCACCTTGTCGTTAAGTTGCACCGAGAAAGAGGTTGAGTTATGCAATTCATTTCAAGGTACTCTCTTGTCGTTCCCGACATTCCGTAATAGCCCGTGGGGCATTCCAGCGATATGAAAGGCACATTGCACGGGGGTTCCGCTTCACCCTCAGCTGGCAACCTCATATCTCGTCAAGTTGACCTTTTGTGCGTAACAATACTGAAACGCGAAACGCGGGGACCCATATTAGCCAGCAGGAGGAGCGGGGTAGTTCAAGGACTGTTCAAGGAGGTAAATCTGCCAAAATTTCATACAAGCTCCTATCTTCCTGCTGATTAATATTAAGGAGCGTTCAGGGGCAACACATGGTTTGCGGAAAGAAGTTAATACAAGCAGAGGGCACAACGGGCGGCTCAGCAGCACACATGAGAATGGTTCGTTACGGATTGATTAAAACGTAAAACGCCATTCATCCAAGAAAATAAATAAAACGAAAGCCACCTGGCATGCCATATCCTTGGGACCTGATCAAACTCAAGTCCTTGTCGGCCGACACCCTTGTATAGTTTAAAAACATCTCGGGATGGATAAAATAAACCGGGTATCCTAACATCGGTAACTTGATTTACGTTATTAAGTGACTAGTTGCGTCTTCGACAGAATGACACCGAAGGATTGAGGCAGATGGCCGCACATGCTGTACAGTGGATGTGTATATATACTGGTGATCAAACACACGGCCGTTTGCCTACGCGAAAAAGGTGGCTAATGCGGGGGCAGTACGACGTTGACTGTGCTCCCCTACGCTGACGTCCTCGACCAGGAGGTTCTTCACGTTTATGTTGAGGTTATACGGACAGGGTATGAATGTTTAGCTTTGCTTTCCGCGTGTCCACGAATTCATGATGGCAACAATGCGTGGTCGATATGATGTAGCTTGGGTGTTCCCTCAAGCGAAAAGTACACATACGAGATATCGTGGGGATGCTGGAAGTTTCTTAGCGAAGTGTCAAGACTCGCACACAAAACAACCCATACCTTTTGAAGACCCATATGTTGTGAAGGAGACCTAGTGTATCTGTTACGAAGACAACTCATGTAGCCTGGGCAGTGTTGCCCGACCTACGAGTCTCACACATGAAGCCACGAAGCCACGTAGTGATTGATTGCAGATTGATTTCCAGAAAACATATCAAGCATGGATTCAGATCAACCGAAGCCAACGCAGAAGACCAGTCCGTCATCCACCAACATACACCCAACGAATAGAAAGACTCTGTACAAACGCCCCCAGCGCTTGCGCAGCTTCCATTTTCTGGAATCCGAAGGCATACAAAGAAAGTCGAGTCATGAAAACCCCGACAGAAGTAGTCGTGATCATCAAAAATCATGGCAAAGGCGTGTAGGGTGATAAGATGCCAACGAGCCTCGTGTATCGTGTAGTTATGATTTATTTTAATCGTGGACGCTCGATGCTACGTCGGCCGAGGTGGGCGGCTGTGGCGTGCCACCTTCCGAGGGTAAGGGAAAGAAGTGAGGCCGGGGGTTCGCTGGCAAGATGAGAAGGTGGCTGAATGCATATGAGAGAAAGATCTACGTCGCCCATTCAGGACACCTGGAGTAGGTTCGCATGCACGGGTCGAGGCAACGAAGACGGCGTTCAAGACAAATGTAGCGGATCGGCGAAAGCTGAGCCAGTCAAAGTGGTCGAATCGTCTCCTGTGAATACGAATAAAATGATAGACCTGTGAGTAAGCATATTGCAGGCAAAGCAGTTCGTCTAGACCATGAACCCGGTTACCCAATGCGCGCACGCAAACGACCCCATGTTACCTTGAAGCTCGAAGTCCAAGCCAATTGAGGATTAAGTGTGGGAGTAAAAGCATTAAATATGATATAGGTAGCCTCCAAGGCAATATTTTTACACATACACAGAGCGTATGACATGTCGGAACCAATGACATGGCCAAGGGAGGTTGTGTATGTGCCCCCTCCCAGAATGATAATCCTATCGTAGCCGCAGGCAACAAGAGAGCATACTCGATTACTTTGAGAATGATCGTATGACCTTGGCGGAGATGTGAAGGAAGAAAATTGAGCCGATGAACGAGAGAGACAGGACGAGGACAATGAAAGGGTCACTAATAGAGTTGCCTTAGCACGGAAGTATCGAGAGAAGACTGAAACGCACACTCTCAATCCAGGTGAGTCGTCGGTGTAAAGCTTCAGCATCGTATTCGAGGAGCCGCCAGCACCAGCTGCCCGCGACGAGTTGGGTTTCGCGACCTGTGAACCAGCAGCACGTCGACTATTTACAGCAGAGAATTGTTTGTTAGTGCTTCAATAGCAGAAAGAACATCAAGACGGACCGAATCTGAGTACCAGGAGGCTTAGCACCAGATGGGCGTGGGCTTCCGTTCGTGCGCGGTGAATCAGAGTCAGACTGTAAAGAAACTCGTAAGTTTGCGTGAGACCTATAGAGAAAACCGAGCATACCATGGCGTAGGGAGCGAAAAAAGTGAAGAGGTGGGTATGTATGTGGTTGAAATTTATGAAAGTCAAGTGTCTGCGCTGGCAGAGGTTTGAAACGTAGCCGTGTGAAATGAAGGGGCGCTTAATGCATGGACTGATCACTAGTGGGTCACGCGACTCTTGGAGGCGCTCGCCGATACTTACCGCCAACTCGGAACGCGTTATCATGACATTCAAGTGCGGTGAGATGAATCTATCTACGATACATAGTTTATACAAGCACTGAACAAATTGTCACAGAATCCGCGACTTCAAGACCGCCTTCTGAGCGGCCTTAAAAGACGTCAAGAAGGTTTCCCAAGATCTCACCGTAGTCTCACAGAGATCGTGACAATTTTGCTCAAGTATATGAGTTGTCCTGAGACGTGTGTATCCCAAGACTACAGGGTAAATTATGCTTGCTGGCATACCAGGCCGCATGGACACATTGGTGCACCTCGTTCTCTGCGCCCTGGCTCAGTTTTACTTCCGGAGGGAATACATTCTGTCCCCGTGCTGGACTCTCATATGCGGCTTCCATTCCGAAGGTGCTCACACTCTGGCCGCGTTCTTCACGGCGGAAGTCGATAACAACCGAAACACTCCTCGTTCACGGACCGAGGGAGCTGAAATGGCTCCCAAGAGCTGCTGCTATCGGTTTAGCATTCACTTCGGGCATCATCAAAGGATGCATGCCCCTCTGTTTTCCCGCTAATCAGGCTAGCATGACTTTCCCAAAGGGGGGCCTTCCCACCTCGCACGTACATCCTACTATCCCCATTCTCAGCGAAAGCTCTCACCATAGATCTTTTGTTGCCTCTTCTCTACCCTATGCACGGCTTCTGCCTTGAACGCCTCCTCACAGCCGCTCGCCCCGACCGATACAACCAATGGAGCCCACGATGAAAGGAAAACATCACAATTACACCGTCCACGAGGCTCACTTACATCTTATCACCCTCCACGCCTTTGCCATGATGCACTCTTTGAATGGCATCTCCATTCCTTCTATCAGGGCTGTTGAGATTCGAAATTACTTTGCAAACATATACGGATAATTGTGAGCCCTTTATCACCTTATGTTCCCATTCGCTTTTAGTGATCGGCGCGTTAAAGGCCGGAAAGACTGGTTGAATAAAGTTCAAACTTCATGTGGGTATATCCCCTGGGACCAAGTGGTTAATGAGCCAAGTTATCATTCATATCCTAGATCATCGTCCGTCCAAGTGATCCTGTCAACGTAGGTTAGCCCGGCATTGAACCTAGGCCCCCTCCGACTGCGAGACTTTCGCTTCTTCCACTTCTACAGTAATCCCCATTGAAGAAGGTGGGCTGTATGGGGTGCTACAGTACTATCCTGTCTTCGCCGTATGGCAGTATTTTGTAACATCGACGGGCTTACTTGAAGTTTATTCCGGCGTCCTCGAGTACGAAATGGAGAAAGCTCTCGGAGAGGACAACCTTATTCACACACAACCTTGCCTCTAGCTCTAGGCCCAGCTCAACTAGCTGATCAAAGATGTCGTTGCGAACGCTTTCCTCCATCAAGGAGCCTTGTATTATCGTAGGCGACCTATGGCGAAGTCTGATGGAAGCATACCACAACCAGTCGGTTCAATCCAACTCCCATCGTAGCCACGCTGACCACTAGTGCCAGAGTCAGTAATGCTCTCCGGATACACAAAAAGGGCCAAATAGCCTTAAGACCCTCGGGTGTTCCTATACATCTCCATATTTACACTACCTAGCGGACAGCTGTGGATAGTCCCCATCTCGGTTTTGAACCGAAACATGCGGGGTTGGCTCGGTCAAGAGATAATCTTAGGCACATATCGCGCATACCAAAGCAGGTCAACAATGTGAGCCGACATTGTTCCTTCTTACCGGCGGTGACAAGCCGATGTACCTCTTTACCTGCACTACCATCGGGTTCTCCCTTCGCACAATCCACACCTGGAGTATTCGTTTCGCCTACTTTGCCGCGCGTAACAGATATCATCATTGATAGTCGATGGCTGCGGGCAAGCAGATAAGGCTTGCCAACGAATCAACGACGAAAAGCTCCAACGGCGGTGTGCTCTATTTCTGCTTACCTTCGCTTCTTGCTGACATACACGATCTGATCTGAACGGTGCGGTTCTGTGCTCCTTATAGGACTCCTACAGCATCAACATTAGAACCAATCATGGTATAAGTACTCCAGGCGCCGACTGTGCCGCCGTTACGCACGCAGTGAGTACTCACAGTGGTCCTTTGCACCTTTGATTGTATACCGTCATCACCAAGGATTTACCCGGCGTAGGGCGTCCGACGGAACATGCTGATTGAACCGAGGTTTCCCGCGCTTTTCTTTCAAGCTGTGATGAACAACGTGTAAGCTGGATGATAAACTTGCTCAGCGGAGCGCTTGCGATACTTGGCTGTTGTTAATGGTCAGTGGGGAGTCATGGTACCTCAAGGTGGTATACATATATTCAATGTTGGTTCTAATCACTAATTGCGCTCTCTCTCTTTCGATGTACTAGTAGCGTTGATGGCGATAAATACAACTGGAGTTGGACATGCTCTCCACGAATCCAATCTCCACGAATCCACAGAAGCCCGGCGGACCCACGTCAGGTCGTTGAAGCTCCTCCACCCAGATATTCCCAGCTCTGGCACCTTGTGCGTCTTTTCTACTCAGGCCCACACCGCTGAATAGTCTTCGTGTGTAAGTCGGAAGTCAAACGCTGATCAGTTACAGCGAGTGACTTCCCGCACTGATATAAGAATAATAAAATAAGTGCCGGCCTAGAAACCCCTTCTCGCATAGAATGCTCGACATCATCTCGAACCCTCTATTGAGTCTCCCGTTATTAGGTGTTGCGGCCATTGGAGGGGTTTGGGCACTGAAGCCGTCTGCACCTCGCCACGCCCTGCCTCCTGGTCCCAGAGCACTTCCACTGATCGGCAACCTTCATCAATGGCCTACCGCAAAGCCATGGCTGACCTTCAACTCTTGGTTTAAGGAGTACAGTGAGTGTTCTCCATATACATGTGGATCATTCAGACAAGCTCTCTGACGCCCCGTCGAGACTCTGATATCCTTTACATGAATGTCGCCGGGCAACACGTTGTCATCTTGGGATCAAGGAAGAAGTGCATGGACCTGCTAGATAAGCGTTCGGCCACATACTCGGATAGAGCCCGCCTGCCTCTATGGATTGACCTGTTGGCCACACATCGTCGTTGCCTTTAAATTCATCACTGATGTACCTGTAGGATGAAATGGGATTTCAACTTCGTTTTCTTGCCCTATGGGACGAAATGGAGAGAACACAGAAAATCATTCAATGACTATTTCCACCCGAGTGTCGTTTATAAGGTACGCTCTCTGCATCCCTCGTCCCCCCCCTCTTGCTTATACCTGAGAAGTATAATGCCAAACAAACTCGAGGCGCTCGAATGATGGCTCGTCAGATCCTGGAGTCGCCCGAGAATGCTGTGGATCACATCCGTTTGTAAATTAGCACTCAGATCGCATACCCACCCTACCCGCTGACAAAAATCTTACAGCGCCGTTACATCCGTTATCATGGATGTAGCCTACGGAATACATATCGCCGAAAATAACGACCCGTACATCGAGATCGCCGAGTCCGCCATTTCCAGTTTAGGTCTCGCCACGATTCCGGGGACATTACCTGCCGACCTTTTCCCGATCCTCAAGTATATTCCGTCGTGGCTTCCTGGCGCTGGCTACAAACGATACGCTCAGTCAGTTGCGCATATCAACCACGTCTTTGCTACCAAACCCTGGAATGCTACCAAAGACAAATTGGTATACTCGTCACTTATGCCGTCAGCCTTTGGATACTAACTATCTACTACCTGGCTAGGCGAAGGGCGAAGCCATTGAATCAATCGCCGAGAGCCTGATAGAAAGTTTAAGCGAAGGGGACGACGAAGAGGTGGCTAGAAATACTGCTGCTGCTTGCTACGTTGGTATGTTGAACGGACTGGAGCTGGGGTTTAGCTGAGCGCGTGACGTTTAGGTGGAACCGACACAGCCATATGTACTCTCCGAATCTTTTTACTGGCTATGGTTCTCCACCCTGAGGCACAAAGGAAGGCCCAGGATGAACTTGACGCCGTGGTTGGCGACCGTCTGCCTACTTTTGAAGATCGAGAACAGCTCCCTTACATCCGTGCTCTCTTGAAGGAGGTTACCAGGTGGCAACCAGTGACACCCATGGGTAAATACAAGACCTCTTCTCGTATCTTGTATGCTTCAGCCTCATGATTTCTTCATTGTAGGTCACGCTCACCGTGTCACTGAGGACGACGTATACGACGGCTACTTCATTCCCAAAGTGGGTTGTCATATTCTAGCGGCATGTATATAGCCCTAATGATGATCCTTTGCGGCAATAGGGAACGCTGGTTGCGACCAACGTGTGGTACGTAAATTTACAGTGAAATATTTCATGATCATGGCTTATCCTGCATTACCTCTCAAGGTCTATGCTAAACGATCCAGAGGCCTATCCCGAACCCTCCAAATTCAACCCCGATAGATTCCTGAAAGACGGAGAAATCGACCCAGACGTCTTGGATCCGGCCCAGGTCGCCTTTGGGTTCGGTCGCAGGTATGTTCATCACCTCCAGCCTTTCTGGCCACTTATACTGGCGTCCCAGAATATGTCCAGGGCGGTTCTTCAGCGCCGATAACACCTTCATCATCGTATCCACCCTGCTTTCCGCCTTTAATTTCCGCCCACCACTTGACGCTCAAGGCAAACCTATCCTGCCTGAAATTGACATGTCCCCTGGTCTGGTGTCGTACGTCTCCCATTCCAACCGTTACTTGCTTGATGTTACTTGATTCTTATGAGACTATTTTAGATACTGCAAGCCGTTCAAAATGGTGATAACTCCTCGCTCAGGTCAAGTAGGAAAGCTTCTCTCAGAGGTTGAGGTCTAAGTTCTATGATGAATTCGCTGTATCTAATCTAGTTTGGGTGGCGCTGTATGAATGTCTTCCATCGCGGTAGAGAGCCGTCTCTGCCATTCTACGTTGTTATGTCCGAGGCTTGTTCGTCGATGCAACGCCTGCACTTGCAGTCAAAGTACCACCCACTGAGGAGTTCTTTGCGGCGGCTCTTCCAATCCGCTTTCGTGTCTATGTAGTTGATATTGAGCTCCTCGCCAGCAACAATTTCTCGAGTTGTCCGGAATTCCATAGCGCGTCCTCGTCGAGTTTTGCCGACGTTTGGATCACAGCCTAGATACGCGATTGAATCTCATAAAGCCTGTATTGCGGCATGCACTTACTATGGTTGAAATATGAACCCTCGATGTACATCGCGAATCCCAGCATTTCGGATTCGTCGTCGTCTAGCATCGCCTCTCCCTCTTCCCAGATCCCGAAAACGTTGCCATGGTCCCTGGCGAGAACGTCTCGAATCCTTTCGCTCCCCTCGAAATAACTTGCTAGCGTCGATGGAATGGCCGAAGATGCTGCCTGCACCGCACATCGCAAGAACGTGTAAACACGGATCCACGTATCCAAACTGTCCGGGTGAGCACGAAGATGCACCGCTTCGTTGTTTTGTAGCGTCAGAAGGTTTTCCCACTTCGACAAGAGTTTTGGAGCCTGCAGGGCGTTCTGTGTTGTTTTGCCAAGAGTATCAAGCTCCTCTCGCCAACATCTGATGATAGCAGAGGACAGAAATCTCGCTGTTTCCAGTTCCGATTCGGATAAAGACTGCGAGCGAAGTACGTTCTTCATGAGGGAGGACTCCGCGGTCTTCCATCGAGCATCAATCGTCTTATCCAAGTCGTCCACTTCGTTGTTCGTGATTGGTGTCGGGTTGGGGATCGCCTGTGGGTTATGATTTGTACAGCTGAAAACGAAAAGACTGGGAAATATACCTCTTTAGCCTGGTCTCTCTTACCCTGCTTGCCTAGCATGCTAGCATGTAGCCTGTCGATGGCCCGCTGTATCGCGACCGCTTCGCTAGAATAACAACCTACCGTCCCCCATTCATCTCTACACTTTTCACTGCAAAACCAAACCCCCTCCCCAATCGCACCGCTCGAATTAGACGGGCGAATTTTCCATGCCAAGCGACGCGCTTTCTGGGCCACGATATCGTCACGAACATACAAAAAACACTCCGCACAAACTTCTTTTCTGAACTTCTTGTAGATTACCCATGCATATGGTTCATTACAGGTGAGTATAACAGTCCCAGATGATAGTCCTTTTGTAGCAAATAGTCCTCGGCCTCCATATGGTGTCGCCTTCTGCTCGTATTCGTCCATCGGTGGGATCAATAGGGGAAGTCAAAGTTCGCGTTGCGGCCGTAACGAAGAGAGGTCAGGCCGAGCTCCCCGAGCGATTTGACGCCCCAACTGTTTCACTAAGTTTTAGCGCTCATTCGTGCTTCAACTTCAACTCAAGTTTGAAGGATCATAAACACACAGGGGACCTTTACACGAAGCAACAAAAAATCTATGCCCCTCTTAACTGTGATTGAATGGCTGCGGATCCAAATCACTCCTTTACTAACTTCAACTTCTTATACTCTAGGCAAGGCACTTGGATAGCGGTGGTGGATGACCGACAGCGTAGACAACCTACATTTTTCAATCCTTCTTGTACTGATCACACGCATCATAGAGAATATAACGCCCACATACCCAGCTTCCAAAGAATGCCTAGAAACTAAGACAGCATTTGGATTGTAGTCAGACCCCCGGAGAAAACCAGTGTAGCCCGCATTGCAAGGCAGCATAACAGTACCGTGGGCGACCCGGGGGAGACTCGGAGAAGGATTCAAAAGACAGGCGGGGCGCCGACAAGCAGACCCCATCCAGTCCGTCTGCTCGTCAATTACCAGCGGCCGTTCTTCTATGCCTCGACAAGGTCAGAGCTCCGAACCCCCTATCCAAGGTCGGATTTTTTGGCACCTTGCTTGAGAGCTTTAAGCAAGGTCATTCGTCACTTTGCAGTCGTCACAAGCAGTTTGACAACCATGATGCTACTCGCAATACAACTGAGACACCTGCCATCTACTTGGGTCGGCCACTATAGGCGAAGATTAGTGTGCCAATTAGGCTGATTCCAATGGCTAGCTTGTTCACCGTCATGCTCGCGGGTGCTATCAGAACACTAGAGCTTCTGGAGCTTCGTATATATAGACGCAGTCTACGCCGCGAACCCTGATACTTACAGAGACATTCGATTGCAGCGCTAGGCTCACCATCGGCAAGTGATATTTGATTTCAAGTCTGACCATACTACTTACAATAATCCTATAGATGTACTCTGTACTAGTCTTATTGTCAGCCCTCGCGGCTTCGACAGTAGCTCGACCTGCGAACGACTGGAGCAAGCCGTGTTTCGATGGGGAGTGTGCCTATGATCTCCCAGCAACTACAGGAGCAACATCGGGTGTGCTGAGGATAGTCAGTGCACCGAGACTAATGTTCGAATCAGTGGCTTACCTTTGAGTAGACTGGCGCTCCCCATGCCATCACAGATGTCACGCCCGCTGCTGGCTGGGTTATCCTTGATTGCGACCCCAATATATTGGAGCAGGATATTCGTCTTGTGTGCAGCAGCGATGACGACACCGAAGCAGGGTGCAACCACCTTTTCCACGGGCACGGGCCAGTCAACAAGATAGTTCGTTTACCAGAGAGTGTAAGTCTTCGCGACCCCTTTCGCCCATGGGCTTTCACGAACCGCTTGCAGTGTGCCGGGGCCAATCCCTTCGCTAGGATCTCGAGGGCCTGGATACCGGAGGACCAGAGACTGCCTCAGGCCGCTAAAGGCCAGGTCTATCGAAGAGATGGGGCAACACCTCAAGTACACGCCTTGAGTATCGACACGGTGGGTAAATTTCCTAGGCTTCCTACCTAACGAACTCACCTCTGGATCAGAATTGGGCTCAAATCGACTCCACAAAGTATGAAACGAATACGCAACCCTGAAGTACTGGCTGACGCACTCTATTGCAGTACCGGTGAGGTATCGTTCGCATTCCTCACTACGAACAACCCTGTTCCAAGAAACACCTACTTCGAGACGTCGTTGCTCCAACGGCGTGATGTTTCAAATTTCGCCGAGGCTGCTATTGCGAGTGAGCTACTATCTCTTATCCTTCCGCGCGAAGCTAACAGCGCTCGTAGACTACGTAGACTCTCCTGAGGTTGCGGACAAGGATTTCAATTTCCACAACACATCCAAGATTGTTGCTAAGCTCTTGGAGCCAAAGGAAATCTTCAAGAAGGAACTTGAATGCAACAAAGTCAAACTCTACGTCAAAGCAGAAGTCGATTTCGACTTTGATGGGCAGGGTACCCTCACTGTTTCCGGGAGTGGCCAGTTGACTCCGAAACCGTCCTTTTCCTCGTTCCAAGGGCTCATCAGTATGTCTATCGCACATGCTCCATTGCGCACCAAAATTCAACATCAGGTGTGCATCAGGTATTAAGGGTAAATTCGCTGGCTCTGTCGACATCACTGGTGGCCTTGAGGTGAGTCCACCCTGGCTCTCCTTCACGCCATACGCTGAGTCTTACAAAGGGAACCATTGCCGACACCGGAGAGAAAACGCTCATCACCAAGAATATTCTCGGCTTACATATTCCAGGGCACGTCGTCTAGATTTCTAGCTCACCGTCCGAATGCCTGACTCCAGGACACAGCATTGTCGACGTCGGCCCAAGGGTTTCTCTTCTTGCAAGCTTCGGCGCCAAGGTCGGCCTTGTGATTGGTGCCAAACTCGAGATCAACTACGACATCCAGAAAGGTAATGAACTCCAGTGTAATCCTTCAATCCTACCTGACCGCGGTTTGTCAAATAGCCGAACTCGTTTGGCCGCCGTCCAACAGCAAGAAATCCATCGCCGAGTTTAGATCGGGAAATAATGGTACAGCTCCCCTTTTCGACCATCATTTGACATAGTGCTCAACAGTGCGCACCACAGAGGTCAAGCTGACGGCTAATCCAAATGTCGCTGCCGTGAAAGGCTCGATCGAAGTGCATGTCATTCCTAAGATAAGCTTTGGTATCAGCGCCTTCAGTGACAAGACATCCCACGCGGTGTTCTTCCGAATGGATGGCAAGGGGGAGCTCACTTTGACGTTGGGTGCAGCGTCGGCTACTTTGAGCAACAAAGAGAAGCTGACGAAAGAAGCGTTTGTCGGATGCGCGAAGCTGACAGGGGAGCTCAAGGCTGAGCTAGGTGCGGAAACCAAGTTCTTCAGTCTCTGGGATAAGTCTACGAAGGCCACGGTTTGGAAGAAGGAGTACGAAATCTGGGAGGTGACTTTTCCTTTCGACTCTCAGATCCAGAGACGGCACCTGATCGTCCGCACCATTCGTAGGCCTGCTATCCGAAGAAGAAGAAGCGTTCAGCCTCACACCTTGAATACCGTGCGGCTATGATACAAGACGACGACACCCTTAAATGCCCCAGTGTATTGACCCAGATGAGCAAAGGCCTTGAAATTTTCTCCGATTTCGTGAAGGGTTCATCGTGCGTGGTAGTGATTCATTTCCTCGATTGATTCTCATAGTCTGTACAGAGTCAAAGAAGTTTAGTCTCGAGAGAGCGAGCGACTAGCTGGACTAGCTGATAGCGTATTCAAACGGATTCCAATCCTAAAGCGAGATCCACAACATAGCGTAACAAGCGAAACGATTAAAACAAAATATCCATCTAATCCGCACAGCGCCTGCGCCGTGATTCATTCCGAAGATCTAACCGCTGGAGAGGCCGTCGCTCGCCGCGCCTTCGTCGCCTTCATCTGAATATTCGGCACTGTCAGATGAAGCGTCGTCCCGTACTGTTTCCGTCCTCTCTTTCTTGTATTCATATCCCATGAAATTCATCACACTAAGAGACGGTCAGTTCCGAAAGCTCGGATTGGAGCGCGAAAACATGCTACTCACTAAATAGTTCCGTCCGCGCATCCCACAACCACTTCTTCGTGGCTTAGTTGCATGGACATGGGGTTCTTCTCTGGAGTAGCCAGGCCAGAGAATTTATTGGGTAGCGGACCCAACAATCCCTGTATTCCGCCGGAGGCACCGACCTCACCAGCAAGGGCAGCCCACGCACCAGTCAAAGGAGTGACGTCTGTATCGATATCAACTGATGGGGACGAGGCATGACTGTCCGACCGTTGGGGAATACCCCGCTTCTGTGATGCCGTGGGCTCCTCGTCACTGCTCCCATTGTCGGAATCATCACCATCATCGGCCACATGGTTCTCATCTCGATCTTGGTGAGTTGTTATAAAAATCTACACCATGTCGTCAATACGAAGCACAGTATGACTCTTCAAAGAAATGCACTCACCCTGCGATCAGCACCCGACCTGGAACTAAATCGCGTTGCTGTGACCACTCTCCGTTTCCTCGGGTCCACTGCGCCCACAGCGATGTCAGGCGTCTCCACAATTCCAACAATTTTTGGAGGCGCAGTCAACACCGCCGCTCGCCCGAATAACATAGTTTGTGGCTTTGCCATCGAAGCCGAAAGCGGCGTTGCCGACCGAAGCGCAGTCGGACTTAGATGAGGTGTCGTAGGGGTCCGCGGGGGGACGTTGAGGCTGAGCCTCCCTTTGGAGATATTGGGCATGTTGCCGTTGGCGCCTAGCGCAGACGTATTCAGCGAAATGCGACGGGGTGGCGTCGAGATAGACGATGTCGATCGGGCCAGTGAAGGGACCGTTTTCGAGCGCGCTTGCCTCGTCGATGTAGTCACACTCATATTCTCGATGTCATTCGGGTCTATGAATGAATTATCTGCTGGCATGGGCACGGAAGACCTCGGCTTAAACCGCGATTTGGACGTAGACGTCGAAAGGGCCGATGGCGTGCGTTGAAGTTGCCCGGGCTTCGCTGACGTCGCCGGCGTGGTTGGTGTTAGACTGGCGGGCGAGAGCAACGATTCGCTGCCTGGCGTAGCGGCGGTTCCTTTAGAAGCGGACGAAGCGGTGTCCGCCGTCTCTTGCCATTGAAGGTGCATAATGACTGCCTTTGTCGCGCACTAACAACAACGATAAGAACACAGTCTAAACAGGGCGTATCATTGGCAAAGAGACACCGCGACCCACCGTAATTTGCGAGCCCTTCGCTGCAAACCACTGCAGCATGTTGTCCGGAGCTCTTCCCACATTCCACAGCTTCGAACTTAAGACAGGGTCGCCTCCGCCCAACTCGCTCAGCTTGAACTGGGAGATCATCTCCCTCCGATCTACGAGCAGAACCAGAACCATCAACCCGAAGTCCAAAGTCTTTTAGCCCCGTAAGATCACCACCCACCGATCGCGAAGACCCTGACTATCCCATCGATAGTAACGCTCACCACCCTTTCTCCGTCGCCCTTCCCATTGCCTCCGACTAGCTGCACGCCGACGTTGACCGTTGTCTGCTGGCCGAATCGTACAATCTTCGTTCCTGCCCGCCAGTCCCAGCAAACTAACGCCTTGTCGGCCCCCGCGGATACCAGAGTTCTGGAGGATAGCGCGACCGCACGGATACCGTTCAAGTGTCCAGACAGTTGTTGAAGGGGCGTATATGTCAGCGAAGAGTATAGATGCACGCGCCCGACGTCGTGGAACCCTACAACGAAAACCTCTGCAGGAATATAGGTTAATGTCATTGTCAAGCAGGCGAAGGAGTAGTGCTCTTACCTTCCTCAAGCAGCCAATCGATACAACTCACGGGCTTCTTCACCTGCAGACACTTCTTCATCTCCCCGGTCTCCACATCCCAGAACCTGATTGTCTCGTCGTATGATCCGCTTATCAGCCTCTTCCCCCTTAGCAGCAAAGTTGTGCAGAATCCCGTGTGCCCGACAAGGAAACGCACACGCTGCGGGATGCCAAAGAGGAAGTTGGACTCCCGGTGATGCAGAGCTCTATAGAGCGCTTCCCTGTAACACATACAAGGAAATTATATTTCTTCCTTCTGATGTCAGAGTCAAGAACGCACCATCCTTCCTTAGGGCCGCCCTTTCCGTCCCCTCGGCCGCGCTCGCTGAGAGTGAGAGAAAGGGGGACAGGATCGTCCGCCGAGATTCTGAAACAGAGATAGCGCCAGATAGCGGGATGGTGAATAAGAGATTGCCACTTGCGCGATACCTGCCAAATCAGTTCCACAGGGCATGAGAATTATGTCGCGAATGAGGGGATACGGGAGCACTTACGGATTCCAAGCCCAACAACCGCCTCACCCCAGCTCTCAATCTCCCCAAGTCCACCCTCGCACGTCTCCTCCCGCCACCCCAGATACCCTCTTCCCCGGCGCCTACCCAGTCTGTTCCAGAGTACTCTTTTTCATTCGCCTGACTATCCCCCTTAGCCGACTCCTCGCCCTTCGGTCCAGCTCCGCTCGAAGGGACGGAAGGCGTCTTCGCGGAAAAAGCAAACGCATCCCCTTCAACAACAAAAACAAGGATCCTCAACGCTAACTCATCCCCGAGGCTGCCTAGGACATCAAATGTCGACTTCGCGTACCGCTCTAGCAGGAGAATCTGCAACGGAATGTCGCCTGGGTGTAGGGAGTCAAGAACAACATGTGCACTGACACACGCCTTAGAACGGGGATCGGTGAAAAGTTAGAAAGGTTAAACATACAGATTATTCCGACCCTTGCGCCCCAATGCACGGACGGCTTGTCTGACTGCGGTTTCGTCTATGTCTCCTCTGGCTTTCTTTGCCTTCATGCGGTTGACGGCGGGGGAAACGGCATCTAGGAGTGCGGCACACTCTGGATCACTGCTGCCATGCGTGCCCAGTGACGAGAAGAACGCTTCTTCCTCCTCGTCTTGCTGCAAGTCAGCCTTCGAGGCATCACGGTACCCTGACCAATATCCGTTTTGACGACGGCGTCCACATACACAGCGCCCGTCCTTGCCATCAACCATATCTATTGAGAAGTAGTCCGAACCTATAATAAATCAGTATATAAGCGTATGGTAAGGGGTATAAACCCCACCTGCGACGTTCTGCGTCTGACCGTTCCTCCCCTTGAGGATCTGTACTTCGGCCTGCAGGGCATGCAGTTGAGCGGCCGCGCTAGCCTGTGCTCGCTCGAGGAGGCGCTTCAGCGTTGTGATACGAGCGGAATGGAGAGCGGCTAAGGATTGGAGATGGGACATGAACTGCGGGCAAACATCGTTTGTCAAACGCGGGCTAGGACACAAGCAATGCACACTTACCTCCTCGTCCACCGCACCCTCTCCGCCTTCCGTAATCATCTCCATGTCCATGTCTAGATCCATTTCCTCGCCCTCGCCAAATACCGTATGAGCTAACGTACCCTGATCCCACTCATCAGTACCGAACGCGTCTTCCAAGGAAGGCTTCAATCTCGACTCCAACCCGTTGATTGCCTTGGCTTTTCGCCGCGTCGAGCCAGCGATGGAGAATGCGGGAGATAGTGACATTGCTTGGTTCGACGCGTGCCCGCTGATATCCCCGCCTTCTGCCGTATTTCCTTGATTTGCAACAAATGACTGCAATGAGAATGGCACGCTAGTTGTCCGCGCGCGGGATAGGGTGGATCCAGGTGAACGGTGAGAAGCGTCTTTGGAGCCTGGACTTGGGGTGGCGAGGAAAGCGATCGGTTGATGGTTAAGAGGTTTCTTTCTCATACTTGATGGGGGTGTGCCCGTCGCGCCTTTCGAGTTGAACACGGATGGTTCGAGTGTGGGCGCGGAAAGCGTGGGGTTCAGAGACGAGGAGGCGCGAACACGAGGAGGCGTCACCACAGCCGCACCGACATTGCCATTTGACACGCTTTTCACCATCATTCCCGACGTGATTGGCGCTCCATTCTTCACTTCGTCGCCGCCAGATGAACCTTTCTGTATCGAGGACAATGGCAGCGGTTTGGACGGGGTACGTGAAGGAAACGATATCGACCGCACAGCAGATACAGATGCAGACGTTTTACCCACATGCGGGTTGACAGAACCCGACGTCGTTGCGCGCCGCATGCCTGAGACTGAAGCTGCAGCTGCGACCGGCGCGTTGCTGTGGGTTGACATTGAGATGGAAGATACGCGGGCGTGAGGACGAATGGGGAGACCACTACTCTTAGCGGATGAGGATTTGTTGGGATCCTGCTTGGCAGGAAGAGAAACGCGCTTGGGGATGCTCGTTGCCGACATCGACGACGATGAGAAAGCAACGTGCCTGGTCCGTGCACATTGTGCTGATTAGATAGACGCCCTAACTATTTTTATCTTTGAGTCGAGGTTGAGGCCAGTCTTTCCAAACGTCTCGGCCCCTTGAGGGTGATCATCGCGGCGACTACATTGGCACAAGACTTGTAGTTGATTCAAACTGGACTTCAAAGCTTCATCTGCGGCATCTGCCTGAATGGATAGTATCGAGATACTTATTGGAATTCCAGAAATCTGATGCGTCAGTCTTGGGTTCGGGACCGTAACCACAGGGCTGCAAACACAGTGGCGGCACTCAAGGCCAATGTTGATACAATTAGAGTGCTGAGGCGCATGGTGAAGTCGGCTCCTGACCGAGTAAATTGAAGTAGAGAAACTTACAGAAATTGTTCAAGCACTGCGTTAGGAGACTAGCATGCGAAATAAAACTGAAGCAGGGAGGATGTAGGATGTAGGTTTGCTCTAGTATACTGATACCGGAAGTCAGCAAATAGACGTGTTGGCAGACGCTAAGGATAATAGCATCCTTGCTTGCGAATACAGTGCCTGAATCGTTCCAGGCGATATGCTACTAGTATGGTAGTCATGGGCTTGTGAGTGGCACGTATCAAGGCCACGAAATTGTATTTCATGCTCAACCTTGTTCATTATAACAATCTTCGAGTTCGAAGGTAAGTCGGTATAGAATTACATTCCGCGATGGATCCCCGTTGGCACATCTAGTTATTGTATCTTTGTAACACATAATCAAACCTTTGCTTTGACCTTTTTCGCATTGATGATATCGACGAACTCGGGCTTGAGCGAAGCACCGCCGACGAGAAACCCATCCACATCGGGCTGCAAAGCTACAGACCAAATCTCAGCTTATGACGGGCGGAAAGGGTGGCGCACGTACAGAGTTCCTTGCAATTCCCGGCGTTCACGCTGCCACCATAGATGATTCGTGTGTCCTCTGCGACCTTGGGCGATACTGCCTTGGTCAAGTATTCACGAATCGCTAGGTGCGTCTCCTGCGCCTGCGCGGAGGTGGCTACCTTTCCGGTGCCGATGGCCCACACAGGTTCGTACGCAATGACGACCTTACTTCAACAGCCGATGTCAGTTCGACCTTGGAACAATAACTGAGAGCCACCTACGCCCAATCCTCTTCTTTGATCGCCTTGACCACGGCGTCCAGTTGCTCCGAGACTACCTTGGTGGTCGCCCCGCTCTCTCGTTCTTGTAGGGTCTCGCCGACACAGAGAATCACACTGAGGCCAGCAGCGACGGCAGCTTTGGTCTTCTGCGCAACCTCCTCAGATGTCTCATGGAAGAGAGTTCGTCGCTCCGAGTGGCCTACACGCGCGTTAGACCAAACCCAACAAGTGAAGAAGCCACCCACCCAAAATCACATATGGTATGCCGGCATCAGCAAGCTGTCCTGCACTGTTAAGATGGATGAGCGACGAGTTGTCGTCTTGGATGGAAGTTGGTGTGCACCTTATCTCCCCAGTGAATGCGCCATTATCCTTGTAGTAGCAGTTTTGGGCAGCAACCTTGATTTCTTTGCGCACGATCTCCTTCAGTGGGATGAGGTAGATCGACGGGGGAGAGATCACGATCTCTGGAGGGCATGTTCGTGCTCGGAACAAGGTCATGGGAAGCAGGCGCACCTGTGTTCAAGTCGAGATCGGCATCGTTCAGGACTTTGACTAAAGCCTGCTTTTGCGCCCGGGAGGTGGGGTTCAATTTGAAGTTCCCTCCGACGAAGAATTGGCGAGGCATGCTGTGTCAAGTGAGATCTTTGATCGTGTAGATGGATGGGATGGGTGCATTTTATATCGCAGAACTTACCTGTGGTGGCGGTAACGGAGGTAAAGAGGATATCGATCTCGGATGTCCGTGTCGGTGCCAGTGAGTCGGGCGGGCGGATTAGGAGCAGATAGGAGATACCTATATATGGTAGTATATGTAGTTTCCCACATTACCACGAAGCACCTACCCCTTCCTTCGTTGTTAACGATGTGCTCCTTGTATTTGGCTTTTGGGGAGTGTCTACACTAGTCTAGACATCTGAAACGGTGGTTAGTTTCAACGACCCGCCTTGTGACCAATCGAGCAGCGAACTCGAGCTATATCCATCTTCGCGATTCTCGACTTCTCGCAACGACACCAACCTTGACAAATCCGGCAACTCTACGTAGGTGATAACTTCCTAGTCATTGAGAGTGCTGAAAGATGTCAGTAAGTTGTCAGAAGTCCCGTGGTGGTAGGGTAGCGTTCTTGAGTCTAGAAGATCTTTGGTAGCGAGCTGAACGTGAACCCCTCTGCAAGAGGGAAAGGGGTGAAAGGGGTAAGACGACGAGGTTGTTTAGTTGTACGCAGCGAAATCAATGCACGACTAGCTAGAGCAGGGAATGAGCGATATACTTGCTGGAGCAATCAAGCACGACGTTGCCGCCAAGACTGTCCCGCACGCACGACTCCGACGTCGACTTGTCTAACCCCATCGCTAGGAACCTTGCGAAGCAGTCAGTATCCTCCCCGTGCACATGAATGCGACTAGACACACGCCCTCATCGCAACCAATCTCTCACCAAATCGACGCCGTGCCTGCGGTACGAACTCGAAGAAGCGATACAATTCCCTAAACCCCAAGCTAAACGCGGGCTAGCTAGAGCGACGAGACGAGTTCCAGTTAAAGTTAGCGTCCGTATGTAAGTCCGCAACGACACACAAATCTCGTACCGGGAATCTCGAGTCCGACGCGACTGCTGAGGTGAATTGAATTGAATTGAGTTGAATTAAAGTATGATGGTCATTAACGTTAACGTTAGGATTTACCATCGACATGGAAGGGAAACTGAAACTGAAAACGGGGAAGGAAAAGAGGGCGTTACGAGAACGACAACGATATACATATACATATAAGTAAGTTAGTATCCGCAGAGAGAGCAATATTATATATGAGCATGGGCCGATTCATAAAGGGTGGAATGCCAGCGATGGAAGGAGGGAGCAAGGTGGCAAGCACCATCTGCAGCCGCATGAACTTCGTCCGACGCAGTTTCAGAAACCGAAATGGGTGAGCGCAAGATGTGTGTTCGATTGCGCTGCGGTATACGTATATGTGTGTGGTTTTGGGTGTATGCGAGGTATGATGGCCATTGGCGGGTATATCATGGGTATCTATGAGAAATCGGAAATCGGAAATGCTGCACTGTGCGGCACGGCAGATCACCGCATAAGATTAACGCAGTGGATGCGTGGAGGGAGAAGCGCGGAGCGTGGAGAAAGGAAAACGGAAATGGAACGAAGGGAAGCGACGGCGAGAGAAGCCAGAACCAAGAAACGCGACAAGGAATAGAAGATATCGTTAGGATGTTGGTATGTGTCTATATGTACAATGTCCACCGTCCGTCCGCGAAAACCGTGCAAATCCAAGAAATGAAACATACTTTCTCACGCCGCGAAGCTTCACGCTCCAGTTGCTGTGCTCGCGCTCGACGTGCTGCCCATCGTATACGCCCGCGCCCTGTATCCCGTCATCCCGTACGCCCCCACCCCCATGCCCACATTGCCGCTGCTTGCCGCCCCTGCCTGCAACACGCTCCGCCTGCGCAGCCATCGCGTCCCCGCCCTGATTGCATCCGCCAGCGCCCCGTGATTCTGCGCCTCGTTGAGGTACAGCGACGCAGCCGGCGACGTCGTGAGCGATGGCGACAGCGGCGACGAGAACGTAGGGGAGAAGGGCGATGATGGGAAGGTAGGCGACAAGGCAGCAGATGGCGAGTACGGTGTGGGTGGCGAAGAAAACATGTTCGAGTCCAATTTCCGTGTGTCATCGTCGTCGTCTTCCTCGCCGAACGATATCCCCATCCCTATGCGTCCGCTACCTTTATCTGCGCACGAGAACCCCGCCCCAGCGCCCCACATGCCCAGATCGAACAGTGGGGCCGTGCTGCCGTCGATGAGGACAAGTCTGTCGAGCGGTGCAGGTGCCGGCGACGTCGACGGAGGATGCGCTCGCCCTTCGACGACGCGCTTCAAGAGGGTGTTCCAGACCGAGGGCATCGGTGTGATTAATGTGTGCAGATGGGGTGAGGGGGACGAAATGAGCGCGTTCGTGAGTAGGGTCGAAGGGCCGGGTGAATGGAGCACGGGAGAGGCGGTTGAAGGAGGGGATGTGGACGTGAAAGGAGTAGAGAACGATCCGAGGGAATCGTCTGAAAGCCTGAACCCGATGTACACCGTTTCCTGCGAGGAGTCAAAGCATTTATGAGTAACGTGCGGTTGAATGTTAAGAAATGCTCACCAGTTCCTCCCATTTCATGATGCCATCTGCTACACCGCCCAAGATCGTCTTCACTGATCCTTGTGTAAGGTAAACGGTATGTGCTTTGCGAAGGACGAGGTGAGTGATGGAGCGAAGATTTGCTACCGATTCGGAGAGTGATTTAGCTATAGCCTCCCTGGATTGATTAGTTGGTTGCGTTTGCGAGGAGCTGGGCGCTGATGTCGACGATGAGACGCGTGATGGGCATGAAGAATACTGAGCCGCAGCGCCCTCCCCACCAGTTCCCGTAATAGTCAAATCCAAGGTCCTCAAATCAATGGCACACATATGTAGCACGGCAGCGGCGCTTTCGAAACATCCTAGGATGATGATGCTTCTTATGTGTCTATGGAGGGATGTGTTAAAGGGCCTCGTGCTGTGGGATCATCCCGTTATGATATCCCGCGGTCAGTGTCAAGAAATTTGAAAATGGAAGAGCTACTCACGCGCACTGGTCGCATTCACACGACTTTGATCCTATATGCGCACCCGAAGACCTCAATGTCCAAGCCAACGACCCCGCCTGCCATTCTGATCGCAATAGAATGGTCTCGTAGAACGCAGGTGTCGCGATTCTGTTAAATAGTCGGCATACAAGAAGTGGTGCTAGGCGGGTTCGGATTTTTTCTGTCTTTGCTCTGTTGATGCATGCATTCGTAAGAGCGGGAACATCGCAGCGTGAGGTGGTCGTAGGTGGTGGCGAGGAAAGTTTTCGATGTTTCCCTTTAGTGTTGAGGATTCGGTCATGCGATGTAGTGAGGATTGATGGTAGAGTTTGGGAGCGTGAGGGTAAATCCGCCTGATAGAGAGGCTGGTCCTGGCCTCGCCGCTCACTTTGCTGTCGGCTTTGCTGTCGATGGTCGCGGTGCCAGGCCGGGCGGGCGGGCGGAAAAGGTGGCGAAGAGACGCACAAATGGAGGATACGCTCAAGAAGCTCCTCGGGGAGAGTGGCGATTGTTGGCATAGTTGGCGAGCGAGCGACGTGCGCTGAGTGAGCGCTGAGAGTAGAGAGCGTGTGGGCGATAAAGTCGTTCGTCAGCGTCGTCGACAACGGCGAGCTGGGGGTCGTCGGCGGGGCTTCCGCTGTCGCTGGAGATTAAGTAGTTCCACTTACGTAAGAATGCAGTGGCGGCGAGGTCGGAAAACGCCCCTTCCTCCGGCTTGGATCTCACTTACTGAATCTGGAATGTACGTAATCCTACTTCGGTTCCCTCTCGACAAAGTTTTCGTCCTGCCGTGGCTTCGTTTTTCTTCTGAGAGGACTTCTATTGATCACACGTTGTGGTCAGGCAAAGCGAAATGTGAGACATCGAAATTGCTGGTCTGTCTGTGGGATTTCTGATGGCCTTACCATTCAGCTGATGAATTCACATTTACACTCACAAAATGACATGTCAATTTTTGTCGTTACATTCTGATGGTTCGAATCACATTGGACGTATCAGCTCGCCGCCGCCCACACTACATACGATCTCTGGTACTTGGCGACCATCGACTAAATGGGAAGAGCACCGAGGCTATGTAGTCTGCCCTCTGGAGACTAACCTTGCATCTTAAGCTCGAGCTTCAAGCTTTCGGGTTCCCAGGTAGGAATATCAAGCCCATTACTCCAAGGCGCAGCAACGCAGGAGCTTGGACGACCACAAACCGGCGGTCCAGGTGGGACAGGGTCAGTCGAAACTCCGAGCGTTGTAGTTGTAACTTATTCCAAGTTTAGACCATCGGATTGGGATTCAGTCTGATTCAACGTCGCTTGAGCTCGCACATCAGGCCGTCCCCGAAGCAGAACGCGAACGTAGCAGTAGCCAACGAGACCCCTTGGAGATATTTCGCAACGATACATGTATGTGTTCACCTTAAGTACATTTCGATTGAATTGCAGGCTGAACTAGATTCTAGGGCTGCTACAGATACAGTCAAGCGATGCACAGTATACATTACTAATACGCTTTGAGGTGTCTCCAAAATTCCAGGTTATCCTTCCAACAACGCGCGTGTTGGCAAGCAACATGGCCATCAAGAGCACACGGAAGTATGTATATGTGAGTGCAAATAAACTTCCTAGCGACCCGTGCATTCCTTTCGGTTTCATCTATGTTGATTGTTATTATTATATAACTAGCTTCGCCGTGATGCTGTAGGACACTGTATTGACTCGGTATGACTAGACGCGGACTCGGCCACGAGAGTTACGAGACGGACATTTTTGGTTCGTCTCAAGTTCACATCATATCCGAGCAAAACCCCCATGAATCGCGGTCGCGGTAATGGATATTCGGCACAAAGACTCGATCGTTCTCATGCATGCACGTTTCGATCGAGAACCTGACCAGGAGAGCCATCTACAAGGAGCTCCACAGCACGGAGAGCGCCAGGAATGCAGTCTAGCAATACCTTTGGTGAATCCGTTTTGGCGTCCACAGCTAAGAGCCGCTAGGAGTGGAGCCGGTGTATCGCTTGGATTGCAAGTGCGCTCGTGCCCGGCTTTGACTCCTGAAGCCCCTATATGTAGATAGGGCGTAGGCTTGCTCTGGTCGGTGAAACTAATCACCGATGGTGGATGTCGAGGCGAACGCACAAAAGCCAAATAGAATGTGTATATTGTCGTCAACAAGAACTTCGTATTCTTATCCATCCATCAATCCATTCTTCCAGAATGCCTGCAACAGATATTCATCCCAACAGCCTAGGCACCGTTCACCAGCAGTCGGACGTCGCGGAAGCTGAGGTCAGCCATCCAAATATTTTGCCTATGTTTCTACGAAAATGACCGTTCCCGCATTAGACTTGGATAGATGCAACTGAGCAATTTGCAGAACACTGCGCCCAAACCGTCACAAAGTTGCTTGGAGAATCGTCCCTTTACTTCGAACAGCCCGCCTTCGCCACCCCACAAATCCAGTTAACCAAATTCGTTGAGCGACTCCTTCGCCAAACGCACACGCCCCTTTCGATCGCCGTCGCCACACTTACAGTCATCAATTGGATCACTGAGCATGGCTTGTGCCCCCTTGCCTCCTCTTCGCCCCATCATCTCTTCATGGGAACATATCGGGCCGTTCTGCACTCTGCATTAGACATGCGCGACGTCGATGCGGAATGGGTCAAATTTGCCGGAGACCTTGTGCCTCTGGCAGAAGTCACTCAGATGAGAGAAGAGGTTGACATGATGCTGCAGACGCTAAGCGAACGTCGCTGGGCTGTCCTCAGCGATTTAGTCAGTGAGGACGTCCACAATACCGTTAATGTCCTTTACAACGTTAGTGCCTAGTTGTTCAAGGGGCGCTACTCACATGCTTCTGCGACAGGCCGAACTTCTACAAGCGAATGAGCAACAGCGTGAGGCGGAAGAATTTCTTCTCATGGAAGAGGAATCGGTTCGCTCTGGCTTCTTAGTGTACGAGCGCGACCCGAGCTCTGACAGTCCGAAGTATGACTCCGATGATTCTGACGATTGGTCTGATGGGAAAGACTATGTCAGCCGCCGAGACCAGAACTTATCTTGGGCAGATGCCTTCGACGAATTACCTCGCGAATCGAAGGGCTAGTAGCCTTTTGCATTAATGAATTCTTTATGGAACATTGTTCTCCGCAAAATTTCATTTCGAACGGACCATTCACATCTTCACATTGTACAACACGCAGCACTACTGTATCATCCCCATCCACCACGTTCTCAATATACCTTTGACCTCCAACCAATCTCCAACCGTCCATGCACACCGATTGTGAGTGGGTACACCCTTGAATAATCGACTCGAACCGCCAGCGACCCCACTTGTGAGCAAAATCAATCAGGGGCTTCAGGAGTACTACTCACACACATCTACACATTGCCGATTCACAAATCGTATAACTAATGAAACCGATTATCATCGAACATTGGGCAAGGGCATCGCCGCGAAAATTGTTTAACACTGACTACCAGTTTGTCAAAATATCATACACGGCGACCTTCCTTCGCATGGAGTGAATGTCTCGACTACTTGACTTGCGCCGTTGGATGTGTGCCGTGACGCTGGTATATAGTGGGCGGGATATCCGGAAGGTCTTTCCATCTGGTTTACCAACGATCGCCAGTGGTGCTCTTCCGCAGCAACGAAATCAGTTACTCTTGTATGCGGAAAGTGACAATCACTTGTCCACCCCGGTTACGAAGCGCCCAACTGCCTGAAAGTACGTTAGAACCCTACACGTCGAGAAGGGGACGCAGTACGAGGACCCTTTTCAGGAAAGGAAACTCCAGTCTGTATCAGCTCCGAGGATGAAGAGAAGTATGAAAGTCTCATATGCGCCCACGCAGCCATGGAAAGCTCCAGGTAAATACAGCCTTACCCTGGTCATGTCTTCATTGTGACGAGGTCCCCATATATATTCACGGAGCAAAGCATACGCTGACTCTGTAGTTTAACAAGTTCAAAAGGGGACAACATAGGAGCTTCTGGTCGCAGAAATTGTGCTCGATACGACAGAGAAAAAAATGTTACATATATCTCGTGCACCTATATCTCGTGAGAGCAGTCCCAACAAACATGATGACTTTTCCCTCAGGCTTCTGCTTCCTCGCAATGCCCGTATCATGTGCTTAGGAGTCCCAACAACTTTATTCGGATTATTGATAGGAGTTCTATGAAAGTCACCCCCGGCGACAAAACCAGTGCAAATACTCCACTAAATGAGAATATTGTCGCAAATATAGTGCAAATTGAGTTGGTCAGAGCGGAAGCAGATTTTGGATCACAATATGCCTACGTAAGCCACAGTATGTATCTCGCCTCCTCGCAACATAATTGCCTACAACTTTCTAACATCCACAATATGCCCACAACACAAGCTCCTCGTACCATCTTCATATCCAGACGACATTATTGGCCCGCGATGGACACCTACTTCAAGGTCAGTTCACCTCGTTGAAAACTCCTAACTAACTCCTAATTATGTACTAAATTAACCATCCTCAGAAGTTTGGCAAGGATGCGACTGCGAAAGTCGCGCACCATTGTGCAAAGATGACCACCAACCTTCTACAACAAACACCCCTTTATTCCAAGCAACACGCCTTCTCTACGCCTCGTACAAAATTGAATGTCTTCGTAGACCGACTTCTACGAGAGACGAAGATCCCTCTCCCAAACGCGTTGGCTACAATTCGGGTCATCCGTTGGGTGACCAAGGAAGGATTGTGCCCCCTCTCGTCATCCTCGCCCCATCACCTGTTTCTGGCAACACTCCGAGCCGTGTCGCATTTTGCGTCGCTAGACAGGGGTCACGACGTTGACGCGCAGTGGGTGCGGCACTCAGGAGGCGTTGTGCGTTTGAACGAGATCTTCTTGATGAGAATGGAGCTGGCAGAACTGTTACCGACGTTGGGTGAACGTCAATGGGCGCTCCTGAGCAATCTAGGTAGCGAAAATAGCACTGTTGACGAGCATTTCGATGTAGGTCCAAATCCATTTTTCACAGTGAAGCGCTGCAGCTCAACTTACACTTTGCTCTCTCAGGCAGAATGTCCGCAAGGACAACAGTTGCATCATGAAGGACCCATTCCTCTAGTAGAAACAGCCGGTTCTAGCCTTCTGGTGTATGAGCAAGACTCTGGCTCTGATAGCACTCACTACGACTCTCAATGCCTGGAGGGTTGGCATATCGAGCCAGTGCAGTACATTCATCGCCGAGAGAAGATTCGTACGCGCGCTCGACGAGTAGCCTCACGAATTTTCGGCTCCACGAGTCAGACTATTCCCCCAAATCTTTGGTCTCTCCATCATTAGATTCCCTTTTTTCCACACGGACAATTCGCATCTATCATTGTATACCTTCGCATTGTATGACCAACCCTTTTCCCATCACACTACATACATCAAGAGAATTACAGTCAAGTGCACAAATCGGAGACAGCTCCAATCTTCTACCCCTATGTCTATAAACTTCAGATAGAAGAATGCTGAGTGAAACGCATGCACTGTTTAGTTGATATTCCAGCAAGAATGTACTACTCATTTTTTCTTCGCCATTCGCTGCTTGCGTTTTCTGCCGATGAGCGAGCCTAGTTTATTACCAAGGCCGTCTCCCTGCTCCTTCGCCTCCTTCGCCGATGTCGGGGGTGCGACCGTAGATATACGTCGCTTTTTTAGAGAAGATTTCGACTCCTCCACCAAATTGTCGTCCTTGGGTGACGCGTCCGTTCGTGAGCGATGCGGTTTGGTCGTTCGTTTGGAATCGTCGGGCACTGTCTCTTGATCATTTTTCCTTGAGGGATTCTAATTCTCATATTGAGTAAGTGCCTTGGAGGTAAAGCAGATCGACACTTACGGATGCTAAAGCGGCGCGTCGCTGCACAACCTGGATATTCTCAATCGAGAACTCAACGATCAAAGTGTCCTTCCCGCCCTTTGGAGGCCCACCCTCGGACTCAGCCTTCATCCGTTGCAGGCGGGCATCGTCAGTCTCTTTCGTTTCCTTGAGCCGCTCTTTCTCAACCTTCATGAGATCCTTCAATTCCTCCTTCCACCAGCCTCGGAACAACGTCATAACCTCCGCATTGTTGTTCGCCCATCGCAATACTCGAAGAGCATCAGCGTGTTTATGCATTTCGAGGAATCCGTAACCCTTGCTACGCCCCTTGCCTGTGATGGGGTCCACGCGTTCTTGCTGTCGGACGATCTTGGCTTGCTTCACCCCAGTGTTGCGAGTACCGCGAGGCTTTTTGCCCTTGGCGGGAGGGAGGTTCTCATCCCCCTCCCCAACAGGCTCATTGGTAAGTTCGTCTTCGGTTAAGGCACTCCTGCGTCCTTCACGAACATCGTCTTCGAACGCGCGTGTAGCGTGTATCGCTAAGCGCTTGAGCATACGCTCGGTGACAAAAATGGGGATCTGCCTTATACTCAGGCGTGTTTTCGAGATGAAGAGAGAGGGGTTTGTTCGAAGCAAAGACTTGCGGGCACTGTAAGAGTTTGTACGGCGTTCTACTTCTGTGGCGCTGAGCGAATCGGCAGCCGGAGTATTGGCAAAGATAACTGCGAGAAAATGTCAGTGGACGTATACGGCAATGACATGAAGCTACGAACCTCCCTCACGCAATAGGTAGAGATTGCGTTTGTCCGCCTTCTCTCTTTGCTTCTCGCCTTCTTCCTTGAGTTTGTGTGCGACGTCTCTCGTAACTGCTCTGACAACGTCAAGCGTGCGACCGTGCAGGACAAGACTCCGTGCCAACGAAGATGAGGGATCGGGAGTCAAAATAGATGGAAGAGTGAATGGATTCGCTTTGGGCTGGGAAACGCCGTTAGTTCCATTGCAAAGAACCGTGAATCACTGAGTATAAACGCACAGTGATAGAAGTACCCGTAGTTTCGGCGCGGAGAAGATCGCTTTGTTCTATGACTTTATCGGCGTCCTCCTTGTTCCAAAAGCATGCAAAGCCGGTCCCACGAGAACGGCCTGTGTCATGATCCATAGTGATGCGAGCATATCGCAGGGGTCCAAATGCTCTGAATCTGAAGCCAGGTGTCATTTAGTGTTTAGCTGTTAAGTGTCAGCCGAAGTCGCCAAACGCACAATGTTCTAAGCTCGTCGTCGGTGGCGGTGAATGGAACATTTCGAACAAATAACGTTGTCCCTACATCTGTGGCCGGGAGTTGTGGCTTCACCGGCTCTTCTTCAGATTCGACGTCGCTAGCACCATCGCGAGAAAATTCGTCGTCGTCGTCACCGTCGTGGACACCGAGTTGACTAGCACCAGAATCATCACTCTCCTCGTCATTATTTTCATCGCCACTCTCCATGGACACGTCAGACCCCTTTTCTACTTCTTCATCTGCCTCCAGTTTCGCCTTCTCCTCCGCCCACCTATCCTTACTCAACGCCCAATCCACAGCTATAACCCGCCCTGTCTCCGTGATCTCCACGTCTTCAGCGCCGTCGGCAGCAGTGCCTTCAGCGGTGGCTCGTAGCTTCTGCTCTATCCGACGCTGTTTCTTTTTCTTCTGCTTATCTGCAGCCAACGTCGCAGCCAGGCCTGGGCGCAGAGTCTTCCCATTGCACTCCGCCAAAGCTCTTTCAGCGTCCTTCTTACTCACCATCCAAACAAACGCGAATCCTTTCGCACGCACTTTAGTTTCCTCTTCGTTGTCGTTTGGTGTGGTAGGAATGTGGATAGAGAATATAGGGCCGTAGGGGAGGAACATGGCACGTAGGTCTTGATCCGTCGTGTCCCATGGAAGGTTTCGTACGATTAGTCGACTGGCTCGGTTAGGAGTGGCAGCCTTTGCCGATGTTGTTCCTTCAGTCGCAGGGATATGCCCACTTTTATCTAATCTCTTCTTGAGGGTAGCCGAGAGATGGGATCCCTTGAAGATGTGGGCATGTAATTTATCGACTGCTTTGTTAGCTAGTTCCGGGGTAGAAAAGTGGACGTGTGCTGTAAACTCTATGTAGTTAATATCTCAGCGATTTATTTCTTCCTTACCGGTCGTGGGATCATCATTTTGGCCATCCACTTTGACAGGCCAGACAACGTCTTCAGCACCAGTATACTTGCGCATCTTCTTCCAAAGAGTCTTAGAGTCTATCGAAGGAGGAAGTCCTGAAACAACCAAGGTGCGAATAGCGAGAGGGTCATTTGGTGGACGTGGCGGCTGAGGCGGCCGTGCCTTGCGTTCACCAATAGGTTTGCTGGGCGCCGGTTTCTCATTTTCTTTGGGCTGCTGGTCGGTTAACTCAAGTATACTTCGAATGAACTGCCGTACCTTATGATCGGCCCACTGAACCCGCAGCTTGCGACCCACTAAGGAAATTCCGTCGCGCTCGATGGTTTCAAGCGCTGATTCCGCATCTTCTCGTAGGGCGAAAGAGACATACCCAACCCCTTTAGAAACTCCCGTACCCTGCTCCAAAACCACGAATGCAGATCGCACGGGGGCAATATCAGAAAAAAGCGTCTGGATGTCTACAGATGTTGCTGTGTACGGTAGATTGGATACGAAAAGAGTGGAGCTGCGGACATATGAGTATTTAGTCGCTATATCGGTTGTAGCTGACCCACCCATGGCTGCCCTCTTCCCGTTCTTTTCTCTTCCCGAGCGTTGAGGTCATCTTGATGCGAAACTTTGAAGAGGAACTTTTCCAATCTCAAGGAGTAACGTGATCGTGGGAGTACACTATAGCCTAATATGGAGGTAGGGTCGGGCCGGGCCGCCTTTGTAGCACTTGGTGAAAACCACTTTCAACACTCACTGACTGGCAAGTTATCATCTACATCTAGACTTGCGGGATTTGTCAAGGCGAAGCTGCAGGTGCCAATGCGAGAAGTCGAGAGTTGGAAGACGGGTCAAGCTCGCTGCTCTATTAGCCACAAGGCGGGTTGTTGAAGCTAACCACCGGCTGCAGATGTCAAGACTAGTGCAGAAACTCTGCAAAATCCAAATAGAATGAGCGCGTCGTCGTTAACAACGGAAGGGGACCTCAGGTGATTGCGCACCCTTGTGCTACGGTGTGTGGATTTCGAATTCTTAGACATACCTCAATCTATCGACTTATCCACCTATCAACCCACGATCCCAACATGCCCCCAACTCCTTTGGCAACGTTCGCCAGCGGTCGGCCGTCTCGTCGGAAGGGTCGTTTCTTCTGTGTCACCCACTACCATTTTGGCGATTAGGGCAAGTTTCAAGGTATGTATATGTTATTGGACGTCGAGACGACGACATGGGAACAAAATTGCCAAGTAGTCGTAACTCACCTGACGGAATGCAGCATGCATGTCCTTCACGGCGAGAAGAGTGTCTTCTTGCTACTATTCTCGACCCTGACCTAATGAGTACCTACGACCGAACGCTTCCTGTTCTAACCCTGGACATTACCTATGTACTACATTCGCAAGTAAGTACATGAAGTTTGCCTGACTTGGACTTGAAGCTCGATGCTCAGACTGAGATTGGTATCAAATGTCCAGGGGAATATACAAGTTAACAAGTCAGTGATATTCCTCTACGAATGTCACTCTACAATGCCATTCAGTAGGTACACTAGCATCAACACACACCTCGAACTCATCCTGGAGGATACAGTTGTTTGGTAGTGAGGCTATAACCTTCGGCGTTGTCTTGCCCTTCCAAATGCACGACAACGACCAACCCAAAACGATGAACCTGGTCTCGACGGTGCTCCGGCTGAATCCTGACACATTTGTCTGCGCAACAGCCTCATGCCCCCGGATTACGGTCTTCATGTTTTCAGACCAAAACTTCACCCGCTGGAACGGTGGAGGGCCTATCAAAGACCCAAGTTTGCTCCCCGCAGTCTTCGGTGTCGTCCAGTCAATTTCTCTAGCTTCCTGCCCGCCCTTCATCCGGACGAACTTCATACCAGATATTCCAGCTTCCGACTTCCCCAGAGAACCACACTCCCATTTGTAGCGTTGATTATCAGGCCCGAAACACCTGATCTTGTCCATCTCCTTAGCCTCCTCGACCAGCAGCCACCGATTTACGCGAGCGTCGGCGGCTTCCTTAGCATCTTGAAGACTCTTTAGGATCGAGGTTCGTTTCTTTAGAGCTTCAGGTGAATCTTGGGCCAGATTGGTCCGTTGCTCTTCGAATTCGTTTGTAGCATTTGATACTCGATACTCGTCGTACGACCCGACGAGGCTGGGATGCAACATTGTCGCCTGCAACTGGACATAAAGCACACGCATCTTCTGAAGATGTTTGAAAACAGCGGGGTCGACGTCCACTTCCATCGGAAGTTTGCAGTAGTCAAGAAGGCTGAAACATCGTCAATCAGTGGAAAATATAGATTGAGTTGGCGAGCCAACCTATAGTGGCGCAGGAGAACCAATGTGGGCGAGCCCATGGGTGTAGGTAAGCCTTTCAGGATTTCGCGCGCTTCCTCTAAAGAACCCGCTGCCAAGTTGGTTGTGGCAACGGGATAGCCATAGAGTTCGATTCTGGCATCGAGGACGTTATAACTCTCTGATGTTTGTGTATCCTTAGCGTATTGACCTCCCATTTGAAAGAAATTAGCCACAGAAACCCTGGCTTCGTGCTCCGTTTCCTTCTTCTTGCTGACGTCCTTGGCTCTATAGTTTGAGAATATAATGAATATTTTAGGAATGAGAGCAGGAAGAACTTACGAGCATGCCACGATGATTCGGTGTCTGTATCCATTAATGATGCCGTCAACAAAGTAGTCGCCATACATATTTCGAAACGCGGAGGGGGACATATTTTGCAATCGGTTCTTGAGAGTGGGATCCTCTAGTCTTTCCATAGGGAATTTACCTTCTGCTTGATACTGAACGAAGAAGATTGAAGCCCTTTTGTGCGACTCCCTCGCAAATAGGGATCTGACGTCCGCCCCTATGTCCACCGGGCAGGGGAGATTGATCTTAGCACCAACATTAGCGCCGTATTCACTGCGCAATGTATAGAGGGTTTCGTGGGAGATAATGTTGGCCGATCCCCTCGCCTCTGGAACGGCGCTGTTCCGCAGAGGAGTACTGGCGGTGGATGCGAGCGCGCATCTCATAATATCGCCCGTCAAAACATCTACCCCATCACCTAGTCGGATACCAGGTCTCGCCGGGATAGTTAACTCTCGGTCCAGCTTGGTTACCTTGTGTGATGCGACATCCTTCTGTATAAATTGTTTGAGCGTGAAGCATCATAGTAATGATGATAGTCGTACTTTCATTGCTGTCGGCGACGGAGAACGGGATCGAATAGGCGTATTATCTGGTTGAACGTCCAAGTGCTTATGCTGACCGGAAAGACGTTTAGGATCGTTGTCTCTGTATTTCACTGCATTCGGCAGGTTGGAGTCCGATTTGTTCTTTCGATGGCCTTGCTTGGGCACGGTGAGCTTGGAAGGAGTTTCTGCAACCGGGGGTGGTGTCAAGAACTCATTGTCGATGACTTGCATTACCACTCGTACAGCGAAAGAACCCTTCAGGCGATATCAGGTCCGAAGGTCGTGTACAAACCACAGGGCTCGACAACGTACCTTTGGTTCGTATTTCGTGGAACCAAAGATAATGGAGTCGCCATGCTTGACCTGGTAGTGCTCCCCTTTGGACAGTGTCTTGCTTCCCCTTCCCCAGTAGATGAACGTACCGAACGTGGAGTTGTCGTGCAGGATGATCTACGAATGATAAAGGTTATGACGTGCCTGGCAGCGCACTAGGTATTGGCGTACCTTTCCATCCGCCCGCAATTCTAGGTGACCATGTTCGCGACTCATACAGTTGTTGTCGAACATGCGAGGTATCCCTACCGAGCTCCCATCCATGGGAAATTGTAATACGACTTTCCGTGGTGCGTCACTGTTGGGTTCGGTAGCATCTTTCGAGATAAACTCCACGCCTGATTGCGACATATATTCAATCAGTAATAAGTAATATGCCAGTAGTGCAGGGCAGACGACAGACCTTGAACCTTGGAAGCTGTTGGGACAACCATCGTGGAGGTAGCTCGACTCAAATGTCCACGGCGCTTAGCAATGGGTGATATATCACAGCTTGTGGAGACTAACCGGTAAGTCAAAAGCTATCCCCAGCAGGTATGCATAAGCGCCTTATCCGTTGATATACCCATCTGGCAGGTCTCGCTGAGTGAAGTTCCAGACGACCCAACGCGAATTCGATTGACAAAAGGGTTCGCTCCAAAGACCTTGCGAGTTAACATAAGTATGTCGACGCGCCAGTCTGGTATCTAAACATGGAACCGTCTAGCTGGCTTCTTGCTAGTAACACCGTCCAATAGGGTTAATAAAGGAAAGCTGGGGAATCATTTGATTATCGACGAAAGGTGTGGCCCAAGTTCCTCACCATTGAATTGTAGTCTGAACATGCATGAGACGTGTCGAGCGATGCACTTACCCACAACTTTCCGATGAACTACTGAGGTCGGAAGCTTTGAGAGTTGATACAACTCGTCGATCGCGTCTTTTGCTGGGTGTACGATTTATGGCTGTTCATTGGGTTCATACGCTGCACGTAGTGCATTGGTAGCTTTGTGGCAACGATGAGGAACGGAACACGCAAGTCGCTTTCCAAGAGGGAAAGTTGGGGTCACGGTCACGGGGTTGAGAGAAGCGCCCACTTCAAGTTCAAACTTCTTGAAACTACTTCAGAACTATTTCAAACTGCTCGACACACAACCAGCACAATGCAGTCTAGTGAGTCCACCGCGACACTCGATGCGTCCTCACAGAGGTTATATTGCTGGAGACTCAGCTGCGCTTCTGCTTCACATCAGGTGCGTTGCCTCCGAGCACTTGGACATTGTACGCATCTACAATGAACGCACAGCCTTGTATTTGCCTTCGGGATTGAATGGACTGCCGTGTCGAAGATACCGGAGTGAGATACATTCATGAACAGTGGTCAATGAAGAATAGAGTGCAGCCTGATACAATTGCCAGTCGAGGGCTCGAGGAGGATCTTGCATATACCTGGACCTCTAGGGCACCCACAAACGCAATGGGATTATCTGGTTTACATTTAATGGTTTTACATTCAACAGCCCAAGTTGCGCCGAGCTTGAGGGCATCCCCTTTCCTCGGTCTCTTTTTCATATTGCCGCCCATATTCGTCCTTCGACTCACAAAGTCCTGGGAGAGTGTGCACGGAAAGGCGGTGTGCATCAATGGCGTTCGATGATATCGTTTGAAAGGCGCCATCCAAACCTAGATATATATATATATATGGCGTAACATTAGCTCGCTGAGCGGACTAAGTCTGTCGCATGCCCCTCGCTGTTTGAAGACCTGCGAGTCATTTGCCTGTGAGTAGTCTCTTTTTAGGTCAACTGTAACGCTCAGTCTTTGGATCCAAGGCCGCAAGATAGACAGAGTACTTTCTTCAAGAATATACGACTGGAAGGGTTCCCCTAACATCAGCAACCCTCCCAGTCGTGTGCTCCAGATATAAGTAATTTCCCTCTGATATATTCCCCCCACCCACGCACCCATTGTTGATTTTCGAAGTCGCTAGCCTTCTCGCGCATGCCAGTCAACTTAATCCGACATCTCCCGTTGCCATCTTTCCAGTGCTCTCCATGAAGTGTCGCCGTTTGTCTGCTGACGCCACTGCAGATGAACAAGTTTGCATTATCAACAGCCCCTCGCTTGTCTAGGTGTCGAAACGTGTGTTTTTGAACGGACAGAATAGCCCAAGCATCAGGTTCTAGATGTCGTTGATGGCTGTCGGTGATTCCTCACGTCGGGGTCACACAAGGTTCGTGCAGACACATATTTTTAACATAATTCGGCTTATTCACAAAACGCAGCTATACTGAGCTGTGCGGAGACCCTCCATTCACAGCATGAAACCCCGCATCTAGCATTTGCAATCGCCGGGCTTGCAGGTACAGCTGGAGAAAGGTTAGTCATCACCGATTATCCTCAATACTTGGGGCTGACCTGGCGTTGGTGCAGTCGCTGCTTCCGCAGTGCTGGGAGACGGGGACTTGGGTGTTCTAAGTAAACATGCTGGTCAGCGAGGCTCCTTCGTGGACATGGGCGGGTACGTACAGCGAACATTGTTGGTTGGTTGGTTGCTGATGTAGTTACTCTTTGATAGCAGAGGTGGTTGCTGAGGACTATTAGGCCCCAGAGGCCGCGCCTTTTATGTGCTTTCCCTCAGCTATTTGATGGTGTTTACACGACAGCCGGAACAAGGGGATAAGGGCATACTCAAGGATAGCCTTACCCATCATCGGCGGCCTGACGCCAGGTGGTCCAGAAACCAAAGAATCCTATTTCGTGATTCTCATCAAGGCGCTGTCATTCTGTATCACCCCATTCGACGGACACCGAACTGGTTCTGTGGTTCGCCCATCCACCTATACTATGGCAGAGCGATTTACTTCCAGATTTATTCTTGGTGCGGTGGTTCCACATGCTTCCCGCCAGAACTCAGTCGACCCTGGAAATTTGGAACCGTACCCCGTTGCCTCGGTTCCAATAAGCAATGTCAACGGGTAGAATAAATCGCCAGATCGGGGACTTGTTCGCAAGGGCCAAATAATTCAACGGCTTAAGGTGAGTCATCATTCTTTTTTTACCGCCTGTAATTTAACGCATTAAACAGGTTAGTTACACCGTTGAGCTCTGAGCCCCTTCATCGTAATCCTCTATCAAAGGACGCTCGTAAAGGACGGTCCGCGGTCGCCTCTACTCCATCAACAATAGTATGATTGCTACGGCAGGTGTGCCGAAAGCACGAACTCCCCCATTCACAGGTCTCTCCTGGGATCATGCGCCACTAGCATCACCATGCTTGATCACCGCCTGCAAGTCGACACCGAGCCCAAACTCAATTGTATCTCTATCCTTTGGTTCGTAGCGACAATGCGGCTACCAGTTTGGCTCTGTTGTGATAACGTTTGGCCGGTTCATCTTTTCAACTACCCCCTTCGCGTCTTCTACCATTATGTGGTACCCCGGCCACTCTCTCCTGCACCGACCTTCCACTCCATTAGCATCCACGAGGAATTCTACCGCTTGTCAGGAACCTTATGGGTACCCTGCTGTATCGTAGCGAACCTACCCACCGCCCAAGTACGCATTCCGCCTCAGTCTAGATCGTCACCGACGAAGCTATTCGCAGCACCTTCCACCTACACGTTTTCCGGTCAACGAAAGGAACCTGCACCTCGAAAATCGCGCAGTTCGATGGCGACCATGTCAGCCCGAGGCGACCGCCGAGGCAGAAGTCATTTCAGAAGCCGCAGAAGCGACCGGAGCGGTGCTTGCCTCGACCGCAGACCCAACCAACCTCAGATGCTTTGAACACGGCTACGACCTCCAAGTAATTAATCAGTGATGCTCCTCCGCCGACGCGGGGCGTGATGACCATCGACCTCCTCTCCTCTCTCTCCCCTCCCTCTGGGCTCGCCCACCGCTTCTGCCGCGAATGTTCAGGCGGCGAGAACTACCACACCTACGTCACCCTCATTGTCGCCGTAGCCGCTTGCCCTTCACGGTCATTGTCTATGCTACATCGCCTTCCACCGTCCGATAGGACCGCCCCGCCCCCGCCAATTAAACAGTAGCAGCTCGGACGGTGTTGGCGACCCCCCGCCTCAGCCTATTCAGTCCGAGTACTGTCCTGCGTACGGCAGATGCATACCCCCTCCTCTCAATTTCCATGCGCACCATCAAGGGTCCCCCTGCCTCAAGCTATCCCCCTCAATGCCAAAGGCGGATGAGATTGAAGAAACATCGCCGAATGCTCACAAATCTCTCCGTTATCATTATCCCTCAACTCCGCAACCAACTAGGCTGCCATCATACGCTTCGCAAAAATTCACCCCCGCCCACAGTTCTGTCATCCTGACACTCACTAACGCGCCAACCGTGACGCCAATCTGCCCGTGGGTGGATGGGTGGTGCTGGTGCTTCCTTGGGGTTCAATATCTCATGTGGAGACTCAGAAGAACAATATCATGTCTCATCTCTCACCGAATATCCGAAGACACTAGTGCCGCGTGGGCCCTTTTTGGGAGCCGCCTGCCTTCTGTACGAAGTAGAATAATTGGAGGGACAAAGTGGTGGCTCATACAAATACACGCTCGCGGGGGCCTAAGTGGCACTACCAGTTATCAACATATTCAACGCGGGTCCTTTTTCTCGTCTCCGCCCGTATGTGCCTCTTCCGTCTCCCTTGCCTTTCCTACACCGACACTTCCGACATGTAACCTCAGCCCAGCCACCGTGTCGTCCAGCGTGCTTCCGTGGAAGAGGAGCTTCGCCTTCATTCCATTACTAGCTCCTAGTTTCACCCTTACCTCACTCGTATCATCGCCACCCACGGGTCCACCCTTCGACTTCGGCGGAGCGGCGTCAGGGTCACCGTTAGGATCGAAGGGAGGTATCACCAAACCCGTTCGGAATCCGTGCTTCGGTAAATGAGCGACTTGGAGGGGGGCGTTAACCACGCCTTGCGAGTCTCCCTTTCCGATCCTGCTTTGAGGATGCCCTTGGATTATATCGTTATCGATGGGCTCCACTATGAATGGACCTGCGTGGTCGGTTCCTCCTATGCCTGCATCTCCCATATCGCCGGTATTCGCACCCTCTGTCAAGCCCTCACCAACGTGTCGTGCTTTCATCTTCAACTTCCATGCAGCGCCGCGCATCAATCCGGAGTCTAATCCATATATTCCGGTTGCAACTCTGTGGCTGGGCGTATGGCTTTTATCTCCATCTCTGCCTTCGACGATCGAGGAGATAGGCTGCGCAGAAGAGAGGGCGATGAAAGTCGTCACAACGACTACTATGGCGAGGGCGGGCAGTTTCACTTTTATGCCGTGCATTACCATTGCTGTGGTAGTGGCAGCTCTGGCGTCCTGGCCTCAAACCTCGAAGGACTTGGGGTCACCTTGTTGGAACAAGTACAAGCACGAGAACGGCGGGAAAACGGGATAAGAGAGGGGATTAATGAGAGGATAAATGGAAGAACAACCGTGCTGATCGTTCATTTACTCTATACTACGTTAAGAAACAATGGAATACTTCTAGTTTAGATGAATCATGCTTTGTAGTGACTAGTGCCCATAGCTCGAAATTTGGCGCCGGTGGACGTACCCAAGGGCGAACTACCTTCTATGACCCTTGCTCAGAAACTAAATGGTGCGTATGTCATTACATCGGTAGTTTTAGTGAAGTTATGCTTGTGCGAGGTTGGATCAGGGCGTACGCCCCTTCCCCCCTTTTTTCTCCTAAATTACCTCTCGGAAGCATCGGTTTGCAAGGGCACCCAGCGGCAGATATGGACGGCTTGGGCTCTTCGTATTACATAACCGCCAAAGCACGATTATCTTCTTTCTGGTATAGGGTGACACCTTCTACAAACACTCGACGAGCACATCAGAAATACATTGCAAACAAATGATCCCCAAGTTCTGGGTTCGCGAAGGCGCTCGGCCTCAGAGTATAGTAGCGCAAGCGATCGTAACAAGAGCACTCATCGCCACTAACGCCCCTGGCGCTAGACCCAAAGCACCATTAGTCGAATCATTTAACTTCCGGCTTGTTACTGGCGCCCCAGCCTCTCTGCAATTATTTACCACTTCTATTCAGGGCGGTCAACCGGAGGACACAGAAAAGAATACGAAATGGGACTGACTATCCATAGCAGCCTGTGAGCTATCAATCGCCGCACGAGAATTATTCAACGACAGCTCGCAATTCAAGCAGGACGCAACTGAGTCCATCCCAGATTCAGTGCAGACACATTTGACGGCGTCGGCAGTCATTGGGCAGTCTAATTGGAGGTGGTCTAAGCCTTCGCAGGTACTTTGGCAGCTGTCGCCACTCGTAGGCAAAGATTCATTAGCTTGGTGAGTCATAAGTTGTCGAGGGAATATAGAGAGTGCGAAATCTGGCAGCGGCAATGTAGAAGGGGAAGCTGCCGCGCCAGCTACATATATGGGTAGACCGATCGCTTCATGAGCACGCGCATAACATGACATGAAGAGTTATTGCCCACCAGTACGCGAAGCCATAAGAACTTGAAAGAACGAAGACGATATCAAGTTCATGATCAAACTCGGGGAGACCGCAACCATTCTGGAGTCGGACTCTACGGAGTTCTAACTTGTTTCTAAGTGGTGGGCGTCGAGCTCGCAAAAGTGCTCAACTTGCAATTTCCTGCGTCGGGGCTATTTATGTAGATATGATTCACGGGCAGCAGGACCGCGAGAGAATATTGAGATTGAGGCTCGTGGGCTTTTGATCATCATACATCATGATGGGTGCAAAATTAGACAGATCGTCAAAGCGGGTCGGATAGTCCCACACACTGAATGTGACTCTGAGGATTAGATTTAATGGCAGAATATATTCAGGAGCGCGCGTACCTAGCCGGGGGGGCTGGAGTACACTCAGTGCTGTTCAGAATGAGTGGATCGCGAAAGTAGATGAGCCATAGACGCCAGGCACCAGGCTCACGCAAACATTGCCCGTAGGGTATCATTGACAACATAAACGAGACATAGGTTCCTCATCAAACTACGCTCTCACGCACCTCGGCCTCAAGCGAGGATATCCTCCCACTCGCTACCGCCGCGACGGAGTCCGCACAATATGTCCACGGCACAACTTGTCTGGCTTATAACGGGTAAGGCGCAGGGCATGAACCATAGGTGTACGTGCTGACAACATCTGCGGTACGCTGCCTAGGGGCGTCCCAGGGTTTCGGGCGTAGACTCGTTCATGCAGCGCTGTCTAGGGGAGACAAGGTGATAGCTACGTCTCGCAGCATCGAGAAAGTCCACGACCTAGTGCAGCAGGCTGCTGCGCGCTCCGAGGTGCTCGCCGTCCTGACCCTCGACGTAACGTCCGAGAGGCGAGTCATAGAAGATGTAGTCGATGAGGCCGTTCGTATATGGGGACGCATCGACGTGTTGGTGAACAATGCTGGGTACGGTTACCCAGGTCTTGTGGAAGAGGGTGGGTGAGTCCGCCTCTCCCTTGGTTGGTATTGTCGTGTCGTGGGCCGTCGCTTACTCGGAGGTCATGCGCCCATCCAGAACTGATTGGATAAGACTGCAGTTCGAGACCAACTTCTTCGGATTAATGGAAGTGACTAATGCCGTGTTGCCGCACATGCGATCTAAACGGAAAGGAACTCTAGTCAACATGGGGAGTAGGTCGGCTTGGAAGCCAGAAATACCTGTAAGCGAGAACTGCGCTACCGGAATTGAAGAGTTTGTTGATCACGGGAATTGCTCAGTTTATAGGGCCTTATTCGGCGTCCAAAGCAGCGGTTCACGGTCGGTGGCAGTCACTTCGGGTATTATTTCTGCGAGCTGACGACAATTACCGTTTCATCATACAGCTATCACCGAGACGCTCTCCGTCGAGCTTGCGCAATTTGGTATCCATGTCCTACTCGTCGAACCGGGAGGCTTTTTGACAGAAGGAGCCTATGGGTACCCTCCCTTCCAGGATCCCGCCAAGATGATCCCAGACTACGACGAAATGCGTACACAAGCCGCAAGTGGGTTCGCTACGATCCGGCAGGGTATCAGAGGGGATCCTGATAAAGCGATGAACGCCCTCGTGGATGTAGTCAGAGGGGAAGGAGTTGCACAGGGGAGGGAGTGGCCGGGGTATTTGATACTAGGAGAAGACGTGGAGGCTGATATTAAAAGAAAGATGAAGAAGATGGAGAGTGTTTTGGACACATGGTCAGATGTTACGAGAGGGGTCAACCTCGAGCCTTGATTGTTCCCCTTATTTTGATGATGACAGTGTATGTACTGAATTGCGATCTGGGGTACTTCACGGCAATCTACAGCCTGTCGCAGAGCCGCGCTGTCAATATGATCCCATGAGATAACGGAGCACCAGCCTAGATGAAAAGCGCGAGCGAACCTGGACTCTGCCGCGGAATGCGGTATGGCAAAAGTGGTGGTATGGCGCATCATTCCAAAAGCAGTCGATAGACAGTGAGGCGACGTTGCGCGGTTGAAGGGAGGCAGTATTCTATTATTAGGGACCGACGGTGGGATCCATCGGTGCCAAGGCAGTGGCGCGACCGCTCTCCGCCCAAAGAACGGTGTCCTTTTGAATGGTATGAATAGGGAACTGCGGTCAGAGTCATACGACGCACCCAAGGGGAAGGTAAAGGCCGCCCAAGAAGTGGATACCTAGCAGTCTTGCATCACGAGTCGAGTTGGATCTTGCAAACAAACTGTCGATCTGGCGGTTTAGTATCCTGTGCGTTGACACCTATTACAGCAACCGGTGGAGTGGAGTTCCCAGTATCCAGGGTCGAATAACGGGAAGCATGTGGAATCACAGGGAATCACGGCACCAAGAACAAATCTGGAAGTAAATCAGTACATATGCCACAACGTTGGTGATTGAACTAGCCACAAAACCAGTTCGGGGTCCGTCAGTTGGGGTGGTGTATTTTGAAAGCCAAGGCATCCATCTTGATGGGAATCAAATGAAATTGGTTTCTTCGGTTTTTGAACCATCTGGCCCCACGCCGCCGATAACGAGCAAGCTATATCTGAGTATAGCCTTATACTCATCCTTCCGGCTGCCGTGCAAACACTATCAAATAGCTGAGCGAAACCATATAAAAGGCGTACCTGTCGAGGGGAACAGTCCTCAGCAACCACCTCTACAGTCAAAGAGCAACTGCACCAACAACCAACCAACCATCATGTACGCTGTACGTACCCCGCCCATGAATGCTAACGATACACGACTGACGAGGCTGTCCAGAACATCCAAGTCCCCGTCTCCCAGCACTGCGGAAGCAGCGACTGCACCAACGCCAGGTCAGTAACCACACGGCGAAGGTGCAAATGGTAGCTAACCTTGACCGTAGCTGCAATTGCAAGCCCGGCGAATGCAAATGCTAGATGCCGGAATTTCCTCCCGCTGAGAGGCTTGCCCACCGTCCAGTATAATTAGCTACCCAATTGCGCTTTGTCAATCAGTCTCGTGAATAATGTGAAAGTTTCTGCCTATACAAACCTAGTATATCTGCTCCGTGAAGTGTAGGCGACTAAACGTTCCCATTGATTAGTCGATACATTCGACCTCTTATTTTCCAAGAGATGAAACGCACCGCTCGAAACGAGACATGTGAGTTGCCATTGCCGTTGAAACCCACTTCGTCGGGATCGGTGGCAGTAAACGTGCGCCGTGGCCATGAAGTAGATAGGAACCGTGAAAATACAGCCGATTACGTTGGGATTCAAAGCGAGGGTTAGCGACTCAAAGAATCAGCAACGCCGGAGGAAGGGGGGGAGAGGGGAGCCATTTATCAGAGGGATATACAGTGGCGCTTTATATCTGGAGCGATGCAAAGACTTGACTGTGAGGGTTGCTGATTAAGGGGACCCTTCCAGTCGCATATCCCTGACGAAGGTATGCTGCCGCTGGTGATATTCTCTTTGAGACATCGTAAAAGATGACAGTGTCGCAGTGGCAGACACACAGGCCAAACCACGCGCAATTTGCGGGCTCGCGATAAACTTGGGCTGCTCATCAAGCTATGGGATGTCAAATATCCATTGGTCAGTACATCGCCTTTGCTCGCATAACAATGAATTGAAATACCGTCTTTCGTCTTTCCTCCCTCGCCCTGGGGTCAAACCGAAGCGTGAGCCTCGCGTCACATACACGATGCTCTGCGTAGGGAGGTCGGCCCCGAGCCTTGAGTAGTATGTATGCACCATCGAAAGCGCCATCGAGCGCATACAGCCTGTTCTAGCATCATAGTACCTCTATGCCAACCCCCGGTTGCTAGTCACGTTGTGAGCATAATGTCAGAAGGAAGCGCGTAAGACGAGCCCCCTCCAGAACTCCAGAGTTGCGAGCGTTGAAACTCTAACGACGACCACACTAGCCAGAACGCATCAGATGGCTAGATACCCAAATGTCGATGTTTTCGGCAGTTTTAGTATCGCTAAATCCACAACGCGTTCGACATGCACATTGGGTGCAGAGTAATTTGAGAGTGTTTGGAAAGCCAGAGACAAGCCGCACAGTACGGCCTCAAGAATTCAATACAGGTAAATTCGACACCAACTTAGTTCTTACCACATAGTACGCTAACGGCACATGGCTTGGGGGTCTTTGAACGACGACGTCGCGTGCGATCTTGTGGTTGATGGTGGTGGTGAGAGGTAAGAGTTATTGGGCGCTTAACCGCCCTCTAAGACCCGTGACCGTGTTTGAGCTTTTCCACTTCGTTCAGGATGCCGACCTGCTATTTCCAGATTTAGAAATAGGGCGGGGGCGTAGCCCCTCGGCAGGTGCCGCAACAGGGCTCTTCTCGCTTCTCGCTCCCGCACTATTATGTTCACCTGGAGGCGGCTTCCTGCACGTTTGGCGAATGCTGTCGCTGGCGCACGGCACAACTCACAGCTTTCTGTAGTCCCAGAGCTGGTAGGCACCGCACCATGGCACCAGTATATCGTATTCTTGCGAACAACGATGCGTCCGTCGGAGTACCCCTCTAGAATGACATCGCAGCTTCAACGGCACCTTCAACTACGAGTCAGGGAGAGCGGCGGCCTCGTAAACTTCTCCTGGTTCCCGGAAAAATCCTCATTGACCAATCTACGCGACCCTCTTGCATACGAGGCCACCGCGTTCTTTCAGTCCGGATCCTCTTTCTCATACCCAGAAGTCAATATGAGCAATGTTGATGGTGTCGCAGCATCTCTCGAAGCTCACGCTCGAGAGCAATCTCCTAAAGCTACTTCGAATCACACCCACATCTATGTTTGTACACATGCTGCGCGTGACTGCCGATGTGGCACGGCAGGCGGCGAAGTCGCCGCTGCCCTTCGCGAGGAGGTCAAGTCTAGAAGCGAAACGGAGCGTATATTTGTCTCAGAAACAGCCCACGTTGGGGGACACAAGTACGTGCTTGTTGTTACGCACATCATAACAGTCTTAATACATCTGAAACACTAGATACGCTGCCAACGTACTTGTGTATCCGCACGGCGACTGGTATGCTGACCCCACTGTTGTGTTCTCATTGCTAGCTAACACTCTTGAACAGGCTCGGCCTTGTGACTCCCGATCTCGTTCCAAATTTGCTCGACGCTATAATGGACCACTCGAAACTCCCAGTATCTCCAAATACTACGCCTCTACTCTATCATCATTGGAGAGGACGAATGGGACTTGACAAGGATCAGCAACTTGATCTATATCAACGAACTACAGCGCAGCATTAAGCCCCTCGACCCTCACATTCCATCCATCTTGCGGAAATCCTGGCGCGTTCTCACCCCCATCCCCACCCCACCCCTTTGCCATAAAAGCTACAGCAAAAAGCAACGATCCGGAGCCAGGGAAGTAGGGTGTCGGGACCCTCACTCCCCCAATCGGCATTCCAGCATCGTCAAACTGGAACGAGGGGTGGAGAAGCCATTCCACCGCCTTGTCGGGTTGCCCATTTCGAGCCGCCGACATGGCTAGCATAGGGAAGTCCCAGCTGTGTACAAAATCAACTAGAGATTATCATGATCCGTAGACTAGCTTACCCCCAACAATTTGAAATATTCCAATGGGACCATACCTCTTCCGCAGTGGTTGCCGCAACTTTGACGTCAAGGTTCTTTGTTTGTGGTAACCACCCATGTAATCCGACAAGCGCCGGGTGGTCATTTGTGAATGCAGGATCGTCCCAGAAATTGCCTTCGATTCCCTCATAAACGGAATACAACCCATTCTCCATCGGAAGTGCGGCTAACTTTTCTTTGACACTCGCCCATGACCCAGGAGCTTCTTCGCCCAGTCTCTCCAGCCAGCCACTGGCGAGCTCCAATCCTAGGTCCCAGTACGCCAGCTCGAAAGCTGCGTTTCGGGTTACATTCGGGCTGGTGTCTTCGCTGACGACGTACATCGGTGGGCCAATGTCGTACACCCCTGAGCTCTCATTAAACCACGCAAAGCTCGCCATCCAATCCGCTGTCTCCTTCACGACGTTTTTCCATTTTTTGAGGATATCGTGTGTGGGGAAGGCCCGATACTCGTACTCAGCAAAGACGATTGGATGCACTTGCTGCCATATCAAAAGGTTGTTGATTTGCCCCGGAGCGGAACGCCCTGAAGGATCGGTCATTTTGGGCCATCGAGCACCAGCGTCCCAATTTTGTTGAACCTGAGCTCGCCTGATGGAGCTAGACAGGAATCGCGAGTACACATCTGAGGACCGGCGCAGAAGTTCCCAATCATTCCACAGTGCCCAATGTGCTGAGTGCCAGAAGTACATCTCCATGTGGAATTTGCCGTACTGAGAGGGATCCTTCTTCAGAAAAAGGCAGTAGGGGTGCGGACGTCGGACTCACCCATCCGTTGTTCACGAGCCCAGACTGAGTTGACAAAGGAGAAGGATTTGGTCATGTTGACAAAAGTGGGGATACGACATACCTCTTGCGGGGGCGTATCACCCGCTTCGTTCACTCGCAACAAATATCTGGACAAAATTATTCGTCGCTGGAGCTCCACTGCTCGCGGGTCCGTGGACCCAGTCAACACGTCAACGAACCCTCCACTTTGCCAAAATTCATCCCATGTGGCCGACGCCGATTCGTGTGTTTCTCGGAAGGATGGGAGGGGCGTAGACCCCGCAGGACTAAACGCTACTGTGACGGCAAACGATGAAGCTGACTCCAACGGTTTCACTGTATATCGATGCATCGACTCTGAGTCTCTGTTTATTTCGAAGGCATCACCCCCCAAAGAGGTGAAGAATGTGGAGGCATCCATCGTGTGCCGTATTACAGCCCGAGCTTCGTCGAGATTCCTTCCGATCGAAAGTTCCGTGGTGTGGTTGGCGGGTACGTCCCACCTACCAACGAACGGGGCGCTGAATTTCGCCTTGCCATCGTTCCACGGAAAGTCCACGAACACGTTCAATTGCCCTGATCTCAACAAGCTCGATTCAACGCGGATGCCTACACTGTCACTTTCCTGACTGGCAATCGTCGTGACAGTAACCCGCTCCCCTTCCCATGCGAAGGCGCTCGTTAACGTTCCAGACCAAAGGTCGAGTTCCTGGTGCTTGTCTGTTAGATCGTCCTCTGTGGTATTCACATTTCGTCCGTCGCGTGTATGGAATGCAAGACCTATCCGACCCAAGTTTACGCGGTTGGGGTTGGAAATCAGCCATTGCTCAATGTCTGGGTCCCCGCCGTTGAAATCGTATTGAACTAGTCGGCCGTGGTTGTCCCAAGATACTCCACGATAATTCTCCACATCCTGGACTGTCTTCCCAGGGGGCAAACTATCGTTCTTCCATCCCCACGACGACATTGTAGCGAATGGTAGAAAGGTTTGAAGCCCGGTTATGTCTGACCCGAAGGCGAAGTTCCCATTGCCAACCTGCAAAGGTGTCGTTGGGTTAGAGGATGTGCGTATTGGATTAAACCTTTCGACAATGGGTCTACGGTCGATCAGTGAAGCCCTTACACATGCTAGTAGGAGGAGAATGCCAAGGAGCATGTCCATTGCCGTAATGACAAGGTTATGGTGGTTCAGCCCATCCTGCGCTGCTGGTGTGGAGTACTTGAACGCTCTTCTCCGGGCCGACGCAATTTCGACGGTTCAGATCATCCGTCTGAAGAATCCCATGTGACCACAATGTGAACGGCGCAGAACCATGATCTCAGCCGGCTTGTGGGCACGCATGTACACATGTGAGTGTCTTGTTTTGCCAATAATAAGCTGGTCCATTTGTGGTGCATACAAAGAGGAACGTTTGATTCTGCTTTACAAATTTGATACGAATTTCAAAGGATTTCAAAATACGTTAGCACACGCAACGCCGCCGCGACAGCAAGCGCAGCTACGGCAGCCCTGCGTACGAAGACCCTCGCAGTGCTTCGCTTGGCCCCTTCAGCACCAGCGCTGTCGATTGCGCTGATGTCCGATGCCGTCAGTTCTACAATTCGCGGGCCGTCAACACAGGAGATTCAGCATACTATACGAACCACAGCACTTACTCAAATCCCCCGCACGCTGGTATCCTTTGAGTCTCGACTCCTTGGAACTCGTGCTGGAGTAGCCGACTAGCGTCAGAAACACCCTTGCTTGGCTGGGCAGAAGAATACGTACGTGACGACGACAACGCCTTTGGCTTTAGCCCAAGCTAGAAGGATTTGATCAGGTGTCGCGTCGAGTCTTTCTGCTATCTCGCTGAGTGGTTTGTCCACTGGGCCGCCAGGCGACCTTGTAATTGGACTATTTTGGAACAGGCATAAGCATTACTTTACTTGGAAGGAAGAAAGTACTTACATCAAAGTACTGTACCCCTCGATCACGATATCTACGGCAGAAGTTAGTGTGCTTTGAGTGGTTAAATCCACGAAAGTGACAGAGACCATTCTGTTTTGAGAACTCCAAAATGGGGGCTTGTTGCGCGTAAACGTAAGGATGCCACAAAATCTAACAGAGAAATCAGCCGCGCTTTCCCTATCGAATGATGACATATTCGCCAACGTACCTGATTCGCGACAGGTTTAATTTTTGCTGAGGCTAGCAATATCTTCAGGTCTTCGACACCGAAGTTACTGACGCCGATGCTCCTGAAAGATGGGTAGCATGAGCATCACGAATTCTGCGAGAAGATGCAACACGAACTTGGCGAACCCCTTTTTCTGGAGCGCTTCCATCTTCGCCCATGCAGTTGGTATGTCTGGCGTGGCAAGACGAGGATGGTGGATCAGGTACAAGTCAACGTACGATATCCCCAGCTATTCACAGTTAATTTTGTTAGGAACGAATTCTACTCAGAGCACGGACGTAGGCCACTCACATTTGCTAAGCTATTTTGAATGGAGGTTTCGATATCGAGCCCGTCCAAGCCTGAGTATTTGGTGGTCACATATATCTCTTCCCTCGCTAGCCCGCTTTCTCGGATAGCTTTCCCGGCCTCTACTTCATTGCGATACGATTGAGCAGTATCTAACACCACCGCCAGTCAATCTTCATGGTCACTAGAACCCAAGACGTTGGGAAAACTCACCGACATGGCTGAAGCCGAGCGAGATAGCCTGGTCCACTTGGTCGATCACATTTTGGCCATTCCCCAAAGTCCACGTCCCAAACCCAATGCTCGGAATTTGAGTGCCTGTACATAGGATCTCGGATATAAGCGGGCGCTTCCAAGCCCAATATGTTAGGGTAACACACCGTCGTTGAGCTTGATGCTGTCCCAAGGCATGTTGGTGGTCGTTCGCAGGCGGAGGATGTGGGAGCGGGGAGACCTTTGTATTTTACCCACAGCTGCACGGGCCACGCAGTGAATCAATGATGTATTTATACCTCTACTGGGAATAGAACCCATGCCGACATATTCTCAGAGTGAGCCCCTTTGGAAGTCCGCGATGGCTGTGACATACGCACGAAGTAATGCACCATATCACGACATGTTGCGCGCAAGGGAGCTGAGTCGCTCGCAAACATAGACATAGTAAGGAACAGGGGGGACCCTATACATAGTCCGACCTTCAGAATCTACTCCCACCGCTCATCTCAGTGTGATCGCGGATCTTTATCCTCAATGGCCGCCATGACCTCAACAACAGCCTCGCCCTTTCCAAGTTCAATCTGAGTGGAAGCAAGAGACGGTGTCGGTGCTCGTCGTTTATGCCAGGCGATTCCTGTAGCCAGCATAGTAAGTGCAGACAAGAACAGTGCAATCCACGACAATTCAACACCGAGTGTGACTATACGGGTATGATATATATCAGAGCCAGAGTAGGGGATGCGAAACCTGGCTGCCTGCTCACTATAACCAGCATCGCGGTATGCCACGGCGATTCCCAGTTGTCCTATCAACGTTGGACCAAAATCCGCAGGCAAGTTCAGGTTCTCCGTTGCCTCGACTTCGATGGTATGCCCTCGGGTGAACGTGTATACTGTAAAGAATGCGAGTGATATGACGTTGAATATGAGGAGAACTGCGAATGCCAGTGCCTGATACCCGAGTGTAGAGGATGCCAACTGGGTATTCGCGAGACCGAGTTTCTTGGCAATACGAGGAGGTAAGATGTTGTAGACGTTTTGTAGATGGACGATTACAATATTTGATACGAGGGTCGTCAGGAGCTGTGCGGCAATGAAGAAGACGACTATGGTAATCATCACATCTAATTCGGCACGAAACTATGAAAAGGATGCATTGGCGAACAAGACGAGCTTACCGTGGTATCCTAGCTCTACAGTCACACCAGTTTGCACCGAACTGTTTATAAGATGCTGGATGCTCTTGTGTCTGCGTGGAATTGAAATCAGGTTGAGCCAGAGAGGAAGACCGAGGACTGACTTTGCGAATGTCGCAACAGACGCAGACTCGGATGCGATGAGGAATATGAGCGATAGCAGCAGCAATATAAAACGAGTGCGAAGTAATGGCAGTGCGGATGTTGACTGCGGTACATGTAGCATCGAAGAGCGCGATTGAGGAGGAGAGGACTAGACGTTTGGGAGGGAACACCCTATAAGCTGAACAGTGGTCCCGATGGCACAGGCCGAGGAACGCTTGAATGGATTCGCCCAAAGGTTAACAAGAAGAGGAATTGCGATCCTTTCTACGAAAGTGTTGTAGGCGTGAAGCTTCGAAGAGGTCTTCAGATTCCGCGCGTATGCGAAGAACTCCTTCAAAGGGGCGAACCAAAGTTCTGTGCAAGATTCTAAAGCTTGTGAAATGAACATAGTCTTCTACAGCAGCCATGAGAGGTTCATCCGGGCCACAATTCGTCGCACGGCCGTGGAAGTGAAAAGGAGTCAAGTCTATTTAAGGGATGGAGGGAGTGCAGTATACTGCGCTAGCTCCTCCTCGCTTACGCCCCCCCTCGGTTTATTCCCTTGTGGAAAAGTAGCTTCGGTTGAGGGGCTAGAAGTTAGAAGTTGGAAGCTTTCTGTGTCCGATTTTATCGCCTCTACTGTGCGCCGGGCTAAACGGTGGGGTAAGTTGCTCTTTGCAGAGGAGTATTACTTTGAGCGGAGGAAGGTGTCGTGGGGAAAATGTGCACGGGTTGAGCCCGTTCAAGCGCTAATCCCCGACTCTCTTAACGACCCTGTGGAACTTTTTGGCTTTGAACGGTAACTGTTGTCGTGCATGGGATATGCTGGATAGACGAAAACTAAATAATGAAGGAAAATAGACATTAGAATTCGCATCAGTCAAACTACTCCGGGCCCCGGATGAATGTTACTCTGCAGCGCCACTCCGCAGATATACTAGCATCGATACACACCTCGAACTCGTCCTTGAGGATACACTGATCTGGTAGTTTAGCTGTAACTTGCGGAGGTGTCTTGCTTGTGCAGTTACATGTCAGCGACCATCCTAGAACAATGAACTCTGTTCCAACAATGCACTGGTCGAAAGTCGGGGTGTCTGTCTTCGCTACGAAACCGCGCCGCCCTCCGCCACTTTCTGACGATAATCTTAAATGCTTGAACAGTGCTGAGCTTCTGAGAGACCAATGTCTGCGTCCCGAGATCTTTGGCGTGGTCCACTCGATCTCCCAAACGACCTCGCCACTCTTCAATTCCACCCGCTTCAAGTTCCCAAATTCGCCGATAACAGGTACCCCTAGAAGACCGCACTCCCATATGTAGCTTTGGTTATCAGAACCAGAGATCCTAATGTCCCTACTCATTTCCCTCGTCTTTCCAATAAGTGACCATCTTCGTACGCGATTGTTGGCTTCCATCTCGGCATCTTCTAGTTCATCCAGAATCGTCGCCTGTTGCTCGAGAACTTCAGGTGAATCCCTGGCAAGCGTCGGTCGCTGCTCCTCGAATCGTCTAGCGGCGCGAGCAACCTGATCCTCTTCCAATGTTTTACTCAATGCTGGATGTACAAGCAGAGTTTGCAATCGAGCATGGATCTCGCGCATCTCCTGAAGGTGTTTGAAAACGGAAGGATCGATGTTCACTTCCATTGGGAGTTGGGGATAATCAAGGAGACTGAGAGTCATCAGCACAAGTCGAGGCGAAGGAAGCAAACTGACCTATAGTGCCGCAGAACAACCGAGATTGGGGAGCCGGTCGGTGGACGTAAAGCTTTCAGGATGTTGCGCGCCTCGTCTAAGGAACCTGCTGTCAAGCTGGTTGCAGTGACTGGATAGCCGTATAGTTCCATTCTGGCGTCGAGGATGCTATAATTCTCCGATGTCTGTGCCTTCTTAATGGACTTTCCTCCCAACTGGAAGAAATCAGCAACAGAAAGTTTGGCCTCATGCTCCGTTTCCTTCTTGTTGTCTACGTCTTTGGCTCTATTGCACCGGTAGAATCTTTGGTAGAGAATCGAGTATGAGGGGACTCACGAGCATGCCACAATGATTCTATGCCTATACCCGCTAATGATACCATCGACAAAATAGTCACCATGCATATTTCGAAATGACTCGGGGGACTTGTTTCGGAGCTTCGCCTTTATAGTGGGATTCTTGAGTCGTTCCATGGGGAATGTTCCTTCAGCTTGATATTGAACGAAGAATATAGAGGCCCCCTTGTGAGATTCCTTCAAAAATAAGGTCCTGATGTCTGCCCCAATGTCCACTGGGCAGGGGAGATTGATCTTAGCGCCGACATTAGCGCCGTATTCACTACGCAAGGTATACAGGTTGTCGTGATAATATTGGTTGATGCTCTTGCCTCTGGTACGGCAGAGTTCCTCGGGGCAGCCCTGGCGGTGGATTCAAGTGCACACATCATCCGGTCGCCAGTTAATACATCCACACCATCGCCGAGCTCTAAACCAGGTCTCGCTGGTATGGTTAATTCTCGATTCAATTGTGTCCGCTTGCGTTGTCCAACATCCCCCTGCAGTGGTTGGTCAGGGTCAAGCAAATATATCAATATGATATCATACCTTCGCTGCAGGCGTGGGCGAGCGGGAACTTGAAGGTGGGTGCTTCTGAGATCGTGAATTCGGATGTCCAGAAGGAGGGCGATCGTCAACGCCTTGGACCCTTCTAGCTTTATCATCCGGTAAGTCAGAAGTCGATTTGTTGTTTCGACGGACTTGTGGAGAGAGTTCAGAAGGCGCTACCGCAACCGAGATCGGCACCGTGGACGATTGATCAATACCCGGCTTGACCACCTGCGCAGGCGATGTTGAACGAGATCGTGTTTCTGGTTGGTCATCCAAAAGGTGAGACAAAGGTTCTATAGGGCGCTGACCGTCGTGCCTTTTGTCCTTGGATGTGCCTGGTAAGTCCGATGTCGATTTGTTGTTTCGGTGGCCTGGCCTGGGCACAGCGAGTCTAGGAGGCGATACAATTACTTTAACCTGCGTCGCGAGTGACTTATCAATTTCCTGCTTTGCAACCCGCGCATGGGAGGGTGAATGAGGTTCTCTGTGTATTCCTGTACCCACCAGCCGGTGTGTCGCCTCGGGTTTATTGTTGTCTTGCTTGGGTATGGCGAGTTTGGGAGGCGTTACCGCAATTTGGGGCGCTTTGTCGACGTCTTGTTTCACTACTCGCGAAGGGAAAGGTGAGATGGAGCGAGATTGACTAGGCGTCTCTTGCTGGGCATTCGAGTTCTTGTCCAATGTCGGTTGCGCAGAAAGCCGTTTGCGATTGCCCTTTTCGCGTTCAAGGGTGTTCGCCAGGTTTGGGTCGGACTTATTTCGTCGGAGGCCTCGCTGGTGCACGGCGGGCTGCTGGGGGGCGAGGGGCTCAGAGGATGCTGTCGAAAGAGGGATCGGCGCGGGGTATTCCTCGAGAATAACACGCATCTCAACGCGCACTGGCTTGGAACCCTTTGTGAGAACAACATTAGCGAAAAAGGGTGAATTCTCGAGCGGGGGTTCGTGCACCTTTGCTTCGTATTCGGTGGAGCCAAAGATGATAGAGTCGCCATGCCTGACCTGGTGGTGCTCCCCCGTTGACAATTTCTTAATCCACTTCCCCCTCTGTATGGAGGTGAAGGATGCAGAGTCGTTGTACAATACGATCTACGGAAAATCGAGATCATAACGTGCTTGGCAGCCCTCCAGTAAACAACACACCTTACCGTTCTTCCGTAATCTCATGCGACCATGTTCTTCGTCCATACTCTCATTGTCGAACATACGTTGTATCTTCACCGATTGTCCATGCTTGGGAAACTCCACTATTACTTTTTGTGGTAGGTTGCTATTGGGATCAATAAGATCCTTCGAGACAAACTCGACACCTCAAAGCGAGGTTGGTTCAATGTGAATAGATCTGGGCAGACAACCTACCTCGTACAGTTTTTGGTGTTTCTTGGTTCCCTTGGTCAGCCATGTCGCAGTGGTGGCTTGTGAGAGATGCTCAACAATAGCTCCTAATATATTGGTCGTAGCGCTTAGCCCCTAGTCCAACCATGAGGTGATATTGTTTCGAGACTGGTCATGTTGGGCATATCATCCTTGGAACAGGGCTCGAGGCTCCGATGTCCTCGGCTTGTAGATGGGCTCTCATCAGATTAGCGCTTCAGCGCTTCCACGACTCCCAAGATCACCAACAGCTCCACAGTTCGAAAGGCGTTCATTATTACCGGTGCCCGAAAGTGGAGGTATTATAAATATGTCGTCGCGCCGGTCTGATCTCGGAAACTTCATGCCTTCCAAGAACCCTCTAGTTTGGCTTATTACTGGTAACACTGTCATTTATTAGACATCATCCCCGACGTAGACACACACTCACCACGGCTCTCCTCTTTATCTGATCTCATGTTGCAGGCACATCTTCAGGCTTCGGTCGATCCCTCGTACGTTCCGTACTAGCCAGGGGCGATCGAGTAATCGCGTCCGCACGATCCATCGATAAGTTGAAGGAAGACTTGGATGCCGGCGATCTTGCTGGCCACGGTCCTGACGCTCTGCGCCTCCTGAAGCTCGACGTAACCTCGGGGCAGCAAGAAATCAGGCAAGCAATCGCACAAGCAGCGTCCATATGGGGTCGCATAGACGTGCTGGTGAATAACGCTGGTATCGGGTTGCCTGGTCTGCTTGAAGAAGGAGGGTGCGTCTGCAATTGAGCGAACAAGGAACCCAAGGAGTCATTACTGACGGAAAGGATAGGTCGGATTTGTTGCGCCGACAGTTTGAAACGAACGTGTTTGGATTAATGGACGTCACCACAGCGACCCTGCCATACATGCGCGCCCAGAAGTCTGGTACTATCGTCAACATTGGGAGTCGAACGACTTGGAAGACTGAATTCGTGGTACGTAGTCTACTCCTTGTCAACTGAAGGGTTCCATCAATTTGGTTGCATCAGGGGATAGGATTTTATGGATCCTCTAAGGCTGCTGTCCACGGTAAGCACAGATCGTCGATAGCGGTCGCAATAGCGTCCTCATAATTTGTGAAGCCGTCTCGGAAACGCTCGCGCTCGAGGTTGCGCCCTTCAATATCCGTGTTCTTCTAGTTGCGCCGGGTTCATTCCGTACTGGAATCTACTCCCAGCCCTACTTCACTTCCAATCCTCTCGAGGACTACGATTCACTACGTGCTGAGTCGCAAAAACGATTTGCTTCTGTCCCTGGTACGGAGAAAGGCGACCCGGACAAGGCCATGGAAGCGCTAGTGGATACCGTACGAAGCGAGGGCGTAGCCAGGGAAAATGGGAGAGATGGGGAGTGGCCAGGCTTGTTAATACTAGGACCGGACGCGGAGCAAGATGTGAGGGTGAAGACTTCAAAGGTAATTGAGGTGCTAGACAAGTGGGGAGACGTAGCTAGGAACGTTGTCTTTTCATAGAACTGAAATAAGCGATACTGGTTGAGGTTCAGCGCTCAAGGTATTGCGTTCCTTGGCGTTAACGACGTAGCGCACATCCCTTGGGTCTGCTCTCGGTCAGGACTCGTGTCTGGTGCGCGGGGAAGGCTCTTCTCCCGTCCTCGACTGCTATGGGCCATTCGGGAGGTGCCTGGGCCTACGGAGGGACACCCATAATATACTCATGACTATTTATACAATTGCGACGCGGTATGCATAGTCCAAGGGCACTACGAATAGGTTTCGATTGAGCAGGAGATGCTTTCGAGTGAGATCCTCGGACGATAGCCTCTGGGTCAGGCTCGAGCATCGACGCCTGTCTTCAAAAGATGCCGGTCGTTTTTCCGTGCGCGCTGGTGCGCGAATGAAGGCGCAATCTACAAGTCGTTAGTTCCTATGGACGACTCTTTCGATCAAGTATGTAAACTCAGAATCTGAAATGTTGAGTATGCGACCCCTATTTCCCTATCGACGAGGCTCCTGAAAGGGTCCCACTGGGGTTCCACTCAGGCTCGCTCGTTCCGCTTCTATGGAACCGATTTTCGTTGAAGCCACACTCACCGTCGTATATAGCGAAGATTTGCAAGATCCTGGTCAGACTCGTCATGACCTGACTCGGCTAGGTCTCCCACACCCCAAGAGAAGCTTGAAGAGTACTTCGCTTGTTCCCCCTCGTACCGTAATGTTAGTTTGGCCGACACTAGAAAGAGGGAGCGTAAGTTGTTTTCCACTTTGCCAATAAACCGGGGTATTCTAATCCATAAAGCACAGGCTCTGCACAGGAACTTACTTACCAAGACGAAACCTTCCGCCATCAAGCCAGATATGCTTGACAACCTTGGAATGTGAGCTTTGGCTATATAAATTCAGCCAATAATGATACTGATTCATATGCGCATAGCTCTTATATAGATTACGAAGAAAGGCAAGCTAGCCTTCGCGCTCGTTTTACCTCCGCTTGATTTCTATAGGGAAATACTCGAGCACACGGAAACTCTTGCTCGGAGATCACGACATCACCCGTATAAAACGCGATGCAAGGTGAGTCATTAGAAAGAAGCTTCTTGTACAGAGCCAGCAGCACTGGTTTGAAGGGAATGCACTTTCTTAACATCATTGCGGCTTCCCGCAGGAACCACACTCACCACAAGTCCGGTCTCCTGCGACACTATCTAGTTCAGGACTCAAATGCGTGAAGGATGTGGGCAGTCTCAAGTGAAAACTATATTCATAATTATTCACAGTAGTCCTCCCTCAGGCTGAATCTCCAATCCCGACAGCAGCATCCCCTCTAAAGGCAAGTGCCTTGGTTCTACACATACTCACTTGCGCCTCAAAATTGTCCCGCATTGGGTGAAACTTAATTAGAGCAAATCTGCCCGACCTCGGAATTCTGTCTCGTCCGCCACACATATGAATATCCCGAGGTCGACCGAAGACATTCCCTCTTCAACGGTAAGACTCGATTTTGAATGTTACATTTCTTGATAATTTTATGGTTGACTTCTAGACACCCCCACCTTGTGACACCCATCCCAGCAGCGGAAATACACTTCGTGATATCGCTCTGAAGAGCCAGAGACTTCTGGCCTTGCAGAAGGATCTTTCTAGAACACTGTCACGGTCGAGGCAGAATGCGCCTCAAACCACTGATACTGCGTCTACCGTTCAAGAGGGCTCGTCATCCAGACCAGATGATTCGAGTGCGGCGTTGATTCAAAGTACGACTGAATTATAGTCATCCCGGAATGTGTCAATGACAGTTTAAAAATGTAGGGCTGGAAGAACGTCTGGAATATTCTGAGCAGGCTTTGAGCCAGGAGAGAAGAAGACGTATTCGAGCCGAGGAGAAGCTGGCAAACATTTTAGGCAAAAGCAACTAGTCTCTTGTATCTTCCGAGTCGAAGTCATCACATGATCACTAAGTTGGTATTTTGTAGTGATGTGCGGGCCGGGCTAGGCTCAAAAGCCTCGGGCTTGGGCCAGGTAATAGTGGGCCAAGGCCTAGTGGAAATGTGAGCCCAGCCTGATAGTAAGGCTTTGCGAGGGCAGGGCTCAGGCTCAGGCTCAGGCCCGGGCTTATCATTTATCGTAGGCAGTAAACAGTACAGTATACCAGAAATTATGGATCTATTGATTGTATAGTAATCTCACTATCATCTTCGTCGTCAGGCTCAGTATACTCTCCATCGTCCTCATCCGCAAATAAGATAGCCCGTCTGTTATCATTATCTGAGTTACCTTGCTGCTCAGTCTCCTCCAGCTCATCATCGTCATCCAAGGATCCATCAGCAAACACGATGTTTCGCCGATAGATGGCCTTAAGAACTTGGAGGGCTTCGACGATGTCACCCTTGAGACGATTGCGCCGTTTTGTAATGGTGATACCGGTGGAAGAGAAGGCCTGTTCGCTCGACACCGAGGAAGCCATGATTGGGAGATAATCGCGGGCTAGAGATGCCCATACCCGCATCCTGTTGGCGTTGATCTGGATATCCATAATGAGTGACTGTAATGGCAAAGGAGGGATGCAAACTCACCCCCCACCAATCTATCATGGAGAGGCCACAGCGCTTCTCATTCGGTGATTGGATATACTCGTTGAAGCCCGGTAAATATGGCTTCAAAGGGTCGGATAATTGGGCAGGACGCTGTAGAGCATCTTCATCGTCTTCGTCATCAGAAAGCTCTCGAAAAAGCCTGCTGAGCTTGCGGCCCTCCGAAGAATGGTGCTGACGTGGTCCAGTTGTGTAATTCTGTGATTCATCGCCGTAGAGTTCCTCGTAGCGTTCGCGATACTGCAAATTTCGTTATTAGATATGGAGAGCCAAGATCATAAAGCCGTAAGAATAATTACCAAGTCCTCTAGACGTTTGAGTGCCTCCTTGTAAAGCGACTTGCCCCAGTGTTTCTCGATATGCCTGCCCTTCGAGAACGGATCAAGGACTAAATCGAGCGATGTTAGTAACAGATCTACACTATATGTAGTTAGACTTACACATTACAACAGTATACGCGTCCGATTCTTCAGTATACTGGTAGTATTCCGCAATCTTGGCCAGCGCCGCTTCAAGTGCAGGCAGAAATCTTGCATACTTGGGCCAGATGGCTGGATCCGACCGTGCCGTCCATGCCTTGTGAAGTGCCTCGAGGGCAGGCAGTACAAGGTGAAGCGATGGGCCGTTCTCCGATGAAAAGGCTTGTTGAGCGCGATCAGAGTGCTGATAATCACGATGATGAGAGAAGGACACAAAGTGGAATAGTTTTGAGCTTACAGCGAGCAAGCTAACACAAGACTGGACTTGCGCCCACTCTGCACTAGTAAGAATCAGTGCATCAAGTTTCGCTCGCTTCACGCGGGACTTTTCTTCACTCATGAGGCGCCGCATAAAGGCATCAACAACCTAACACCGATCATCATTAGTATAGGAATATTGGTGGCGAGGGAAAGACTGCTATACCTCTTTTAGTGACTCTGCACGATCAAGCATAAAATATGTAGAGGACCACCGAACAGGCATGTCATTCTTGAGATGGACAGGTTGGGTGTATCTTGGGTGTGCGGGCCGGTTGCGTTGGATGTCAACAAAGATCTCCTTGCGCTTCGACGACGATCTCTCCTGTATATCACAGCGAGAAAGGGCATATGAGTAATAGACTTATATATTTGAACATTCAGATATACGTACCTTGATTGAGATCGTTCTAACCAATCCGATTTCATCACGATGCTGAGGTTCATCAGGGTCCTCAGCGTCAACATTCAGATCCTGATTTGGGTTGGTGGGGTCGTAGTACTTTGATTTGCTGTATGTGCTCAAAAGAAGCTGGGTTGCTGTTATGGACCGACGTTTCTTTCTTTCTTTTCCAACTATCTTTCTTATCTTATCAGGCACATGATGTATTACGACTTACTACTTACGTCATCCGGGCCGTCTGACTAATGGTCTCAGTCAGCGCCTCGCCGCTACTGCATGGGCGCAGTCAACAAGCGTCATACCACATGCAGCTGAGCTAAGCATTCCATGGAAAGACGGCAGGATGCAGCATGTAGTTAGACATGAGGACGTAGCATGTACAGTAGTATATAAGTGCCCTAATAGACACCCAGAGACGTTAACTCGTTCTCTTGGGAATCACACTAATACAGTGCCTAAGTCAGCGTCTTCGTGTTTCCTCCTCGTCTCTCACCTCTCATCTAAATACTTCTTGCTCCGATTCTTGTTGGGTCCGCGTACGCTTATTGTGTATTAGCGTTGCCCTAACAGAAGAACGAGTTACTCCTTGTACGCCCGCCCAGCAGCGTTAACTGCGAAGAACCGACCTCAAGACAGGATACGTTTCTCTTCTTCATTTCATCTACCGCATAACTTCTTTCAAACTTCCGCCGATAAGCCCGTTAGGCTTTGATTGTTGGTTTCACACCCCTATAGTCTCCCACCCCATTCGAACCGCAGATTCAATACTCCAGCGGGGTAACGTTTAGACGACCCTCCGAGTGAATCTAAAGGCGCTGACTGATCACTAATCCTCGGAGAGGGGTCAGCGCGCGAGGTGCTGAGTAAGAAAGAAGGCTCTACCTCGTCGGTTCAGCAAGACGGTGTGAAACTTCGCATCTAGCCAAGCCGACGAATCCTACCTCGTCAATTTCATCTGCTCAGGCACCGGCGCGTGCTAGTGTGAAATTTGAAATTGATTGACAGGAACCCGCATGCCCGCAACCCGCACGCACCTTACCCGTTCCCATATCTACACCGTTTTCCCTTACTACCTCATCCCCGACCCGACCCTTAACCGCCGAAATCAACAAACCGCCATCCAGGCGTTAAGGAGCACCCCACAACTTTTCGAGACCATCATCATCCCAGTCTCACCTCCCAACCTCCGCAAATCGCCTCGTCACACCCCCGGTCGCCACTTTATCAACGGAAATAATGTCATACTCGACGACCAGACCACTCGTCGCTCAACCCTACGACCGG